ACACTTCCGAAGGCTTTGTGTATACCTTCAGGGTGCGACATCCCTGAAAGAAGCATCCTTCATGGTCCCCTGAAGCTAATCACCACGTACTGTCAGCGACGAGAGTGGATCGATTCCATGCCTGCGATGTAAGCGCGACAACCTCGATTGCGTCCTGGGGGGTAGCAATCGAGGCGGTCGACGTGTGCGAAAGAAGCCGCGCCTAGAAGATGCGCCAGCGAACCAAGCGACGGCGACGACTGCAAATGCGACCATTCTGCCTCCCCTGATCGCACCTCGAACGGACGATGGCGGCAGCTTTCATGCGCTGGGTAACATGGGCACGACATGGTCGCAGGAGCCAAATACGCAGCAGCAACAATATGGGAGTGAAGATGACCAGGGAATGCGATCCGGTTCCTCAAACACAGACGAGCTGCAGTTCTCGAACCTCCAGAACCCGTCAGACGCGCTGGGTATACTAGCAAGAGTCGCGGGAGAATCGTCAAACGAAGAGGCGGGCAATGGTCAAGGCACTGGAGTCACGCGCGGATCGATATCGTCCATGCCTGCTCCGCTGTCGTTCTCATACCCACTGCTAGATCGAGGGATTCTTACAGTACACTCGTTGTGCCAGCTTCTGGTGCGATTTCAGCAGCAGTACCATCCATACTACCCTCTCGCACCCGCACATGCGTTTGATACATCGCGCCTAGCTGAGATGGTCAAGATGGAGCCCCACCTCCTCACTGCCCTGCTTCTGATAGCTTCAAAAGACCTGGTAGACGAGCCACATATATTTGAAGCTTGCATGGAGCATATGAAGGGCTTGGTCTCAGAACTTGCAGCCGGAGGCGATGCAGACATCGAAGCTGTGGAGGCACTACTTCTACTCGCTGAATGGGCACCATATACGCAAAGAGGATCGGGCAAGGTCGGCAAGGGAGAAGAAGACAAGGAGAGCTGGATGCATGTGGGGCTTGCACTTCGAATAGCATACTTCCTCGCACTGGACCGCTACTCCTTCCGGTTCGTGGACCAGGGCAAGGATCCACATCACCACCGGAAGCGATTCATCTGGACTTGTGCATACATCTCAGATCGGCATACCAGTATCAGGATTGGGAAGGCATTTTGGTCTCGTGGACCGGGTCCTCTGACAACACTGAGACGCGAAGACTATCCATCACTGATACCTAAAAGTCCGAATGAGGAGGACTATGCTTCCATCTTCCAGGCAAACCTAGAGCTCACACAGCTGTTCAGTAACGTGCACGATACATTGTACTCGAACCCGTCCTCAAGCTTCCGGTCGCACATGAGCGGTAGCTACATCAAGTTTATCGATGACTTCCGCTCTGCGATATACGGTTGGAAAAGCGTCTGGGGCACACTGACTTGCTCACCACACCTCAAAGCCTGTTTACTCATGTCCTACGACTATCTTCGGCTCTATACGAATGCCTTCGCTTTTCAGGCCACTGTTCTTCGTGCCTTGCCTGCTGTAAACAACACTGCCAGCGGCACTGCAACAGGCGTGGCGTCTGTATCTGGCTTCGCTATGCAAGCACCACAGCGCGTCTTCGTCAACAACGTGGGTGCAGTTGGCGATGCACGCTTCATATACGAAGGCCTCGATGCAGCGAAGGCCATCTTGACCACTGTCAACAACTTTGTCGATCCCGAGCGTTCACTACGCTTCATGCCGCTGCGATACTACCTGTATCTTGTCTACGCAGGTGTCTTCCTATACCGCGCGCGTTGCACAGGTGTAATCAGCAACGACGAAGACCGCGCTATTCGCGCCATGATCAACGAGACAGTCACACGCTTGCAACGCTCTAGCGTAGGCTCAGGCACCGGCATCCAGCATCCTGGAAGCCGCTATAGTCAGCTTCTCAAACTCCTATGGGCGAAAGTTCCCCGGAAAGATAAGTCAGCGAGGCCATCTTGGAGACATCCAGGTACACACATTGCAAGTAATCCTGTTGATAGTAATGGTTTGCCGCTTGTGTCTCCTGGTGCGACGCAGCAGAGTCCTCAGAATAGTACGGGCACTGGAGAATCTCCGGCGATGACAGAGATGATGGGGGATTTTGGATGGACGGATCTCAATGCTGTGAGTGATTTTGCGATCGGGCAGGGTCCTGGAGGAAACGGACAAGCCCAAGATGATGCCAGTGCTCTGTGGAATGGATTTCTGCCACTGGATATGGGGTGGAATGCGCAAGGTTTTGGGTTCGATAGCCTCGGTGGAGGGTTCGAGCAGGGGGAGCTGGGGATGATATTTTGATATGCGAGTGCGAATTTAGAATTTAAGCTATGCGGTCTGCTTGACAAGAATCTAGAAGCTTTCTTGGAACATATAAAGGTTACATTGTCCTCGTGTTACGGGTGTGGCCGCGAATTCGCCGAATGATGCCACTTATCCCACCCACGTCCTACTAAACCTTCCACATTGTCGCTCGAAACAACTACGGCCATTGTTTCCTCAAAGTGTCCAGTAACCAGATACGATGCCTTGAAAGCGTGTGTACACTCATTTCGTTCTCCCCAGCGTGTGCCAATAAAACCATGGAAGCTGCAACAGTCCCTAGCGAAAGCGGAAGGTCCGTCGCATCCCCAGGATCTCCAGCGCCAATCACTCCCACAGTCTAGCCTTTCTACCCCAGCGTTCGAAACACCTTCTACTTGTCAACACCTGACCTGGAGGCTAAATCGCACCTGCATCCACGCGCCAACCTATTAAGGCAGCTCACTCAATGTCGATCCCGTGCAGCTGCATGAAAGCACGCCCGCTTCAAGGCTTATCGTGGATCACTATATTATGTGCCAGCACGATGGGTGGCAGCTTCCTGGAGGCGACAAAGCCCCGTTGCTTACTTAGGTCGCGTACGGCAGGTGGTAGTCGTGCAGCGAGCTTCGATTGTGCAAGCTTCTCTTGGTGCGGATCTTGAGCGGCTTGGTGCAACTGCGCGTCTGCTATAAAGTAAGAGGGTAAACTCAATCTTAACTTCTTTCTTCACGCCCGCTACATCCTCGTTCCGCATCCGTCATGAAGTTTCTCGGTGTCGCCCTCGCTTCTCTGGGCCTTGTGTCTGCTGCCACGGTGGAGAAGAAAGTCAGCTACGACGACTGGAAGGTGTACCGCATCAATGTCGGGTCCAACGCCGCAAAGGTCAACGACGTCGTGAGCAAGCTCGACCTCCAGCTATGGAAGGGTAAGCCCTCATCCAGCAGCGTGGTCGACGTAATGGTCCCTCCGTCGCAGGTCAAGGACTTCGAGGCATCGACCTCGGACGTCGAAACCAGGGTCATGCACGACAATCTCGGCCTGTCTATCACCGACGAAGACAGCTTCAACGTCTATGCTGGTAAGATTTACCCCAGGTTTGCGGGTGGCGCGAACGTTTTGCTAATAGAATATCAGCCGGTGCGGCGCCGAATGCTACGTGGTTCAAGTCGTACCACTCGATTGCCGATCATATGCAGTGGATCAGCGACCTCGCGGCTGCGTACCCCAAGAACTCGGAAGTCGTTACTGCAGGCAAGTCTGTGCAAGGGCGTGATATCAAGGGTATCCATATCTGGGGTAGTGGTGGGAAGGGGTCGCAGAAGGGTGTGGTATGGCACGGAACTGTGCATGCAAGAGAGTGGATCACGACTATGTAAGTCATCTGCCATACACTGTGCTGGACTTAATATTGACTTTGTGACAGGGTCGTTGAGTATGCTGCATACCAGCTCCTTACCTCTACCGATGCTACGGTTGCGGGCTACAAGGACAAATACGACTTCTACATCTTCCCTATTGTTAACCCAGATGGCTTCGCGTACACGCAGGCAACCGACCGCATGTGGCGCAAGAACCGTCAGACCACTCCAACCGCCAGCTGCGTCGGCCGCGACATCAACAGGAACTGGCCCAACCAATGGGACCTCCGCGGTGGCGCCAGCACATCTCCCTGCGCAGAGGATTACAAAGGTCCATCCGCCGGCGACGGCGTCGAGACAAAAGTCCTCAAAGCCCAGCTCGACAGCATAGCAGCCGGCAAGGGCATCCAGCTCTACATGGATATCCACTCCTACTCTCAGCTCTGGATGTACCCCTACGGCTACACATGCTCCGGCGCCGTCCCCAACGCCGCAAAGAACAAGGCCCTGACCGATGGCGCCATCGCAGCCGTCAAGGCCGTGCACGGCACTGTTTTCACCGGCGGACCCATCTGCAACACTATCTATCAGGTTAGTGGCGACAGTGTGGATTACGCGTTTGAGGTGGCCAAGGCGGCGTTTAGCATGACGGTCGAGCTGAGGGATACGGGCAATTATGGATTTGTCCTGCCCGCGGCACAGATTCTGCCGAGCGGAGAGGAGATGTGGGCGGGTTTGAGCTATTTGTTGAAGAACATGTAGATGGGGCTGTCGTGGGAGGATGTGGGGGGATTGAGGAGATACCCGTGTGCGAGGTGCGACGAACGCCTTGTACAGAGCTTGATGTCAAATATGAATGAATGATGCTGCGAAGAAGAACCATTGTGCCCATTTCCTCGCAATGCAATACCCTGGTCCTACATGTCGTCTCCAGGAGCTCCTATCCCGTCCCCAATTCATTTACACTGAGGATATCCATTGTTCATTACGCAGTGCTGCCCTCCTATCATGGCATATTAGCGTCTGGACACGAGTTTCGGATGGCTTTTTGCTCACTTTTCTTGCCGCAGTAATCGACGTTCTCGACCTTGTTGTCTCTGCATTCAACGATCCACCAGTCGCTGCCGCAGGATCGGTCGCCGTTGTGGCAGTCGGCGGCGACTATGGCGGAGAGAGTGAGGTTGAGGGCGAGGAGGGAGGTTAGGAGGTTCATGGTGCCTTGGTATGGGACTGCGAGTATTGAGGTTGGGAATATTTAGTTGGGTGTGGCTGAGGAAGTGATGCGAGAGCAGACGACTATGCCTTTATACTCACTCACATCTAAGGAGAGGTGTTGCTAGGCTGTGATAACGACGCATAGATGATACTTTCTTTATGTCTGCCCTGATAAGATGCCGTCGGTGACTAGGAACTTGGTACGTACTACGTGTGACTCTCAGTGACGAGTACCTTAATAGCTGAGGGGCCTCGTCGAACCGGCAGACTACTGATATGAACATGAGAGCCGTTGTACATGTCACTGATTGCTACGTTGCACTGTGCAACGACGGGAAGACGCTTGCGGCGATGATGTCACGACTGGGCGATAACAAGTGATTTATAAGAAAGATAGCAAACATGCCGCTAGTTCCATGGTTGGGAAGCTTTTGTTATATATTTCATGCAATAGTTGTACATGTTGATAGTGGTCTAGCGCACTGTTGGACATGCGAAGACCTGTGCTACCTTGTGCTTTGTCAGGTCTTGTGATGTCTGACTCTATCGATGGGCTCATAGGCTGATGCTTCAGATCGGAAATATATACCCGCCTGGTAGGGCCTGTGCGGTCTACCTCGACAGTATTGGAGTTGGTGTGAAGCGCATACAGGATGATGCCCTTGGCATGCATGTAGAAGCTACTGCCAAACTAGACTGGATTTCGTATTCCGTTTATCAAGCCACAAATTGTAACATACGATAGAGATGTACTCAAGCTTTGAACCTCATGCTATGGACGGCATTGAGGCATGCAATGTCACGTGTCTGCGCGTAGTGCTGGTGTTGCGCTAGTGCTGGCTCGGCTCCCCGCCCTTACATCGCTGTCTTTTTTTCTGCTCGGTGAAGTCCTTGACTTATTCACTCTTATTCTCCTCTCGAAATTCTCCAGCGACCCCGGAAAATGCGGTTCCTTGCCGCCGCAAATCATGCGATGTTCGACGATGACCCGCGCGAGATGCGGGTGGACAACCCAGACAATATCGAGTATGATGTATTACGAGTAGCAGATATGGTGCGAAATCTCAATTCGGAGAATCGTGAAAAGGTGCTAGCTTTGGTATGCCAGTAAGTTTGAACAATATGTATAGCTCTTTCAGGGAGCATAGATCTGACTAAATGTAGGCTTGCGATGGAGCGTGGCGGCTACAATCACTTCAATCAGCCTTCTGCACACACCTATCAACGTGCGACACCATTCCGCTTCATGGACCTGTCAGCGGAGCTGAGACTGTATATAGGAGAGTACACACTGCTTAGCGAAACACCATTATGCTGGATGTGGAAATCTTATCAAGCAACATCAAATCGAAATATCGGTTCATTCAAAGGCCTGGAGAAGCTCACAGCCTTGACTCGTGTTTCTCGACAGCTTCGAACAGAGCTAGCAGGAATTGTTTGGGGACTGAACGAATTCTGCTTCGACGAACAACAATTTGGTCAAGCCTTTAGAGGATCAGTTTCTGGCATGAGTTCAGTCTATCGTCAGCCTATCCCCAAAGCGCACGGTCTATTCCTTTGCAAATTGTCCTCATCAAGCCAGGGATGCTTGAGATACATCACTATCAACGTGGATGCACAGTTAAGCATATTGCATGGAGGCCCATTCATCATCAACTGGATCACTGAAATGGCATCAAAGACGCCGGGCGCACGGTTTCGAGTTGAACTGAGTGCTTGGACCTTCCGCGCATACATTCCAGGCCCTCTCTCTCCCATGTTCAGCGTTCCAATAATCGAATTTGCAATCAAGAAATTCATAAACAACGGCCAAATTTTGATGGATAGGCTATCAGCGCTTGGTCTCAATGTATCCAATCGCAATTGGCAATTATTTCCGTCTCGCCGGCAAGACTACCGTGAGTTCGAGAGGTACTTGGATGATTCCAATAGGCAAATGGTTCTAGACTGGCACACAAAGGGCATATAGAGGACAATAGACAAGGAGGTTGGACTAGAAGTCTTCCTACCCGTACATATCCTCTGGAGGCGGTGTACACAGAAACTCACGCCTTGAATTAATAAAACCATCAGCTTTGCAAATCCTTGTAGAAATTCGATCTAGCAGGATGTGTTCCGGTGGTATGCTCCAACACCAAGTGTAGCAATGATTCGTGCGCGCTAATCATCACTAACTATAAACACTATTCGAGTATCACCTACCATTCAGTCAAGACTGTATGACTTCGAAGTCTGTGAGCACTCTATAATATGCTAGTTAGCTGCTGACTCGTCCTTGGATCATGGACAGGGGAACAGGTGTTCTTTGGTGGTAGTCAGAATGAGCAGAGCTCGCTCGAATTTTTGCAGCAGCTAGTGCTGACGCTTACTTGAAGAAACGTGTCCAGGGGTTTGTTGTTTCATCAACAACGATTCCTTCGGTCAGTACTCAAAGTATGGAGTCTTCTGTCATGTTCAGATAATATGAAGGGCCGGTCACATCACAGTCGTCACAATGCTGGCAGCTCAAGTAAAGATGAAGTTGACAGTGGTATTAATATTACGATTAGGAAACGAGCTAATGTACAACCTGCAGCTGCTCAGTGCGACACTGCGCGATACTCGTTTTTATTCCAGATTTATGCCTCAACCTCAACAACAGCGGGGCCAGCAACGATGGTGTCGTCAGTGGCAGCGGTGTTGCACGAGGTAAGGACAACGTAGCTCTGGCCAGAGATACCCTTGGGGACGACAACGGTGTATCCACCGTCAGCGGGGGTGGCATCAGCGAAGACGGGGCCGGTGACGGTGATGAAAGCGGCGTAGACCTTGCCACCCTCGATCTTGTAGCCCTTGGTGGCAAGGGTGACAGTGGAGCCAGTCTTGACGGGAGAGTCGGTGCTCGATGCAGTCAAGACGGGGAAAGCCTTGACGGGCAGAGGGGGGTTGGTGGAGGGGCACTCAGTGATGAACTGAGCAGCGAGGGTGTAGACCTCGTTGTAGCTCAATGGGTTGTCGAAGGGAGATGGGAATGGCGACTGGCCAATGGTGTCGCGAACGTAGGCGGAGTGACGAGCCTCAACGGTCAAGATGGAACCGGCAGCAGTGAGGTAAGTCTTCGAGGCGATGTCAGCTGCCGCACCAAGGTAGGCAGAGACACCGACACCCTCGAGGATGGAAGAAGTGGCGAGGAAGGACTTGACGTCGGTGTAGCCAAAGTTGTACTTGCACTCGGCGGTGGGGGTGACACCAGCGGCCTTGAGCGCACCAGTCAAGAACGACACGTGCTGAGCCTCATCAGAAGAGATGGTCTTGATGCGGTTGTAGGCAGCCTCATCGAAGCCAGCAGCCTGGAAGTCGGCGGCGGTGTACTTGGCGAGAGCCTCGCGGTAGAAGGTGTTCTCAAGGTGCTCCAGAGTCAACGCATAGTTGAGGATATCACCGTCAGAAGGGCCAGTAGCACGCTTGGTAGGGGCGGCAGAGGCGAGAGCTGCAAGAGCAGTGGCGGCGAAGAATGTGGACTTCATGTTGAATAGCGAGTGAAGTGATTAGAGAGTTGGGTAAAGACTCGTGAAGATGTGTTGATGAAGTGATGATTGAACTTGCTGGATGAAGCACAATGAGGAGTCTGGCTTCAACGTTTTTATATCTTTGCCTTTCATCTCCACCGTCTTACTACCCCTCTCCAACGCATCCAGCCCATGTCCATCATCATTCCACTAGCATCGTTACTTACACCGGCCGCAACTGGCCCTTCTCCATCCCCAAGCCATCGGAGCTACTCCCATCCGGCCTCTACAAAGAGAAATGAGCAATGGCGATCTCCGCAACTGCTGCTCCCGCTCTCACGCACCAGGGCATGGCTAAAGTTCGAAGAATTCGGCCGCATTTGTCATGTAAGCGTCGTGCCCGTTGTCAAGCCTCAAGAATGTCGATGAAGTTAGTCGTTAGCGGCAGCCTTGTCGAATCGAGACTAACCCCGCAAAGTGTACCACGGATCGTTCACTTTCCGGAACGGTAGCTGCTAGCGTGCAGCTTGAGCTTAGCATGACGTTACCGTGCTAGCTGAAATAGGGGAAATGTGTTTTGGGCCAAGCGCGGTGTAACCAATAAGACCGGCAGTTTTGGCTTGCTTGCGGCCTGTCAAGCTTTTGCGGCGTTCGCTTAGGCCAGGGACAAGTTGTTTCCGAGAATTATAGATGACGAGATACACCTAGAAGTGCCGTGGAAAGACGTGATCCGATGATGGGAGCGTGGAATTGCTGAGTTAGGACATGAAGTTTTTTAGTCTGGTCGACATGGATATTACTCCAAGACAAGGCACGGGAGGAAGCTTTGGGCACGAACATGTCAGAAGAACGGTCGGTCAGTGACAATTCACGATTGCGATAGAGTTCGGAGATGGTAAGATTGCATCTCCAAGCTCGCACCGAAGTTGCGCCTGCAATTTCACATACTCCTGATTACCTACAAACACCATTAGTTCCTCAGGCTCAGGACTATACTCCGCCGCCCGAAAATCAATAACGCTACGAACTAAGACACTCACACTACAAAACACAATCTCCCCTGCATCGGCCCGTCTATGGGTAATGGCACTAGGTAACCTGACTTGGATTCTGGGGCAAGGAAAAAAAAACAAAACGGTACATTCCAGTCCCCGCCTTTCCCTCTTCGGCATGCTCTCCATCCGTCAGCACCCAACGCGGCACCTGGCCATGCGCCGGAAACGATAGTACCGAGCGCCACACAAGCCTTGTTTGCGACCGACAAGTGATGCCACGGGATGATTTGGGATATCAGCGGGTTGGTCATTCCTTTGAGGTAGTGCAGGGGGGCGACATGTAGGAGGGAGGGATACTTCAAGTCGAGGCTCTCTGCACGTTTAAGATACCTTGAAAGAAAGTTTTTGAAAAGCGCCAAAGTCTTCACTCTCGTTCACATTACATCTACTGCACTACATTTGAGTCACTCCAAACCAAATCACCACAAAATCAAGATGAAGTCCTTCACTGCTGTCGCCGCTGTGCTCTTCGCCAGCGCCGTATCTGCGTAAGTAACTCTTTTACTTCATTTCTCCACCTGTTGAAGTTGAGCGCTGCCTGCTCAGTTTCACTGCAAGTGGAGCACCGCGCATGTACCTTCATTATTTCTCAGCTGTACTCTCGTCTCAATTGAGTTGAGAACCGTGCATGCATTTCCATTCTTCCCGAACTTGACTTCTACATGCAACCCTCAACTCGATGCGAGTTGAGCGCTGCACGTGTAAACCATCTCCTTCTCCCTCTCGTACCGCACATATGCTTCCTTATCTCTCTCTACACTACAACCACACCTCCACAATACTAACTCCCACCCAGCCAATACAACGCCACAACCCCCACCCCCACAGCCGCCATCTCTACCATCAAGATCACTCCCGCCTGCCCATCCGCCCCTGCCGCCGACGTGCAAGTCACCCGCTCCGGCGTCGTCGTGCCCACCTGCGAGGCCGGCTCCGGCTCAAACGCCACCAAGCCCACCATCATGACCATGCCCGGATACGGCATGAAGCCCAGTGGCAATGCTACTGCTAGCGGACCGCCAGCGCAATTCACTGGTGCCGCTGAGGGATTGAGGATTGGAGGCGTTGCGGTTGTGCTTGGTGGACTCGCTGCGTTGGTTTTGTAGATCGGGGGTGTGAGGGAGGGGAGATGTGTTTGATACCTAATTTTGAGAAGAGGAGTGGTGGTGGTTGAAGCTATTGTATTGTTAGGGGTGCGACAAGATACCTTGAATCGCTGAATATGGTGGATAATGTTAATTCTTATTGGATCGAATCCAAACCACGATGATACATATTCACGCTCGTTTGCCTCACTATCCCGTCTTTCAACAACACCATTCTCCTCACTCCAACTCACACTCACGCAAGTCTAGCAACCCATCAATTCATCAGGCAGGCTGTATTGTACAAGCAACCTCCTTTGGTACACGCAGCATGCATCTGGTCTCCACCGACGACATACACCATATGTCTATGTTCTACCGCCTCCGTTGCACCCCCATAACCCATTGCGTTGCCCACTCTCTTCCAACATCTATCTCCCTCCCCCCAACCGGACTCAGGCCCACACATCCAGCAATCCAGACGCACTACCTATCGAATCAACAGCCAACAGTTATATCGTAATGTCTAAGCGAACTATACCAATGCACGCGGAACCCATTTGTTTACCTACAGTAACTCGCCGCCTCGGTCGCATCTGACCATCTCATATTCCATCACCCATCGTTTCTCAATACAGTCTCACTACCCACTCATGCAGGCACAGCCCTGCGATCCAGAACGCACCATCTCACCATCATCCCCATCACGGTGTCTAAGCGAACTCTATCAGTGCACGCGGGACGCAAGTGTTCGCCCGCATCGACCACCCCTTAGCCCAGACCAAATTTCCACATATGCACACACTACACACCCGCACCACCGGGTCCGCACGGTGGATGCATGGGTAGAGTTCCAAATCACGTTTTTTTTCTTCCGCTTTGGACATGACGCTGCTGCGCCTGGAAGACCTCGCTTCGGGTTTGCAAGCGACCGTCGTTAATTGATGGATGACCAGCGTCGGCAGTTTGATAGGGTGAAGTTGCAGACTGATACCATTCGTGACCATTTCCCTCCTCACTTTCTTGACAACCATCGTGTCGTCTAGCTTCCTTCCTCCCGACAACTTGTCGCTTCTTCGTCGCCAATCTCTTTGTGATCGTTGCCACCGTCAAGGTTCGTGTGTCGACATGCCCATTGATCTCAGCATCATAGATATGCTTCGTTAGTACTGCTATGCTCTAACTCTTCCTTACAACAAGACTGCGAGATATTGTAGGTCGCATACATGTACCTAGTGGAATGCTGCACAAGTCAAGTCAACGAACATATTTTGCCTTTACTCTCATATCACTAGGCGTAAGCAAAATTCCTTCCAACCTTTTCTGCCCCCTCACCTCTTTCTTCTCCATAGTCTGTATACATTCAAAGACCCTCTATACAACTATGTGCAAGTATACTTCTCACAGCTGCGTATGTTTTCATGACACCTTTAAGCTTACATCAAGAAGACACATAGCTGTAGATGCTGCAGACCGGGCACGAGTTTCTTGCTGCTGCCTGTCTGGTGTTATGAATTCAGACTTTTACTTCGCGGCGCTGGTGTAACCACTCCTCTTTGCGTTTGAGGCGAAGAGATATTGGAACTCGCGGGTGCGTATCGAGCGCCGCACAAGTCGAGCAAACGAACGTCTCTTGCTTTTTTTGCTCATGATATCATCGAGTAAGCACAACATGTACGATATCGAAAGTAGGCCGAGAGCGCAACACTTCGTGCCTGTTCTTTGCGCACTGGAGCGAATAGTATGTCGTAACGATAGCTCATGCTGTTTATTTTCAAGGTTTTCTCCACAGGTTTGATCCGGTCTAATAGGCTTTTGAAGCTATACAAGGTGGCGTTACTGGGAATTGTCTCTCAAGGAGGTCGTAAGTCATGAGCAGAGCAGGCACGTATAGTAGCAGCACCTGTACGGATATGATATATACCATTGGCATTCGATATTCCTACCACACCAGTGCGGTTCTATCTACACTATCAGCGCTAGCAAAAATGCTGCTAAGCCACTGAAATAACCATGCTATGCCCACCAGAGATGGCGTTTCCCTCCTCTTGTGTGACCGAAACCTGTCCCAATATCATATACACAGTCCAGGATATTCCGGTCCTAGATAGAATACAAGAAAAATTCGCACTCGGCCCCTGCACATGTGTTCCTTTGTACAAAAAGGGCAAAAAGAAGATGAATGTGCATGCTCCGAGCAGATCCAGGACCAAAATTGCGCAAAATAGCAACGCCGCCCAAACGCCGCCTCATGCAATGTCGTTTCGAAAACAAGATGTACGCGCGCTCGCTCGATTAAAATGATGGTAGTGACTGCCCGGCACAGTCGGGGATCTTCAGACCGGGCTTCATGTTGCGATCAATGTCCATGAGACCCCATTTATCTTCCCAATTTTTGCCGGGTGAGTTGTATCGGTCTTTCCAAGGTTCATCGAATGCGGAAAACCTATCAATTAATTAGTACGACGTGATAGATGAGGCCGACGGATCGAGGTTACTCACCAAAAGTACTCAGTCCCGTTCTTCATGCTGGGGCAAACCCAGTCCTCCATGAACTGGTTGAGCTCATCAACACCAGCCACGGAGCCTCCAGTGCATTTATCAGCACCACCACAGCTGGTACCACCGCCCGAAGGCCATCCAACCTCAGCAATGACTTGCTTAATATTCTGGCTGCTTGCGGTCAGGGCGACGTCGTGCGTGTTCCAAAAGTTCCAGGTCCAGCCGGCAGCTTGCTTGACGTCGACTCCCGCGAAGAAAGGATGTACGTTGGACATGACAATATCGACCTTGGTAGCCATGTCGCTGGTCCAGTTGTCGCCGAGATCGGCCATAGCGACAGGCAAATCGCACTTGTGGGCAGTGATGTTCTTTCTGAAGTCTGATACGTGCCCAAGCAACTCGGTCGCGCTCATGTCCTTCCGATATAGAACCTCGTTACCAATGATGATGCCCTTGAAGTAGTCGCAGCCGTAATCGTCGAGGATCGTCCATGTCTGGTCAATCTGTCGTTGGGTGGTAGTGTCGTTGCTGTCTAGCCATACACCAAGCCAGATCTTCATCGTGTCCTTGATCTCGAGGCGTTCGATAGCGTGGATGAGCATCTGCGTCTGGTTGCAGTCGGTTCCGTACAATCGGACGGAGTTTGTCAGTTGCGACATGACAGCCATGTCACGGGTAATGTTGTTCTGCGAAGGTCCAACATGCATACAATCGGGATACTGAGAGTTGAGAGGAGTGTAGTCCATGCCCGGGAACACCTTGTGCAGATTTTGGTTGTTCATCAGCTTCTTGATTTCGTCCGAGTTAATGCCGAGGTCGTTCTTGTTGTCGTTGGCAACGTCGTTTGCAGACTGTGCGCTGCCGTTCTTTCCGCTGTGACTGCCACCCTTGTTCAGCAGTGCGCCGAGCACACCGCCGAGAATGGCGCCGAGCAGGATGACGGCGATGACGATGATGGCAATCCACATCCTCTTCTTGCGCTTCCTGTGGTCAGCCTTTTGCCATGCGGCCTTCTCCTGGAGGAGTTCTGGGTTGCTGCTGTTGCTGCCGGCGATGGTAGGCACAGCATTGTATTTGCCGCTGTCGTCGCGTGTTGCGGCATATGCACCTCCGGCGGCGGCGGCAGCACCGACGCCAGCGACTCCAGCGTTTATCGAGGAACCTGGTGATCCATTGCGGCTGCCGTCTCGTGACGCACCCATGGGCAAGAAAGAGCGTCGCTTGTTCTCCTTGGTCTGTGGCGAGTTGGGGCCCATGCCCCAGTCATCATCGTCAGCGACTTCGTTGGGGTTGATGGTGCCCATGTCGCGGGCGAGGTCGAGGTGGGTCGACGAGTAGCGGTTGTAGGGATTGTCTGAGTACGGGATGCCCTGAGGTGCCGGGGGCCCGCTGTGCATTGAGCTGCTACTCGAGTACATTCCAGCTGAGCCAGCCATAAGAGGTGCGCCTGAGCCGTAAGAGCGCTGCGAGTACATGGCTCTTGGCGGGGTGGGCTGGTCGTAGGCGTGGTGGTCGCTGAAGGGCGTTGCTGGGACACCTCGCTCGGGCACACCCATTGGACGTGCTTGAGGGCTTCCCCAGCCGTCAACGCCTCGCTCGCTCAGGTTGTCGGAGCCGGGTGTCACGCCGGGCATCGAGTAGTCGGAGTAGTTGTTGGGATCAACATACTGTCGCTGGCCGTGTTCTTGTCGGAATTGACTGTCCGGGTGCATGCCTACAGGCTGGCGATGCGCGGGCGGTGGTGGCGGAACGTCGTCGCCGGCATCGTCAATGGGCGAGACGTCGCCGGGCTGGTTCCAACGGCCTGGCGGTGGTTGCTGGTATGCCATTGCGGTGAGTGTGCGAGGTGCAGCCCGCAGAGAAGGCTGCGAGTGCGGGAGGAGCGAAAGTTGGGCGACGCTGAGGGCCGGCGTGGATGGCGGTGCGCCGCTCGCTGCACGGTGTGGATCTCGATGCGGAGCCTATTGCCGGTCTTGATAGTGGTGCTACCACGGAAAGCGAGGCGGCGGCAGTGCGGGTGATTTCGCAGGCAGCGCGCAGGCAGCAGGCAGCAGGCAGCTCAATCAAAGGACGTATGTACAGCGCAAGCAATCGCAAATGGCACAGCGTGAATGGGTGTGGAGAGTACAAACGGTCGAGACGTGGAGGTTTTCCTTGTTGCAGCAACGGACCGGGTAGAGCGGTTGGTTGCGACTGCTAGTTGCTAGGGGGAGGCTAGCTCCAAAGGCTGGGCTGGTGAATACGTCAGAATAGCCAACCAAGATGTTGCCGCTGCCAACCTCTCCAGCACCTCAACAGCCAGCAGGCAGTATTAGCGGCGGGGTCACTTCCTTCGAGTGCCGCGATGACACGACGAGAGACGCACAGTTCGGCTGCGGTGTCTTCTGCGGTGTTCATCCATCTGCTGTACGCGACATGCGTCGTTCAATATGCACCGCCCTGTCTGCTTACGCCTGCCGTTGCCAGATGCAGAAACCAAAGCCTTGGCTTTCTCGCCTGTGGTGATGCAGCCGCGAAGGATGCTGGCCCACCCGTTGGGAGCTCCATTATTCATTTGCCCTATCTATCGAAACCTGTCTGCCTTGATCGTGCCAAATGGCATCCTGCACCGCGTTCTCTCTGACGTCGCAGTGCTGTTCAAACGTCGTTTCACAATTGTGTTTGTAAAGACCATCGCGTCTTCTACTTGGGGCCCTAGTCCCTCCACCCCCCATCGTTGCTATTCCTAGCAAGTCCGTCGTCAGCCTTCGCGCCTTCCCAACACGAAGTGCCTGTCCGCCGGTCTTCGTTTAAGGCTTCGCATCTTGCCACTGGTCCTCCACCCCTCTCGTCGGTGCCATTGTGCAGGGTCACTCGCAATCTTCCTTTTGTCACTCTTGCGCCCAGCATGTCGGCCCTGCGCGACACCGAGTACAACCTTCCGATCGTGAAACGCGTCACGGCCGATCGACATCAGACCCGGGTCGTGAAACAATGTGCAGCAGCCCTACCTGCTCCTAGCATCCATGGCCATATTCTCTCGTAGATCCATATCCAAAGCACAATCTCCCTTTATTGTCGTCGATTTTGCCGAAGCAGATTGGACTCTCGCGTACCATCCCTCAGGATCAAAATCCCATCTCACCCTGTCACTCCTTTCTGCCTTCCTTTCCTTGTACAGGTCCGCCCCTTACTTGATCGCACAAACATGTTCCCGAATTCCGGGCATTATGTTGTGCAGGCCTTCCCGTTGAGCCGCATTTGACGACCTGCATCAACTCAGGCTCGTGTCATACACAATTCGTGACTACGACCGTCTAGTCTACATATACAATCACACTCACCAGCAGATCAACTTCAAATCATTGTTATCGAATAATTACGCTCATAGCAGCGTGCGCCCGTTCATTACTAGAGATTCACAGCGTCGTCACAAAACACTTCGCATCTAATGATGTGCATCTGATGGTTATGTGAAAACACGACATGAGTGCACGGCATTTGCTATTCTACATTCCAACCAGGACCAGCTACACGACCATATCACATATGTGGCTTCTTGATACCTCGCACTGCTGCATTTTTAAGCCCTGCCACCTTCTTCTTGGGATTTCTGGTTGAACGGCCAGTGCTTCAATAGCCTTTCAGATGACCGTGGGATGTACAACCTTGAGAACACCAGTTGGATTGTTCGAGTCTCGAACGCACTAATTGTCGATGAGACAGGAAGTGCTGGAGCAGAATCTGGTTCGACATTAGACTAGAGCTGTCCAGCCAAATTCCGCCCAGTCGGTCAAATCCAAATAGTCGAGCATCAAAAGCGTAGTCTCCCAACACTAGCATCTCACGTAAGAATCATTAGTGTCTCAGTGACGATCTCCGAACCAAAGCACAACCACGCGCCCGCCAAGTAGTGCCATCTGCGGGGAAAGGAATGCTACACAAACGCCCCCTCTGATCCCTAGCCAGAATACCAAACAATACCACAACCTTGGACACACTACACCGCGTCCTCTCCTTCCACCAAGCAAAAATGTCCAACAAGCCGCTACCCCCCAAACCCAGGAAGGACTCGACGCAGCAATCACCACCGCCCAAATACGCACTACCCCATGCCGTCCCTTGCACCAAAACTCCGAGTCGATCCATCAACCTCTCAAATCTCCCTACAGAAATCCTCTTCCAAATAACATCCCACCTCCGCCCCCCTGCTCCTGCACCACTCCTCCCCTCCCGCTTCGACGGCCCCGAACGCATCGCCTACGTGCGCTCCGCCTGCCCGCTCGTCGCGCTCGCACTAACCTTCCGGCGCCTGACGCCCATCGCGCAGGAAGCCCTCTTGCATACCATCGTGCTGGGCGGCTTTGATGGCCTGCCTGCTCTTGTCGCGCTGTTGCGCTTTCTCATGCTCCGCCCGGATATGCGCGTGCATGTCAAGTATTTACGCCTAGGCTTACCTCCCGAGAGATGTTTGTACTTCAAGAGTGAGAGGGATAGGAGGGGGGAGAGGATTAGTGCGCGGGTATTTGGGAGTGTGCCGGGGGAATTGTGGGATGGGGTTGTGCGTGTTGTTGAGCGGGCGGGGGTGGGTGCAAATGTAAAAGACGTATGGATGGAGGAATTGAGGGCGAATTTTGCGCGGCCGATGTGTGGGGGTGCTTGTTGTTTTGCTGGATGTTGAGGGCCTTTCGGTAGGGCATAGTTTGGGAATGACGAGGAGGGAGAGTGTGCTTAGGGAGATGTTTGGGTGTGGGAGGGTGCGTGGGGAGGTGGATTTGAGGGGAGTGAAGGGGTTGAAGGGGTTGGAAGGGGGAAGAGGACTGGTATTGCCGGCATTGGTGGATGGGAAGTCGAAGGATGGTTGGTGGTGAGATGGTCGTGTTGGGTCAGTGCGGTTGATGGATTTGACGTTGATGTTTGTTGAGATTGATTTTGATGATGTGAGGTTGACCGTGGCATCCATGTTAGGTTGTTTCATTGATGCGTACAGACGATTTGTACGAAACAACATCATTTCCCGAACTGGATACAACGTCAGTTGGTCCTTAAAAGACTCTTGATCGTGGACATGTTCAGAGCCAAATTTCGACAGCCGATCTCTCAAGATGTTCAAGCTCCTGACCCTTTTGACGTTTTGCACGGCAGTCATCGCGACCTTGGACCCGGCGACGTCCAATTCGAAAGGCAAAGCTCCGTCTGCTCCAGCATGTTCACGTACGTCATTTTCATCTCTTTAGTCCTCCTGCCATTAGCTGACAGTTTGCAGCCGTGAAAGTCAGCAAGGCAATTCAAGCCGCAGAATGCAGCCACAACACGCGCACCAAAGCCCAAACTTTTGCCGTGTTCAAGCAGGATCATCAGTACGACAAGAACCACGGCGCTCCGTATGGGACATGTGAGGCGTACAACTGCGCACCGGGATCGAAAATGACAACAAGCACGGATTCTTGGACGTTCTTCTGGGCGGCTGCAGGCGTGAAGGGAAATCAGAGTGGCGAAGGTGCAGGGTGCATCAAAAGTCCCAAGGACGGAACCTGTGGATGTGAGAACTCTGATGGAACGTTTGTGTATGGTGGGAAGGATTGCAAGTAGTCTAGCTGCATCCGGACAAGATCCCAGAAACAGGAGTCGGATAGCGACTTCCAACACAACACACACCTCCGAACATGAACAAGTCTTGAGCCGCGATTCTCCAGCGCCACAGTAGAAGCAAACCTCTTTGCTGCCTAGCCGCTCCGTCCCCAAGGTTGCGTTCTACACGCTAGCCAAGATCATCGAACGCCCGAAGAACAACACAAGCCCCTTTCCCTCTCCGCTCCCAAGCACTGTGTTTCCACTGTGATGATACCCAGAACCAATGACAATATCCCAGTACGGAGGAGCACAAGTCACGTCCATTGAACGTTCACTTGGCACCAACTTCTAGTATGCTGATCCCGGTCGTGTCAAGTACCAAGCCATTCGACAAGTCGGAACTCGGAACGCAGATTCGCTTGCAACCTTCTTGAAGTGACGAGGTTGCCAACGTTGCCAATATCCCAAGCACGAATTCAGGTATCCAGGTCGAGGCGAGGTCGCTGATAGCGGCGCCTTTCACTAATGAGATGAGGAGCGTTATCATGTTGTTGGGCACGGCGTATGCTGTGGCTTGGAATTGGAGGTATAAGACGCCCTGAGGCACGCCAGGAACCTGGTTCAGTTGATCCGGTTCCACTTTGCAGCGTTTATCTCGTCTAGTATTTCTGTTCATCATGGGCGAAATTGAAGAGGTTAGGGAGACTCAGAGGCCGAGGGATGGGTCCACGAGCTCTCCTTCTTCCAGCGACAAGACTGACATTCCTGCTGGACCTGGCATGCACGTTGCTCAACCAGAGAAGAAGACGTTCTGGCAACGTGTTAAGGAGCCTGGTTCGGTATGGCAAATCATCTTTGCAGCGCTGCTGGCCATCGCTATTGGCCTCATCGTCACCACGCAAGTTGAAAACATCCATCCGGCTGCCATCGCCATCACTGCTATTCCAGGAACACTATGGCTTCGCGCGCTCAGAGCTGTCGGTACGTTTATTCTCAAATTCTCTTGCACGTTTGTAATACTAACATGATCAGTCCTCCCAATGATTGTGACGGCCATGATCATGGCCATTCAACGCCTCCGCGCCATGACCCAAGGCGGCGGCAAAGCCGGGAAACTCGCTCGCTGGACCATTGGCTACTATGTCATCACCACCATCATTGCTGTCGCGCATTCTTGCATCCTGGTTGGCCTCGTCTGGTCCAAGCTCATGCAGACAGTCAGCGGCGACCAACTCGAAGTTGCCGAGGACGACCAAGAAACCATTGATGAACGAAAAGACGTGGCCATCCACGCTGTCGTCGTGGACATGTTCAACTCGCTCGTTCCACAGAACATCGTCGATGCCTTGGCGACAGACAGCTTGCTCGCTGTCCTCGTCACAGCCGTTGTCATCGGTTATGTCATCAAGCCCGGCGGTGCACTCATGCGCGCCGTCGAGGAAGTCGAGGTGATGATTATGCGCATCATCACCGTGTTGATCTACCTCGCGCCCATCGGTGTCTTCTTCCTCATCATGCCCAACCTCTTCCGTCTTGACATTGCAGAGATTGGACTGAATCTGGGCGTCCTGATCGGCGGAACGCTCGTTGGCATGGTGTTGCACCTGTTCATCATCATACCTATCATTTTCTTCTGTATCACCCGACGGAACCCGTACACGCTTTGGATGAGGTGCTCGCCAGCGTGGATTACTGCTTGGGGAACTGCGTCGTCGGCGGCTACGCTGCCCGTCACTATTCGGTGTGTTTTAGAACAAGGAGTACCGGTTACAGTAACTAAGTTTGCTGTTCCCTTGGGCTGCCTTATCAACATGGATGGGACGGCCATCTACTTCCCCATCGTCGTCGTCTTCCTTGCAGCTACACAAGGCATCACACTCAATGCAGCCGACTACATTGTCGTTGTCCTGCTGTCCACACTTGCTTCGATCGGCACGACGCCCATCCCCAGCTCCAGTCTTGTTCTCACAGTCATGATTGCCAGCAGTGTCGGCATCCCGATTACGGGTATGTATGCTGTTGTTGTGGCTATCGATTGGTTCCTCGACCGCTTCAGGACGGCGGTGAATGTCAGTTGCGACACTTTTGCAGCGGTTATTGTAACGAAGATCACGGGGATTAGAGATGAGGAGGGTGAGGCGGAGGCTTATACTGAGGAGCTTAACAACGGCCCGCAGCTGAGGGACGATGTCAAGGTGTAGAGGCTTACGATCACATGTTTTACATTTAGTAAGCGACCGGTATTCAAAACGTGACATTTTACTCTTGAGAGGGAATTTGTTGAGTATCTACTCGTGAGGTTTAACTTCATGGATCCACTGATCACCTCTAACCACACAAAGACTTCGTCATGAAGTCAATCAATCTCGGAACGCTCTGGCGCGTGTCATCATACAAGTCAACATGCCCCTTCCCCTCAATCACAAACAGTTCCTTCGGCTCCTCAGCGCGCTCCATAGCCACCCTACTGTAAACCCCGGTAGCCGCATACCCCGTCCCCTTCTCCGCCTCACTCCCAATAATCATCAACAGCGGCCTCGGCGCAATCCAATCAATAAACGCAAACGAATCATAAGTCGCCAACGTATCCAAACTCCTCACCATTTGTAAATTCGTACATCGAGGATGCCGCCCCCGGTCTGTCCTGTAGTACTCCTGGCCCCCCACAAACGTATCCATGATATTGACCGTCATCGGCTGGCTGCCTTTCGCTTCAGCGATGCGGTCTTTCCCCGCATATACGAGGCTCTGATGAAGCATCTCTCGATCGACCGCGCCAGAGCGGTCTTTCATACTGTTGCGCGTCATTGCTCCAATGCATACTCCACACACAGTCGCCACGGCCTTGATGCGCAGGTCCGTTTGCGCCGCAAATATCGAGTATCCGCCTGAAGCACATATCCCCAAAACACCAATGCGCTCGGGATCGACCTCGCCATCCAGAGTGGACAGAAACGTCACGGCGCTCCTGAAGTCCTCGACGCGTTGGTACGGGTCTTCGAGGTAGCGCGGTTCGCCGCCGCTCTCGCCTTGATGCGCGGCGTCAAAGGCAAGAGTTACGAAGCCGTTTTCGGCAAGGGAGCGGGCGTAGAGGCCAGATGCTTGTTCCTTGACGCCTGTGCCAGGATGGCCGACGATGATGGATGCTTTTCTGCGGTTTGGGGCGGTTGGGGATGGGAGGTACACATCTCCGGCGATGGAGATGCCGCGGCTAGAGAAATGGACTTTACGGACTTTAGACATTGAGGGTGGTGGGTGAAGGAGGGATGCTTGTAGTCGGGCGTGAGTGATGAGGTAAGAGATGGAGGAAGTGTTACTGCTTCTGATGATATTCTTCGAATTCAAAGCAACGCAGACCATACGTACTTATACAATTATACAATCTTATGGAGATAAGAGTCTTGCCCTTGAGGCCGTTTCGGCTGTAGGATGATCGGGCCTTCGAGACCTTAGTGTGGTTTTCGGACGAATTTGGGTATCCCTAAAATCTTTAACTTTTCCGAGACCGCAGAGTCCCCCGCCCTGAGCATTTGATGTCCTGGTAGTCTCTTATACGTACCGTATTATCTGACGTTGAATACCCATGGGCTAGTATAAGCGATCTTACCACAACAACCCCCTAGACCTTGAAGGCATCCATAGCAACGTTTCGGGTTTCGCTAATAGTCTAAAACCTGACTGCTAACTACCTCTAGCCTTGACCCAAAGTCTTCAACGTCAGATAATACGGTTCCCTTGTTGTGTGCGGAATGACCACGTGCATATACGTAGAACGAGACTGTCATCCTCCTAACCTTCCACTTTCATGACGTCTTGAACTTACACTGTGAAACGAGAGATTCAATACCGACTTTTCCTGCAAATATAACTCACTAGTCATATGACAGTCGACCCTGAATGTAATGAATGTCTCTTTACATCGTTCGTACTCCATCAATACGTCTAAGCTATACCAAGTTTATGTACCAACGACGACACATGCCTCTTATGTAAAACCCACAGGCTCCAACCCTCACACCAAACATAATCCAAACAAGATATACCGAAGAAAACAAACTCCAACACCACGCTTAGCATCCGCCCCAGCACACCCCAGCGCCGAAGCTGCCCGCGCAAAATCCAAGCAGAACTGCCCCTTGCCCTCCAGTCTACGAATCAAACACTGCCCCATACGCCGCACCCCCATGCCCCTTAACCTCCGCCACAACCTGGTTCGTAACCTTCTTATTGCTCACCACCATGACCGCCTCGATATTCTCCTTCTCCGCCAAATCGCGTGCTTCAAACGCCATATCCGGGCGACCGGTTCTCGAGTCGAAAATGCGCGGCGCAGGATCAACCGCGCGGATCATGTCTTGGACGAATTCCCAGTGCGGCGCGTTGGGGTCGTAGACGCACCACATGACTCTCACAACACGTCCTTGGGATCGCATGCGCGCGATGGCGGGCGAGGAGAGGAGCGAGAGCATGGGGCCGATGCCTGCGCCGGTGGCGACGAGGAGCAGCGAGTTGAAGACGGGGCAGAAAGCGAGGAAATTCGCAGCCGGGGGGTTGCGGATCCAGATTGTCGAGGGCGGGGCGGAGATGATGCGCTTTGTCCAGTCGCCGGCGGCGGAGATGATGATGTGTGCGGAGAGGCCGTCGGGGCTGGGGATGGTGGCAAAGGCGTGCCATTCAATGACGGGGGAGAGGCTGAAGCGGCATGTCGATGTGTAGGGCATGTTGGTGAAGGGAAATGTGAGTTTGACTTCGCGGCTGGAAATGGATTGGGCGGTGATGGCGACGCGGCGGATGCGAAGCCACGGGAGGATGATTACCAGGGTTGCGGCTGTGAGGAGCCAGATGGACTTGCTTTTGTACAAGGGGGTATGGCTGGGTTCGATTATGGTGGTGATGCCGGCATTGATCCAAAGGACAGCCAGCGATAGCCAGCCACCAAAGCGATGGATGCGCTCGAATTGATTGTGTATCTTCTCCCGGAGGTGTGGTATGGCTGTAAGGCACATCGCAGCGATGAAGACGAGGAACACGTAGCATGTAATGATATCTGCCCAATGCCAGTTTGTCATTCCTCCGTACTGCGCCGCCGTGATACAGCTACGTGTATTGGCGTACACAAAGACGCAGTACCAGAGCAACGCCGATACTGCACAGCCAATGTGTATGCCGCCATAGTGATGGAAGTCCGCGATGACTTTGCGTAGTCCCAATGGTGTGCTCGAAGGTATGCGCGCAATGAGGCCGAAGCTCAGGTTGATAAGATCCTCCTGTCGAACGAGGATGGAGATGAGGAGATTGGCAGCGGTTGCAACGAGGACATTAGGTCGAGGAAGTTCGAGCTTAATCAACAGACCCAGTATGAGTGCGTTAATGACCAACGTGATGGCGACAAGGACACGGTAGGCAGTGAGCCAATGGAGACGCCATCGTTGGAGACGGCTCGCCCTGACCCCTGACTCCACGGAGCGGCCCGATGCTTGGTTCTGTGCCTCAGTGTCCTCCTTGTATGTGGCAATTGCCGACTTCTCGGTTGACATTACGAGTATCGCTCCTTTGTCCTGCTCCGACGAGATGGTCGTGAGCCCCAGCCTGAAAGCATTGCTAGAGTACGCAATGGCTTTTTCACCGCTCGGAGACTGATTTGAGTCTGCTCTTAATCTCTTCTGACCCATGTCTAAGTCATTGGGAGAGGGATTTCCCAATGGAGTGTTCCCCGAGCCATCCTCCACAAATGAGGCTAGCGTCTCTTGGGAGACCTCTGGAGATTTGGTGGATTCGAGTGTCTGTGTCATTGGATACTTCGAGTTGCGGGGGTGAGGTTGAGTATCCCTCGTGTTGTGGGGTCGTTCATCATTGTTGGGAAACTGTGAACATTTACCTTGGGTAGAGCGAGCTACACTGTATGGGAGCAAGTGACGTAGGGAGCCCATGATTGTCCATGAACGAGGCTGTGAAAGTATCTCCAATGGCGTCATCTCGGTTGAGAATTTGCGGACGAACAGGATGCGATGCAAAGGTGAAAGTTTGACCTATCTCTGCGGCTTTTATGCATTGTGTTCTCACCCATCACAGAGTCGACAGCAAACACCCTAGGCCGGACAATGTTCCACGTTCGGCCAGAGCTAAAATGGTACTCGAAGTGGGCACTTGGATTCGACAGCTGCATGAATGGATACTTCGATCTTCGCTTGAGCCCGGGATATCAGGAAAGTATACCGCAGCCCCAGTGGTGCACTCCGGGTCCCGGGTAATCCATTCCACTCTTCTATCTTGATCTCCCGTTGTCAAAATAGAGCCACGCACATCGAGGATTAGCCAATGGGTACAGCTAGATTGATTCGACAATGCGAGGCTGGAGTCAACTGGGGCTGAAAGGATGAGCGGCGCTTACCGTGCCGCAACGATAGCACGGCTATATCGGGCATACCACGCCACACAGCCGCAGCTCGGCTTATCCAAGACCTTTGCGTCGATGCGTTTGCTGGGTTGATTCTCATCTAAAGCGGCTAAAGAGGCCCTCTTCCAACGGAAGAAAGGCGTTCACATTGTTTGAAGACGTCGGCGGTAGACCAGCCAAGAGTCATGTGTGAATTGAAGTCTGTCCTGGTTAGCGTCAGCTGCAGCAGGGAAACCCGCCTCAACAAATCCACTCGATTGAATTCCTAGCATTAGTGCTTCTGCCATCCTTCCTGTCAGAAGAGGCAGGCCGTGAGATTGTAATCAAGAAAGATGCATCGCGCTGTGCTTGGCCGCATAAGCGCTGCGCAAAAGCATGCACTGATTCAGGTGCAGCAAAGCCTTCGTTAAACGCCATGTAGGTACATCAGAAGAGGAAATAGATGCACGAATGGCGTGTTGTTGAACGAGATGCAGCTGTCGGAGTGTAGAAGGCGGTGAAGTTGTATACTCCAAGTTCAGCTGTCATCCAAGGTGCATGATGCAGAGTTCCATCAAAGGTTGTTCACATGGGTGATGGCGGACACGCTGTCATGTAAAGGATGCGATCTAATGTGGTAAGAGTTCTTTACCATTCCTAAAAGACAAAGTTCCGCGAACTTAATCAAGTGCTCTAGACGCTTTAAAAAGTGGGATACTCCAAAAATCGTGTAGATCCTCTCAGTGCAGATGAACTGTCCCGGGGGAATGGGTACGGGACGGAGACGTGACTCGAGACCTTGGCACATCTGGTATCAGAGACTCGTAAGAAAGTACAAAATCTCCTCGACAACCCTCTGAGGCTGCTCCTGTTGTGGCCAATGCCCAGCGCCATCGATCAACTTGACACCTCTGAAATCTGAGCATGACTTGGGAAAATCTTCGAAGGCTCCAGGTTGTTGATAATTGCCCCAATCCTGCTTTCCGGAGATGAAGGTACCCGGGCACTCGATTTTTTTCCCAGCGAACAACTCGACGTCTTTCATCTTGGAAGGGTCTGTGGTCGTCCGGTAGAAATTCAGACCGCCCTGGAAGCCAGTCCTCGACCACTCTTGCACGTATACGTCGAGGTCTTCATCTGACATCCATCGCTTCGTTGCAGATGCATCCTCAGAAGCCATCATCTCGAATATCGTCTCTGGCATTGATTTGTCGCGGGGCATGATGTAGTAGTAGGGCATGTTTGCGAGCTCCTCTGCGCTCCACGCTTTTAGTGGGTAAGGATTGTTGGCCTTCCAGTCTGCAGATTTGACGTGAAGATAGCCCCGAAGAAAGTCATGAAGACCTTGCGCTGGAGTTGACCAATCCCGTGCAGCATTTTTCGTGCTGTTGTAATACTTATAATGCTTCCTGGGTGTTCCAAGCTTCGCGAGTTCTGCTTGAATATCGATTGGCTGTGCTGGGTGTTCTCCTTTACCATGTGCTAGATTGAACGGTAGCTCTGGAGGCGCCTTGAAAGGATGGCTCATCATGACGACGCTCCTGAATAAATCTGGGCGCATGAGCGCGCATCTGCTTGCGGTGACTGCTCCAAAGTCATGGCCTACAATGCATGCGACTTTCCGGTAACCCAATGCAAATACCAGCGCAACAACGTCGCGCACAATGCTCGTCAGTGTGAATTGGGACATGTCAGTCTCGCCGAATGGCGAAGTGTCCCAGCCGGTGGTTCGACCATAGCCTCGTTGATCAAAGGCGACAACGTAGTAGCCTGATTCAGCAAGCGCAGGCATGACCTTCCTCCAGGAGAAGGCCAACTCCGGATAGCCGTGGCAGAGAATCAGAAGAGGTTTGTCGCGCTGCGGCGTGTAACCAGACTCTAATATGTGGAAAGTGAGGCCATTGGATGGACAGTGGACGTAGTTTTCGGTGACGCCCTCAGGTAGCGGCAAAGGCGGTAGAGCTTCGCATTCTTTGGAACTTGCCATGTTGTAGGGCTCTCTGCTGGTTGTTGTGCAAATCAGATGAAGTAGCTGTGACGGGCTTGCTAGTAGCGATGATACATGTCATCCGTCCTGCGGAGTCACAATCCGGAAACATTTCCGACATGGCCCAGCACGATGCGAGATCGCCAAGACTCTGGAAACGATGCAGTTCTCAGCCAGGGTCAGTAAGTGCCCACGAGGTGGTCGAGGTTCACTGTTGCTTCGGACGGCGTCACATGACCAATATTCGAGAGAGGGCTTGAGTGGTTCATGGATTCGTGCATTGATCCATGAGAGCATCACCCGAAATTGGGACTACGTCATAGCGGAAGACGCGAAGTCGCTAGACTGCTGCTAAGTCAGGGTGGGACCGATTCGTAGTTTGGAGTCGCCGAATGCAAATCAGGGTCTTTGTGTCTTTGTGCACGAAGAGCTGGAGCTGGAGCTGGAGTCGTGAAGCCGTGCGGCCACGTTCCACGGTTCAGAGTCTCGTAGCTGCTGCACGGTAGACTGACGTGTCGCCGATATTGGATGATGAGTGAAAGGTTGTTCCAGGCTGTTTCGCGAAGGTGTTTAGTTTCCCAGCGAGAGCTCGAAACACTCCTCCCTGGTCAACAGGCAGCCATATCCTCGTGTCGCCATGGAACACATGGACTCGAAGGCGCGCTTTTCTCGATGCGACTTGGGACGTGTTTGACCTTGGTTCTGCGAGTGTCGCAAGTGCACGACGAGTGGCTTCAGGCCCACGGACGTGCCTCTAGGCTTTGCGGCGCTTGTTCGGCCAGGCTGCGCACCGATGCGCCTAACCACTGCGACGGCGCGGAATATGCTTATGACGATCTTTATTCTCCAATGCTTGTCTTGGCCAACAAACATCTAGCTATTGCGTGAGCGCGCATCCTCGTTTTCATTGTCGCGGGCGTCTCTGTTGTACCATTTGCACTTCGAGTGAATCTCCAATCCCTGTCTTACTACCTTCTCTGGTCTTCACCACCCCCAGCACCCTTGTTCCCAGCACTTCCGCTCCGGCACTGACATCATCAACCCCTGCGATATTGCCAGCACACCTCACCAAGCTTTTGCGAGATGCCGTAATAGTCGCAAGACGCATACATAATACTTAATCCAGCATGTTTAGCAAACGGAGAAGGGCGGCCTCCAATCCGGTATGTCCATGTTGAGACCCGCGCGCAACCGCTCTATCGCGCCGATAGGAGGCTTACTGTGACGCGCTGCTAACAAGACATTTTATTGCAGCCTCAGCGAACTACTACAAGCGCGTCGGCTTCTCTCGCAGCATCGCAGGCGTTTCTCAGAGATCGCGAGTCGAATCCGAATCTCTCCAACGCCGCGGCCGCTGCAGCCCTGCGGACCCATGTCACCACACCTCCACCCGTAGGCGACACAGTGACGAAGCGCATGCTGCGGCGCAACTCTGCATCTTCCAACGGCAGCAGCGCATTGCCACAACGCCCCCGCAGCCTTCACAGACAACCTAGTTCGGGGTCTATGACAGAGCGCACCTTCCGCAGCCCATCTCCAGGACGAAATCCGAGCCCCCCGGACCCGAACGCGCCGCCCGTCCCTTCGCTCCCAAAGAACGTGCCGCAGTCCAGCGTTGTGCACCGACGTGCCTCGAGCCTCGAGCCGCTAAATCGCGGAGGCGGAGCATCGCCTTCGCAGCGAGGAAACGGTCGCGGCGTGAGCCTTGACAGAGGCAGCGGGCCAAGCACCGGCGGACGCGGACAGCGCGCGACGAGCAACCTTGCGCAGGTGGTCGAAGACGAACACGACGCCGCGCAGAGGTCTTCCGTCAACTTCTCGCGCCCCATGTCTCCCGCATCAGCGGCCAAGTCTGGCTGGTTTGGCGGTCCCGTCGTCAACCAGGAGGCTGTCAAGAGAGTGACTTCGACCAACACCCGCCCAAACACCTCATCGGGCGTGGCCAGCGCAGACGTGCGCAGCACACAACAGGCAGTCCAGAATGCAGCGACGCGCCCAGTCAGCACCCACCAGGTGTCGCGGAGTGTCCAAGGCTCGCGACTCTCAGGCGGCAGCATGCGAGCGAAGCCCTCTGGAATCGCTGTGGAGTCTAGGTCATTCTTGCAGCCAGCACAGAGACAGCCGGGACCCGTCGATCCAAAATCTCCCGATGCCGTCTTTGACCCGTCCACGCGCACCTTTGTGCACAAAAAAGATGCCATGGCGCGTCATCGCGAGCTGCACGAAGAGCCCGAGCAGCCTCCACAGCACTATGTCGCGCAGCATTTGGAGGAGCACTATTCTCCTCGCGCACCTCAGCCGCTGCCACGAACCCCAAGCCCAGTCGGCCGGCCAGCACAGCGCGACGAGTCGCCCGCGGTGCAGAGAAGGGAAGAGATTGCTCTACCTCGACTAGATACCACTGCACCACCAACTCGAGGACCAAATGATCCCCCAACTGGCATTCCTGCACATGTGCCAGAGTCGGCCGCGAGTGATGTTGCAACAGAGCAAGCGAACACCGGCCGAAAACTCGACAGCACAGCTCAACCGACACATATTGACGTGATGGTCTCGCCAAAGCGGGCACCGAATCAAGATGGAGCATATCCACGACTGTCAAGTCCGCCTGTTCAAACGACTACTAACACTCTGGTTGGGCAGGGTCGCGGCAGTGTACGCCATGGGCATGACCGAGGACAGAGCCTGAGCCCACCTCGAACCGCACATTTCGCTCCCGTCGCTGTGGAGCTTGCAGGTATCAAGCACCAGCCCCCGCCGCGATCCATCTCGCCTGCGAAATCTGCTCTGAAGTCATCCCCGTCAGTCTCGCGGCGAGGAACATCACCGGTGTCTCAGAATGGCCGTCTGCTTGGCAGAGGAACACCTAGCGAGGTATCTGACACAACATCTGATGCTGGCTCCAGCAAGAAGAGGCGAAGTGTACGAGTGAGTTTCGAGGAAGAAGCAGCAGTGGCTGGTACCTCTGCATACGCCGATACTGCAAGTCCCGCCACTTCTTCGGGCCTTGTTGCATCGAAGTGGAGTCCGAAGTCCGAAAAGGAGAACGAATTTGAAGACTTTATGAAGCCACGCCCCGCTCTTCCCTTGTTTGGCAGCATACGGGACAAGGAGAAACGGCCAGTACAAGACGATGTGCCCGAAAAGGTCACCGAGACGGTATCATCTACGCCCATGTCAGCTTCAGTGGGTTCTGTTGGCGAGCCAGTACAAGCTTCTAGTGACCGCGCGATTGCTGGCATTGTCAAGCACGATGTTGCGCAGAAGCAAACGTCGGGCACCGATCCGCTACCGCCTGAGGTCACAACCGTGGAGGGCAGTGGCTACGTCTCAGATTCGAGCGATGACACTGATAGAAGTACTGCTGCGGAAAAGCATGGGTCGATGGACGACTCGTCACAGATATTGTCTGCTCCTGAGCCAAAGTCACTGACCACAGCTCCCGAAGACAAGGCCTCTACGCCATCCTCGATCAAAGAAAATGTTATCGACGTCCCCGATATCGCACTGCTACCTGCTACGCCTAGCCCATATGAAAAACCCGAGCCCACGTTTCAGCCCTTGGTCATCCCCGGAGGCTGGGATGAAAACGTAGTTGAAGCCGGTCGAGAAAGCGAGGTTGCGCCCACGGCGACTGCGAAAGCAGCACAATCCGCACCAGCCGTTCAGCCTACTCAACACCCTACCAATCTGCACGAGCTTATTGCTCGGGACGAGGAGGACTCGAGTGAGGACGACAACAGCAGCGTTTACAGCGATGCATACGAAGACTTGGATGACGGTGGCTTCGCTAGTATCGATGCTGTTGTCGAGAGCCCGGTCGCCTCCAAGTCCTCAGGTCTGATGTTCTCAAGGTATGCAGACAAGACTACAGCGGATAATTCCGGGTTACGGAACGAGACTGTTGTAGATAAGTCTGAACCAGATGCCACATCTAACCAAGATTGGGACACCACGAAACAACACTGGAGTAGCATCAACGAAGCCCGAAAGCAGCCACAAGCGGAGTCGGCTTCTTCCAAGGCCCATACAAGGCTTCAAGCTGTCGTTGCTCCCATCAAACAAGAGCAACCCAAAGCACAGCGCAATGTTGGACCACAGTCTGCCCGTACACAGGGCAAGCCATCAGCAGCACAGTCACAGACCCCCCAATCCTCTCCGAAACCTCTCAAGTCAGCCTTGAAAAAGGCTGCCGTGCCACAGCCAGCTGTACCAGCGCAAACCCAGCCACACATACGGAAGACAATGCGGGATCAGATGCCAAGGGACGATGGAGCCGCACAGCCTCAGATGAGGACTTCCATGAGAGGTCCGCCTGGAAGGGACGCTCGTTCAGCGGAGCCTCAGATGCGGAAGTCCATGCGCGCAGCGCCACCTGCGGCCCCGCGGGAGCAGACTCAGATAAGGACAAGCATGCGCGGAGCAAGTCCTGTCGGACTGGCAGCATCACGGCATAGTATGCCGCCTACAGGCCAAAAGCCTCCGCGAGCTGCGCTACAGAAGAAGCATATTCCGGCTGGCGCTGTTGCAGCAAAACCTCGACCACAGAGTATGGCCAATGTGCCTATGAAGCAGGCTGCTCCGGTCCCCACATATGACAGTGACTCGGATGCCTCAGCAAGCAGCTTCCAGAGAGCTCGCGGTCGACGCTCAGGGAACCAGAACAATCGCTACACAATGCGTGCTTCAATGCGGCAAGACGCCGCGCCAACAATGAGGGCTGCTGCACCCGCTCCCAAGCAACCGATTCGATCAATCTCGCCTCCTGGGTCTCCCTCTCCGGCTCTAAGAAAGTCCATGCGGCCCTCTTCACCGACGCCAGAACCACCAAAGTCGTCCAGGTTCAGTATCCGCTCGCTCTCCCCCATGGGCAGGTTCAGAAACAGCAAGCCTATTGAAGCCGGACCACCAACATCGACTCCCCCAAGGAAACCATCTGGTTTAAGCAAACAAGTCAAGCAGAAGGCCCCGACTGCCGAGCGCGCAAAACCGGCTTTCAAAAGTCGCTTCGCGGACTCTAGCGATGAGGATGACGACGGTGGACCATCCCGTTTCCAAAGTCGGTTTGCGGACTCAGATGATGATGAGCCAAGCGGTTACACACTGCCCCAAGGACTGACCCCCGTACGAGGCATCCCAAGAAAAGCTGGCGAGGAGGATGGGGACTCCACGGACCTTGAGGAGGAGCTAGATGATGCGCCTATTCCTGTTTCTACTCCGACGAAAGCCACGGTTACCACACCAGCTGCCAATGGTGGTGCAAACGGACAAGGTGCAACCCTAGCGAGCGGCTCCTTGCGCGACAGCAAGCACGCCTCATTGCCCGCTTTCGAGGGAGGCGGCAAATCGAAAGCAAAGCGAGGCTTCTTCGGCCTTGGAAAGAAGAGGACCACTGCTTCCCCAGCTAGCGCACCTCAGTCTACCCGCCAATCCGCGGAGATTCCAGAACCTATCAAGGCAGCTTCTTTCGACATACCCGCCCCTCCCCAGCACCGCAACCGCGACCAAAGCGCTCCCCTTACCCCCATCGACGAGGACAAAGACTTTGGCACTTCGGCGCAGAACTCACCCCAAGTCGGAAGATCTCCCAAGCTGCAACGTCACTCAACTCCCGAATGGCCACTCCCGCGCAACAACATTCCCATCCCACCGATCCCCGAAGATGATATTCGCCCTATGAGCTCAGACGGCATCGCACCGCGCAGACCGCGCTTCGCCCTCCGAACGGCCAGCCAGATGTCAACTGCCACGGCCCCGGACATGGCGGGACGGTCCGTCTCATATGGCAAGACCGGGAAGAAGAAGAAGTTCCAGGGTCTAAGGCGCGCTTTTGGCCTCAAAGACTGAGCTCGCTTGTTTCCTTTTAGCTGATGTGCGATACAGCACTCAGCGCCGTCGGGCTACATCGTCTGCGGATTCAAGCGCTTCTGCCAGTTCGTTTGTTCGCGCGTCTGTTCTTCTGCTGGGGTGTTATCGCCCGAATACGCCTCCTCAAATGTGAGGCACGCTGAGATTGCTACACGACACCTTCCATTTGTCCAGTATTGCCATCATGAGGTGGAAACGGATTGACATATTTCCGTTTGCCAGCTCAGCGTCAGCTTTACAGATGTACATGCACGTTCTTTCCTTTTCTCTCTCCGTCTCTCGTTGGTTGTAAAAGTGATACCACCATTTCCGTCTTCCTCTCTCTCTCTCTTTCTTGCATAGCCTGACATGCCATACATATATACATACCCTCGCTTCTTTTGGTTTATGGCATTTTGTACGATGTGTATGTCTGTTTTACTAGGACGATGTGGAAGAGCGAAGTCATGCAGATGTAGCTTTAATTTATAATGGAGATGGACGTATATGAATTTCTCAGCAATTTTTTGGTGATGGCTGTGATGATGGTGGTTTCGCGTTGACTTGTTGATGTAATAGGTAACTCGTGGGTGGGACTGCATCAGTCGTATGTATAGGTCAATGGGTGGTAAGGAATGCCCTGACGCTTCTTCATCACACATCGAGGTCATATGTCAATGCCGATAGTGGTGGCAGGTCATCCTCGTATCTATCCTTTGTAATTTTAAAAAGCAACCCAAACATTTTGTATACTGTGACATGGCTTCCAAGCCAATGATGTAGCTATCCCAAGTCGTAGCTTGTAAGCATCCGATGTTTGACTGGACTGTGATGTCAGACCTCGATAGAAGGTTTGGTCCTAGAAAGATCCTGCAAAAGCTTCGCAACAGCGGTGCATCCGTAACGCCGGTACGCAACCTCCCATAATGTACAAGTCTAGATATCCTGCTTAGACTGCTCACATCGGCCTCGGCGTTCCCGTCACGGCTGATCTCTCCATCCTGTATACCAACGTGTCCCGGATTCCCAAGATCGGATTCTCAAAGTCCTTCTCTTTTCGCTCGTATAGCTTGAACCCAGCTTTCACCAGTACGTTTTGGCTGCTGACAAGTTCTGGATCTGTAAGAGCTTCTGTGTAGTCCAGAAATTGACCCTCTTTGCCGGAGAAGTGCTCAAAGAAGAGCGGTATGAAGGCACGCAATGCTTCTGTCGCGTAGCCTTTGCCCCAGTAGGACGAGTTGAACATGTAGCCGATCTCGGGGGTACGGACGGCGCCTATGAGGCCGATGACGCGTGGTGATGAGGATTTCGTATCGAGGAGTTCGATTGCAAAATTCCAACTGTTGTCTGAACAATGATAGTTAGCAAGACGCTGCAGCTGGTTGATTGGAATGTAGCTAACCTGTATCAAAACTTCCTTGGATCCATTCCTTCGTCTTTCGGAGGTCATCTGTAGGTAGTAGAGACCTATAGTCGCGTCAATTGGTCGTCATCTGGCTCGACAAAGCTACTCACGTGTGCTTCATCACCTCCGGATCTTTGCGCATCAGGGCAACATCTTCAGCGTCTTCGAGCTTCAGAGGCCGCAGAAGCAGCCTTTCAGTCTTCACAACATATTTCGGATCGACGACAACCATTCTCTGCAGCTACAGCGAGGAAAAGGTAGAGAGAAGCCATGTTGCAGTGCGGTGTGCGTTATTGAAGAGTTAGCCTGGCCTGTGAGCTCGTGCTGTTCAGAGCAGCCTGGGAAAAAGTGACGCTAGCCCGTCTGGACATCGAACACGTCAAACCTCCAACCACAACCATCCGCCTCATCGCATCAACATCCGAGGATCCAATCACCATGGCGACTTGAAGTGATCCACAGACACCATTGGCACCTTGTCTGACCGTCTTTACAAGTTTCAGACAGCCCGGCCATGTCGAACACGATTCTTTCCGCTTCCGCGAAGGGGGCCACCTTTCTTATCCTGCTGCAGGTCGCATCCCGGGCGCTCACTTTTGCGGTCAATCAGATCCTGTTGAGGTTCTTGTCGCCTGAGCTTCTGGGCGTTTCAGCTCAGCTCGAGCTGTTCTCCATCTCTGTGCTCTACTTTGCGCGGGAGAGCTTGCGAGTGGCCCTGCAGCGACAGGCACATGGAACGCAGGCTATTGTCAATCTCTCGTACCTGGCGATCTTCTTTGGTACACCGCTGGCTTACTTATTGGCGCTCTTTTGGCTGCGCTCAGACACGCCGGCTGTTCCGTACTTTGTGGAAGCATTGATCGTGTATTGCCTCGCGACGTTCATTGAACTCCTGTCTGAGCCCGCGTTTTCGGTCGTGCAACAGAAGCTGCTTTACAAGATTCGCGCTTCAGCTGAGAGCACGGCAACGCTGCTTCGCTGCGTCGGAACATGTGGCTCTGCCATTGTCGCTAGTCGAGCTGGCCTCGACATTGGTGTGCTACCTTTCGCCGTTGGCCAATTGGCATACGCTCTATCTTTGCTCGTTGTATACACGTACAATACATGGCCTGTCTCGAAGGCCGATAGGTTCTCATTGTTCCCTGAGAAAACTCCCTCCACAAAAGACAGTCCATCAGTGTTGAACTATTTTTCGACTCCTCTTCTGCGGCTCACGGGATCTCTTACTCTTCAGTCAACACTCAAGTACATCTTGACGCAGGGCGACTCACTTCTCATCACGTCTCTAGCCTCGCTCGCGGACCAAGGGGCATATGCACTCGCGTCCAACTATGGGGGCCTCATTGCGCGTATGCTATTCCAGCCTATTGAAGAAAGTAGTCGCAACATGTTTGCCAAACTATGCGCCGGCTCTGAAGCGAAATCGAACAACAGGGAGAAGGATGACCCCAAGCAAGCCGACGAGGAGAAGCAGAACCTTGCCCAAGCATCCCGAGTGTTGACAACTATCCTCCGTCTGTACGGCATCATCTCTCTGTTTGCCATTACACTGGGGCCAACACTCGCTCCTCTCCTTCTCGGCATCGTAGCAGGCAAGAAATGGTCTGCCACGTCCGCGGCCACAGTTCTATCTACTTACTGCTATTACATCCCATTTTTGGCCATCAATGGAGTGACGGAAGCATTCGTTGCTGCTGTCGCAACTAGCAAAGAGCTCTACGCACAATCTGTCGCAATGGGAGTCTTCTTCGCCTTATTCGCAGGCAGCGCATGGTTCTTCATCGGCCAACTGGAGCTCGGAGGCAGCGGTGTGGTGCTGGCTAACACAGTGAACATGGGTCTGCGCATAATCTGGAACACCTGGTTCGTCAACAAGTTTTTCAACCAAAGGGGATCGAGCTTCAAACTATCGGAGACGTTGCCTTCACTCACTTCGCTCGCCCCGGCTGTTATCGTTCCTACTTTGATGCAGATGCGACCAGGCATTGGTTTCCTCAGAAGATTCGGTGTGTTTGGAGAGCTGGTTAGTATGGGCGCCATCGGAGGCGTATACGTCTTGCATGTGCTCTTCTTCGAGAGACAGTTCCTGATGGACTGTTACCGGATGCTTCGCCCATCACGAGCTCCCGCTGCGCCTCAGACATAATCCACGTAATTGATGTTTTTCAACGCTATATAAAGCTTGACTATGGAGAAGTTTTTGCGGCACAAGAAGCATAGACGATTCAATGTATCTCAATATGCAATACAGGTGCGATGCTACCCGCATTCACGTGCTTTGCACCGTTGATACCGCGGGCTACGATCTTTCCAATTGGAAACGGATAGATTTGCCTGTAGGTATCCACTGGACTTTTCCGTTACTTCCTTCTGCTTCTCACGTCGTTGTCGTTGGCCGTCGGTCTTTGTCTGCCGCCTCACATGGCACCCCGACTTCGGTTCATTGGTCACACCCTGTCTAGCGCAATGACACTCCACCAGACCACAAAACGTCATTCTCTGCATTCTCTCCTCACCATCGATAAATTTGCGCATCACGAGCTACGATTGCGAGTTTCCTGGGGGTAAGAGCAAGAAAACTCTGACGTTCTGGACATTGCTTACGTTTGATTTTGGTCATAGAAACTGTATCGAGTTTTGAGGGGGTAATAGCAACTCGACCTAACCCGCATAGTCACACCATAGTCCTTTTGCGGGTCGTACCGAACTGCAGCCTTTTTCCTTGGCTTTCAATCGGACCGCTTGTGCTGCAAATCCGGAGAATCTGGGGTGCGTGCGACATGGCGGATATGGAGAGGTCGAAGCATTACCATGGCCTCGTGGACATGGGCAGCAATGGCATACGGTTTTCGATAACGGACCTGACGCCGGAGACGCAACGTATATTACCAACGGTCTACTTGGACCGCGCAGCTATATCGCTGTACGATGCGCAGTATGAGAACGGGGAGTTTCAATCCATCCCGGAGACTACAATCAAGCAAGTTATCAAGTCTTTGCTGCGCTTCAAGTCGACGTGCAAAGACTTCAGCGTGCCGGATCAGCAAGTCCGCATCGTGGCTACGGAGGCTACGCGGAAGGCGATCAATACAGAAGACTTTCAAAAGCAGATCAACAGTGCTACGGGCTGGAAAGTAGAGTTGTTGCCCAAAGAGATGGAAGGCCGCATTGGTGCTCTTGGCGCAGCATCCTCGTATGAAAATGTCAAAGGCCTCATGATGGATCTAGGAGGTGGCAGCACTCAGCTCACTTGGATCATCACTGAAGCAGGAGAAGTACGAATGAGTGAAAAGGGCAGCGCAAGCTTACCGTACGGTGCTGCAGCACTATCAAAGAAGCTCGACACCATTAGCGCGAACAGGGGGAGTGAAGCATACGCTCAGCATATCAAGCTCGAGCATGAAGTAGTTGCGGATCTGAAAGCTGCAGTTCAAGCCATTGACATACCGAAAGAGCTTCTCGAGTCTCCTGGGGGTATCCAGCTCTACCTATCGGGAGGTGGCTTCCGCGGCTGGGGCTTCGTTCTCATGAGCGAAAACGCGATCCGACCGTACCCAATTCCTATCATCAATGGGTTCAAGACGACGCAGGACCTGTTCCACGATACTCAGGCTGTACAGGCTGCTGTCCTGAAGGAAGACACCCCTGAGATTTTCCGAGTCTCAGCCCGACGAGCAACCCAGGTCCCAGCCGTCGCCTTCCTCGTCACCTGCCTCGCCCAAGCCCTACCCAGCATCCTCGACGTCTACTTCTGTCAAGGCGGCGTGCGAGAAGGCATGCACTTCGCTGCCATGAGTCCTCAAGCCAGAGCAGAAAGTCCCCTGGTCACCGTAACAAAATCAAATGCCCCAGCATCAACACCACAGCTCGTTTCAACGCTCCTCAAAGCCCTTCAGCCTGCACCATCATCTCCCCAAACACCCATTTTCTCACACACTCTACTCACGGCGTTCGTCCAGGCTATGTACGCTCACATGGCCAACGTCAAAGACCTGCGCGGCGGCGCGGCGCTCCGTAGCACGACGACGGGAATCTTCTCCGCGGCACACGGCCTCAGCCACGAACAGCGCGCTCTGCTCGCCATCCTGCTGTGTGAGCGTTATGGCGGGTACACATCTATCTCGCCCACTGAGCAGGAGTTCTACCGGCGCATGGCCCAGCTCATCCCCGCTGGGATGGAATGGTGGTGTATGTATGCCGGCCGGGTCGCTGCGGTACTCGCTGCGGTGTATCCAGCTGGTACTGTGAGGGAGGAGAGAGTCGGTGTTGGAGCGCAGTGGGTGGCGACGAAGAAGGGGAATGAGAAGCTTTGTGTGGAATTCGGGTTTGGGAAGGGCGTGGATGGGTTGGATGAGGGGCTGGATAGGAGTTTGAGGATGGTGGGCAAGTGTGGGAAGAAGAAGAATTGGGTGGGTGGGAGCGGGTATAAGGTTGAAGTTACGGTGGATGGGAGGGTGTACGGGGAGGAGGAGTAGGTGTTTTGGAGATGTTCAGTTTTGCGGGCATGTCAAAGATTGACAGTATATTTGATGGTTGGTATATGTGATCATATGAAAACTCATCAGTTGAGTCCGTTCAAGCAGAGAAGTTTCTTTGAAAAATCCGTGGTAAGTGAAGACATTGTGCATCGCTCATGCTCGGCCGATCACAAATGTCGACGACCCAGCCAAAGCATCATCCGGTGACCTCTGTGCAATTTCTTTCTGCAACTAATAAGCATCTCAGACCTACGTGGCGAAGATCGTGAGATCCAGACCGATTACGAATGCATCGTGACAAAGTCGGCGGTGTGTTGCAATTTAGACCGACTACGGGCAGCATCGTGACATTTGCAGTTGTGTGTTGCCACCACTAGCTGGCCATTGCTCGGAAGCGCGGAAGGTCACGATGTCACGATGCTACGCCCCAACGACTTATTTCGATACACGAGCAAGTCCACGTGCAACGCCGGAGCCATGCACAGTCATAGAAAAGGCACCCCTGAGACGCCGCCAAGGATCGTGACGCGCGGAGAGGGAAGGTTGGAGCCCCGCAAAGGGTTTTGGACATTGCATCTTCGATGAGCCAATTGCGCGATTATGGACGGGCTGCAGGGCGATTGGTAGGATGGCGGATTTGGATGCATGGAGAAGAAAACTCTGCGGTCCACTGCGGTGTTATTGAGAGGTCATGCATGGCGGACGGGTGTGCTATTACCAAATGGTGCATGGCGCTAATTCCTGGGGAAGTGAGGTTAGTTGGGTTCGGCTTTGCAACGCTCGGCTCAAGCGCCGTCGAACATCAGGTACCATGATGCCAGGTCAGCTAGATATAAAATGCCTCTTCCGCGCCCCGCTGTGATGCTGCAAGTACCTCCAGGCTTTCATCTGCCTTATCTTTACACTACTGCATCTTTATCTCGGTGTTACTGTTTCACACCAGATTCCTCAGATTGTAGCGTCGCACCAATCCGAGATTCATTGTCTGGTTAGCGGCTTGACGCAGGTCCACGAGACGATCAACACCAGCATTCCGCAGAAAAGCGGTGGCAGCGGGCCAATTGCAGAGCGGTGCCTTATCCTGAGCATTGTCGAGGGAGTAACCTGGGCAATATCGTATCGAGCAGGGAAAGGAATTCAGCGTGCAGGTGAGCTTAGTCCTGCGTCATTGGGCCGGCTTAAAATAGCTGGGCTGTTACGAATGATCGACGTCGGCGTCGTGTAAGAATTCAGCTAGAGAGGCTACATAGTCGTGCCATTGACCGCCTCTCACTTGAAGATATCCGTTGCTGATATTGTCTTCAACTACCAGGTACAATCGCTCCTGTTGCCTTTGTGGTCTCGGTCCAACTGCCCCTCCGTCGCGCGTGCCCCACCGCGCCCAAACTCTACCCACGAGACGCATCATAGTTTGAGGTCTCACAGGACTAATTGCTCATTCTTACGCAACAAAGCGGGATAGAGCAGCATTCGTTGTATCTCATATCAGCAAACACCCCCTCTCCGACGCTCGCTCGAAGCACATTTCCACCATGGCTTCATCAACACCTGTCAACGGCAGCGGACCGAGCGGAGCTCAAGTCGCCGCCCACAAGCTGCTCGGCCAGAACCTGCCAGGACAAAATCGCGGGCCGTCGCCGCATGCCTCACATCTGAGCATCCCCGGCTCGGGAAACAGCACGCCGCGAATCATCCCACAAGAAGGCGCGGGTGGTTCAGGCTATGTGGCGCCCGTGTTCGAGGGCAAAGAGAAGCAGATGGAGGCTGTCATGGACGGTATAGAGGAGAAGGGCTTCATGCCACCGGAGCTTGTGGAAGCCGAGACGCGGTGGTTCTACGACCAGCTGGGCATTGACGACATGTACTTTGCTACCGAGACGGTCGAGGCGTAAGTGGCGAGCAAGATCTTATATCGAGTCTGCTAACAATGCACAGAATTTGCAACCACATCCACTCGCTATACGCTGCAAAGATCGCCGCATACGCTCGCGACGACAAGGTCCCAGACATCCGGCTCGACAAGGAGGCCGAGGACCATGCCGTGTACATTGACACCAGCAAGCCCGGTATTTCGGTCATAGGCGGCCCACAGTATGAGCAGCGCATCGACAAGAAGTACCTCAACCCAAAGGGGAACACAACATACCGCGTAGAGAGCTTCCGCTCGGAAACACCACTGCCGGGTAGTCAAGACCAGCAATTGCGATGCTACTTTATTTACCAGTGCGAGTTTGAGAACCCCAACGCTCCTGCGACCGAGACCAACATCGACGTCATTGGAGACAAGCGCTTCTTGCAAAAGGCTACTAATAACACCCGGGCCATCTACCAGGAGATCCTGCAGATCGCCAGCACACGAACAGGTCCCGTCATTGAGTTCTTCGACATTGAGGGCTCGAGGGACAAGCGGCTGGTCGTGGCCTACAAGCAGGGCTCAGCGCTGGGCCTTTTCAGCGCACTCAGCGACCTCTACCATTACTACGGTCTGACTACTTCGCGAAAGTATGTCGAGCAGTTCTCCAACGGATACACGGTCATGTCGCTGTATCTCCGCCAGCTGCCCGGTACCGAGGCGAGCAAGCACCCCAACATCGAAGCCAGTATCCACCAGATTATCAAGGAGGTTTCGTTGCTATACTGCATCCCGCAGACAAAGTTCCAGACTTTGTTCGCCACAAGCAGGCTGAGTCTGCAGGAGACAGTCTACGCGCATTGCGTGTGGGTGTTTGTCACACACTTCCTCAACCGTCTCGGAAATGAGTACACGGCTCTGGCGAGCATTCTGAACACGGAGAACAGCGCTCACGCAGAATTGCTTAGCAAGCTGAAGCGAAGATTGCGTGCCGAGACTTTCACTGCAGACTACATCCTCGAGATCATCACCATGTACCCTGAATTGGTGCACACTCTGTACCTCTCATTCGCGCAGGCACACTACGTGCAGACACGTGGACAGCAGGATGACTTCATCCCGACGCTGAGCTACCTTCGTTTGACTTTCGATAAAGTCCAGACCGATGAGCAGTTGACTGACACCATCAACAAGGCCGCTATTAACGAGCATCACGCCATGGTCATGGACTCTTTCCGCATCTTCAACAAGTGCATCTTGAAGACCAACTTTTTCACACCCACAAAGGTTGCCATCAGCTTCCGCCTGAACCCCATTTTCCTGCCAGCGTCCGAGTACCCTCAGCCGCTGTACGGAATGTTCTTGGTCATTGGTTCCGAGTTCCGTGGTTTCCATCTGCGATTCCGTGATATTGCTCGTGGTGGTATCCGTATTGTCAAGTCGAGAAGCCAGGAAGCGTACTCCATCAACGCTCGCTCGTTGTTTGACGAGAACTACAACTTGGCCAACACACAACAGCGCAAGAACAAGGATATTCCTGAAGGAGGCTCAAAGGGTGTTGTGCTGCTCGACTTCAACCACCAAGACAAGGCACGGGGCGCTTTCGAGAAGTACATTGACAGCATCATCGATCTGCTGCTGCCACCCACGAGTCCTGGTATCAAGGACCCTATTGTCGACCTGCACGGCAAGGAGGAGATTCTCTTCATGGGTCCAGATGAGAACACTGCAGACCTTGTTGACTGGGCAACTGAGCACGCGCGCGCCCGTGGCGCTCCCTGGTGGAAGTCATTCTTCACTGGTAAGAGCCCCAAGCTTGGTGGTATTCCTCACGACCGCTACGGCATGACCACACTCTCGGTCCGCGAGTACATCAACGGAATCTACCGCAAGCTCAATCTCGACCCCAGCAAGGTCAAGAAGCTACAGACTGGAGGTCCGGACGGTGATCTTGGTTCAAACGAAATTTTGCTCAGCACGGAGAAGTATATTTCCATTGTTGACGGATCCGGTGTCCTGGTCGACCCCAAGGGCATCAACCACCAAGAGCTGCTGCGACTGGCAAAGGAGCGCAAGATGATTGGCGAATTTGATGTCTCGAAACTTTCAGCAGAGGGCTACCGTGTTCTGGTTGACGACAACAACATCAGGCTGCCAAACGGTGACCTTGTCTACAACGGCACCACCTTCCGAAATACCTTCCATCTCCGCAGCGACATTCAGTACGACACCTTCGTTCCTTGTGGTGGACGGCCTGAGTCCATCGACTTGACATCGGCCAACAAGCTCATTGTTGATGGAAAGTCGGTCATTCCATACATTGTTGAAGGCGCCAACTTGTTTATCACACAAGATGCCAAGCTGCGCCTGGAGAAAGCTGGTTGCATCTTGTACAAGGACGCGTCAGCCAATAAGGGTGGTGTTACTTCATCATCTCTTGAAGTCCTCGCATCGCTGTCTTTCGACGATGCGAGTTTCTTGAAGCACATGTGTGTTGGCGAGGATGGAACCGTCCCCGAATTCTACAACAACTACGTCCGCCAGGTACAGAAAACTATCCAGAACAATGCTCGCCTTGAATTCGAGGCTATCTGGAGAGAGCACCAAGCTACCGGCCAGCCACGCAGCATCCTGTCTGACACGCTCAGCAACGCAATCACCAAGCTGGACGAGGAGTTGCAGAACACCGATCTGTGGAACCAGGATGAGTTCAGGAAGTCGGTTCTCAGCGAGGCGCTGCCGAACTTGCTTCTTGAGCAGATCGGCATGGATAAGATCATGGAGAGGGTGAGTCTAGACGCGAATTGCGATTCCCGAACGCAAGCTAACACGGACAGGTACCTGAGAACTATCTCCGCGCCATCTTCGGCAGCTACCTTGCCAGCCGCTTCGTGTACCAGTACGGTGTGTCAGCCAGCCAGTTTGCTTTCTTCGACTTTATGAGCAAGCGCATGGCGAAGCTGCCCAACAGCAATGGTCACTGATGTGGTCGAGGCTGTGAGTAACGAACATGGAAGGCGTTTTTTGTGTTTTCTATGGGGAGGTATCTAAAAAGTCCGATTACATACACTTGGATGGGGAGTGTCACTGGCATGTGCACCACTGGCGCTTAAAGTACCTAAAATTGGGCGGCTATTCTGCTTGCCTTTACTAAGTGTGTAGATTAATTACGACATCGTTGTTGCATCAAATTACTGCATGGCTTCAATATGCATGTCATCTCTCGTCAAAATTTGGCGCTTAAAGTCCTCATGTTAGTAGGAGGCAACGAAGTACTTAGGCCTAGAGGCCGAATTCACCGTGCCGTAAATGCAAGCCGGGAACCAAACCACATTTCGCACTTACCTTCCAAAGTAGCACATTTAATCCCGCGGCAAGAAAACAAGGAAATCAAAACCAAACAGAAGCCAAGTTGCCTAGCGCACTTTCTATTGGCTCACCTGCCATGGGCATGTGAGGTGTGTGTTGTTGTTGATCCGAGACACACACGCCGCGTAGGGTACAAGTATTAAAGCCGTGCGTATGCTGCTTTCCCCCCCCCGCCGCACTTCTTGCAACAACAACATTGCGCCATTTTTTATAGAATCTGTCGCATTGCACGCTCACGGTTCGCAGACTGGTAAGTTTTTGATTTATCTTGGTCGCGCATGTGTATTCTTTTGTTCTTTGCCGGTTTTTTTAACGCGTTCTGCGTGCGCCTTGTGTCTGTTTGGATGAAGGGCAAGAGACAGGGCGCATTTCGCACGACGCGCTTTTCTAGTCCGCTGTGTGTGTGGGGAGAGTCGCGTGCGCCCAATCTACTACTTGAAGCTACTGTGCGGGTAGGAGAGGTGTTGACGCGCAAGATATCCGCGCACTGGCTTTTCCGGCGCGTATCCCATGACGAAAGACTGACTGCGAAGTATAGATAATCAACTCCACGCAAATCCAATCTCCAAAACAGGAAAATCGAAATCGAAATGGCGGCTACAACTCGCGCCCGCACTGGTGCGTCCTCTCTCATATATCCTTCCCCCCTCCTCCCCCCTCCCCCTCCCCCCGTCTAACCCCTCCACACAGGAAACTCCAAACCCCGCCTCATCGCGGCCCTCACCCCTTCCTCCTCCACCACCAAAGCCAAGGCCAACACCTCCAAGCCGCGCGACACCAAAGTCGCCAAGCCGAAAGCTGCCACGGGCGCAGGTGTCGTCAAGGCCAAGAAGCCGCGCACCAAGACGGAGAAGGTGGTGGATAAGATTGTGGGAACGGGTGAGAAGGTTGTTGGGGATGTTACAGGAAAGCCGGGGAAGAAGGTACGTTTGAAGTCTTTAGGAGGGGGTAATGAGTGCGGATTTGAACGTGGGCTAATGCGTGTGATGTGAATAGGCTGCTGGAACGAGGAAGGCTAGGGGCACGGATAGCATGACGACGAAGAGGGCGCCGAGGACGAAGAAGGCTGTTGTCTGAGTGCGTCTTTTGCACTTTGCGCAAGTCGAGTGAGAGGCACGAGCGACGAGTGCGGATGGAGATGTTTCCTTGTTTTTTTCCTCTTTTTTTCTTTTACTGCGTTCGGAATGTGTAAGATACCCCAATGGTTTAAACGTACTAGGAGTAGTGGGCGTGTTGAATCGAATCGAATCGAAATTTTTATAAATCCTGCGTTTCCAGAGAAAACTGGGTGATGGCTCACTGCATGCATGAGCGCGTCCATGGATGGTGCAGCATTTCGGACGGACTGCTTTGGAGACTTCGGAACACAAAGGTCCGAATGACTGCCGGAGGCCGGTTCGGCGTACATGGTGGATGCAACGTACGCAAGCTTGCTGCGGCAGTTCGAGTGGGCTTTGATGGAACTCTGTCTGCAACCAGAGAACAGTTGTATAGTAATATGCGAGGCTGGAGAAATTCAATAGCAGAATCAGCACATTCAAGAAATGCTGAGAACGTCTTGAAGTTATACAGGCTTTGGTTTAGCTGCATGCTTGCTCGATACAGAGCGCACGGATTATCACAGCACTCAAAGACATTAATATTATGGCATTGCGGCGGAAGCTTCAGCCACGATACATCACTAGGCAAGCAAGAATTTGTAGCTGAACCATGCTGCTCAATTGGCAGCCTGACTGATCCAATTCATCCTATCCTATTACCCATCCACCTCTGCACATTGTAAATTTGTGCAAGCCTCATCATGCGTGTTGACAACGCACTCAGGCCTCCATGTTGAAAGACTTTCGTCATGTTTCTAACGCCCCCGCTTTCAATGTGCCCGCCCAGGCAGGCACACGAATAGATTTCTATGAAAGAAAAAAATATAACTTTTTCTGGAGAAGAAGGGCTGGTATCAAAAGGGTATATAGTAGTTTGCCCAAACGACGCCGTGTAAAACTTGTTGAAAAGCTGAACGTTAAGCCCGCCTCCAAAATATGCATTTCGCTCACCTCGTGTTTTTACGCGCAAGTCATGAAAGTCTTGACCTTGTGGGATGAAGTTGATTCATGCGCCACTCATGCAGATATGATATGTGTTGATGTTACAATTATAGCTTCAGCTCCTTGGGCTGCTCCCAGGTGAAGCTCTGGTTGGTGAAGTGACCGTTCTTGGCGGTCTGGAAGTAGATGGGGTTGATCAGGTTCAACTCCTTGACGATGACACCGGGACGGAGGTCAAAGTTGTTGAGGATGATCTTGACAAGCTCTTCCGAGGACTTGTCAGAGGTGCCGTAGGTCTCGACGAAGAGCGACAGGGGCTCAGCGACACCGATGGCGTACGACAGCTGGACGAGCGCACGGCGGGCCAGCTTGGCGTGAACGAGCGACTTGGCGATCCAGCGCGCAAGGTAGGCAGCAGAACGGTCGACCTTGGAGTAGTCCTTTCCAGAGAAAGCACCACCACCGTGAGCTCCCCAGCCACCGTAGGTGTCGACGATGATCTTACGGCCAGTCAGACCGGCGTCACCCTGAGGTCCACCGATGATGAACAGGCCAGAGGGCTGAATGTGGTAGGTGGTGTTCTCGTCAAGGAGCTCGGCGGGGATGACCTGCTTGATGATCTTCTCCTTGATCTCCTTGCGGAGCTGCTCGGTGGTGATGTCTTCGCTGTGCTGGGCGGAGACGACAACGGTGTCGACACGCTTGGGGACGACGGCACCGCCGTCGTGTTCGTACTCAATGGTGACCTGGGTCTTGGTGTCGGGTCGCAGCCATGGGATGGAGCCGTCCTTGCGGGCATCAGTCATGGCCTTGTTGAGCTTGTGGGACAGGAGAAGAGTGAGGGGCAGGAGCTCCGGGGTCTCGTCGGTGGCATAGCCGAACATGATACCCTGGTCACCGGCACCGAGCTTCTCGAGCGCCTCCTCGTAGTGGAGACCCTGAGCGATGTCGGGCGACTGCTGCTCAATGGCAACGAGGACGTTGCATGTCTTGTAGTCGAAGCCCTTGTCGGACGAGTCGTAGCCAATGTCCTTGATGGCATCGCGGACAATCTTCTGGTAGTCGAGGTGGGCCTTGGTGGTGATCTCGCCGAAGACCATGATCATACCGGTCTTGGCGGCCGTCTCACAGGCAACCTTGGAGAGGGGGTCCTCCCTCAGGCAGGCATCGAGGATGGCGTCCGAGACTTGATCGCTGCGGGGCGTGTCAGCAAGGTCGGAAAAGTCGGTGACCGGCGAGTAAAGCGCGATGTAAGCCGAGTGCGCGTCTCGGAGCTTAGACTTGAAAAAACTCATGCCGGAGGGATTTGGAGAGAGCGCGGTACATACCAGATCTTGTCAGGGTGTCCTTCACCGACTGATTCACTCGTGAAGTTGAAGGAGGTCTGAACAATAGTTAGAATCATGGTGGGGCTGCTTTGGGCTTGCGGACTTGCCTTGTTGGCACTGAGGCCGTTGCCGTTTGTAACACCGTTCATAACTGACGTGATGTATGTATGGATTTTGATATTGCAACTTGACGAGGATTGCAGATTCTAGTATTGCGGAACTTGCGACCGTTTTAATGTGACGAGTGAGGGCGGTTGGGAATGGAGAGAATGAGAGGAGGGGACGGGTAGTGGGGTTCTTAAAGGTTGCGTCCGGAGGCAGTTTTGGATTGCCGAGAAAACCTAAGGCGTGCGAGGGTTGTCCGGGCCCGTTCACCGCCAGCAAGGAACGAATCATACCAGGTCCCCACTCATCGACCTACCGCCCGCACTGGCAGAACTTGCGCTCCCGGAACGCGGACTTTGAAACAATTTCCCCAGCAGATGACGCGACTTGGTCAACCGCCAAAATGTCCAAATTCGGGACGCTGGTGATGGTGCGCATCCTCTCGTAGTATACTTCAGCAATGTGCTGACACCCCCAGGGCCCTGCCGCCTCAGGCAAATCCACCTTTTGCACAGCTCTCATCCAACACCTGCAAAACACGAAGCGCCCGTGCTTCTACGTGAACCTCGACCCCGCCGCCGAAGAGTTCGCCTTCGAGCCCGACCTCGACATCAAAGACCTAATCAGCCTCGAAGATGTCATGGAAGAAATGAGCCTCGGCCCCAACGGCGGGCTCATCTACTGCTTCGAGTTCCTCATGGAGAACCTCGACTTCCTGACCGATCCGCTCGAGGAAGTCACCGAGGACTACCTGATCGTCTTCGACATGCCCGGCCAGATCGAGCTGTATACCCACGTGCCTATCCTGCCGGGCCTCGTCAAGACGCTCATGCATGGCTCGCTCAACATCCGCATGTGCGCGGCATATCTGCTCGAAGCCACATTTGTCATCGACCGCCCCAAGTTCTTCGCCGGCACGCTGTCTGCTATGAGCGCGATGATGATGCTGGAGATGCCGCATATAAATATCCTGAGCAAGATGGATCTGGTAAAGGGCCAAGTGGCTAAGCGCGACTTGAAACGCTTCGTAGATGTCGACGCCGACTTGATCGACGACGACCCGGCGCGGAAAGTGGCGACGGAGGAGGAGCAGAAGAAGTTTATCGACCCGGCGTCAACGGATAGCTTGATGAACGGCGCGTCGTTTCATAAGCTCAACAAGGCAGTGGCGGAGCTGATTGATGGCTTCAGCATGGTGTCTTTCTTGAAGCTGGATGTGCAGGATGAGCATAGTCTGGGTGCCGTGCTTAGTTACATCGATGACGCGATTCAGTTCCACGAAGCGCAGGAGCCCAAGGAGCCCAAGGAGTTTGACGTCGACGTTGAAGGATGAGGAACGTCTCGACAAATGTGCATGCACGGCGTTTTGGATTCAGCATGTCATGGCGTTGCAATGTTATCGCAAACATAGAAGGCATGGAGGGAAGTTTGGGACAGAAGAACGATACCCAAGCAATACGTCGCAATTTAGGACATTAACGGACTACTAGCAATTTAATACGATGTCAGTCGTCTGTAAGCCTATCTGTGAGCCTGCTGTCCTGTCTGCGAAATCCGAACCTTTCCACAATCTGATCGCTGACGCTACTTGGTTCCGACAAGATACTCCTCCGCTTCCTATCTCTTTCTAGATCACTATCGTCCGATTGGTCGTCGCTCATATAGCTCTCCGAGTCTGCATCCATTCTCGCAAAGATGCGCTGCAAACTTGGGCTATCATCGATATTTGGCCCGGCAGCTTCGCGCTCTTCCAATAGCCGATCTTCACTGTCAATGTTATCGTACTTGTCGTCGTGTACGTGCGTCGCGGCGCGGACAGAGGCGAAGTAGTCATCGGGCTGATCAGGTACTGTCGTGATTCTGCGTGGAGATACTGCACGCGGCGAGAGGGCTTTTGGGTCCAGTTCGGGTGGGCGGAGAACGTTGCGAGGGGTGTCGTCCGAGTTCAGGACTGTGCTGATAGAAGAAAGAGGTGAAGTCGTCTCACTCGGATCCAGGTACTCATCCTCTTTGAGGAGATCACCTCTTCCACAAAATCGCACTGCATAGGACATCTGTCGATCATACTGGCTGGCTGCCGGAGTAGCTGATATACGGCGTATCTGTGGAATCTCACAAGGATAGTTCAGCGCGCTGCCGATCGATGGGTTCGAGCTGTGCCGTCGCGATTCATGGAGACCGATGGTAGGGCTTGCCTCGTCTGCCTCAAATCGAGGTGCGGATTGCGTCTGACGAAGGCGGAGCATAGAAGGTATGCGCTGGACAGTATGCTCCGTGAAAGCTCGCAAAGCCTTTGGGCGATTGTGATGTACCTTTGATGAACTGGACCTGGTGCGCAGAGTGCCAGCGGGCTTCCCTCTTCTTGTTGTCAAACTCGTGAAAAGCGTGTTGTACTTGCGTCGTGGATTTTTGGGGATCGACGGCTGGCATATTAGCCTTGAGAAAAAGCCTGGTTGTGAAGAAGAGTTGGACTCTGCTGACGAGCTTGAAGTTTCACGGCCATGATCTTCTCCTGGTGACGAAGAGCCGTCTGTCCAACCGCTTGCTGGGAAGCATGGTACGCGCCCGCTGCTATGTCGTTGCCGCCGCCGCAATGTGGCCATCTCTGCGAGATTATCCTCAACTGTGGGTCCGGTATATAGGCCGGGCCATGCAGCCGTCTCTGAAGATGCTCGAGCGTGGTGACCAGCTGCAGGCTCGAATCTATACCTCATGTGTAGACGTAGAGCTGTGATCTGCATAGGACAGGTTCTCTGTTGGAAGAGTGGTAGATGGGAGGCGGTCGCAGGAAGACGGGTGTAACAAGAGGCTAGCAGTTGAAGAGCAATCGCATGGAGTAGGATCTCGAAGGTACCGGCGCCGATTGGTAATCCGCCCGACAGCATTTTCGAGTTTCTGGCTTGCAGCAGGGATCTGATTGGCAGTAGGTGGCATCTGGACTCATTAGATTTGTTACACGCGAGAAGATGCCATTAAACCTACACGACGTTGTTGCTTGTTCCTCGGTGCCCAGAACTCATCCACATATTCCGACTGCCACCAATCTGCAACCTCGCCCATGATAGCGGTCTCGACCTTGGTCAAGCTTGCATGAGGCTGTTGTCCCTGGACATCTTCCAGGCGTGAAGAATAACAACATTCCGTATCTTCGCCAAGCAGACACGGCAAACAGGATAGTATCGGTTCGGTGTCTATTGACTGGTCGGGCCCGATGTTTATGCTCGTTCGATCTCTTCGGGAGGAACGGACGGAGGGCAAAGTAGGCTGCATAACAGGAGATGTCGGTGCCATGAGTAGGGATTGCAGGGAGAAATCTTAGGAAAAGATACATAGCAATTAACACACGAGAGATATGTCGGCGTGGGGTAAGCGATCGATCGTGCCAGCTATATTTTGATTCGCATGTGCTGCGGATCCCCAACCGACGTGACTGTGGGTGTGGAAGGTGCGCATGTTGTTGTTGTCTCGTGCCTTCTCGTGCCATCGCCCTCCATCCGTGACAAAAGGTGCAAGTATCATACCGAAAGCTCGCCTCTCAATCTCAAGTACCGCCCATCGTCACGTCGCCTGTCGGATTTGAGTGGTTGTCTCGCGCCGGCAAATCGATTGGCTTAGAAACGAGACGCGACCCATCAGATGTATGAGTGACTACAAGACGGGAGGCTTCACCTCTCCTGGCCTTTGCTTCGTTCAGTCTTGCGAGAAAATTTGGCGAGTTCGTGGGGGCTGGTTGGGTGTTTGGCACCACAGCTGAGGAAGGTGTGTTGGACGCGTTCTGGTCCGAAGGTACTTGCCGTTGTTCCTCCTCCTCGAAAAGCTCATCGCGAGGTCGTAGGCGTGCGACTCTTGCTACGAGTTTTGCCGTACCCAGCGACAAAAGGTCCACCGAAGGAAGAGATCGAAGAGGCTCGAGCGAATTGCTGTCATCTGCGTGCGGCTTCGTAAAGAACATGTCAGTCCCAATAGTCGAAGTCCATTGACAACTCAGTAGCTGTCCATTGTACATCATGAGTGGATTCGAGGTATGCAGGCCCGTGATCTGCACTTCACCCATGTTCGCCGTCTCTTGTGTGCCCTCTTGCGGAGCTGATACGTCGCTTGCGACTTCCGGTAATTGACCCCGAACTGCATTCAAGGCGCGTAGTCTGCTCTTGAGTAAAGTCGGGTGACCAGGTCTGCGTTCCACATTGAAGGGCACCTGAGCGCTGGGGACATTTGAAAGATCGACTGGGATGTAGAAGTCCTCAGTCTCGTTCTCATCGTATTCATATTCCCACTCGTTGTCCACTTCAGCCATGATGTGATTTTTTTAGGAGGCGGAGGCTCTATTACCGGTGACAGTGATTTGTCCCTTTCGCAAACGTGAAGGACGATTTCTCAGGTTGTAGAAGTTCTGTGGTTAGTGTGAGGTGTGGGGCACAAAAGTGGGAGTCGAGCTCGAGGTGGAGCTTAGCCGGACTAAACACATCTGCCCCTCACCATACCTGTAGAGTTCGCAACCTGGGCTCGGCGACATAATGTGACAATTATATTAACAATAATTTCCCCTTCGCTCATCAAAACCAGTCAAGCGCGTCTTCGGACGCATCACTCCGCTTGGTGTAGTTGGTGTAAGTTTACAACAGTCCACACAGACATGTGTGCAGTGCCTAACATTCCATAGTTATCACGTTCGACTGTAATATTACTTTGTAATCGAAAGGTCCCTAGTTCGATTCTGGGAGCGGAGATTTCTTTTTGCTGCCTTTTTGCACTCTTTTTTGTTATGCGTGTTTAGACATGAAGGGGTTTCTGAGCTTTTCGCGTGCCCTCACTAAAACTGTACCCTCCTCCGTTCTCAGCACTTCTACATAGTAAATCAGTGCTAGAATTAGTGTTTTACGTTCGTGCCTTAGAGCTTAGGCATGCAAGTTCAGCCCTAAACTCATTCTGAGGTTCGAAAGCTTCGCTACAAAACCCACCAGGTGCTGGCAAAACTCCTGTCCGTGCTTACCGAACAAGAGAAGATTGAGGTATCCTGGATATTCTCAAAATCTTTCGCAATACTAGACAAGAATATCTTGAGGTGTCGTATATCTCTAGGCTCCCTAATAAACTTATGCGTGCGCTCCTAGAGACTATAAGATCATGTTGTGTAGGTGCAGAGCGGACACGAATTTTGCCGCTGCCTAGTGAACCTCTAAATCATCTTAGTAACGCGATAAAACAACGAGTCAAGCTTGATGTGCGCGACACCAGGCGCAGGCAAGATTCCTGTCCGCCTCACCTAACGAGATGATGTTAAGGTAGCCTGAATATTCTTAAAAACTTTTGCAGAACTAGATAAGAGTATCTTAGAATAGCGTATATCTTCAGGCTTCCTTCAAAATCTAAAACATGCTCCTGAAAACTATTAGAGCACTTGGTGCATGTGCAGAGCGGACACCAATACTGTCGCTGCCTGGTGGCGACAAGGCATATCATTGTGCAATGATGCCGTCGCATATATGTCGGGAGAGATGATCACGAGCATTGTGGACATAGGCTGCCAAAAGTGAATAGCTGTCTTACGCCCTTTCGTGTACAAGTAATCCAGGCTGCGCGAGGGCAAAAAAGAAATCTGCGCTCCCAGAATCGAACTAGGGTTTTGAGGAGGTTCGTGTTCGTTGAGACACATTCATTCCAACGAGTCTGAGTCTCTGTTGAAGAACTTCAGACAGTCTACATCATGCAGCATTGACTCTTAGAATGGAAGCAGATTTCAGATGCTGACTCTTGCACTTCATATCGATAGCACGCACAATCGCGCATGTGGAGGGCCCGTGGAGAGCCGCATCCTTATCCCCAGGTTAGGCCCGCCCACTAGCCAGCCTGCGACGTCAATGCCGAGCCCTGCAGCTGCCCCGACGTGCATCCCGCCACGCGCCTTGCTTGATGCCAGAACACTCCCATAGCTTTGCGGTCTTATCGCAACAACTGATCGCGTTGCTAGCGGCCTGTCATTGCTTTGCACATCTTCTGGATCGATAGCACTATCGATTGGGTCCACCAGTAAGTGGAGTTCGTTTTCGCCCGGCAATCCTCCCCAGCTTCATGTCATCATCAGTCTCTCCGGCGCATCCGCCAGCTGTCACACTGCTGCGAGCTTGCAAGTCTCCTATTCGCTCTGCTGGCATGTTGGTCGGACTGCTCACGAGTATCATGGAACCAGTCTTCCGCAGGCATCCTGGGCTTTGACAGTTGGCAGCAAGTTTGAACTTTGGCGCCCAGGACCCAGTATTCTGGCTTTGTCTTTTGTCAGCTCCGGCTCTGTCGGAGTCTATGCTCTGACCCTGCGTACGGTCCTGCGTACAATTGGCGACTTGTGATTCCGCTTTGAGTAATCGTCCAGTGCTAACTGACCAGTGCCCATCGCACCCTACTTCCAACATGGCGGCGGGCAGGTCCCGCTCCGGGGCGTCCTGCCGTCATCGCATACTCCGGCTGCCATATCAGAAGTCGAAATCCCTGATTACCCATCCATAGCAGTATACTCCCCCGAACCCCCCAGTGGGACGCCAGACGTTGCGCCGGACGCTTCTCTCGAACACGTCGTACCTACCATCGATATTCCTACATCTCATTCTTCGCATGACCAATCAACCCAGCAAGATCTCTCGTCCCTCGCTGATGTTAGTGGGCCATTGCCCGGCTCGGATACACAGATGAAGGCCAAGAAACCTGCAATCGCTGCTGCGGGTACCTTCTTTGGCCTCTTTTCGTTCTCTCAAATATACCAAAACGTGTTGTTCGAACGGTTAACGCCGTGGTCGGAGCGCTTAGAAGAGAAGGCTTGGGTAGGATCATCAAAATCTTGGGTAGAGCGCAAGACATGCAACTGGTTTGGACTGTGTGGTCTTTCACACCTGGACGAGTCGCAATGGACCAGCAAGATCGAGACACAGAATCAAGGTGACAAAGTAAATCTTACGGAATTCTGGCATGATGCGCAAGCCACTCTGGAGGACTTACCCTCACAAGAGCGTGAGGTGCCCCAATACGTCCTTGATTACGCGCCACTTATTTATCTCTATTCTGGGGAACAATACTGGCCAGGCGACATAGTGGAGCATTTAATCCACACCACCCCGCATCTCAACTACACGCCTCTGCAAGCGACTAGCGACCATCCCAACCTTACCAATTTGGGCGATTTGAACAAGTGGGGTAGATTCGTCTATCTGCAAAGTGATGACAATGTCGAGGACCGACCAAATTGGCTCGGGGGAGAGACGAATATCCCTAGTGCACCTGGTGGCGACGAGGATGATGAAAGTTGGAGAGACCACGACCGTGGCAAGGGGCATTATGAAGAAGACAAAAGCGGCAAGAACTCCAAATGGTTCCACGTAGGACCAGGCGATGCAGAGGAGAGAGGTGGCATCGTCCCGGCATCCACATCCCCTGGCCACCCGATCCCGACCAGAACACCTGAGGGTGACGAGCTCGTTGATAAATACGGGACATGGCAGCCCGAGTTACGCAGTCGACAACGACGACGTCAGCTTATGGGGAAGAAGGTCGTCGGTGGTAGGAGTGACGCGCCTGCAGTGCTGGTCACCGTGCCCAAGGGTGATGGCGTCGTGGATGCATTCTGGTTCTTCTTCTATTCTTATAACCTGGGCAATGCAGTATTCAACGTCCGTTTCGGCAATCACGTTGGAGATTGGGAGCACACTGTTGTGCGCTTCCACAACGGCGAGCCTAAAGCAGTATTCTTCAGTGAGCACAGCTTCGGTGAGGCATACACGTACGAGGCCGTCGAGAAGATTGGCAAGAGAGTAAGTTCATTGTTTCAGTCGCATGCTATTTACTGACTCTTTCAGCCTGTTGGTTTCTCTGCCACTGGAACGCACGCAATGTATGCGACGGCTGGTGTCCATCCATATGTCCTTCCTGGCGGCATCCTACACGATGTGACTGATCGCGGCCCGTTATGGGACCCTGCCCAGAACATGTACTCATTCACGTATGACTACCGAACCGACAAGTTACTTAGCTCGAACCTTACACCAACTGCCCCCACCAGCTGGTTCTACTTCGCAGGCCACTGGGGCGATAAGTTCTACCCGTTGAGCGATCCACGACAATACCGATTTGTAGGCCAGTATCATTACGTCAATGGTCCGCTCGGACCACGTTTCAAGAACTTGGGTCGTCAGGAAATCTGCCAAGGAAACGGAGAATGTGTGTTGAAGAAGTGGATTGGAGACAGGCGCGGGACAGAGACAAAGCGATACCCTCATGTCGGCCGTGGCGAAGAGATGAGCGAAGAAGATGCGAGGCGTGTGTTCGGCTCCGAGTTTGACTCTGCATCATGAAGCGATTTGCATTTAGTCTTTCACTGCACGGCGTTTGCTCGGGGTTGAACTGGAGTCGATTTGAGCGTTGTGCATGCCGTTTTTGTACCAGTACAGCGACACATCCGTTTCGAGATACCTACATAGCCGATATGAACATACGTTTTTCCACAACACCGCAGTACTTGACTCAATGCAGCAAAATTGTCAAAGACTTTGATGGCGAGTCTGCTAGCATCATGGTTCTTGTGTTAGGGCTGCGGCAAGTTAGCCGGCCGAATGCTGACCGCGTGTAATGGTGCAATCATTGCGACAAATGGGGCCATTGACGTCGCGACCACGTCCTCTCAACGAATGCATCGAACCGCTTGAAATGAATATTGGGGGTCGCGCAGTCCCAACAGTCTGCCACGGCGTGATAAACAAGTTGTCGCGCCGTCGCTCCGCTGCTAGGACAGGCGTGATGTGAAGAGCAAGATAATGATAACCGGCTTAGCTGGGTTGGGCTACCTGCGAAGAGCTAGGCGCGCTGCATGACTGTATCTCTGGAGTAGGGGGGGGGCTGTCGAGTGTACATGCGGCGTCGACACGCTGTCCCACCTGGTCCGACGTCGCTCAAGGAAAGTCTACCTGCCACGACGAAGCAAAGTCGATAATTATTCGGAGTCTGACCCATCGTCAAGCAACGATGTCGTCGATGCAGAAGAACAGTGGAGCTACCGCGCGCCTTACAAGTGGAGCGCCGGGGCGTGATGTCTCGGTGACAAAGCTTTATCTTATCGCGTCGACAGCCTACAGCTGCGCCCAGGGCTGGCTGGTATGCATGCATCATCCACCACCTGTACAAGACAGTTTCACAGACAGGGGTGCTCAACACATCCTACATCCCTCACATTTTGACTTGACCTCTTCTCTGTCCTGTTCCTTCGACTCTCATCACGCGTCCCTCCATCTGTTAGATTGCTCCACCTTTGTTTTCCCGGGAAATCACGCCTGATCACCGTTTTAGCGTGTCGTCGTGACATCGTCTAACATTATCCCCACCCCATACACCGCCAGCTAGGGGACTATCGAGTTCGCGACGAAGCACGAGGCCTTGGAAAGATAACACTCGAATCGCCCCCTTCGCTGCCTCAGAATCTTAACAAGGCACTCCATGAACCAACTTGTCGAGCCTCTGGTCACATAGCCTCCGCACCTGTCCAAGGTCCCGCGTGCCTTGCTTCTTGGGAGACGTGTCTCCGAGATCGCCACACCACCCCGCGCTGAGATCCTCCTTGGATACCTTCTATCATGGCTTTCCGACAGCAGCAGCGGCCTAAGAGCTCGCGACAAATATCCTACAATGCACCAGAACCTGCACCCGACGCTGCTACCGCCTCACAGCAGCTCAAACGACCACTAGAGGCCTCCGAAGAATGGATCCTCTTCTCCCCAACCGCCCCTTCTACCACTGCCCGCACACAGACTACCTCGACCGAACGAACACCACGAACAGCTGGTCTGTCAAGGTTCAGTGAGTTCGGCTCACTTGAGACTGCAGCCCAGTCCGAGGACGGCGATAATGGCACCTTCCTGGACACTGAGGAGGAATTAGACAGTCTAGATGACGGTCTACGTGCTTTCCACGAGCCTTCTGACTACGGCGCGCCAGCAAGCAGGCTGGTCCAAAGCGGCGAGACTGTCTTACCAACCCACGATGGCCTGGGCGAGTTCCTCACTGATGCGACTACACAAGAACACATGTGGCAGTTTGAGCAATCACGACGGCGTACCACACGAAGACGGTCAAGTGTCCAGAGACACTTCTCTATCTTAGATCAGGTGGATGAAGGCAACCAAGAACAAGAAAGGCGCCAGCGCATTGAGAAATGGCGGCTAGAGCAGAGCAAAGCGCTGCTGGAAGAGATTGAGAAAGAGACTAGGCGGAGACGGCGAATGAGTACGCTCAGCGCTTCCCGAAGTCGGATAGACAGTACAAAGCAGGACACACCGCGGACAGTTCCAAAGCCTGCACCATCTGCTGCGGAGACGCAGAGTGACTCGTCGGAGGAAGGATCCGAGTCTTTCTGGCAACGAATAACGAGGAGGGTGATCCGAGACCTCATCGGGCTGGACGAGGACACATTGTCGGTTATCTTTGGTGAATCACTTCCCGAGGAACTGAGTACACCAAACCGGGGTTCTTCCACAGAGTTCTCTGCAGAAAAAGCCCTAGAAGATGCAGGCATTGACCCGTCGACAATGTCAGAAGATGGTTGGCAGACCCGGATACTCGAGCGAGTTGCGCGAGAGCTTGGAACACTGGTTCATCAACTGTCCGAGCATCCTGGAGCATTTGCCACATACCAGCGCACACAGTCAGCACCGGAATATGCAGGCCTGACATCAACGACGTTCAAGCCGACCCTGCCAGCCGAGTTGAGCTCAGTACGCCCCGTCAGCTCGCAACCGACCTCCGATTCGCCTGCATCGGCTCACTTTGCGCCTACCTTTCAACAAACACCTCACGTTTACAGTGAAGCGTCATTATGGGGCATTGAAGAAGAGCCTGCAGAGGTTGACCCCTTAGATACCCGCACACCTCCCGCCACTCCTGCCAATATTGCCGAAGACCTTGTCCGTGAGCGCGAATACTGGGAGCGTGAGCTGGACGTCAACATGATCTTCAGCTTCCTAGTCAAGCGCTTCACATCACGACGCTCGAACATCTCATCACCACCTCGCAAAGCATCGAGCGCTCCCTCCAACGGCACCGACGAAACTGTAGACTCTGCTCGCCGAGCCGCCATCATTCGACAGCATCACCCTTTGGTCAGTAGGACGACGGAACGAAGACTCCCGACGTCGTCCTCATCCACTCAACATAGGGAGATGAAGCGCAAGGACGCTACGTATCGCACGTACTATAACCCCCAGGCGTCTTTGAGGCATCAGAAGCTCAGAAGTAATTCGAGCTGCGCGAGTCAGAGCACGAAGAAGAGCAAGCGCAGCAGTAACTCGGCACGCAACTACTGGGACCTCGGCGGGTCTGTTGGTAGTGGAAGTGTGCTTGCTGGCGAGGTGTAGATGTGTAGGTGTAGGTGATGTGTTTTGATATTGAAGATGGAAACGAAAGGAACGAACTTTACTCTCAGAATTTTGGCTTAGAACGATTGTTTAGCATACTGGGTTGCATGAGCGTTGGAGCGCGGCTTGGGTTGTTGACGGCTTCTTTACTCTCACTACTCTTAGGACACATGATACCTTTTTTGCAATTCTGGTGGGATTTGGTGGTGTAGCATATGGGCTTGTGGGTTCTGGGCGATCTCCATTCGGTATATATATTGGAATTAAATTAAGAAGATTTGAATGTTGCAGCCGCGGAGATCCCACCATTCTTCGACACCGATAAATGTGCACTTAGGCTCCCCCCAGCTACATGAAGGGTCACGTTTCTACCACCTCCGCCAAATCCGATCTCTCGGTAAGCTCGATGCGCGAGTCTCTCATGCCATTCGCATCCATGGTCCCTGGACGAGCAGGCTGGCTTCACATCTGCGAATCTCAGGCTTCTTGAGCTTGGCCTATGCGAGTCCTTCTTGCCGACAGTCTTGCAGACGTCAATATATTCTAGAATCAAGCTGCACTTGCCAGACCATGTCCGTAGACTCAGCCGTTGGCCGTCCAAGGCGATTACCGCCTGCGTAGTTTCTTTGGACGACGCGATTAGCCGGACCGTGAGAGGGCCGCAGGAAGCTGCATCATTGGGGTTGGTCGCATGCGTTCCAAGCCTGACTGTTTCACACAGAGCGCTTCGATATGGCGACACTGGCAAAACACTTCGATGTGTGTTTGTCCATAGAATGGAGACAGCGCATTGTCAACGGCAGCGAACATTATTTCCATCCTCACCTCTACTTACGCTTTTTGTGCTTGGGACTGCATACACTTTCGCTGTTCAGTGAATTTCTCATAGCAGTGTTAATAAGATGCGGTCGGATGCTCAAAAACTCAGTCAGGAACTCGAACTTGCGATTACTGGTCCGGAGTACAATTCGTTAAGAATTAGAGGGGGTTTAAGTTCCGAAGCACAGAAGCTCGCCCAGTTAAGGCTTGAGATGGACGACCTGCCTTCGAAGGCTGGAGGGAGGGAGAGAGATGGTATCTCATTTGGCGCCATATTGCATCATTGAGGAAGAGGAGAGCATGGAGACGGGAGTTGAATCGCATTGACAACCTGGCCATGATTTTCAACATGCTCAGGTGCGTCAGTCCTCACACAAGCCTTCTGGTGCCACGATATAGGCTGACTCAAGCAGAATTGCAAAAGGCACGCAGGAGACAACTGAGAAAATTGAAGCTATCGTCAACACACTAAAAGCGAGTATTGGAAAAGAACACGGATACGGTGTCACAGAACAGGAAAGAGAAGGACAAGCTGCTGACGTTGCTAGCTTAGATGCTTCGAACGAGCAGTGAATCAGACGAGAGGGCGGTTGTGAAATGTTCAGAACGAGAGACCAGCGATAGCGAAAAACTATGAGATTGTAAACCACAATCTAGTGGCCAGGGTTTCTCGAGTCACGTAAGACTCGAGACCAGAGCAGAGCATAAATCTAGGCAGGTACCATGGTGAGCTATTAACCTCGAGTCCACGTTTGGCGCAAGCTTTGCATCACAGCACTTGCTTTATAAACAACGGATGAATATTCAACCACCACCGTTAGACAAACATGCGTTCAAGCTTATATCAATGGCGAGCATACCGGGCTTATAAGCTCGATCGGGGTCAACATTGTCTCTCTCACTCTGGCACGGGCCTCGAAAGCCTTGAGTTGTGTGTCAAGAATGGCAGCTTAGCAGACGAGTGAAACATAGGACGGAATCACTCCTGTATTGCTGTAGGCAGGCTCTAGGCGTCAGTCCTTGTGTTCTCATCGCCCCTCTGATATGTAATACTCTCCACCGCCATGCTTCGTTCCTATCTCATCAGCGATCGCCTCTACTCTTTTGAACAACACAACTTAAAAGATCAACTATACACACTTCCACTCCATTATCTTTTCGAAGAGTTTGGCATATCACTCGACGAGTTACGCTCCGACGTTGCAAATTTTCCTCATCTAAATACTTCAGTTCAGCAAGAGATCGCCCGGGAAGATGGACAGCAACGGTAGTTTCGGTAGTCTCTCGAACGGCAGTTTCTCCAACAGTTCCTTTTCTTCATCCACTCCTGTACATCAGCCCCATGTACAAGAGAGCCCCGAACAGGGGCTTCGGGAACAGACACAGCCTCGATACAACCCGCCACAAATTGACGACTACATCAATAATCTCATCGATCACAATGTAGCCGAAGAAGACTGGCGGGACGAGAGGTGTGCTATATGCCAGCACGAATTTGGCACGGAGGATGGTCCCTCAACCTCAGCAACGAACCCAGACTCGGGTGTATCTCCAGCATTTCGCATGGCGCCTTGCAAGCATCTATTCCACGTAACTTGCATACTGAACTATCTCCAGACTACGGAACCCAACCGCAACCGTTGCCCGTTGTGTCGCGCTGAAATGTGCCAGACCGGTATTCCGCGTCCAGAGACCGTTGCACGGATGCAGAGCATGTATGAAAGCATCGATGGCCGACCATGGTGGAACGAGGCCAATTACGCCGCCATCATAGCCTACGTCGATGAGCAATTCGCTCTTCAGGGTCCAGGAGATGCGGCACACTTCGTCCCCATTCCGCGCATGGCCCTTGACTGGTGGGTAGCCCGAGGCGATGCACAAGTCAGCTGGGAGCAGCGAAACAGCCATGGACGATGGATTGAAATGATGGCTGCTATGCGACTACATGATCTTATCCGTTACGCTCATGTGCAGCATACGTGGCCTGGAATTAACTTCATGTGGCTGTGCCATGGGATTCACCGCGAGTATACTCGGTTATATGGTCAGCCTCAGCCTCAGCCTCAACCCTTGGGCGGTAGAACCTCACCAGATAGACGTTCTGAGGACCAAATTTCGATTGGTTCAACGGCATCGACTGTTCGAGATGACGAAGTTCAAGAACTTGGACTTGAGGCTGCTACGCAAGCGGCGGAAACCCGGGCTACTAGATCGCATCGGAATCAGGATAGACGGGATAATAGAGTGTCTTCCCGGCCATTACCTCCTCGACCAGCAGATGATGGGCCACGCATTGGCATACACCAAATGTTTGCTTATCTGAGGGCTGAAGAGGCACGGAATAGCCAGAACAATGACGAACTCGTCCCTGCTGATCGGAGCACTACTGATGAGCAGGCTGTTGTCGAAGATGCTGACGACGTTTTCAGAATTGAACGACCCCTGCTGCCAGAGAATCAAGTCTTCGACGAAGAGTACGCAGACACAGACTCTCCAGGCCACTCAGATGACGATGGCTCCGACGACGACGCCCCTGCCACCATCCCTAGCTCAGACAACGCCCCCAGCCTGACGCAGACCACCGAGTCCGAAAACGACAAGTGAAGTGCACTAGGCGCTCCAGAACAGCTAGAACCCCTCAACCGTGAGTTCCTAGACGCTGACGCCGACGATGAGGACGAGGAGCCGTTCCCGCCGCGGAAGAAGCAGAAGCGGGGGAGGGAAGACACTTCTCGGGTGGATGAGGAGAGTGAGGAGGTGAAGGACGAGGGGCCGCAGAAGATTGAGCGGGTAAAGAAGCACGTGAAAGAAATTAAGGTAGACATTGAGTAGACAGATCTTCTTGTAGAACCAAATCAATTTCATTTCAATATTTCCGTAGCATGGTTGAATCAGTTGAGCTTTTTGTAGAGTCCCGTGCTCAATAGTCTCATAAGACCCAGGCCAGACAAGTTCTGATTCTGGCCTCATGTATGCGACTTGAGATATGTATCCATCTTATATCCATCTTGTGATCACTCTCTCCGTTCTAGCTTGCTTTAGATCCCGTTATCCGCCAAGTTCAAAGCCAACTTTGCACCCTGGTTATCCACTGCTTGCTCTAGCTCTTTGCGCTTGCCCCACACCATGTCTTGAAATGTCATCGGAAGTATCCTCCAATTGCGCTGGGAGTCAAATCCGTAGACCAATTCCTTAAAGATTCTTGCGTCCTTGCGAGACGAACTCTTCAAGTGTCTCGAAAAGATCATCGGCGTACCAGAACAGGCCCCAATCAGAAGACAAAATCTTGTAACGCACATGAGGAACAAGTTGGGTCAGCGTAACGAGGCTGCAAACGAGCTTGCGGCGACCAGCGGTCCAATCGGGGAGTTCGAGCTTGATGACGACTGATCGTAGGTTTTGCAATGTTTGGGCGCCTGCTCGTCGTAGGAAGAACTCAAAAGCTTCATCAACCTGGGACCCATCGGGTGAGGCCGAAAATTCAACTTTCTTCATAAGTCCAATGTGTTCTTCTGTGAACTCGAACTCGTTGGCTTTCCATAAGACGGAGGCTACCTCGCCGTGAAGCTAGCGAGACACTCGACATAACGCGCTCAAGCCGTGTAGCCCCACGAACGTTCCGACACGAGTTTTGGGATTCAATGTCGTCTCGTAAGTCAACCACTCCCAATGCAAGCGTTCGTCACCCGTGAGAACATATTCAGCGATATGCAGTCGAAGCTCAGTAGGTAAGTCCATGAATGGGAACGGCAAAGCCGATTCAGCCCTCTCAGAAAGAGGTGTGTCACGTAGCTGCAGACCGATTTCGACGTGTTTACGCAGTGAGGGTTCTGCTTGGAATCTGCTGAAGTATCAAAGTCCTGTGCCTAGAGCGCGGATCATGATGTGAGGTGCTTACTGCCTAGATAACCGCAAGAACAGGTCACGGTCCGTCATGCTGAGACTCTTGAGTATATCAGTCACTTCCGCAGCCGCAAGCTGGACGTCGTGGGCTTCATTTTCGTTGGGTTCCGTAGTCGCAGCGCCGTCTTTTGGATTGAGGAGAGTAGCTATGATGGGCCACTCGCAGTTGGCCACTCGTCGGAACTGAGGGGTTGAGAGATGTAGGGGAAGGGGGAAGAGACGGCAAAGAGCAAACGAAGTTGAGTAGGAGCAACCCGCCAAGCCTAACAGGCGACGCGCTGGCAGGAGACTAGTCCTTCTAAACGCAGAGAGCATGGGGCTTGACGAGATCAAGATGGATAGTGGGGCGAAGACTAATATCAGAGCAAGAGCAGGTGAAGGTGGTTAAAAGCAGGTAAGAGTAGTCGCGACCGGCGCGTTGCTGCTGGCGGAGGCGGTGCAGGTCACGGTGAAGGGACAGGAGTACAGAGGGCATAGGGTGCAGCGGGCGGCACGCAGGGTTGTTGGAAGGCTACAGGTTCTTCACTGGGTATCAAGATATCAAGAACCGCGTCACTATCACCCAAAAAACATCAAGTGAAGTAACAGGCTCAATCCTCATTAATCATATCCAAATCCCTCCTACACAACCAGCCAGAAAATCTCAGCTCTCCCACCGCTGAACCAAAGAACTCAACGCCCGATGCTAAAAAACAAACGCCGATGTAAACAGAGAAGCCATGCCCAGAAAGAGCTTAGACCCCATGCTCATCCTACAAAAACGCCCTTGACCTGATAATAACCCGTATAGTACGTTTCCGTTTAACTCCACAATCCCCGCCGTCCCGGCCCTCGTCCTCATCCTCGCTGTCATCGACCTCCATCTCGACCTCCTTCTCGCCATACATGCCATTTTCATGCTCATGTCCGACAAGCGTGCTCGCGCCATCATCCTCATCAAGATCAAGCACGACCCTCTCCATATACTCCTGGCCAATAGTGGAATCCTTGCGTTCCAACTCCTTGACATGATTCTTATTAACAACAACAGCCGTTGCTGGATCCTCTTCTTCTTCGCGGTGCGGATCCAGCTTCACTGGTAAAAGATACCGGGACCTCCAGTTCATCCCCGTCTCCTCGGAGGCCCCATCAACTACAAAAAACCCTTCTGGCCGGATACGCGTCGGAGGTTGCTGCGGAGGCTACCGTATTTGCCTTTTTCGCTCGATGCTACTTCGCCCATCTCGCCCATTAATAGGCCGATGGAAGAGCCGCGGCGGGAGCGGGCGTCGCCTGCGTCACTTCCTGCAGCGGCGGGGACGCCGAGAGCGCTTCGACGTTCGACGCGAAGGTTCTTCCATCCTTCGAGTTCACGCTCAAGACGTAGGCTCTTCTCTCTCTCCTCACGGAGTTCACGCTCGGCGCGCTTAGCGGCAAGCTGACTTGACGAATCTGAGGATTGAAGTTCGTCGATGGTGGCGAGTAGGGTTGACATTTTCTCACGAGCCTTGTTCAGATCCTCCATTACTGAGGCGTTTTGCTTGTCGCGACGCTCGATCTGGGTTTGCAGGTCCTTGACGGTACGGTCGACGTTGCGGACGCTTCGCGATTCCGTGAGACGTGTTGATTCCGAGGTCTCAAGTGCCTTCTCAAGCTATGAAACATGTTAGTGAAATTCGAGTGACTGGGTTCGGATAACGCTTACCTCTTGAATACGGCCATGAAGGAACCTAACGTCCTTGCCGGCAGAGCCACTGTAGCCCTTGGTCTCCAGATCTACAAGGCGAAGCTGAAGGTCTTTTAGGCCCTTCTCGACTGCAGCCTTGTCCTTGTGCAATTTTACATTCGCTTCACGCTCTGCGACAATGTCCTTTTGCAACTCTTGTGCCAATGCCTCAGCACGGCGCATCTTGCCTACTGCAGCGGCAGCAATGTCCTCTTGCTGTGCCAAACCTGACTTGAGCTCCAAAAGCTCACGGTCGTAGGTGGCAGCGTTGCGCATCGCCGGCGAGTCTGAGCGCGAGAGGTCCTCAAGCGCATCTGCAGCCTCTTGCAGACGTGATTCGAGGCGTCGCTTCTCCTCGATAGCTGAGTCTCGCTCAGCAGCGAGGTCGTCGACGTTGGTGCGCAGGTTGCGAACCTGTGAAAGCAGACTTACGATCTTCGATTGTGCTTCGTTGTGGGCGTTGGCCGCCTCGTCGCGAGAGTTCGAGATAACTTGCAAAGTCATCTCAAGACGGCTCTTCTCCTTGGCCCAGGTGGAAGAGTTTAGGACCTCGTCATCCCACTTGCTTCGCATCTCCTCAATCTCCTCGCGCAATCGGCCATTCTCTTCACGCACATAGATGACGTTCTCCCGTTCGACATCGAGTTCGTGTGTCAATGTTGAGAGCTCAGTCTGGTACTTTCTCCGTGTCTGCTCCAACGACGTTTCACCATCCTCAACATCGTGAGCATGCTGGCTTCTGTAGTCCTCGAGCTCGTTTTGGAGGCGTTTCTTGGCTTGTAATGCAGTCTCCAGGTCGGTCGACAAGTCTTCGACGCGCTCTTCAAATCGCTGAACCTGTCGTTGGAGGTCTTCAACCATGCCATCCATGTTCTTGCGCTCAGCCATGACGGTCGCACAAGTCTCTTCAGCTTCACGCGCCTGCGACTTGGCAAATTGCTCGGCTCTCGAAGCCTTCAAAACAGAGATTTCTGCTTGTTCAAGCTTGTTGAAGTAGTCATCAGCCCTGTTCTTGTACAGGCTGAGGTTTGATTGAGCATCGACCAGTGTTGAAGTTTCATTGTCCAATCGAATTTGGAGGTCTGCAAATTCTTGTAGCAGTTGGTTGTGGTTGGCATGCTCTTGTTCTCTCTCCAAAGCGAACTCGTCGAAGTCCATCTTGATCTCTCGCAACTCATTCTCGATGGCAATCTTTGCTTGCTTGATGTCGTCAAATGCTGTCTTCGCGTCGGCAAGCTCGTTGATCGCCGCTTTGTGGGCCTGTACGACCGATTTGCGGGACTGCTCTTGTGATGTTATAAGATCGAAGAGCTCTTCGTGAGACTTAGTCTGGACTTCCTGGTAGGAGAGCTGGCCTGATTGAAGGCTGTGTTCGAGCGCAGACACCTTCTTGGCGGAATCATCGAGCATGTCATGCAAACGATAGTTCTCACGCTCCAGCTTGTGTACTCTCCGGACAGACGGGCTGTCGTCTTGGTAGCCGTTGCGAACAGGCGATCGCTCGATTTGGCTTTGCAGATGCTTGTTGCGCATCTCTGACATTTGTAGCTGATTCTGCACGAGCTCAAGTTCGGCAGCCATATCCATACGGTTGTTGAATGCGACAGTGTCAACAGTACGATCTGAGCGAGCAGAGTTATCTGTGGCGTTGCTGATATGCCTCTGGTTTGTTGGCGTGTTGGTGATCGAGAATGGCCTACGGTTCTCGCTATCCTTACGAACATGAGTAGGCGATCGGCGTGCGCCCGCTTGGTTGACTTGACTGCTGTTCATCTCCTCTAGCATTGCACGCTTCGAGTTAGCATGACGAGCATCCATGTTATTGAGCTCATCCTCGTGCCTTTCCCGGAGCTCATCCAACTGAGCCTCAGCGCGCGAGTATCGCTCAGCTGCCACACGCAGAGCTTGATTGGCAGCCTCCAAACGCTCCGCAAGATTGACCGTCTTGGTGATGTCCGGCTTGGCAGCATCGTAGGTGATGGTGACATCGGCGCCTTCGGGGTCGAAAACCTTGCGTAAGAGCATGAGCTGTTTGTGGCATTCTTCAAGCTCGCGGTTTGAGTTTTCCAGAGTTGCCTGAACGGTGCGAGTGTTGGCCTGAGCTTGTGTTCGAAGCTGCCTCTCGGTCTCCAGCTTTCTGTTGACATCTGCAAGCTGTAGGTTGAAGGTCGAAGACGCTTTTTCGGCGTTGCGGCTGGTCTTGTGCTCTCGTGTAATTTCATGGTTCAAGTCCTCAAGACTGAGAGAAAGCTTCTCTTTTTGCTTCTCTAACGAGGCAATGGTGAGCTGAGCGTCCTCAAGTTGACTGAAGAGGTGCTTGCTCTCTTCTTCAGCCTTGGCCTTCTCGTTCGTCAATTGTATGATCTTCGAACGTTGGGTTTCTCCAGCACGAGAACTAGATCGCGCAATGTCTAGGTTCTTCTGCTGTAACTTGTTGAGAAGGGCACGATTGTCGTTTTCGGATGCAGTCAAACGGCCTTTAACTGTGACGAGTTCTCGCTCGAGGCGCTCTTTTTGTTGGTCATTGCGCTCTTTGAAAGAGTCGGAGTCCGCTAGCATCTGTGTAAGATTATGAACTTGCTCGGCAAGCTCATCGCGTTCTGCTTCTAGCTGATCGAGCTGTTGGTCTTTTGCTTCAATCTCCCGTTGCTGTGCTGTTTGGCGTTCCAAGGCCAAACGGGACTGAACACGCTCTGCCTCCGCATCGGCATCAAGTTTCTCCTCCTCAAGCTTCATGTATTTCTCGCGGAGGGTACGCAGTTCGCTCTGATAGTCCTTGCGCTCCTTCTCATGATTGGCACGAGACTCATTGGCTCGTCGTAGAGCGTCTTGCTGGACGTACATCTCCTTCTCGATGGTGATCTTGGACTCGTTCAAGGCATCGAAATCTCGCTTCAAAGTGTCGTACCTATGCTCGCCCAGCATCTCCACATCGTCGCGAGACTGACGCTCCCGGCTTAGCTCCTTCTGCACGTGGAAAAGGTCTGCTTTGAGGGTTTCGATCTGCTCCTCTAGAACCTTTCGGCCTTCGCTGCTCTGTGCGTCTTCTGTAATCTTCTCCTCTAGGAGGCGCTTGGTATCAGCAGCTTCGCGCTCGAGTTGCTGCTGCTGCGAGCGCATAGCATCAACTTCAGCCTTGGCGTCTCGTAGCCGGCTCTGAAGATCATCGTGTTTCGAAGCCAGTGTGCGTTTTTCGCTGTCAAAGATCTGGCGATCAGATTCGTAATTCTTAAGGTCCGTCTTGAGGATAGCCAGTTCACTTTCCTTGCGCCTGATTAGATCTTCGTAGCTAGTCGAGGTCGACGAAAGGTCCGCGATTTGTTGTCGAACTTGGCGATTTTCGTCCAAGAGTTCCTTGATCTGTTTCTTGCTCGCTTGAACTTCTTTAACTGATGCTGCCAGCTTGATATCCAGATCTTGGTCGGTCTTGAGCAGCTTTGCCTGAAGCTCTTCAAGTTTGCGCTCCTTCAAGTGCAGGTGGCTGGTGAGCATCTTGACCTCTTGACTCAGAGACTCTTCGGCCTGACTACGTTGCGATTTGGCGGCTTCCAGCTCTTGTAGCTGCTGGTCCATTTCAGCAAGTTGTGTCTCAAGATCTTGTTTCTCGTCTTCCAGGCTGCTGATGATTTGACTAGCCTGTTCCAACTCTTTGCGCCAGACTTCGGCTTGTTCTTCGATCTTTTTCTTGGCCTCCATGAGTTCGTCTAGTTGGTCTTCTAACTTGTCCTGGTCTTCGATAGCTCCGGCAAGCTTCTCGGTAAGCTCAGCCTCTCGATATTGCAGGCGTTTGAAGATTTCTTCCTTGTCGAGTGCTAAAGCACGCTCACTTTCGAGCGTCTTCTGGATACGCTGGATGTCCATCTCGGCTCTCCTTCGCTCATCTTCAACTCGCTGCTTCTCGGCGGCCTCGAGTTGCATCTTCTCTTCCAGCTTCACGATCATTTCGTCACGCTTCTTGACTTCCGCGGCTTGGCGAGTAGCTCCAAGCATGGGCCTCATGCGCGCAAACAGTCTCCACCATGGGTTTGACTGCATGTCAAGATAGACCTGGAAGTTCCTTTGCACAATACGAGTGGCTTCAGCACGATAAAGTCGCTTGTGTGCGAGGCGACGTTGGACGAATCCTCGAGCTGCTGATTGGAAGCGAATCATGATATCTCGGATGAGTGTGTCACGCTGGTCTTCAAGCTCGGCCAAAACACCGGCTCTAAAGAAGACCTTGGTCAGACCAACACGATATAGTGCTCTGTCAAGGTTGAGCTTCTCCAGTATCATCTTTGCTGCGACCTGGCCCTCAAGGTAGCCTTTGGGGAGGTCTCTGCATAACACCTCGTATCGCTGGCGGAATTCGACAAAAGGCAGTCGATTAGGGAAACCTGTACGTGCGATACGGATACCTTCTAGTACACCGTTGCATCTGAGCTGATCGAGTACGAGGGGCGCGCTGAACTGTTTGGGTCGCTTCTTGTGATTTGGCAAGATACATCGAACGAAATGGGGATGTGTCGAATGAAGCTGGGTCATCAAGGAAGACAATTGCTCTTTGTGACGCTGAGCAACTGTTCGGAAGAGACCCTTCTTCACCCTATTACGGGAGCTTCCAGCATCATCTTCAACATCGGCACAATCCGTGAAGAGGTGAGCGATTTGCTTGTCGCTAGAACCAGCCAGGAGTCGTGTTACATTGTCGTTCAGCGGATCCTTGTTCTTCTCCAGCCAGCCTTCTGTGGAGTATTCTACTTCGGCGGCATAATGCGTGAGCATGAAACCTTGAGTAAGTAGCGATCGCTTGTACTTTGTACTTTTGCGGTCCCATAGGGAGTGTAGCTTCTCCGTGAAGGTCTTATCGGTGGCCTTTGGCATGACACTGTCCTCGTCCAGACACGAGAAGATACCAATCGGGTTAGGGAGCTCGATGAGATCAATAGTTGGCTGAAGATCGCGACCGAAGTCGATGAACTTCCACTCAATCTGCTCGCGAGCATACTCCTCCTGCTCAAGAACGAACATGTGATGGTTGAAAAATTGCTGCAATTTCTCGTTGGTGTAGTTGATGCACAGCTGCTCGAAGCTGTTCTCGTCGAAGATTTCGAAACCGGCGATATCGAGAACTCCGATGAAGTGAGAGTCATCTCCTCCGCTACCAGCTTGGTCAAGCTGCCGGTTGATACGGTCAACTAGATCTCCGAAGCCACGCTCGTAAATGCCCTTCGCCAAAGCATCGATGGATAGATTGACTTGCTCCGGAGTTTGAACCTTCTCAACCCATTCTCGGCCAGCTTTGACTCGTGGATGTAGAAGCGCCTTCACGAAGTCGTCTGAAGAGATGCCGAGCAACTGGGAGACAATCCTCGCCTGTGCCTCCGCGGCAAGATCAAAGGTTGCTTGGTCTGCTCGTCTGCTCTCCTTCATGGCCCGAATGTTACCGAGGTGGAGGACAGCCGCTACTGTTCGTAGTATGGAGGTTTGATCTTTGTCCGTGAATCCCATGATGTGGAAGGCTTCTATCAAAGCGTTCCACTCATCCCGATCAGATACTCCAGAAATCGCATCATTGCCGTGCTTGGTGTAGTCAAAGTCTTCGATCTCCTTATTGTTCAGATGCAAGTCCTGCTTCATCTTGCCATCTGCTCCTCGCAGAAGCTGGTAGAAGACATGGTAGTTCCGCTCATTCGAGTTGATTCGTACTACCCTGGATTTCTCCAGGAGGTACCAGTCAATGTATGCTCCAGCTATTTGACCAGTCGCAGTGAATTCGATCCTAATGAACTTTCCGAAACGAGAGGAGTTGTTGTTGCGCACGGTCTGGGCATTTCCGAATGCTTCGAGGATTGGATTGGCGCGGAGGATCTGTTCCGACAAGTTGGAGAGATGGCGTCCTCCCGACTTGGCTCTCGTATCGTCTGAATTTGCGACCGCAGCCAAATATTGAATGACCTTCTTGGTGTTCTCAGTTTTACCTGCGCCAGATTCACCGCTATGGTATATTAGCAGGGACACAGTGGAATAAGAGATTGCACTTACGTGACAAGAATACTCTGGTTCTCGCCCTCGTCTACCAGATTCCGGAAAGCTTCGTCCGCCATGGCGAAAATATGCGGTTTTGTTTCCTCTCTACTCCGCCCTCGGTACATGTTGATGTATTCTCGCGAGTATATTGGGAGCGGACAGTAGGGATTTATTGTGACCAAAAAGAGACCAGAGTAAGTCTGTATTTGTTAGCAGGCGCCAAACCATACAGCTCGCCAGACGTACATATATCAGATCCGCCTGGTATCGCATATGAAGATTGTGGATGACTGAAGGCTCGTTCAAGTGCGTGAGTTCTGCCATGTCGTCGGCTTTATCGAACTTGGCCGGATTGACCTTGTCGACCGCATCCGCCTCCACCTCCTGCTGCGAGCCATTGTCGCATTGTACGAGGATTCGTCCCTCTGGCAGATCTTCCACAACCCATCCCCGGACAAATGCAGTCGCCGGATCCCTAAGCCAGACATATCGCTTTCCTGAGAAGTCATTCTCGCCCTCGACTATGCCGCCTAGCCGCGGCGTCTCCTGACCGTCTTCCGATATGAACTGCGGTGCAAATGTGCCCACAGGTGTGCTATTGCGCGCAGAATTCGACCGTAATCGTGATGTATCGCTTCGTCCTAGTAGCGGGCTACTGAGTTGTGTGAGAGACTGATTCCGAAGGTGGCCCATTTTCGGCTCGTCTGCGAGGGGCGACGAGATGAACTCAGATTTTGGGCGCGCGTTGGGCGTTGGCCCTGGAGATGGTGATTGTGTATTATTCCTAGAGAAGGGGCTGTTGCGCGACTGGCGTGCAAAAGGCCGTCCTCCATTTGGTGCAGGCGCACTCATCGCGTTCTTGGTTGTGAGACTGGGGTAAGTGGATTGTGCAACCTGCAGGCGCGCGACGCATTATAGAAGGAACGCAAGACCGAAAATCAACAGTCCTGCAGAAATGGAAGGTGCAGACCAATTTTATGTACAAGGATGCACTGCACAGCGCCGAAGTTAACGATGGTGGTTACAGAGGTAATGGAGAGGGGCGGCTGTATGCGCGAGCACGTTCGGCTTGTTGTTTGTTTGAACCGACGCCAGCGGGCGTCGAGGCGCCCGGGGCAACCCTCCATGGTTAGGACGCGAACGTGCGCACGTGACGGCAGAAAGGCCGCTAGCAGCCGCCCAAATTGAAGATCTACCGCGCGCCTTCACTTTCTGCCGTCGCGACTCCAAATCATCAACACGGCGATCGATTATCGCATCAACTATAGAATCCTCGTCGCCCCTCTTCTTTGCTCGCCCGACACCCGCCTTGCTGCCCAATGATCTGACGCAAGCGCGACTGTAATAGAGAGAGAAGTGAGAGACGCGAAGAGCTTCCAGATACACTGAGCCAAAATGGCGCAACACAACTATGGGCAGCCATACTACGACCTTCCCTTCCAGTTTCCCCCTCAGCAGCAAATGCAACAAATGCAGCAGTCGATGGCCCATGCGCCGCCACCAAACGCGCAAGGCAGCTCTCAGGCAATGCAGCCCGCACCTGCCCCAAATGCTTTCTATATTCCTGGTCTGCAGCAACAAGCGCCTCCCTCAAATGTTAACCACCATGCCTACAGCCAAAACGCTCAACAACCCCCGTATCCGCAAGGTAATTCCCTCTCCACGGCATCGAAGCGCCTCTCAAACTGAGACTGACTTACCGCAGCTGCGTGGCCGCCACCTGATCCTGCCGCTTTCTTTGCCATGATGCAAAGCGCTGCCATGAATGGACAACCTCCACCACCCATTCCTGGCTTCGCTTTCCCTTCACAGTCGTTCCTTCCTCCCAACTCTCAATACCCCGCGCCACCGATGCCGTTCCCTCTCCCACACCAGCAACAAAACACAATGGCAGCTAGTGACCGCATCCAAGAAGTCATGGACAGCGACAGAGAAGACGGTGAGGTCAGCGAAAGTGAGGCTGCCTCTCTTGTGCCGAATGGTAAGGCTTATGGTCGAACACATGCCGAACCGCCACGCTCTGCTCCACAGGCGAAGCAGGCGTCGCCACGGATTGAGGAAGGCTACAATCCCGACAGACCAGCCGCTGGCCAGATGAAGGTCAAGGAGCCCGTTCGACGAGCATCTCCGCAGCTACCTGCCCCGCCACCTGTAGACCCAATTCAACGCGACCGAGACCAGGCGAAGCAGTTCATTAAGCTTCTACATAGCAACAACATTGGCTATCGTACACTGGCCAAAGAGCCTCTGGACCTCGAGCAGTTGCGAGGTATCTATCAAAGTTTAAATCTGCCATCTGAGCCTGCACCTATCCTGCCACCCAAAGAGGTTGCTGCGACACAAAAGCTACCTTCGCAAGCGTCTACAAACTTAGCAGTTCAGCCAGTCTCGGGCAGCTCAGGACATCAGCCTACCCCAGCTCCTATGCTCAAGACGGCAGTTCAAGCCGCTCCTGCATCTAGTGCAGCTCCATCCCCTGTTGATCGGAGGGATTATATCGCTCGTCTACAGGCAGCCAAACTCGCAAAGCAAGCCGGCGCAGCGAAGGCAAGTCCACCACAACATATTCCACCAGTGGCGAGTGCACCAGCTGCGCAAGCGGTGAAAGCCCCTCAACCAATCACAACGCCCACTCCAAAAGCACCCATGACCGATGAGCAAAGGGCACGTACAACTGAATTGATCAAACAACGGCTAGAAGCGATGAGGGCTGGGACAAAGCCGTCCACTCCAGCTGCAACAGCTCCAGCCTCAGTCTCGTCGCCTTTTCAGAAGACAGAGGCAAAAAGATTGCCGGCTTCGCAGCGCGCACCCTCTGGGACAACAACTCCTGTTCATCAGTCGTACAATGCCGGATTCACCGGAATACCTGGGCTATTCATGCAACCCTCTTCTTCCGTGGATAACGCGTCTAGACCATCGCCGTCTGTCCCTCAAAAGCGGCCCGCTCCTGTCGATTCGACCGAAGCCTCTACGCCGCGCGGCTCTGCGACGCCATACACCCGACCGTTGGGCGATTCTCCTCACGCATACAATGAAGACCAAATGATCATTGAGGTCAGCGATGATGAATCTAATGGCAGCGACATGGATATCGACAATGATCAGGCACCTCCATCAACGAGCGTCCAATTCCCAGGAATGTTACCCAAGCTGCCATCTCAGCCAACTTCTGTTCTTCCCGGATCATCCGCTGCCAGCACGCCCGGACCGCCAACTCCAGCTACACAGGCCCGAGAGAAAGAATTGAAGAGGAAGGAAGACCAGCTGGCAGCTATGAAGGAGACACTCAAGAAAAAGCTTGCTGAAAAAAGGGCAAAAGACAAGGCTGCAGCTGCGGCATCCTCCCCAGCACCTCAAAGCGCTTCGTCAGAGCAGAATGGCATTGCCACGAGTCACCAAAAACACAGCAATCAGCTTGTCCAACCTCCTCTGAACGTGCTCACCACCGCTCCCGGTGACACCATGCAGGACACGAACGAGCTTTCTAGAGATGTGAAGCGACGTCGCAGAGACGAGATTGTGTCGAAGCTACCTGTTTTCGATGTTGAGCTTGCTTCCAATACCAGTAGAATCGCAGAATTGATGAGGGAAATGGAGGTGTTGAGGGCGCAAAGTCAGAAACTTGCCGAAGATAAGGAGCGGCTCACACGTGAGCTAGAGAGCATCGGGGTCGACACCGAAGGTATGTCGCACGATGAAATGCGCGCCAAAAAGGATGAGATCGAGCACGAAATGCCATCCGAACGCGAATCCATGGCTGCAAATGCAGGTACTGTCTTTGCCCCTCCGACCAATGCTCCAGTCTCCGCCTCTTCAGGTCCTGTTGCTGAGGGACAAGACATGGTTCATACTAGTTCAGTATCTGAATATCCAGTATCATCGGGGCAGGGAGAGGCTGCTGCACAGGTTGCTCTTCTTCCTGGCTTAGGTCAGACTTCTCAGTTGAAGGTCAACAGTGCAGTGGCACCTGCCCAGGCTTCAACTGTTGACCGCGTCGCAACTGTGGAGACTGCTGGTTCCGTCATCGACGCATCACAGTTCTCACATAATGTGTCTGGGCTTGAGGATCCAGCGGCTGCAACCACTCAGCTGATGGCTTCGGATAAGGCTACAGTGGAGCCTGAGCAGCAAGTGAACAATGGTGCAACTCCACTCGATGAGGACGACTTCTACTCTCCAGCACCAGCAACTGAGCCTGGCCAGGGGGAGAGTCTAGTCCAGGATCTACCCCAAACATATTCCGAAGCTCAAGCTCTGGACGCCCCCTCTCCGTCTGAAGAAGGGGAGGTCGAGATGTCGGTTTCTTCCGAGGATGAAGAAGAGGAGTATGAGCCTGATGAGCTCGTGGTCACCGAAGAGACCATTGACCAGAGTGCTCAGCTTCCAGGACCAGAGGCAGCGCAATCTGTGGCATCTAATGACGTCTCTACCGAGGACGAAGAAGCTTATGAGCCTCCTGATATTGATGAGGCAATGCCCGATGTGCAAGCTGATGTTTCTGTCCCAGAAACTGACTCGGTCGAAGCTGGTGTCGAAGCTGATATAGAAGCGGAAGATGGTGAAATGGACATAGCTTCCTCATCTGAGGATGACTCAGACTCAGATTCAGACTCGGAATCAGAGTCCGACGGAGAGATTGCCGAAGAGTCTGCAAACGACAAGACCATTTCAGCAAGCAATGCAGGGCTGCAGACCATTAACGTTGCTGACGATCTAGCTCCAGAGTTGCAGCCTGAGAATGCATCGCAACACGTACGTCCAACACTCGCCTGCAAGCGTAGCTAACCGGGAAAAGGCATCTGCCGCTCATGAGGAGGTAGAAGCGGCCAAGTTCACCCCTTACGAGAGTCCACTTCGCATGTTCAAGTCGTATCGTTACCATCCAAACTTTACGAACGATGTCACTGGCGGCTTTATGTCCTCCACATTCAGCCATCAGATCGACCCCAAGAAAGCTCTCTGTCAGTACGAAACTGCAGGAGGTTCTTGTAACGACAAAGACTGCCCCGATCAGCACTTTCGAGATTTGGGCATCACTGGTGCGTATTGACAACAACCGAATCGGCATCGCAGTACCCCTCCATTGCACGCAGACTGACTTTTGTTCTTTTAGGTGAGACGCTACTAGTTCAGCTTGGTACTGCCAATCCAGGGAAGACCCAGGAAGAGAAGCAACAGTGGAACGACGGTCTTCGTAGCGTTTTAAACGACCTTCGCAAGAGGCGTATCAAAGACCCCAGTGGCATCGCTGCTGAGATCACAAAATACCGTCGCGAGTTCTTGAACGACGACACTCGAGTGGTCAACCTTTGATCCGTGTAAACTTGCGCGCTGATGGTGCAGGCTTTCGAAGCCTCCGCCTATCAGTAGCCGTATACCGACGTGCAACTGACTCTAATCATGCAGTACAGCACGTCTTGTCTTATACTTCTTTTCTTCGAGCCTGTCGATGAAATCATCACAAACTTTTCTTCGACTCTTATAATTTCGACTACCTTGTTCGGCGCTTGGCGCGACTGTAAGCATCGATACCCACTGCATTGGTACGGAGTTTGGATCTACCACTTATACTTCCCCTTGGTCAAGCACAAGTTGGTGTGTCATGGGTATATGCACGCCTGTTCAGGCAGCATAAATCTTATAGCACGGAAAGTGTCCGCAACTGCCTCAGCTATGCAGAGATGGAGCTACAGGTCTGCGCCGACAGAGCAAGCCGGGCTTGTCTTACAACGAGATCTGAATGTCTTGTCTACATGGTAGTAGCTGAGGTAGATGTGGATATGGATTCCGTGATGATAGCATAGGTACATACATAATAAACATTATTCTTGGACATCACTCGCCCAGTAGCCTCTCTCGCCACGAACTGAGATTGCATCTCACTAACTACCAGGGACAACAGACATCCGCCCATCTTCCATACTGAAGCTAGCCTTTTCATCACAACTGAACTCTGAAGGCGCTGAGAAGGCAGAAGGGCAGGAGAAGATAGAAGAGAAGATAGAAGAGAAGATAGAAGAGAAGATAGAAGAGAAGATAGAAGAGAAGATAGAAGAGAAGATAGAAGAGAAGATAGAAGAGAAGATAGAAGAGAAGATAGAAGATGAGGACAAACAACGAAGTCCAAGTCCAACACCAAGCGAAATCGTGCTGCGCGCGGATCTGGCGTATACGGGTCTTCTAAGCGATTTGAATGCGCAGATGATGAGGGATGGAGTTGGCGTGCGTGCGGGAGAGGAAGAAGAGGTTGATGGCATTACTAGCGGAACTTGTGGAGAGGAAGGAGAGGGATTTCAGGAAGGACCAGGACGAGAGGGACCAGGACGAAAGCGGAGGAGGGGGGTGAGGGAGTGAGGAAGGCGGGCTACTGGTTTGTTTAGTACGAATGAGTGTATATTTTACGGTGGTTGTGAATATTTTGCCTGCTTGATTTTATGTCTTTGATGGAAGTATTAGATTGGTGATTATGGGATACTGTTCAGGTCTCTTTTGTGGAAGGAAATACATATTCATGTTTGATAGAATGCATACTATGCAATGTCTTGGAGATGTGGTCTGCTTGATGTTTTGAAACAGAAGAGGGAATAGTACTTGGCAATTGCGTGCTTGGTTAACTGAATCTACCAAGATTGTCGAGCGCACGCCCAACGCACACGCACATGCGACGCTTATCGCCTTTTAATATCAGTCAAACAGCCCCATACCTTTGTCGTAGCACTACAAACCGTACACATGCACCACAGGAAACTTCCGCAGGTGTTGTTGGGCTGTGCTTACCACCGACGCCGTAATTTAGACGTGCTTCTACCGTGCGGTACCGCATCTCACCGAACATCCCTCAGACAGATTAGTCTACATCGAACAGCCGAAACGCGAGGCAGGCCATGACTCATGGCCAAGCTCCCGAGCAAAGTGCCGTGCAGCCGTCATAAGCAGCCTCTTTGTTCGGGCATGCTTCTTTGTCTGACGTGACCCCAGCTAACGGCAGGTCGCATGAACCATCCATCACGAGATGCGGCTCAGCCAGTAACTCTTCAGTCGCCACACTTGGGGGACGCCGTAATGGTAGTTGAGGACGGGAGCAGTGGTGAGTGGCTGAGCGATACGAAGGAAGTTGGTACTGGCTTCCCCGCGCTCTTGGTTGCATATCAACGTTCCGGAGCATTGGTTGGTGATCCATGCGCAGAGTTTTGAGCTAGCCCTGGTCTTGCTAGGAATGTAATATCGGAAACCTGCTCCGAGACTGGTACGTCCCAACGAAGTGTAGATCGACCTTGAAACTTTCTTTGCACGCCATGTCGCCTTTTTACGCTCGTGGACGTGACTCTCAGAAATGGTGGTATTGAGCTCAAAGTTGAGATGTGTGGTCGCGATTCCTCTCGGCTAGTCCGAACTGTGGGTCGTAATGTGGAGAGACCAAAAGCTAGGCGTGATGGTCGACAGTACAATCGTCCAATGACCATAACTGAATCGTGATCCGGTGCTTTAGTGGTTTCCAAAGCGTAGAAGCGACATCCGGTGAGCCGCTTGCAGGGTAACGGTTGCGATGATGTGCACTGTTCTTTCGCTCGCGTGAGGGTAGAGAATTTAGCTTACACGAACGGGCTCTCGAAGTAAGATAAGTCTGTCGAGTCAGAGGCGGACTGGAAGGATACAGCAATGGCTGCTGACAAGATAGAGCGTCCACCGTAGTCGTTGAGCTGCACATGATGTTGGTTGAATATATTCGTGGAGAGAATGTCGAGATATTTGTTTCCAGGAGCCGTTCTACGTGAAAATCCATGTCAGGTGCTTGTGACTTTTTGGGGGCGAAAAAGTGTTGACTGGGGTAGAGTTCAGACTCAGGCAATTTGGCCAGTCACTAATTGTGCGAAGTGACGCAGCTCACCTTGGACAAAGTCTTCAGCCATATTGTATCCTTGTAACTGAGCACAGATGTAGTGCCGGACTCTGACAGCTGTACGCGATATTGCTGGTGATCGATGAAGGCATTGCAGTACAACTCAAGGTACTTGTCTCACGCGGATAGAGTACCCGAAGGTGATGATAGGGTATCTGGGCGAGTACTGTCGCTGTGTGGAAGCACACAAAAGGTACTGCTGTCTGTTGTGCTGGTTGAGATATTTTGCAACATTGGAACCACTTCGACATCAAGCTCATGTGGTGCCCGTCTTACCAACATGACGTTGTTGAGTAAGCTTCAATGATTGGACAGGTAGCTGACGCCGGAGGGTACTTGTGGCTTGAGTCCGGTGTAAGACCAGTAGTAAAAGAGATGTGCGTTCGAGGTATAGATTCTATGGTTACTGAAAGAAAATTGACAGGTCAGCTGCATCCGCTCAGGTTGTAGCGGCCGCAGATTGGTCTGATGGAACGAGTCTACGCGACTCAGGGTCAGCCTATGCGCTATTGCGGTATGGTTGCCGTCTGAAGCACGACTTGCGAATCTGGAAGCAGGAGAGGACCAGAGACTGAACGCCTGTAGATTATAGTCGAGTCAGTCTTGCTCTAGGAGGCAAATGACGGACATGATCTACCCGGCTGGAGAAGTTCCAATCAGCGAGGCTATCATCGGTACACAATTCTATCGTGTTGACCGGAACTGTGCTTGGGAGAAGAGCGGGCGCACGTGGCGTGACGGTGAGCGGCTCGGCAAAGGTGATGACAGGTTGGGCCAAACGACATGATGTGAGCAGTGTATAGATGTTTGTGAAGGTGGGCATGGTGATGGCGTTGGACGAGATGCGCGATTTGGGGGTGCGCGAGAGAGGAAGGAGCGAACCGCAGCGCTACAGAAGTAGATTGGCCGCTTCGGCTTAGGACGGGCATCACTACCACGTGCTCCTCAACTCGCAATCTCGAGTGCTGTCGTGAGGCTCTTTCCCTTCTTCTGCTCTTACCACCAGCTGTACTTCGGAACGCACGGTCACCGCCGGCATCCCGACTCGGACCACACTACGGTGATTCGCAGGCCGCATCCGCTTGCGTGTGCTGCCTGATCTAAATGCTGACATAAAAGTCAGCAACCCCCGCATCGGTCCCTGCTATCAATCAGTGCCCGAATTCTGCCAGCCTCTTAGCATCGAAGCCGCAGAAGACTGGCGCCGAGGTGTCCTATGGCGCGCGGATCGCGATGGCTGCTGCTGCGTCGCTCACTGAACCGCTCTCGCGCCGATCGAGACCAGGCTGGGGCACGTCAATCCGCCTGGAATTCTCTCCGTTGCCAGGCCCAATGTGCTGATTGGCCCGCAACGGCATTTGAGCACCAGCTGACCGGGACGCGAGCGACGTGGAGGACTCGGTCGCGGTTTGGGTCTGTGGGTCGCAAGCCAAAAGCCACTGAGCGGCACGCTAGCAAGCAGGCCCAGGTTCGTAAGTTTGGGATATGGCCGGCAGGCTTGTGATGACTTTGGATGCACTCGAGATGGCGCTTGCAATAGCCTGAGCTCACGTACTGGCGCGTTCTCAGGGGTCCTCCCTCCATCACGTTACGGCCTGAGCAGGGGTCGCCGTCAACGTGGGTGTGGAAGGGCGCCACAACGAGGTCCAAAGTCGAAGCGCTGCGATAGCAGTGTCGCAGGGACGAGACGAGACAATGCGGGCTTGTGGCACTGGCACCGGCTGCACAGAAGCTGCTGCATGCCACGCCCACGCCGCTGCGACTTCACGTTGCCAGACGCTGATTACCTCCCGCTGGGTAGCTGGGTAGCTGGGCCTGCCAATGGGAAGGCGGGCCACCACCGGGTTAGATCGCTGGGGAAGAGTTGGCGGCAGCGGAAGGCCAAAGCATCCTGACCCCATACCTGCCCGCTGATATGGCCGAGAGCGTCGCAGCGTCGCAGACACAGTGATTGCGGATGAGGGCGCATCGGCGCAAGGGCAGAGAGGAACGCGCGCACAGAGGAGAGCAGCGCAGCGATGCGCACAGCTATGTACCGCACACATGCCGCGGCGTCATTGCTGAACAAGCGTGTGGGAACCCGTCGACGGTGCCTGTGCGACCCGGATACTCGCACAGGCAATTAGCGTGGGTTAGCCCTGGAGGGCTGTGGTGAGGATGCTCCATGGCCGCGATCATGGTGGCTCCCCCAACGCGCCTGCGTCCTGGTTATCACTCTGCGAACGCCCCTTCCCAAGCCCACATCCAACATACCTCGCTCATTTCCTCCTACACCACCTCCCCTCGGACTGTGCCGCCTCCAAGACGCCTATTTCCCGTGCTCTGCCGTGTCTGACCTGTCCGCGCTTTCGCTCTCCTGCCCTGGTGCCACCGCGCTGATTCGCCGTCGCGTACAGGCCGGCGCTCGAGGCCAGCGCCCAAACCGCCAACTCTTCCTCCACCAGCTCCCACATCATTGGTCTCTGCCCGCTTTATTTCTCGCCATTACCACTGCAGTCGTTCGCTGCATGCGCATTCCTTGCCCACCCGATAGCCTTAGCGTGCGACAGCATCTCATTCTCCTACGCAGTCTTGCTTTTAGTCGGGCCCCATATCAGGCCCAGCTAGTCCCCCCGTCCGACCTCGCCTTGTCGCGGATCCCACTGCTTCGCTCCCTCACCACGGCCTGTTACCAGCACTCGGACGGCTGCATCCCCCTTACGGTGGCTGCGCGCAAGCCTGCAGCCTTCTTTGAATCCGTCCAGCCTACTTTGGCTGTGCGACGCGCCAATCGGCCGCATTTTCGCGTGCGATTACCACCTGTGCCCTGCGCCCGCTAACCAAAAGTTCACTGGGCATAACCACGTTTCGAAGCTGTTTTACACCCAGGCTTCCTCCGCCTCTACGCCCGCCTGCGACAGTGCTCACTTTCGATCCTGACGTTTCTAGCAACCGCCCACACTGTCTGCCTCGCCCCGCGACTCGACCCGCCTCGACCCCAGCTCTTTGTTCCCAACACGGCGCCGCAATACCGCAACCACAAAGGAAGAAATGGCCGGTGGGCCTAGTCCGAGCAGCACGAGTCCCTCGAACCTCTCCAACAGTCCGTTCATGCACGGCTCCATCAGCAGCTCTACCTCATCCTCTCCACCAAAGCCTTACGCGTCGCAGCACACCATGACGGCAGAGGTCTTCTCAGCGTCGCATTCGTACGGCATGCCAGGCCCATTCGGAGAGCGCAGGTCCGTGGACAAGAACGGCCACTCCATGTTCTCCTCCTTCAGCGACCTGGAAAGCAGTCCAGATGCGAAAGGCCCGACATACTATTTTCCTGCGGCAAGCTGCCTTAGCAACAGCGATCGCGAGGCTGTGCGCAACATCTTACTTTTCGCCAAAGATCTCATCGACTGCGAAATGGTGCCTCAGTCCAGGTTCAACGATGACAAGGGCTTTGCGGCTGCTGTCGCCCATTTCCAAACTTTTGAAGGCGCAAAAGAGGCGCGGGATCTCCTGAATGGGAAGCGAAATGCTACCAACGACGCGACACTGATAGTGGACGTTATGCAGGAACCCGCTCCCGGCGCTTTCGGATCACGACGCAACACGGTCGACAGTTCATCTACGCGACAGGGCTCCATTGCAAATGGGATCGCCGGCGCTACCAACAATGGCCGACAATCGTCGCGATATAATGGAACCTTTCAAAATATGGAGAAGATGTCCCCACCCAACGGAACCCCCGGCCTTGGCAACGGAGAATTCCCTGTATCAAACCTGTTCTCGCCAACATCACCTGTAAACACATCATTTGCCAGTCGCAACCTGGGCAAGTCTGTTATTAACGATGAAGCTGACGACGACGATGGCCTCCTCAATGATCCACTAGGATATGCTACCGGTGGACCACCTGCACAATCTAGCATGCAGCGCAGGGCTACGAACCCAAATCCATCTATACCCGTTTCACGCTTCGCATCCCTATCACTGAACACCAACGGCGTCAACGGCATGAGCTCTCCACCATTACCAAACTATGCTTCGCCCAGATCTGGCGCGAACATGCAATCTCCTGGAACAGCATTGTCCGCAATGTCCCCACACACTATCCCATCTGCGTTGAGCAACGCACCCAGCGGCGGCTACCAGCAGTACTCACAGCATTTTGCGCGACCAACATACCCCCCTGTCAACCCAGCTGACCAGAACCCACCATGCAACACGCTCTATGTGGGCAACCTGCCCATGGACACTTCCGAGGACGAATTGAAGGCAGTCTTCTCCAAGCAGCGCGGATACAAGCGCCTTTGTTTCCGCACTAAGCAGAATGGCCCCATGTGTTTTGTGGAATTCGAAGACACATCATTCGCTACCAAAGCTCTCAACGAACTCTACGGATACATGCTACACAACAGCGTTAAGGGCGGCATCCGATTGAGTTTCTCCAAGAATCCTCTTGGCGTGCGCAGCGGTCAGAATTCTAGCATGAGCCCTGCCTCTGCCATGTCACCGTCCACCCCCTTGTCCGGCTTTGCGAACAATGTTGCAGCTCCTCCTGGCTTCTCCACCGCCACTGGGCCACCGCCTGGACTATCTGCACCCCCAGGCTTGTCAACTCCGGTGCACCACACCCACGGTCCCTCCAGCTTCGGCATGTATGCCAATGGCGGTTTTGGACATCATGACATGGCTCCTCCAATGCGGCAGCCTCTGGCATCCAGTGTTGCTGGCAATGGCTTTGGAGGATACTCCTCATACATGATGGGGCGTTAAGTGTGATGATGAACCGCTTTGCTATGCCGTTACGAGTGATGATCTAGGAGTTTGGGGTAGCAGCCATCACCGAGCATTTGCACGAACTGTGTTCCACCTGTTGTTGCGTTATATCCTGTCCCTTCAGTCATTGCGAAGGTGTTGAGTTGTTTGATTTCGATATGGCTTCGTTTCTTGGTTTGAGCAAGGGCATGGGTACCGGCGCGGAATTTCTGACGGCCATTGTGTCCGTTGGTCTTGGACTTCATTTCCAGCATACAGCGATGATTCCCCCCTGCGCGATTGCTCATACGGTTTGCTTGGCGTTGGCGTTGGAGACAGGAATCTCGTTTTTCTCTTCTTTTCATTGCGCCTATCAAATGCCTCATCATGTCTTGCTGTTTCCTAGTCTGGACCAGGGAACACCAGTGGTGTATGGAACCGTATGAACAGGGCTCTGTCCGTACGTTAAGTGCATTCTTTTAGTCGCTATTTAGTCCCCTTCTACTTCTACGAAAGCATGTTTGGCAGGTTTGCACACATGGTACGGCGCCATCGATATTGATGTGCATGGCTTAGGCTTGGTCACATTTAACGGAGAACACATGATACAGGGGAATCTCGTTGCATGGCGGCTAATTGTTTGGAAATATACTGTTTTCTCTCCTCGAACAATGTTTGGATTCATTCATATGGCAGAAGCACACGGTACGCTCCGTCACAGAGCGGGACTGGGCGCTGTTCTGTCCTTGCGGTGATCTTTGCAAGCATATATGTCTTTGTAGGTCGCTCGATCTTCTTGCTTGGCCTTGGCCTATTAGTTTCCAATCTTTGGTTGATATGGGCTGTCAATACTTTAGCGTTAGTAAAGTCCATTTAGTGACACCTCTACATCTTGTCCTGATACCCGGCCACGGTGACTGGTGACCTGAAGAGAGCCCGCAGACAGCGTTTCCCTCATGAAGGTTGTCAAGAGTACGCGCACGTGGCATGTGCGAAGATGACGGCGGCTTGCAGCACTGAGCCGGCTCATTGCTGGGACGCCCTGTAGATCATTTACTGCCGGGACTTCTAGAAGCAGAGCACTTTCCTAAAGATGAGTAGCTCCCGCGGACGGTTGCCTCGCAATCAAGGGCTGCAGTGTGATGTCCTGGTCATAGACAACAGCGCGATAATTGGCCGATGATTGATCAGGCTAGGCTAGTTATAATCTAGCGTTGGCCGATTTTCTCTAACTCGAACTTTGCGAACTGCAGACAACACCACAAGCCCATATTCTGCACGTCTTTCTTTTGTCACTCATTCTCTTCATCTGCCAATGCTGTAGCACTTACGACACACTATAATGCCTCCCCGGTTACGTTCCGCAAACCTCCCTTCCCCCGCCACATCATCCTTTTCCTCGTGCTCGCCTCTGAGACCGCAATGCATCTCACAAACAGCACAATCATCACGCGACTTCTCACAAACGTCGTGTCAGCAAATAACAATGCGGCGACGGAAGTTCTATGAGTGGATGAACGGTCCCGGGAGGTCAATGAAAGATCCGCTGCCCAATTCGACGAACTACCTTGGGGCCTACGACAAGTATGGCAACCTGGTACGAGCTGGGCCAGGGTGGCGACGAAACGCAGCAGATAAGGGCGGTGCAAAGGGGGAGCAGCCGGCAATGAAGGCTGAAGAGGTCACCAAAGATCCCGAGGCGGACCCAGACAAGGCGCCAGCGGGACAAGAAGATCTAGACGAGTTGGAGGCTGCAATCCGAGAAGGGGAGGCTGCAGAGAGAGATGGAAAGAAGACGAATAAAGAAGAGGAAGACGACAGCAAGCTGCCACCCGAAACCGCAGAAGATTTGAGACCGTTCCCACTTAACCAATACTTCCGGAGTCAACCAGTTCTAAGCGAAGACCTGCGAGAGGCTATATACCAACGCGTCAAGAAGGACGGAGCCACAGTATCACTCGCCAGTGTGGAATATGGTGTCAGCAACGAGCGTGTCGGCGCCGTTGTGCGGTTGAAGCAGCTGGAGAAAGAATGGATAGCACAGGTATGTCACTAACACTTTTCTTGCAAACCCCGATTACATGATGAGAGACCTTCAAAATTCGATTAGTCTTTAAGACACCCACATGGTTACAAAATCAAGTTATGCTCTTGCTGAACGTCAACCCCCACCGCACTATTATACCACAACTCTTTCAACGACACAGACTGACATTGGCATATAGGGCAAACACCTTGCTATCCCCTACTCCAAAGCCGTTCTTGACATGCTCCCTATCACACCCTACGTCGACACTTCCAAACCTGAGAACAGGGGCAAACGCCCAATCATACACGAACCCATCAACGACCTCATTGTCCACCCCGCCACACGTCAACAGCTCTTCGTTCCTGTTTCTGAGTCACGGCACTTCACACGAGTGGATGCTGGTAAAGCATTCGATAACAACCTGCTTCCTGCCGATGAACGTATCCCTCACCCCGAACTTGTCCTTGCTGAGCGCGAACTCGCTCAAGGCCTTAGCTTCGAAGAGCGCCGACGCCTAGCAGAAGAGCGCCTTGAAGCTGAAAACGCCGAGAAGCGCAAGATCGAAGAGAAGAAGCAAGCAGAGCTTCGCGCACACAAGGTCGTTCCCAAGAGGCGGTGGGACTTTGTGTTTCAAGATGTCAGCGTTGATGCTGTCGGGCGGGATGGAAGAAAACACACCGGTGTTGGATGGCGATATGGTGTGCCGCACCAGGATAGGAAGAAGGGACAGGTCAAGATACCAACCAAGGTGGAGGCCTAGTCTGGAGTGTATGATATGGATGTATATGAAATGTAGTATAGCCATTGAGGCTGGCCAATATCATCGATTGGCAATCACAAACATTGCAAATATCCTACATGCACGATCTAGTCCACGGACTAGTCAAGCCGGTATATGCTGGCAGTACATTTCGTTCACCGTTCAAGAAGAACGTTCGAGGCCATGTTCCCCCACCATGTCGGCATCTAGCATTCCTATCGTCATGCTCGAACGCCTTGCATATGCTACTATCCAACTGAACGGTCTTACATGTCCTGCTACACGAATGCGACCATGTTCCAGATCACCACACTCATCGCACTCGCACAGTGTTCCACCCCAGCCTTCTAGCATAGGCTCGGCCGCACGATCCATGCACTGGCTACAACATGCATTCCGTACGCACCCCAACCCCCGTGAACCCACAGTCCCTGCTGTGTGCATCTAGACCTCAACCGCCCATCTGCCGTGCGCGCACCTCCGTCCCAGCCATTACCGATACTGCACCTTCGCCCCGCCTCTCTTCTCCATCTTCGCCTGCCTCTTACTCGTCCCGGCCTCAGGCTGCGGCACGCCCGCAGCATCCGTAAACCCGCCCCGCATACCCGTATACGTCGTCCAAGCCGCATACGCACTGTACAGCGGAATCACGCCCCACAGCCACCACGCCTTGTCGCCCAGCACGCCCGCGAAGAATATCACGCCGTATGTCCAGTAGATGACGTCCCACATGTATTCTGTCAGCCCTTTGGCTTCGAGGTCTTCGCCAGCGCGCTTGATGGCGCCGTCGGCGGTGAGCGTGGGGCGCGATTGCCGCTCGAAGGCGAATTGGATGAGGATCTGGGGGGAGGCGAGGAAGAGGTAGAGCAGGAGGGAGCGCCGGGTGAAGCTGGAGTGGAAGAGGATGGCGCGGAGGAGCCAGTAGATACCGTGGATGAAGAGGGTGAAGTAGAGGGTTTGGTTCAGGCGGGCGGTGTTGGAGGCCGCGAGGGTTTTGGTGGCTTTCTGGGGAATGGTTAGTGGAGTGAAAGGGTGTTGCAGAGTAGGGAGAAAGTTGTGAAGCTTCTTGGGGGAATCGCGAGAGTTTCTGGAAATGAAGTGAGACGCTTCTATTGCTACTATAACTCTTTTATGAAGGAAGGGCTGTAAGGTTTTAAACTGACACGCGGCGAATAAAAGCCATTGAAGCTATTTTGGAATATGAAGAAGTACGTACTTGCGCCATCTTGATGAGTCTGAGGGATCTCTTCACTCTTGAAGGTTATACAGTGCAGTGCAACCCCAACGGCGACCACCTTAATTTGTTGTCGTGGTGTGCGGTGACGTCGGGAGAGTAGAGGGTCTGCGGCGTAAAGTAAGGCATCTAGCGTTGCTGGGCGGTGATTGGTTGCCTGTTTGTGATCATCGCGCCTTCCATGCACAACAAGCGCGAGCAACTTCACGTCGACCTGCAACACGAAACAACAACGACAACGCGCTTTCATCCGGACCCTCTGCAGCTACCCGCGACAACAGCTACGTCCTAATATGGTTGCCTGATAGTCTCACCTTCACTTCAACTGCGCGCCGGTGCTGTTTGCCAATTTGCTTTGTCGAACAACCGCGAGCGTCACCTAGCAACAACATCGACAGTCACCGAGACACGCCTTCCTCACGACTCTATTACCTCCGCCCCTGTGCCTCCGACGCTCCCATGAATACGCGGCCTTAGTTCTCTACACTTCCACCATCTCCTTCCTCCGGCGCAGACTCTCGCGGTCATCACAACAATTGCCCGATATGTCGCCGCCGCCGAGTGGTGTAAACGCCCAACTACGGCAGCTTATACACTACCATCTTGACAACGGCTTTGCAGAAAACGCCCTCTTTCTCGCCGGTCGCCTACACGCTCTCGAGCCTCGCAACGCCGATGCCGCGCATCTGATAGCCCTTTGTAATCTTCGGTTGGGAAGGTACAAAGCCGCCTACGACTACTCAAAGTCCAAAGGCGCACAGTCACAACATTTGGGGTGCGCCTACGTATTTGCGCAGTCATGTCTAGGGCTCGAAAAACACGAGCAAGGAATACAGGCTTTAGAAAAGGCCCGGGCTCTCTGGGCTGGTCGAAATCACTGGAGTAAGCGCGCTGTGCGTTCACGGGTGAGAGGAAATGCTGACGATTCTAGACAAGCATTCAGAGACTTCGAGACGGCACGTTCCCGATGCTGCGGCCTGCTATTGCATGCTAGGCAAGCTCTACGCGGCGTATGACAACAACCAGAAGGCGATCGATAGTTTCGTCGCTGCGCTGAAGCTGAATCCCTTCATGTGGGATGCCTTCACCGGTCTATGCGATCTCGGGGCTGCGGTCCGTCCCCACAACATTTTCAAGATTACTCCCGACATGCTAGCATCGATATCGCACACGACATCGAACGGAGCTACACATTCTACCGCACCACAAGAGAGCACCGACTCAAGAAATCCCTTCGTTTCGACTCCGGACGCCGACCCGTTCAACCCCTCAAGTCGGCAAGGAGCCGATGTTGGACTGCACCAAGGGGGCGCGAATCTGTTTTCGCGGCTGAATGGCAAGAGTCAGACAAACGGTGGATATCAAAACATGGAGACGCCGGTCGCGAATGGTCAGAACTATCACGACGAAGATGTCATGATGGGCGAAGTGGGAGGCCCGGTCTTGAACGAGCAAGGTCCGGAAGCCCAGAACAACCAGCCACCACCACGGAGGGCACGCTTGAACTTTAACGCAGCAGAGGATCCACCGAAGATGCGCCCGATCACGTCGCGATCTAGGACCAAGGCGATTCCTGAGACCGACCAGACGGATATCCCTAGGCCCATCAACCAGAACGGCCATAAGAGGACTGTTTCTGGCCATTCGACACAACACAGCCAGTCGTCGAGTAACCAGGCCATAGACCCCACAGCTGCCCCACCACGAAGAAGTGTCCGTTTGCTGAATTCCGTAACGACAGGTTTCCGTACAGGAAGCAGTCGGATGGCGAACGGAGCAAGCAAGGATCCAGAGGCAAAGGACCGTAGTAGAGAGCTCCGCAAGGTGAAGGCAACGGGCACCAAAGGCAAACCCGGCTCAACTTCAACTGTGGGAAGGGTTGTCAGTGGGAACCGTAACCCGCATTTCGACGTTGTCGACTCAGCAAAACCCCAGTCGCGGCCCACAAGTGCCGCTGCGTTCAACGCCCCACCACCACGAATGGCACCGCCGGTTGATACTGCGCGGGAGCAAGAGGCGTTGACCTGGCTGCTAGGTTTGTTACTCAAGATCGGGTCAGGCTACAAGCATTTGAGCAAGTACGATACCAAGAAGGCGTTGGAGATGTTCGGGTCGATCACCCCGGCACAGCGTGACACCCCCTGGGTGCTAGCACACATTGGAAAAGCTTACTACGAACGGGATCAGTATGTCGAGGCAGAGGAAGTCTTCCAAAGGATACGAGAGAAGGTACCATCGTACCTGGAGCACATGGAAGTTTACTCGAACACATTGTGGCAACTGAAGAAGGAGGTCCCATTAGGTCATCTCGCGCACACCCTCATGGACCAGGATCGTCTTTCACCACAGGCTTGGTGCGCTCTCGGAAACGCCAAGTCATTAGATCGACAGCATGACGATGCGATTCAGTGTTTCGTTCGAGCTTCTCAGCTTGATCCGAAGTTCGCCTACGCCTTCACGCTCCAAGGCCACGAACACGTCGCCAACGAGGAGTTCGATAAGGCCATGATAGCATTCAGGGGTGCCATCAGCGCTGACATCCGTCACTACAACGGATGGTATGGCTTGGGCACCGTGTACGAGCGCATGGGCAAATTTGACGTGGCTGAGAAGCACTACCGGGAAGCAACACGTATCAATCCGAACAACCCCATGGTTCTTGTACGGATTGGCATAGTAAGTCTTATATGATGTTTTAGTGTAATCATTACTAACTCTATGACAGATGCTTGACCGCATGAAGAAGACCGAGGCCGCATTGATGATGTTTGAGAACGCTCTCAAGGCGGATATGTACTCAAAGATGGCCCGCTTCCGCAAGGCGCAAGTGCTGCTTAAGCTGAATGCGCCAAGTCAGTCAGTCGAGGAGTGTCTGATCTTGAAAGACATTGCTCCAGAAGACCCCAACGTCCATTTCCTGCTTGGACGGTGCTACAAGAGGCTCCATGATCGCGCCAACGCTATCAAGCATCTGACCATCGCCATGAACCTCGATCCCAAGTCACATGGCATCATCAAAGAGGTTCTGGAGAGTATTGACCAGGACGATGACGGCGGTTGGAGCAGTGAAGATGACCACTAAATGCACTGACATGCGGCAAAGAAACGCTTTGCTTTTCCCAACCGATCCGACGAAATGACTATCACTCTGCCCGACGACACATGCCCACCGAAAGGCATCTCGACACCTCCGCTATTAATTACACGAACATCCTACCCTACCTTTGATCTTCCGGCGCACGCATGAGGACCGACTTTATACCCTTCAATCATCCCCGGCTTTAGCATTCTTGGAGCATACGGAGCGGGGTAACAGCGAAAGAACATTTGCTTCTTTCTTGCATAAACATTATGGTTGCATTTTCACCAGGCGTCAAAACGGGAGTCATACACATTTTTTGGCGACAGTCTACCCAGTTGGGTAGCGCGAAGGGTGAGATGAGGAATATGATTACCATGATTTGGAAGGTCGTCATCATCATCATGCCCACATGCTTGAGCGTTACTGACTGGTCTGAGAGGACTGGGTTGGAATGTATAGTAGACTTGAATGCATTCGAACATTATGAGATTGATCCTTCTGGGAATGTTTTCGTCATGTGTATTCGTGTTTGATTATGCTAACTTTATCTCGGCGAGACAGTCAATCTCTAAACCAAAGCAGCGTCCTCATTGGAAGTGTATCTAGATAGGTCCGGCAGTTCAACTCTCCACCGCTTCCCCACATCTCGGCGAATCCAGATCAGGTTATATGCGCTTCGCAGACTACAAGCCTCAGTCTGTCAATCCGCCCATGTACGGCACCATCTGGCGCGCTTCCACCGCCGAGGCCCTCGATGGCACTGGCATTCTCTTCGCCCTCCTCATCCTCGACTTCGGATAATTGGGTCTCTATCTCGCCATCATCGGTGTTGTTGACATCTTCGTACGCAAGCAAGCTAGCTACAGTCTAGTATGGTGGAGCATTGTGTTCCCAACAGTTACGATGACGACGGCGTGGTCGAGTTAAGGGTGTCCCATAGACAGTCCAGCGTTCAGGGGTTTGAGTACAGCTCTTTTTGTGTCTATTGTAGTTGTGTATTTGGCGAATTAGGGATTCACGATTCGGAGTGTGTTCAGTGGTCGTCTGGTGTCGGCCAAGAGCCAACTGGAAAGGGAAGAAGGAATGACGAAGCGAGCGCAAGAGATGGAGAAGAAGAACGATGGGGATGTCTGAGATGCATCTTTTCGGAATCAATGGCTACAAAAGTCTTCAGATTATAAGTTTCTAGAGGAGCCTAGATATACACGCAGCTGTAAGATTCTCTGCATGGTTCAGTAGATATCTTTGGATATACATAGGCTACTTCTTCACCCCCTCACCTTTAGATTGGATGGGCAGCAACTTGGCTGCGGCTGGTAGGCGTTTGTGTCTGGTTTCGAGTCCAGTGAGTGGCCTTCATGACCTTGATTCGCAAAAGGGAGGCTAAAAGCAGAGGTTTGTTTAATGGAAAAGACTAGCAATACAAATAGGTTTTTGATCATCGAATGTCCTCAGAAGCTGCACCCTCCGACCCAACTCTGCAAACCGAAGGTAATTCGTAATTGAACCACGTGGCCTTATATTCCATCTGCTTCTCAACACTGTAGAATCTTCCAATCGGCGTTGGAAACGTATGAACGGATCTCCTCAACATCAAACCCACGCATGGGTTTTGGAGATATTCGCCAGTTCTTGTTTGTGATGCCAAGTTCCGCAACAGCTTCCTGTATCTTTTTACCGGTGCTCATGTGCTCTTGAATACGTGATTCCATCTGTTCCTCCTCTGAATCACAGGGCTCTTCTTCCTCATGTAGCATTTTTACCGTGTGACGCTCATGCCTACTGAGTAATAGCAGCGACCATTGACGAATGACTACTGTGATTTGCAGGAGCTCTTTGGTTTGGGTAAGAGCCAGAAACTGGTCCCAGTGTCCTCTCGAAAATCCTCAAACATGAAAAAGTAAAGTCGAATGTCAAGAGGATTTGTTGCTGTTTAGGTGGGACAAAGCTGTACCAGAAGCTCAAAGCCTCACTGGTAGCTCTTATATTCCTGTCGGACCCATCGGAATCGTCTTTGCATCTTCTAGGAATGATATCGTCGTGCATTCTGCAGATATCGAAGTCGATGACGTTAAGGGCGATCACCAAGCCTTGAGTTTTCTTGATAAATCGTCTTGCAAGTCTGAGCTATGGCTGTTGTTTTCTGGAGGCTTAAGCGTCTGTTGTAGTCTGGATTAAATTTTATAGTAGCGGTTCGTGGGCCTTCGCGATAGTTGGTCCAGACCCATGAGAGTCCGTCACTAACGTGTAAGACGTATCGTGCGACCATGATGCGCAGCTGAGCTGGAAGCTCCATGAAAGTGAAACGGTATGGTTTTCGTTTTTCATAGCCTGCTTCGGAGGATTCTGTCGACTGCCATGATGTGGATGAGCTTGTTTCGGAGTCGCTGTCAATATTGACGTCCATGGTAGCCTTAGACTGTGGAGCAAGCTCATAAATGATTGTGCTTCGGAAGGCGTGACTAGTTATGAATCTAGAATAGCAGTCAGCTTTCAGCACGGCGTCTCGAGCAACTTTCACTTACTGCTTGAGCATTCTGGGCAATGCTTCCTTTTTGGATGCACTGAAACCATCGAGGATTGCCCGTGGTAGCAGCAGGGTGGCATCAGAGTTGGATGCGCCGTGGCTCGTGATCTGCACTGGTACACGCCCATCATCTTCTTCTTTGGGCTCTGAGTTGCACACGGGTCTACGGCTTCCGTCAGCAGAGTCGTGTTGTTCAGGCGACATCTTCAAATCGCCGTCGTCGTTCATTGCACTGTGTGTATGTGTCGGAACGTAAATTTTCGAGTGTCGGGTATCAGTGCTTGTGTAGCAGGTTTGGTCTGAGGAAGTGGAGTGGGTGGGGAGGGTTGAGAAAATAACCTGTTATGGTGAGAGAAAAAGGGTCGACGCTTAGGCAGGCGCTCTTTCCCAGACGAGTGTCAGTACGTCACGAAATCATCCAGCCAGCCAAACCTGGTACGAATGAGTAGGTAGAGAGAATTGATTCACCATTTTGAGCTGCGAGCCTCTACCGCGCGTGTGGATGCATACTCACGGCGTGAATCAAACTTTGGAATTCAGAACGACTGTGACACGTGACTGGTGCTGGGTAACGGCAGCAGAACCTGAGCATACATACATTTGTGATCACGTGCTACCCCGTGTTTGATGTAAACAAACATATAGTTGTATCATATGTATCGTGTGTAAAGGTTGACGGACCTGGGCGCTTCTCATCTTGGGACTGAGACTCCGTTACTGCATAGCATAGAGGACTGCGAGGGGGGTTACTCAACCCAATCAACACCAACCTCCTCAGATATGAGATGATCATGTTCGTGAATGGAGAGACGCTAAAGACTCTTTATTCATGAGCGATTCGATTCGGAGGAGGTAGGTTTGATCACGCTTTTGGTGACCTCTATCCGCAGAGAACGACGTGTATCCTATATAGCGCAAAAATCAGGAGATCTAAGCTGTGTATTGTGATGAAGTTGTAAGCACGGAAAAATGAGGTCAAACCGTAGAGAATGCAAGAGGTCCTTGCAGTGTCGGAGTAAACTGATGATAAGCTTGTCTGAGACAGCACTGTATAGTGAGTAGTTGAAGGTATTCTCACAGTGGACTTGGAGATCCTACGGAGTATCCGCATCCATTTCGTATGTACATTAGGGGTCATGTATTAGTGCTGCAGGAACACAGTGTGAAGCGGGCCGGTACGTCATGCATGGATCGACGGTTAGCGCGCCTCGGCCCCAAAGATTTGGGGTTTGGAAGCTACGACGATGTTCGATGGGAAGACCACCTCTACACTATCAAACGTCATCTACCGCTACTCACCCGCTTTCACACCAGTCGCATAACTCCAGGGAACACTTGGATATATCCTATACCTCTGTAACAAACCCTATCAACTCAGATACCTCCGATCGGGCTCGCGAGCGCTCAAGATGCCCGCACCGGCCGCGAACAAGCGCGTCAAGGTGCGCACGACTGGTGCCCATGGCTGTTTGGACATACTGACGACGCGCAGAACAAGCGTATAAGTCGGAATATCAGTAAGAAGAAATTGCACACCCTCCACACTCCATCTGACCACCTCGTTAGTCATCGGCTCTGAAGCCTGGCTGCTGCCCCCAGTAGGCAGCCCCGACCGCCCCAAGAACGTACCCGAAGACCATACTAAGAGGTGGACTGTCTACGTACGTCAGCCAGAAGGCGACCCGGCACTCACAACATGGCTCAACAAAGTCCAATTTAAGATATTCAACACATACGAGAACCCGCTGCGGACATGCGAGGGGCCGCCTTTCGAGGTCACGGAGACAGGCTGGGGTGGCTTTAATATAGACATCCGGCTGCACTTCCAACCCATCTCGGGCGAGAAAGCGCAATACCGCCAGCACTTCCTGCAGCTGGAGAAATACGGCGACGAGAAGCAGCAAGCAGAGCAGGACAGGACGGGCTGCGTGCGCGCGGAATTCCTCGAAGTCGTGCAGTTCAACGAACCCACCGAGGCACTCTTCGACGCCCTTACCTCAGAGGACCAGTGGAACTACCTCGTCCCCGCGGGCAAAGGCGGGTCTAAGAAAGCCAGCCTCAACGCCAACGGCCGGCTGAAGCGCGGCCTGCCCAACGGCGAGCGCAGCGCGCAACTCCCCGAAAAAGGCGCAGAGGACGTGCCGTTCAGCCAGGACCAGGAGCAGGCGCTCATCGACCTGCTGAAGAAGAAGATGGAAGACGTCGACAGGGAACTGGACAAGGAAACCAAGCGCCGCGAAGACGTCGAGAATAGACTCAAGGCGCTGAGAGCGGAAATGGGCCATGAGGCTGCGCAACAGGCCGCGCAGCAGGCGAGTGGGGATCGGAGCAGAAGGAGGTGAATTACAGCAGTGTGCTTTTGTTCGCATCGATTTGTTGTTGTTTTTACTACGTTTCATCAAGCCTTGCTAACACTGTCTTTTCTGGTATTAGGACTTCGCTCGTCGGAGAACCTGGTCCGCCGGACCCGAATGTTAGGAAGAGTGGCAGGAAGCGGTGGAGTACGAGGGGCGATGACGAGGACTGAGACTGGATTGCTGAAGGTCCAACTGACCAGTGCTTGAAGTCGCCGGGATGATGTCGATCCGTGAGAATTGAAGGCGCTCGGATTGGATCTCACAAAGATAGTGAGTCGGACTGGAGATTCATGGCATAGAGAAGGTTTCTCGTGGAAGCACAAGCGACCATTCAGCAGATGATATAGCCAGCGCCATTCCATCAATGAATCCAGAAAAAAAAAAAACTCCATCTCCGACCTCACCCCTCAACCGCATCCCTTCGCCCTAATCCTTACAACTCTCCACGAACACCCTAACCCCCTTCCCGCCCTCCCACGTCACGGGAATAAAATAATCATGGCCGATCTGCACATCCCTGACATCAGGCTCAATCAGCTCAAACCTGTACCTGCGAAACATCATGCCAAGGGTGAGATACAACTCTGTCCACGCGAGGTTCATGCCCATGCAATGCCTCGTGCCGCGGCCAAACGACACCATGAACCTGTCCAGCGGCTGCCCGTCGGGCGTGAGCGGGCTGTCGAGCCAGCGCTCGGGCCGGAATTCCGAGGACGAGGGGAAGATGGCTTCGTCGTGGCTGACATCGGGGATGGACATGGAAACACAACTCCCACTCGGAACGACCCAATCCTTGTATACCAACGGCATCCGCCTCGTCCGCGGATTCCTCGCACTCAGCCCATACGACAACCGCACCGCCTCCATGATACACGCGCGCAAATACGCCATCTGCTCGAGCGGATACAGCTCCAGCGTCGCGCGGTTCGGAAACGCCTCGACCAACTCCCTATGCAAGCGCTCATATATCCTCGGCGTGTTGATGATATGAAACGCCGCGATAGAGAGGGTGAAAGCAGTTGTTTCGACGCCGCCTCCGACGACGATTTGTGCTTCCTCGGTGAGGCGCTTGTGCGACTTGTCCTCGGGGGGGCAGTTTTGAGTCGAGGATTTCCTGGGAAGATTGTGCGTTTTGCATCGTTTGATTTGATGGGGTCACCACGCATGGTGCGGCCGACGAGGGCGTATTGGCTGCGTGTGTGGATGAGGGTTAGGGAAGGCTGGGAATGGGGATATGGGATGATGGTGGTGGAATGGGATGGGACTCACGCGCTTGAATTTAAGTAGGGGTTTTGCGGCGGGCTGGAGATATTCGGTCATCCAATCCGGGATGCTATTCATGACCTATATAGATCCAAATTAGCTTTGCCTCGTCTCACTTCATCCCAACATGGCGGACGTACAGGCAAGAACCACGGGAATTGCGTGGCGATATGGCCTGTGCCACCAAGCTTGATGAAGGCCTCATGGAAGCTTGAGAAATCCGGCGACTTGAGTTGAGCGTAGTTGAAGCCGAAGAAATAGTCCATGATGATGTCGCCCGTGAGGGCAGGGAAGGCGTGGGTGAGGTTCAAGGGCTCCTTGCCAGCCTCGAATTCTTGGATCCGGATGCTGAGGGTGTCGATGTGGCGGTAGATGATGTGGATGAAGTCGAGGATAGAGCGGCGGGAGAACCTGGGGGTTGGTGTCAGATGTGTGTGACGCATACGAGACTTGAACCATCCGACACTTACATAGGCAACAATGCTGCTCGGCGCCGCTTGTGAAACGCTGCATTCACAGTGGTGAGGACACCTCCTTCAGCTCCAAAGCGCGAGTCCCATCCTTCTTTGTCGAGATGGAGGTTCTTGCCGTAGAACTCCTCGAAGAAGTGCGAGTCACGAATGTGTAGTTCATGTGGCGTGACTCTGACGATCGGACCTGTACATGATCAATTCCAGCTCTTTTCAGAGAATACCGAAACATCAAAACGGAGAAAGTCCCAACCTACCATATTGATCATGTAGCTTCGAGATGTGCTTCGAGTACTGTCCCTTCTGTACAATCTCGAAGTAACCCTCGTAGAAACTCGTCACGGCTGCAATTCTCGGCCCGGGGAACTTGGCCAGCGGATGCAAGTATAGGCGATATACGACCAAGCCGAGTGCGTAAATGATGATTCCGCCAGCTAATAGGATGGGCAGCGAGGGCAAAGCGGCGCGGTTCGTCCCTGCCGAGAACGAGTCCATGATAGTAACTAGCGGTTAAAGCGACAAACCGGCAGAACAGAGTAGGAACATGTGTTCTTGTAGGAAATGGGATGGCGGAGGAGTAGGGAAAGCTGGGCCGAGAGTGGAGTTGAAAGCAGTTCTTCCGGTTTGCGCGCCGTTCTATCTCCTCCTGCCGCATCTACTTAGCTCCTGCAGTTTGCGGGTGCATACTGGCTCGCCCACGCCGCACTGCAGCAAACGAACGTGGAGACAAGACATGCCATGGGTACGTGTATCCACCTCGACTACCCGCACAGGCGCGCTCTTCACTGGCTCTGGCACCATGTCCGAAGCGCGTGCATCCGACCTTGCCTCAACCGGCAATCTCGAGCGGGCAAGCGGGCGCGGCAAAGACGGCGGTTGAGGCGCAATGGTAATAAGGTGGACGTTGATATTGCGGCACATGGTTGGGGTGGCACAGTAGGGCCATGGTGCGGTGTGTACAGTACAAGGTCCTCTGGTCTGCGGATCGTTCCCACGCGACTGGGAACGGCCATGATGACAAGCGGTAAGGCAGCATATAAGGGCGCACCAGTACCCCACTGACGCCTGTCATTCCGAGTCGCATCCCCAAAGTCACTGTGCGACGCCTCAAGCTTGGCCTCGAGTCCCCGTAGCTGCCGATCCGAGTGCATCGCGACAAATGTCTGCGGCTGTCTCCGCGCAAGGCGGGCCGGCGCCTACTCCACCTCACCCGCCATCCGAACCCACCTCCACATCCACTTCCACTCCCACGGCCGCCCAACTAACATCCGCGACTCTCGACGCGCACCACCCGGACCCCCCCAGCGACGGCAACCTGCAGTCCGTCCTGCACCTCGAGCCCGACACGCCCGGCAACTCCGACACCGACTCGGCCTACGACGGCGCCTCGTCCGCCTCGACATCCCTCGCCTCGTCCATCCTCAACTATGAATACAGCAATGGCCGCCGCTACGCCGCCTACCGCAGCGGCTCGTACCTGCTCCCCAACGACGAGCAGGAGCAAGACCGCCTCGACCTGCTGCACCACATCTTCCTGCTCCTCCTCGGCGGCAAGCTGTACGATGCGCCCATAGCCAGCGCCCCCACCCGCGTGCTGGACATCGGCACTGGCACGGGCATCTGGGCCATTGACCTTGCCGACACGCATCCCGGCACCGAAGTCGTCGGCACGGACCTCTCCCCCATACAACCCACCTGGGTCCCGCCGAATCTCAAGTTCTACATCGACGACGTAGAGAGCGAGTGGGTGTACTCGCCGTCCGAGGCGTTTGACTTCATCCACTGCCGCACCATGTCCGGCTCCGTGTCCGACTGGAACCAATTGCTGGCGCAGTGCTACACGCACGTCGTGCCGGGCGGCTGGGTCGAGTTCCAAGAACCCCTTGCGTTGTGCGAAAGCGACGACGGGACGCTAGAAAGAGCAGTCGATCTATGCCAGTGGCAGGCGCTGTGCAACGAGGCGGCGGCGGGATTCAAAAAGGACCTTTGCGTGGGGCACACGTTGAGGCAGAGGATGCTGGACGCGGGGTTTGTGGACGTCCAGGAGAAGGTCGTCAAAGTATGAATTGCCCCTGTTCTCTCTGATGATATCTCACTAATGCATCGTGTAGGTACCAATAGGTCCATGGCCCAAGGACGCCAAAATGAAGGAAATCGGCCGCTACCAGCGCGAGCACGTGCTTCTGGGCATCGAGCCCTACACACTCGGCTTCATCGGAAAAGTCCTGGGCTGGTCCGAGGCAGAGTGCCGCATCCTGATTGCCAAGGTAGCCAACGAAGTGCGGAATAGGGCGTTACACATGTACATCAAATTCTACTTTGTGCATGGCAGGAAGCCTGGGGGCGCGGCGCATTAGAGGCGCAGACGAAGAGACTGTGGGCGTTGAACATTGGTATTGTACACGAACGGGGGGGACCTGAGATCGCAGATGCATATAGAAGGGATTGCTGGGCGTTCAGGCAAGTTGATGGCGTACATGATTATGGGTGGGCATACTTGGAATCATGATTGCGGCGCACGGCATGGCGGACTGGTCACAATTATTCACGACAGGCAGTATATCAGGTATGTAAACCAATTTATCTTCAATGATTCACATCATACCGTGAAAGTACCGTGTTATCTGACGTTGGAGACGGATGGGCTGGCATAAGCGACCCAACCACATCAGCCCCTCAGACCTTGAAGGCGTCCACAGCAACGTTTCAAGTTTTGCTATTGGTCTAAAACCTAACTGTTAACTACCTCTGGCCTTGGCCTGGACCTGAAAGTCATTTAATACAGTATGATAGAAAGTGTGTGATGAAATTAAACCCCCTCTATGTATACATCCATCCCCTATACCTAAGAAGGCCATCTAGCCCGGAGGAAAAGTCGAAAAGAAGAGACGCGACTCTCACAGCCCCATGAAAACGCCCACGCAAGCAATGCCGAAGCAGCACATGCAAGATCGCTGCTACAACAACGACCCATCCTGCGCCGCACACATCAACAACGCCATAGACCCACGAATCACGCCACCCACAAGGATAAAGAAATTCGTGAACCACAGGTCGCAGCCTTGTCTAGATGTCTAGATGTGCTCGCGGGCCTGGGGCTGCGCGCCCGCCTTGTCCGTCGTCTCCATGCTGCTGACCTCGGCGTGGTGCTCAGCGTAGGTCGAGTGCGGGACCCACTTGGCCGAGTTGCGCGGCGTCGTCTCCTCGAGCATGCGGTCGACCTGCTCCAGACTGAGGCCCTTTGTCTCGGGGACGAAGAAGAATGCGAAGAGCACGCACGCGGTACATGTAGAGCCCCAGATGAAGAAGACCTTGGTCTTGAGGTTGCCCTGGTCTGGGTTCATTAGGTAAGGGGTGATGAAGCCGATGATGAAGTTCCAGAACCTGGTGGGAGTTAGTATGGGTTTGGTTCGAGGATGGTGAAGGTTTGGGAGGGACTTACCAGTTCGACGCGGTGGAGAGAGCAACGCCCTTGGATCGGATGGGCAAGGGGAAAATCTCGCCGGTGAGCACCCAGGCGCCGGGGCCCCAGGTGGTGGCGAAGAAGAAGATGTAGATGCATACGAAGACGATCAGGCAGGTAGAAGCTGCCTTGCTGCCCTCTGGGGTGGTGCTGCCAACAATGCCGATGATGAATTCGCAGATCAGCATGCCGAGGGCGCCATAGATCAGGAGTGCACGTCGGCCGAGCTTCTCGATAGCCCAGAAGGAGAGAGGTGTAGAGCAGACGTTGACCGCGGTCGTGATCATGGAGATGACAAAGGCGTTGTTGATGCCAACTGTCTTTGCGAACGTGGACGAGTAGTAGAAGATGAAGTTTACACCGGTCCACTGCTGCATCATCTGTAGAGTCATGCCGAGCACAACGCGACGGAGGTTGCTCGAAGGCTTCCAGCCGCCACGGAAACAGTCCAACCAGCCAGCCTGCATGTGAGTCATTTCATACTTGTAGTTGGCAACAAGTTCAGCGAGCTCATCCTTGACGAATTGCGACTCGACGGGCTGGCCACGGAGCTTGCCGAGGGCGCGAGCAGCATCATCGTGACGGTTACGCTTGACGTACCAACGAGGGGAGTCGGGCAGGAAGAACAAGCCAGTGGCGAGGATAATAGCAAAAAGCCACTGCATTGACATGGCAATGCGGTAGGAGCCGCTATCCATGCGGTCCTTAGTGCCATTGTCAACGACGGCAGCTAGGAGGAGGCCGATGGTGATACAGAATTGGTAACCTAGGAATTTGGTTAGCGTATGTCGTCTGTGTGGACTAAAACGGCCTGTCACTTACCGGAAACGATGGCACCGCGGATGGCCTTGGGCGCAATCTCGGACATGTACAAAACAATGACAGCCGAAACGAAACCAATACCGATTCCAGCAATGAGTCGACCAGGAACGAGGACCGCGATAGTTGTTGAAGCCACCTGGAGGATGACACCGAGCGAAAAGATACCACAGCCAGCAATGATAGTGGAGCGGCGTCCAATCCAGTCGGCGACAGATCCAGCGAACAGTGCACCGAAAAAGGTACCCGCCGACAAGATGGACACGATCAACGACTGTTGAGAAGTCGTGTACAGACGGCCATTGAAAGCAAGCTTGTCCGTGGACGGGCCCGTTCAATGTTAGTTAACGTTCCTAATAAGATTACCGCGCGTGTTGGTACTCACTTCCGAACTCCTGCTTGAAGTAGTCCATGGCAAGGACGCCATTGATGTATCCGGAATCGTAGCCGAACAGGATTCCACCAAACGCCGCGAAGACACAGAGGAGATAGCCGCGCATCGTGACCGGCGCCTCGACACGCGCGTGCGCGTCGCCGCCGCGCACAGCGGAAGGAGCCCAGGAGGGCATGTTAGTAGCGAGTAAGCTTTACTAGTAAGTAAGGGTGGGATTAAGCCTCAATCGGTTGAGGTATCGTGGGGTTGGAATGCAGTTGCGGTATGCAAGGGCAGGTGTGGTTACAAGTCGAGAAGCGTTTGGGGGGAGAAAGGGTTTTATCGTTTGTAGTTGCGCACAAGCGGCAGCACGACAGTGCGCTGAACACGGCAGGGCCTCTCGTGGCGCGTGAGCAGTACCGTGGCCTGCAAGTGAAAGTAGAAGGCAGAACAAAGTGACGTTCGATCGTGAAAGCCGGATTGGGCAGTGAGGAATGAGGGCCTACCAATGCTGCTAATCCACGGATCTACGAACCGAAGAATGTCGTTTAGGGTCACACGACGTTGTACATGCGTGGTAATCTTGACGCGGGCCTGGTTCTGGGAAGTACACGTGGAACGCGTGGTATTCTAGACGATACCACGAAGCGGCAGTGGACAAACAGGCGGCCAGCAGACCAGCACTGCGCACAATCGGAATCAAGTGCAACGTACAAACACTTCGAGGTTCGTCCTCGAGAGCGAGTCTAGCCAGACTCGGTAGTCGACGATACTGTCCGAGAGCGGTGCTATGTCTTTGTTTCAAAACAAAGCATTATGTCAATTTGACTGGCCGCCTGTATTTCTTCTCACGCAATCTATCAAAGCCCCAACAGGGCCGCTTGCATAGGTGGCACAGTGTCTCAGGTACTACCAACCCCAGGTTGAGGCAGCGAATGAACGGTGATCCACGATTGTTTGTCTCCGCTATATCTGGAAGGTGTTTGACGTCGTGGAAGGGGGCTGAGTACGCAACGCCTGCAGTGTCCAAGGGAATACATGCAGATGACCTCGCTTTGAGAATATCAGCCGCAACAATGCATGCTCTGAGTTTTAGATAATGCTTTGGTAAGAAAACAAAGGAGACATATTACTATTATAAGAACTTATGAAGACATACAAAGCAATAATCATTAGTCGAAATGCTATGCATGTCTTGCGTCATCTCGAACGACGTCCTCGTATCGTGGTGGCGGCTGCTCGGGTACCAGAGTCATCTCCGAACTTACACTACGACGTCGTCCGCTTTGCTTGTCTTCCCGTCTCATTTCATCTATCTTCTCCTGCCGCCTCGATGAAAGCTTGGTCCGCGCCGCAGCATGACCAGATGAGGACTCGGCGTGACTATACATGGCTTCACGCTTCTAGAGGACAGTCAGCTTGGCCCGTCATCATGCCGAGAAAGCAAATTTACTTGTGCTGCCTTCTTGTCCTTGTGCTCGAGCCTCTTCTCTGAGATGATGCGTCCCAGCTTCTCTGCACCGATGCCGATGGTGACAGCGATCAGAGCAGCCATTGGAGAGCGAGGGTGGCACTGAACGGCGGAAAAGTACTCAGATTCTGTTCGAGGTTCTGTTTGATTGGCTGATATAGCTCGTGCCTCAGTTCCACGCAGAAGGCGGCGTTGTCTACCAGCACCGCAACAACCACGGGGGCGACGGTCGGCTGGAAAGGTCAACTGGAACTGCTGATTTGGCAGAAAGTGTTGCTGTCTACGCTTGCTGCAGCACATGGTGAGCAAAGATATCTTAATCGAAAGACCGGTGTTTAATAAAAGCTTGGCAGGGAGAAGGTCAAGTTTGTTAAGCTGGATGAACTGGTATGACTTGTAGTATTGTGAAGGGCGAATGCTTACCTTCTTGTACGAAGAGACTCAATACGATGACCGGGTTTGATCTCTCAAAACCGGTGAGTAGAAGTAAAATGTTTGTGCGTAATGCCAAAATAGACTTGTTCATGCAACTAGTCTATGTAAACTGCAGGAAGATGTCGCTCTGGTAATGAAGTTGTGCCGTTGTAGTGGCGTTGCTGCGGCCGAGAAGTCGTGACGTACGCGAGGAACCATGCTGTGGCGTTGCGACGCATTCATGATTGGCCGGCTACGGCGCAACATTCTACCCGTCTCTTTAGCGAATGCGAAAGTACATAGGAATGCGACACGAGTCCTCTCAAAATGACGCCATTAGTTGCAGCCGAAAGCGAAGCTCAATTAAAATTGATCCAGCTGTCCTGATCCCAGTCCATGTCATCAAGCCATCGCACAAAGTCACCATCACTACCAGGTTGCAGTAGCGGAGCACTTAACATCGGATCGTTTGTGCTCTCGGTGACCTGCGGGCTATTTGGCGTTGCGGGTCCAGAGCCGAGTATCATGTCCAGTATTTTCTTGATAAAGGTACGACCTCGAACACAGCTTTGGTATCCGCTGGCATCTGGTTTGATGGTCCCCAAACATGCCACAAAGACCGAGAGACTCTGGATAGTGTCTGACCGGTGGAGCGGGTAAGCAATGGCGGAGGCGGACGCTGGATGTCGCTCTTGGTGAAGAAGCTCGACGGCTAGAGCTGCAGCAGTTGGTATACCATATTTCACGAGTATCTGGGCAAAGTCGATCTGGAAGTCCCGGAAGTTATCTTTGTTGTCGACCATGGATACAACGAAGTTGAAGATCTCGCTGGACACAGACAGAAGTTTGGCGCTTGGGTCATTAGCGGCGTTGTTTACTTTCTTGCTTATTGTACGTTGTAGCATGAAGAGGTGGTCCAAATGATTGAGACGGTTGAACGCTAAGAACAAGAGCTCAAGAGGCGACCGTTGTGAGCTCCATGGATTTGTGACATCGATACGGAGAAACTCGGGTAACTGTTCCCAGAACCTGTTCGTCCGCAACTCGATGTCCTCAGCGCGCTGAAGTATCTCGTGCTGGGGAAGACTACCCAGAGATATCTCGAGAATTTCCTCTGTAATGAGAGCATTGCTTGCTGCGAGACGAGCGTACGTAGAACGCTGAACAAGGCCTTGCTGATTCCATCCATAGTCATCGAGATCTTCGACAGCTTCTTCAAGCTCTGGACCATCAGACATCGTCTGGGCGTCTGTTAGGTCTAGTGGTATCTGAAGGCGACAATAATGTCTCGTCAATCTCGGGGGCTGGCCACTAAAAGCAGCAGTGTACTTGTCATTATCGTATGCACATATGAAGAGTCTTTTGCGCAACTGGGCCATGAAGAACGGTGTATGGTCGTCCACTCTGATCTCTTGGTGTAAATTAAAGCTCAATAGCGCATTTGACAAGCTTGCAGTCTTTCTAGAATTCTCATAACCTGAGATGTTAGCAGGAGCAAGCTAGAGCCATGTCATGTACACTTCCGAACTTACTTCCTCTAGACCGCATTGAGCAGTACACCGTTGCATTTTCGTACAATAGCCAGAGGTACAAGTCGTTGATAACACCAAAGTCATCGCAAAATTGTACACACATCTCGGAAGCATTGTGCGTCTTCAGAGCAAGTGCCGCTCTATCGACAGGAGCGTTGTCGTGCGAGCAAAACATGGGGTCACCGTCTGTATAACTGTCAGCTTTCATGTAGCAAAAGGCGAATATGCCGCTAAAGACGACCGGAATTGGACTGACCTTTCAGCGACTGCGCAACAAGTGAGACCAGGCTCACAAGTATGCCGACCACTTCCCAACGTAGAAAAGGGCCGGTGACATTTGCGCAGAACTCGCGAGGCGTAGTGTGTCGATTCAAAAAGCGTGAGACTGGCCTCAGTGTATTCTCCCAGATCTTCTCAGACATCAAGCTAAGATCCAAGGGGTTCTGCGACCCAAGTGTTTTGTGCCAGGTTTTACACAACCCGTCGAGGTACATCTTCACCATCGGCTCAATCACGACAATCCCACCAGCGAAAGAGAACCATCTGTACATACATGTCAGCTCAAACCATGGCTAACTCCGGGCAAGCCGGCTGATCAGATGTAACAAGCCGAGAGCCGTGATGATCGGAGTTGGACTTACTTGTCAATGTATTTCTCGAAAGCTGGCAGGTCATTAAGCAGTGAGAGGACAGCAGCTCCGCGATCGATCTGCGCCTGCGACACCTTTGGTATTGGCGTGCTAACATCTTTCGATGAATGTATGCCAATGCTGAGTTCATGCTCGGCGAGTACGGCAGAATGATCGATAAAGCCAGCGCTGCTGTCAAAGCCAAGGGTGTCTGTTCGGATACTGTGATCAAGTATAGACTTTTGGACATCCTCGGAGCTTTGACGGTCATACGACGCAGTCTGTTTAGAAAGAAGACTCTCAGGTGAGAATGTCGGTGCAAACGCCTTTGTACGCTTCAGACGTTTGGCCTCTGGATAGACGGAATCGCGATGTAGGTTATGATATGAGGGTGACTGGTACGCAGTACTGAAGTTGTTCACACGTGGACTGCTTTCATCGGAGTTGCTGTCCTGTGGAGTCGGTCCTTTCGTCAAGGGCGCGGGATGGTAGACGCACTGGTCCTGCTTATTACGCTTCACACACCTTTTGCACGTCAATACCACGATCTTGACAACATTGCAAGTAATGCATACCTTCCACAGTTCGGCATCATATGATCGCATCGTAATTTGCCCTTGCGACAAGGCTCGCATGCCTGTAATTTGCCATTGCGCCGGAAGTTCGTGTTCTGGCGTTTGTCTTCGTGCGACTCGCGCAGACGCGCAGGAAACAAATTACCTGTCTATTGTTATCAGTATATATCCTGTTGGCTAAGCGAAGCGAAGTACCCGAACCATAGCGTGATTATCTATCTTCTGATGTCGTGCTGTTGTATTGAGGTCCGGCAAAGTGCGGTGTTGAATCGGGCAACGACGAACATCGAACTCCGGTAGCGGCGTTCAGCTCCGGTCAAGATGTGGAGTCTAGTATCACTCAATGCACAACAGACAATCTCAATAATCGAGAACATAATTCAGTGATGCAAACAGGTATAATTTGTTCATGCTCGTTCAAGCAAAACAGTGTTGGATGTATTTACATCTATGGTCCGAATAGAATATATGTACAAGAATGTGGTTCAGGTTTCTCATCCACGCAAATAGAGCATCTAGTTGCCCTGGGCCTGCTTCGCCCTCAACCAAGCGACGAATTGCTTGATGGTGAACTCCTTGGGCAATTTAGCATCCGAGCCGGAGCCAGAGCCAGGCTGAGGAGCAGCGGGTGTCTCAGCAGGAGCGGCGGGAGACGCAGAAGGAGTCACAACAGGAGCAGCAGGAGACGGGGTAGGAGTCACAACCGGAGTCGCCTGAGCTACAACGCTCGAAGACGCAGCAGCCGAGGGCTTAACAACCGTCACAAGAGTCGAAGAGGCAGCAGAGGAGCTGGGCTTAGCAGGAGAAGCGGGAGCGGGAGCCGCACCAGCCGCACCACCAGCGCTGTTGACTGAGGTGTTAATCTCGCCGCTCTCAATGTACACGCCGCTGAAGAACCAATCCTCCGCACCAGGTGCGTCGTTGCTGCCAGGCAGACGCAACACACCAACGTGGAAGTCCTTGCCGTCGGAAGAGGTGGTGGTGGTGAAGGGACCGGCCGTCTTGGCCAGAGCATCGCTGCCAGTCGAGTACCAGAAAGTGACGGCACCGCCATCGAAGTCGATCTCGTAGGCTACGTTGTGCCACTCGTCGGCCTTGAGCTCGACGTCCCATTTGGGCTGGCCGCTGACGCACCACTGCAGCTTGTTCTTGGCGTCACCGCCGTACTTGAGCTCGGTGAAGTGAGACTCGAAGAAGGCGATTTGGTGCTCGTTGGCGGCGAGCGGGGCATTGTCCGCGCCGGTCTTGATGGAGAAGTGGTAGAAGAGCTTGCCTTTGTTGATAGTGGCGGAGGTCTGGGGGATGAGCTCAGTCCTCAGCATCGTCTGGCCGTTCCACTTAGAGGTCTCGTCGATGGTGATCTTGGCACCTTGCTTGGAGCCCTCGTCTGCGGGGTTCTTGAATTTGCTGTCCAGGTTGACGTATTTGTCAATAGAGCCGGCGCCGTGGATGTAGTATTGGTATGAGCCAACTGGGGTGGCGAAGGACCATTTGGCGATGTCAGCGCTCGAGGTCATGTCGTTGAAGCGTCCATCCCAAACGATGGTGCCTATCATTGAATCAGCTTTTGACGTTCAACTTGTTTTGGCTTCAGATACATACCAGCAGAGGCAGCGCTAACGAGCGCGCTCAGGATAGAAACCTTTCCAAACATCTTGAAACGAATGTTTACAGAGACCAGCTGCACAAAGAGAGCGAATATCGACTATGAAGCGAATGAATGAATGAACGAGTGAATGAATGAGTGACTGTAGTAGACTGAAGAAAAGAAAGAGAAGCCGCAACGAGCAATTATAACAGAATCATTTAATGAGAGCAATACCCACGAAAGCTTAGCCCAAACACACTGGCGGCGCGAACGGGTCCTCTAGCGCCATCTATTCATTACCAGCCGCTGGTTCCAGAGTCTGCAGGCCGGCTTTGGGTATAGTGAGATGCAGTCTCGCGCTGGTGCAGGAACACGCGCGGCGGTACTGGCAGGAAACTAAACACCATCACAGCGGCTGAGTGGTGGAAACGAATGATCCTATCAAGTTGAAACATTGGGATTGGTGAAGCTAAGCTGCGTTATGCGAACGCTTGACCCACAATTCGCTCTGTTGGGCATAGCGCGTAAGGCTTGGTAATGAAGGATCGTGTATGTCGGCGCGCTCGGATTTGTTGTTTCAGTTGTGCGGTTCTCGGTTGCTTGAGCTGGGCTAGGTCCGTGGCTTCGAGAGTGTTCTCTAGAAGGAACGTGAGGTTCGTGGAAGGGCACAAGCTTTTTGAATGCAGAACAATGATCTCTCGAATTTATGCTGAGCTCGTTCTCGTGTTCATGGGCGCTTCGGTTTGTGCCAGATCGAGTTCAGACGACCGCATTGCGCACTACAAAGGCAATCATGCTGGTAGATGGATATATTGCACCGGCGACAAGCCGAACATAATCTTACGGCACATTGGCAAGACTACAGACGGGTGGGATAGATAGACGAAGAGCAAATGTAGAGTTATGGACGGAGTCTCCCTCCGCCCAGATCCCCACACCCCTGCTCAGCCCTACGCGATCCCACGCGACGTGGAGTGACATCAGCACTCGCACGCATCCAAACTTTCCCACCTCACATGCTCTAAACCGCAATTGCACGACCACCACCCTTCACAATGTCTACAGCAGCAAAGAAGAAGCTTGTAGTTTGCGGCGGCAATGGATTTCTCGGTAAGCATTTCTCTAAAGACAGCCACCGAAGCACCTACAAGCTCCAAATCTCAAACGACACCTGCAGGAAGTCGTATCTGTCGCGCAGCCGCTCACCGCGGCTGGTCTGTAACCTCAATCTCGCGCTCCGGCACACCGCATTGGTCCTCGGTCACGTCCTCGCCAAACCCGCCCGAATGGTCTGAGTCTGTGTCATGGCAGAAAGGCGACGTCCTCGATCCCTCCAGCTACACACAGCATCTCGAAGGCGCATCAGCTGTGATTCACACCATGGGCATACTGCTCGAAGCAGACTACAAGGGCGTCGTGAGCGGGCGGGAATCGCCGATCGCGGGGCTGAAGAGGGCGTTTAGTTCGACAAAACAAGGCACGCAGGATCCGTTGAGTGTGAAGGAGGGTGAGGCGTTGAGGCCGATGGAGAGGGATGGGCAGTTGACGTATGAGGTTATGAATAGAGATACTGGTACGTTGCATGTCGATCTAGTAAAACGGCGTACGAGAACTAACGTAACTACAGCGGTCTCGATTGCGCAAGAATCCTCAAAGAGGAAAGTCCCCACATTCCTCTATATCTCTGCTGCGGCGGGCACACCTATCCTCCCGGCGCGATACATCACGACGAAACGCGAGGCGGAATCGATCATCAGCTCGACGTTTCCGAATATGCGCTCGATATTCATCCGCGCCCCGTTCCTGTACGATTCATCGAGGACATTCACGTTGCCGATTGCAGCGGCGGGCGGGGTTGCGAGTATGATCAATAGTGCTGTTGGAGGAAGGCTGACGTGGTTGATGGGCGCAGGGGGTATCAAGCCTTTAAAAGCGGATTTGGTTGGCGAGGCAGTTGTCGAGGCGCTGGAAGATGAGGAAGTCAGGGGCCCGGTGGAAGTCCCTGAGATTGAGCGGTTAGGGACTAGAGCGTGGAGGAAAAATATGCTTTAAGCACGAGTGTGGACAAAAGGCACGAGAGTGTTGGGTGTAAAAGGGTATATCATTGTAGAAGAATAACGCTCGTGCGTAGTATGTATGAACAGGCCACTAGAGCAGAGAGACTCATCTCACTCGAATGGAAAATCTACGTCAAATCAGCCAGTTGCTTGAAGACATGTGTTGTATTGTGAAGATGTGGGCTGAGTCTCAGTGCTCTCTTTGATCCGCAAAGTTATACCAGCAAGGGACTGCAGGCGACACTATTCGGAGACACTGTAGTTTGGACTACTGCTGCGCCGGTTATGTAAACACACCCAGGTCGTCGCATTAGTCCAGAAGTGCCGGGCTTTTCTTCTTCATGACATTCATACGCGAAAATGACATAGAAAAGCCGAGGATACATACCGTGCTTGTTAAACTCCAACCCATGCAGATGTCGTCAGGTGCCGTGTAAGCGCAAATGCATGCACAAGTTTACTTCTTCCGACTCGACTGGCTCACAAGCTTCTTCTTCATGTGCTTAGGCATCTTGTCCTTCCTCTTCTCTCGCTTCTCATCCTTGATTGCTTTCTTGTGTGCCAACTTCTCATCCTTGTCCATATTCTTCTTTCCCCTTCCAGGTCCCTTATCGAAGATTGACTGGTCGACTTCGGATGAGTCAGAGTCTCCCGCTTCTGAATCGCCATCCTCATGTGATGCATCAGACTCGTTGGGCTGCACGACCTTGTCGGCAAGCAGAGCCTGGTAAGGTAAGTTCGAGCCCTCACCAGCATTGACGAGTGCAGCATCACGCTCGATGTCGTACACTTGATTGAGTGTTTGGGGGATGTATTGGTGGCGGAAAACCTCGTCGTTCTCTTCTTCCTCTGTGGCTGGCGGGTTGGCGAGTAAAGTTCGCACCAAGTCCCCAATTGCGGCCTCGTCTTTCATCTCTTTGGCACCTGCCTCAGCAGTGACGAATCCAAAGGCTCGCCTCTCGCTCAGTACTTCGACGTTCCGTGACCGGAAGAAGTCGGACACGTTCTTGACATCCATGCGCAGGAACTCGAGTGATCGTGGATGGTCGTGCTCTACAGCTTGTGATACATCGATGATCCACTGCTTGCCTTCGTGATATAGCACGTTGTATTCGCTCAAATCGGCGTGCACAAGTCTGCAAGTCTGGTATAAGATGCGCATGTAGGTCAGCATCTGGATGTAGAGGTCGTTCCACTTTGCGTCTTCTTCTTCATTTGTGAGGCCTTCAAAGCGCACATCCTTCAGCCGTGGTGCAGATTTTCCCTTGCGGTCGCCCACAAACTCCATGACCAGGACGTGGTTCCTCAGAGCGACGGGAGCTGGCGAGGGTATACCAGAGTCGTATATACGTGCCAGGTTTCTACGCTCCTTGTCCGCCCACATCTTCACCATGGCGCGGTTGTTGCTCTTGTTGTATCCCTGCCTGAACCTGAACTCGCCCTCAACGTACTTGGCTCGATCTTTGAATACGAGGATCGAGGTCTTGTAGACCTTTACGGCGCGGTGAATCGGGTCTGCATCGTCGGCTTCGGTGATGGCGTGGTACACGTTCGCTTCTTTTCCTGTTGATATGACTCCGTGGATTTCAGAGATGGTGTTGCGGTTGATGAGCTGCAACAAGATCATCTGGGTCCTCCTGTCCAAGACCTGCTCTGTTGTCGCGCGGTCTGCCTTGTCCTTGTCCCTTGCGCCGCCACCTGTCGCTCCCGAGAACTTATCCGTGAGACGGATCTTGCTGGCATGTTTGGCGAGAGAGGCCACCTGATCGTCTATCGCTGCACTTGTATTTGCCGATGGCTTTTGTGGGTTTGACTTTGGCTTGTGATCGCCGGGTACTGAGTTGTCGTTCAGTTTGCGCTGGCGGTTGTAGGCTTTCGTGTAGTCGTTGCCGTCCGCTGAGATCAGCTCTGGGACGATGTCTTCGTCTCCCGACTCTACAAACAAATCGTCTATCTCCTCGTCCTTCTCCTCAACGTCTGCCACTGGCGTCTGTTCGGTCTCCGCATTCTGTGCGATTTCGGGCTGTTGGTGCGGTTGCGCAACTTCTTCTTGCGCTGTGCTTGCCATTTTGGGTGGGTACGTGGCGTGTATTATCGGATTTGAGAGGATTCTTGGGTGAGATAATTGGTTGTGGCGACAGCGTCAGATTTGTGAACTCTATAGCGCGACCAGCGCGAAAAAAAGTTGGCGGCACGTCAGAAGGGTCGGCAGAACCGCGGGGGCGGGGCACGGGCGGTCAACCAGACTCTGTCAACCCACCATACACCCACTCTTTCTACCCACTAATGGTAGTTGACCGTGCTATACTCCCGCAACTGTGCATATGGCATATCAGCATGCTTAGAAACCTTACTCTGTGTCGCAGTGCCACCGAAGAGGCGAGGATAAAACTTACGAGCTCGATTTGAACCTCATAGTTTCCAGTATTTGTCTCGTTTGCAGTTTTGAATCATACTGATACACGCATCGAGGCAGACGACTGAAGGGCATTCGAAGTTACAAGAATCTACATCATGTCCTACGGCCGGATGAACTTCCTCCGAGTCTATGTTCCATGACCCCTTAAACTCCACCATCTCAAGTTCAAGTGAGTGTTTTAGTGTTTACGCCGTCTGAAAACATGCTCGCAGGGTCGGTGAGGATTCAGCCTGATAATACTCTCGAATCGGGTATTAATAGTCGGTCATGTTGAACAGCACAGCTGATGCTGACTGCAAGTGGCCAACGCCGCCAAACAATTATGCAGCAAGTCGGAACAAGCGGCGGAACGTTTTTATCCCAGCTTTACGGCGTAATTGATGGTCATGTCGAAGTCCTGCGCCGTAGTTATGCCATGACTCTGTGCTACTTTTGGCTACATCTCGCTCGTTATGGAAGTGCTAGCGAGAGAAAAGCATCAACACGGCAACATCAGTTCTTACTGTGCAGCTCCTCGCAGCGCATCCCGCGTGCGGACTTCGCCTGCCTTGAAATTGATTACTTTGCAGATAGGCGAACTATTTTTGACGAGAGGTTTCGCATCCCGTGACCGTTACCGTAAGGCACTTCAAATGTGAAGGACGTTGAACTCTAAGAATTAGTAGCGGGCAGACTGAGGTGATGTAGATCCTCGAGCGGGCGGGATGCAGGGAAGGAGCGACATCAACATCCAGGGACTTTTGCCTCCGAGGCACAAGGTCGCACCACCACACCCTCATCTCAAGCATCACCCCTCATCGTCTAATCTCCTTCCCTTCGCCCCAGGCGCTTGTTTTTGTTTCCAAACACTACCCGTCGGCTATGCCGTCGGGCTGATGTGCTAGCTACTTCGCCTCGGCGGCAGCGTGCGCGTCCTGGGCGCAGTGTCACGGTCCCAAGAACATAACCACTCGCCAGGAGGCTCTGCTCTGCACCACAAGGATAACGATCTTCAGGGCGGCAGATCATGCCCTCATACCTTGACATTTTCGGGTTTGGCATGATATCATGTCTAAGATGATCGCATACCAAATACGAAGGAATGCGTGTCGTTTGTGCATCGCAATCACACGACAGACAGAGGGCGGCATCAGTCGCTTTGGACGCCGCAGCACTGCCACAGGGTTTGGAGGGATGGCAATACGACGAATGCAACAGTGACTGCAGACACGCATTGCTGATGGTCAACATTCAGCTCCGATGGCATGTCATCGCCCCGCATCACAGCCCTGCAACTGGCCAGGTCTTGAAATCCCATCCAGTGCCGTCTCAGGGGCAGCACAGTGCAGCGCAATGCAGGGCTCTTGTGGCTTGCCAAGTAAACCTCTTTGAGGCACTGGTGATCGCTGATAGGTCGGTACGGCGTCTCACCATTCCGGGCAAGGCGGTAGGCATTTCTGACACGCCCTAGTACCCACCCATGCTTCTTGAAACACCACAGGAGTGCAAAGAAGGACGACGGTTGACCACTCAGACCCGCCATGTACGAAAACAGGAGGCAGCATAGACGAGCACGAGTGGCTGCATGACTTAGACCGCTAGCTGCTATTGCAGCATGGCGGAAATTGCAACCTTGACGCATGTAGGATTTTATACTTGGTGATCCTCCGCTTACTTGCACACTCCATTCTTCACCAACCTTCTACTTTTGTACCTTTGCGTCGCCTTTCCATACCTCCCACTCTCTTCCATTGCCTCTTGGACGCAGGACGACCTCACTCTTTACGTTGCACCTCGTCAAGCTCACTACGAGCATTACATTCTTTACACGTCACTGTTGTCCACAGTCAATTCTAGCATCTCATATCCTGTCTTGCACCTGATTCAATATCAGCAGACCTGACTTTGCGCTATTCTTCTGTGAAGACTACATTCAATCGACCCGCCACCAATTTTATCCACCACAAACATGCGTTTTACCACATACTCCGCGATGGCCGCGATGGCGACCCTGGCCACAGCTCAGACCTTCACAGACTGCAATCCTATGGAAAAAGAGTGCCCAAATGATCCTGCTATGCCCGCTACCTTTGAAACAGATTTCAAAGCTGGTAAGGCTGCCGTCAAGGGCTGGAAGCAAACCGCTGGAGCTCTGAAATATGCCCCAGGAGGTGCTGAGTTCACTATCACCAAGAAGGGTGAGGCTGGGCCTACCATTCAGTCTGAAGGCTTCTTGCACTTCGGTTACGTTGAGGTCAAGATGACTGCTGCCAAGGGTCAGGGCATTATTTCATCGATCGTACTCCAGTCTCAAGACTTGGATGAAGTTGACTGGGAGTGGATCGGTGGTCAGGAGGGTAAGGTCCAGATGAACTGTAAGTTTTGATTCGTGTAGCGCATAACACAGTGTACTGACTACCTCCAGACTTCGGCAAGGGTAACACCACCACATTCGACCGTATGATTGAAGCACCCGTGGCCACAACCCAGACCGAGACCCACACCTATGCCTTGAACTGGACCGCTGAGGCTATCACTTGGATCATTGACGGGGAGCCCAAACGCACATTGAACTTCGCCGATGCCAACGGCGGAAAGAACTTCCCACAGACTCCCTGCAATGTCCGCATTGGCAACTGGGCCGGTGGTGACTCCACGGACAAGGGCACTGTTGAATGGGCCGGTGGTGTCCCTGACTACTCAAAGGGACCCTTCACCATGACCGTTGACAGCGTCAAGGTCATCAACTATAGCCCCGGTACGGAATACAAGTGGACCGACAAGACCGGATCCCATGAGTCTATCGAAGTCATCGGCGCAGGCAGCAAGGAGGGCGCTCCTCAGAACGCTATTCCCATTGAGTCTGCCGCTGCCACCGCTTCTGGCAAGCCCCTTGCATCTGGCATCAACGTTCCTAGCGGAACCGCTGGTTCTCCCGCCGCTTCTACCTCTTCCACATCCGGTGCGGCCGATCAGACCCCTGCTCCGGTTGCTGGTGGTGCCGGCTCCTCTGGCTCTGGCTTCAACTACCCCACAGGCGGAGCAGCCAAGCCTTCAGGTGGTGCAGCTGGCAGCCCACCCAGCGACGGCGAGTCCGACGAGGACTGCGAGTGCGGCACCGCAACCGTCACTGTGACTGGTGCCCCTCCCGCGTCCTTCACAAGCATGTACTCTGCACTCCCTCCCAACAGCGTTATCTCCTCTGTCCGTCCTCCTCCTGCGGCATCGTCGCCTCCATTCCCCACCAGCGGTCTCCTCACTGAAACCCGACCACCCCCTGTCGTTCCCGTCCCAGCTGGTCCAACTGGCCCAACTGCGCCCGGCGCCGTCTTGCCCACACCTTCGCGCAACGCTACGATCAGCGCACCACCAGCTCAGTTCACTGGTGCCGCCAGCCACAACAAGGCTGGCGTGCTTGCTGGTGCACTTGCTGGTGCCGTCCTACTCGCCTTTTAGATAAGCTGAGGATGGGGTTGGCTTACGATATTGGGATGCGGACTTCATTATTGTATATACTTAATTGGCGCGTTTGGACGTCATTACACCTTTTCCCCATGAAGATATCAAGGGAAGTTAGATACAAAATTACATAGGATTGGATGACAATCTACCAATGAATACGATGCTATTGAGCAGACTTGAGTTCTTCGGTCTTGTTGATGATTCTTCACGTTATCCCTCGGCCTTCGCACAATCTACCATTCAGCTTCAACACACACCCATGCCAACGCAACACTCAACGCACATTCCCACTCGCATAACTCAGCATTACAGCTCTGTCGATACGGGAAGTCATGCCATCACCCTGTCAAAGCTTCCAGAAAGTCGAACTCGTTTGATCGTCCTTGTTTCAGATCGTCGGTCCGATGCGACGTGCATCGAGCTCGCGACCATCGACGTCGCGATGATGGCGGTGTATAGTCGACATTGGGAGACGGGGCCGTGTGATGACGAGAGTGTCAGAGGTCTTCGGAGTGACGGGAATGCGCATGGGGAAGACTGTATCGGATGGTGTGGCGTGAGCCACTTGTCCACGAGAGCGGCGCGAAGACACAGGATTGCGAACGCGAGGGGATGGGAGTACGAGAACGCTGATTTCGTTGTGTGCGAGCATCATTGCATGCGTATTACATGGCAAGATAATTTCTAAACCGTTGTGCTGGTGTGCGTAGCGAGTTCCGTGGTATTTTGCCTCAATCTTTCTTCATCCATTGTCTGTCGTATCCAGGTCAAGACGGTGGCTGTTTCTTAAACCACTTCTTCAACCACCTGAACCTCACCTTCTTCTTCTTCTTCTTCTCCTTCTTCCCATCAACCTCAATCTGCAAATCATGTCCTCCTTCCCTATCCTCATCTTCCACAACCCCCTCCGCCCTCGCCAAATTCATCGTCATATCTAACAACTCCTTCTGAATCTCCCGCCGCTCTTCCGGCCAAACTGACCGCCGAGCTATCTCTCCCGACGCCAAAACCCGCTGTATCGACGTATTCTCAAGCTCCACGCCGCCTACCCGCAGTCCATTGTAGTGCCTGTTGTGAAGCGTGATGGTGTTTGGATTCGGTGCAGTCACAAGCGGCAACGGACTCAGTGGCTGCTGCCAGCTAAAAGGCGTTTCGGCACGGTAGTCAGCAGGAAGACGGGGTTGATGCGGGCGTATTGGGCGGAGATTTTGTCTTTCGGCTGCGGAAAGGGGGACTGTTGTTGGGGCTGGGAAGGGCCCAGGCTGTCTTAACATGACAGCAGGACGTTGTATTTCTTGCCCGAATTCGCGGTTGAAATCTCTGAGATCATGCCGGCTGGGTGCAAGAGGGAAGCGAGGAGGATTGTCGATACTTGGCGGTATCTGATCACCCATGAATGTTCCTCTTATCAGAGGCACAGTGGCGGGATGTTGTTGTGAAGTCATCAGTGTCGGGTAAGGTGTCGCCGGCCTTCGACTCAACGCGGGAGCTTGTCTCTCTGCCATCGCCCTATAAGTACTTGTAGACCGATAAAATTCCTCAGGTGCAGGACTGCCTGTCTCCAGAGGCGTCCCCATCCAAACACCAAACGTCCCAGCTTGAGAATCGAAGAGCTCTTGGGCAGGTGCATCGATTGCTCTTCCACTGTTCTGGCCTGCAGCGCCAGATGGGCCTTGTTGCGGAGGACTAGAGCGGGGGGTACTGATCGCTGCTTGTCCGCTATTGCTTCCTGCTGGTGGTGAAGATGATGATTTGCGGTGGCAGAATCCCATCATTTGCGCGACTTGACCTTCCCGATTAATTTCTTGTATCTGCGCAAGGTGGGAGGCGCGTGTTTGTGCAATGCGGGATGAACCTGCTTTCACGACTACAGGGCCGATGTTAGATATAGCTGACTTAGTTGGAAGAAGCGGAATACGTTTTGTGATTGTAATTTGGTGCAGTGAAAAGGTTCTGAGGAGGTGGTAACGCTGATATGCTTTGTAGGGAAATCTCGATTTGCGAAGCGAATAGGGAACTGTTGTTGAGAATCTGCCTCGATTATAATTTCTCTTGATATTATACAAGCTACGTAGAGCACATGAAACTTTTTTTAAGGCCGAGTGTGATTTCGACTATGTCAAGTATGATGGTTGTCCAATTTGCCGCTACCAAAGAAATATCGACCAAGATCGCACCAGCACTTTCCAAAATATCCTTTCATGCCCCAAGTAAGCCATCTCAGAAACAGGAAAGAGCCCATACTATCAAAGATAAATCCCAGCCCCATCAGGCCTACGCCTCTCACAGTAAAACTTCTCCATCCTAACCTTGTTTCCCTCCTTCCGCGCCTTCTTCTCTTCCTTCCTCTGCGTAGACTTCGCTGCATACTTTGCCCGCCGACTTTCTTCGTGAAAACGCATCTGTCTTCGCAGTTTCTGGACGCGCTGTTGAAGCCGGAGGCTTTTGGCCTCGAGAGCTCTCCTTGCTCTGGCACGAAGCGCTTGCATCTTGTCCTTGCACCGAGAGACTAGAGTCTGTTCATGCTCGTTGCGTGTTGAGGTGGCCATTGGCGTTGGCTGATCAGGAAGTCGTTGGTAGGGCACGGACGTTGCGGCCAGTGTCAAGAGAGTAGAGTCCATCGCGAGGATTTTGGTGATCTGGTAGCTTCACACCTTAACTGTTGTTTGAGTTAGATGCTGATATTTTAAGTGGCGGTGCTCCTTGTATAGCAATATTGCACATTTCGAATCCGGTACACTTGTTACAAAACATCACCAAGCGAACCACTGTATATATTTTGACCAATTCATTGAACCATCCACTGGCACCGACAAAAATTGCTCTCCGATGCCCGCTGTCTAGCTCGGAATCTAATACTCCGGTCGAGGACGGCCTTTGCTAAGGTTTCCGCAGCCGGTTCGGCTAAACGCAGCGTCACCTTCTCCTCTGAAAGGCTACTCAAACCGCCTTCCTGTAACCTCATTCTCTCGCAGTAAGGTGCCTTGCCATTAGGCATGCGCTGCTCGACGAGCTTGAGCACATGCGGTACTTTTACGAGGTCTTGCATGAAAGTGGCCGAGCTGTTCGAAGTAGCGCTAGCGGTCGTTTGCTGATCAGGATACATGTATCCCTCTATGAGAGTCTCATTGAAGACGCATCGCCATAGCGTATCCCCAAGTTGAAAAGTCGAGTGTCGCATAATAGGCTGAGTCCTTGTATCTTCTGAAATTAAATCGTTCTCATTAAGTAGAACCACCCGATCGTACGTGGTGCGCACATGGTACACGGGCCCGTTATCGGGTGATGCTTCAGTGAGCATTCTGACCTCAACTGGCGGTATTTCCGGGGGTTGATGTCCGTGATAGATAGTGTCGTCACTGTTCGGCACTGAACCGAGCGTGATCATTGTGGCGTTTGAGTCCATGGGAGGCGGCAGTACGTTGAGTTGCCAGGTTGTGTTAGATGCACACTGCCATGCAATCGACTCATTGTTTCTCTCTAGACATGCCGAATTTTGCTGTTGCGGCAACTCTATCGGGATCGCGAAATGCCCCCGTGGCAATGGGTCCATGGGCTGTATTGACGGCGCATCACTCCCGGTTGTCTCTGTCCTTATGTTTGAACCGCTACTGAAGATAGTCAGGACTCCGCATACTTCCTGCACAACTGAAGTGATTCAGGCCTACCTTGACGATGTGCGCTTCTTTGCTGCCAATAATGCGATACCAATAGTCAACATTAACGCAAGTTGTATGCCAATCAACGCAAGGATGCGTTGTTTCACTGATAGCCTGGCCCACAGCGTTGATGTGGGTAACCTTGGGAGAGGTTTCTCCAATGGACTGCTGTCGTGCTTGTGTGGTATGAAAAGCTCTTTCTCCGCTTGATCAGGGCTAAGTATCGGTGCCGAGAGGATGTTGCACCGTTCAAGAGGGACGACCTCAATTCCATCTTCGATATGCCTAATTAGGCACCTCCCCGAATGCTCACTAGTACTATTATCCTCGTTGTTGCTCGGAAATACGGTATATATGCTGGGCAGGGGCTGGATGTTTTTGACTGATCTGCGGGGAAGGTGCATGAATGCTATTAGAGAAGAGAGATCTAAAAGAAGGTCGAGATGGGTACTGGACCAGCCAGAAGCCAAAGATATCCTGAGAAGACGAAAAAAGAGTGAGAGCAGACGTAGATAGCAACCAGCGCATGGTCAGTATGCCTTTTCAGGATCAGGCATAGTATATGCATCCTTGAGGTGAAACGTCTGTGAGTGAATTGGGTCAGTATTTGTTAGCCGTATGCACTGCGCCGCAATCCTGCTGAACATTGTCGTCCAATGCTCGAGTACTGTGGACGGCGGACTGAAGAAGCTAAAGTTTGTGGAAATTATGACCGAGGATTCTTAGTGCACACTCGGAGGCCCTAAAGCGAGTGTCTGGAGGATGTCCTATTTGGGAAGAAAAGTTTATGGGCCAGGCCGATGTGGCTTGAAGCATTGGATCTACTTTCACCTAAGCAGACGTGGTCCGTGCGAATAGCCGCCCTACTGCATGCGCGATGCCGGTCCGCAGAAGGTCCGTCTACGCATCCTCCCGGTGTGATGAAAGCTTGGAAGGAAGTCCTGAGGAGGCGCGCAGCGGTAGTCGGTTGTGAGCCGAGCTAGTTGTATGTAGACAATCTGAAACGATGGGTGGTCTGCACTGGTGTCAACTGCGATAAGAAGCGACCAGTATACAACAGGCAGCAGCTCATCCCATAGCCTGAAGCTATACGCAGGGACCTACCATTGTGGTCGAAACCTCGCCATACTATGCATAGCTTCAGGCTTCCCTATCTACTTTCAGTCGCAACTCATAACCTGTAGCATGCGGAAGGCCGGTCGATAGCCGTGTCTGCTTTGTCAAAGACGTGGGCTGAAAAGCCCACACTACTATGTGAATGAAAAGCATTGCATAATGCATAGGAAATGATTCCGGTGAAGGTGCAGGCTCGCACATCGTTGTGGTGAGATGCAAGTGATGGCTAACCGCCGTGATGCGGGTCGCGTCACGGGTCTTAACCTGAAGTCGTCGGGCGGGCTCTTGCGATCGGCTGCCCAGCGATCGAGGATCGTTGCATAGCCAGATCCACGGTACGCAGAGTTGTACGTAAACAAGCACCAAATAGTTGATGAACGTGGTATTGGCTGGACTTCGCATGATGGCGGGCGTGAGGAAAGGGACGGATGAACCCTGAACGAATGCGGTTAGCTCAACACATCCCTTTGTCGTCCATATGTCACCCCAGATCTTCTTTACGCACCCTATCACGGCATCGCCCTTCCATCTCAACTGCGTCGAGGTAAAGAAGCCGTCAGGTCGCATGCTGTTCTTGAGAACTATTCTTCAGATGGTTTGTGACACGAGCACCGTTGCGTCACGACCTCGCGAACAAAAACGTCTTCGCACTTCGCTTGGGCAGAACGTTCTTTCCTCACAGCAACTTCCCTAGTGTTGCTAGATCCGTCAAACTGCAAAGGTTTCGCCTCCAGGCGCAATGCCGGCTGAAACAGCGTCTAGTCTTAGAGTTGACGAGCTCAACTTTCGACATGTCAGGCAATGTTTGTTCGACGAGGTTTCGAAACATTCGTCATACCTCAACGTCTTGGCCCCCACGAAACATGTTTCTTCACTCCGCACGAACATCAAATGCGGCTGTGAATGCGCTGACATTCAGTTCTGCTGCACAGCTCTCACAGTGGGGTCCCTTGCCTAAGGAATTTCATTTGTTGAGTCTCAACTCCGCCATCAGGAAAGCACGCTATGATCTCGCTTCGGCAAGTGGCTTGCATGCTGAGTATGCTGTACGAATGCATCCTTGCGGATTACAAGCTATTTATGAACCCTAGCTTGCTTACGCCGTAAGGCTGCGGAATCTAACTCGATCAAGGCTGACTTTAGTAACCCGCCCCGACGCGGTGGTGGCACAACGGGAAAGAGGGCGCAGAAGCGTGCAGGCACCCGGAAGTTTTATATGAAGTGATGCTTGTTTGCATTTCCCCAACTTTTGGCCTTTGCTTTGCAGTTTATTTCCAAGTCGACCCCGGACATACAGCCTAGACTCTGCACGATGGGCACCACGCAGCATCTCCAATGCACAACTGCTGCATCATCCGCACAGAACGCTTACATCAACTCAGCCTCTTCCCTTTTCTGGCCAGTCTTAATATCCAACTTCTTTCTGTCCGCACTGTCAATTGCCAACTTGGGTATAATTAGTTCTATGGTGGCCTTTTTACTGGACCAGAAACATAATGTTCAACGATACGAGATCACCTCACCAGGACTCCCATTCTTCCTGAATGTTGAGCCTGCACACCTGTGGGTCGATCAAGGGCATACCAGCAACGGCGTAGCAGGTTATGGGTTCTTCCTAGGCCTGTTTGGAATGTTTGTAGCTTGGCGAGTACGACGAGCCACGGTAAGATACCTTCGCCTCAGACGCGCCTCGCAGACATCAGACGTAGCGATCTGACACAGAATCAGCAGCCTTCAAAGCTCCTCATAGCACTCGTAATCCTCCAGTTCCTTGCCGTCCTATTCACCCTCAGTGCTTTAATTTTCGTCTTTATTGTGACCAACCAGACGAAAGGCCAATCAATTCGGATCCCCATTGCTGCCAATGCCCAAGGTCAAAACTACCCCGAGTACAAATGGACGCCAGAGACGTGGTTCAAAGCTGTCCTTGATTTGCCCCTTGCAGACAAGTACATGCGTGACGAAATTGACAGCAAGATCACGAATATGGTCACTTGGCGGTGGATGTTGGTTCCTATCTTAGCCGCCGACGTTATCGCGTTTGGTGTCACGACGCTGGCTTGGCTGAGGCAACGAAAGGGCATGACAGCGCGCCCGGACTCGGCGAACACGGTTGATAAATGAAGGCCGAGTATGGTACGGCTGCGGACGACGAGATCGCACAGTCGCTGGCAGAGCGAGTTGCAGGCTTCCAGACGTAGTCGAGCATGGCCGTGGAGAGGCGCGCTGTTGCGGGGGACTGGATTTCTATTACGAGCTTACGACATTTGCTTTCCATCAGCGTGGCGGATCCTTTTACTACATGCTGTTGCGAGGCGGCATAGGTGGTGTAAGCAAGCGCATGAAGGTGTGACAATTCATGGATGACATCCACTTTTTATGCCGTAGTTTTGCACGTGAAATCCAGCCTTGCCTTCGTTAGCGAAACCTAGGCTAAAGATCGGTCCCATGAATGAGTTGACCGCTACCATGAACGCCTTTGCAAGTCACGCGCGCATATTTGTCGAGGCAGGTGCATGGAACTACTGGGACAAGGCCAAATGACCAAACTTGCTCTTCTCTGCGATGAATGACTACTTTCCCAACCTCGTATCTTCTTCTAAACACTTCGAGCACGGCAGCAGCGTCGACATTAAGCTTTTAAGCTTACCCTCCGGCTCCCCTGCATCCCACGCGCCGCTTAGCGAGAACAACCTCGGCGCCTTTCCCACGCGGAAAAAGTTGACCCCACACACTCTTCCTGCCTCAGTCCGCTACCAACGTCACTGCGGTCTCGGGCTTCTTGGAGCACTTGCACTACACAAACGCGAATTCAACGGACTTTCCTTGCTCGCGAAAATTCCACATACCACCGGCTGCCGTATGCAGTGAAACGCTACTTCTGGGCCCGCATAGCATTCCACACGACACATACTTCACCCGTCATGGGCTGGCTTCTTTACCTCGCAGCTTCACCGGCGGCGCTCATAATGTTCCTGAGAATCCTGGCTCTCATACTGCCGGCGCAGCTGGCGCAACTTGCGTCGTTTGCGGCGTTTACTTTGACATCGTTCATCCTGATGATGCTATGCGCCTCGTACGGTGTCTTCGCCAGCATTGCCCTTAGGATGGTCGGGTATGGCGGACTCAGCCAATGGACAGTTGCTCGCGCGTTCAAATGGAGCATGTGGCTCGCCACGGGCGTCACGTTTCGGGTTACCGGCAGCATGAAGCGCGAGGGCGGTATGACCGGAGAAGATGCATTGAACACGCGGCCAGTTGTGTTTGTGGGCAACCACCAGACAGAGATGGATGTGTTGATGCTGGGCTGCGTGTTTCCAAAGTACACGAGTGTCACGGCCAAGAGTAGCTTGAAGCACATGCCATTCTTGGGCTGGTTCAGTAAGTCCTCTCGTGATTAGAGAATGAAATCGGTAGCTGACTTGAATACCAGTGGCTCTCAGCAAAACCGTCTTCATCGACCGCGCCAACCGCGCCGTCTCACGCGCAACCTTCGACACGGCTGCCGCAACCATGAAAACCAAGCGCCAAAACGTCTTCATCTTCCCCGAAGGCACGCGCTCATACGCCGAAGAGCCAATGCTCCTGCCATTCAAGAAAGGCGCCTTCCACCTCGCGGTACAAGCACAAGTCCCCATCGTACCTGTCGTATGCGCCAACTACGACAACGTCCTGAACGTGAAGAAGCGGAGATTCTGCCCCGGCACAATCGATGTGACGATCCTACCACCGGTCGACACAAAGGGATGTACAGCAGAAGACGTGGACCGGCTGGTAGAAAAAACACGCAATGCTATGCTGGAGGAATTGTTACGGCTATCACATGTCACGGATGGAGGCAGGAATGGCATGCCATTGCCAAGCGCAAGTGGAGTAGATGAGAAGACGCGGGAGCTCAGGAAGAGGAATTAGAATAGCTTCACCTGGAAGCGACTTCGCGAAATCATGGCTGAGGCGGAGAGCGGGTGAATATGGCGTTTGGCGCAGAGGGACAGACGTTTGGCATTTCGATGTCCTTGGACTTTGAAGCGGCATTGCAGGAACGCATATTAAGATTACTGGTAGCATCGGATGAGTTGGCCGAAGTATATTTAGATACTACTTGGGCATATGCATATAACACTAGTTTCAATACCACTCCGGAGTACATAAAACTCTGCTACACTTGTGCTTCCAGATCTTGTAGCTAGCAATCGTCAGCGAGCGATCTTCGGAGCCTCCCCGGTCGTCGCTCTACCGAGCTCGAGCTCTAGCTACTAGCTACCCCACATTCACTTGTACCCCTCACCCCTAGACGGGTATGCCGAAACTAGCTACACGCGTGTAATGGCTCGTGTCGAGTCGTTAGTCTTGGGAAGGTTTGGGGATTAGTATATAGCTAAACCATCAATGAAACCCATCATCTCTATGCGTTTCTATTTTCATATTTTGACACTGCTTTGAGCTTACTGTGTAGAGGGCATAATCATGGCGGCCAGACAACCAGATCTCAAGAATGAGACTGCGTCTTCGGCACAGTATAGTGTGCAGGGAAAGAGTGCGATAGTAACTGGAGCAGGTTCAGGCAAGAGATACGATCCTGCTTCAAAGCATTTGTCGCCTAACACCAATGCCAGGCATAAATTTCTCTTTCGCATCCCTCCTTCTTTCCCGCGGCTGCTCCGTCCTCCTCGCAGACCTGTCCCTCCGCCCCGAAGCCCAAGAGCTGCTCAAGAAATATGCAAACGGCACACCGCGCGCCGTATTCTGCAAAACCGACGTCACCAACTGGAAGCAACTATCCCACATGTTCGACACGGGAATCAAGGAGTTTGGGAACATTGACATCCTCTGCCCCGGCGCCGGCATCTACGACCCGCACTGGAGTAACTTCTGGCACCCGCCTGGCTCAGCAGCGAGTAAAGACGCCGAGGATGGCGACAGGTACGCGAGTATCGATATTAATGTGACGCACCCGATCCGCTGCACGCAACTCGCTATATCGCACTTCTTGAACCCGCCAGCCGGGGTGGCTAAAGCGAGCCCGGCGAATCCCAAGCGCGTGGTAATCATCAGCTCGATAGCAGGGCAGAATGCGAACTTGAACACGCCGATATACGTCGCGGCCAAACACGCGATGAATGGGTTTATACGCTCTCTTGGCCCACTGGACGAGCGCATGGGGATCCGCGTTAATGGCGTCGCGCCGGGCGTTATTAAAACGCCGTTGTGGACCGAACATCCGGAGAAGATGACGTTTTTGGATGAGGAGAGGGATGCGTGGGCGACGCCCGAGGAGGTGGCAGAGGGGATGCTGAAGTGCGTTGAGGATGCGGATCTAGGTGGCGGGAAGATATTGGAAATTGGAGCGGGGCAGACAAGATTGGTGGAGGCGCTGAATGATCCTGGACCGAGCGGGAAGGGGCATACGGCTAGTAATGTTGCGAAGCAGTATGAAGAGGTGTACGAATGGTTGGGTGAAGACGGGTGGGGGGTTGGGAAGGGGAAATCATAGAAATCCTGTCTGCCTTCACCTAACGACAAAGGATTAAGGTAGCCTAGATATGTTCAAAAACCTTTGCAAAGCTATATACGATATCTTGTAGCAGCTTATATATTCAGGCTACTTTACAATCTTGTAAGTATGCTCCTAAAGGTGGTTAGATTGTATCGTGTAGGTGCAGGGCGGATACGAATGTTGCTGTTGCCTCAGACCAAGCCGGGAGGTGCCACTCCGCATGCAACTCGAATGCCGATGTCTACTGTCTTGGCCTTGTCTCCTTTGTATGCATGGATTTCGTCGAGACTGTCCAGTACTGGGAAAACGTTGAAGTCGTCGTCTAGTAGCTTGGTGATCTCCTGTCTATGTTCAGACAGCTTGGGGCCAATGCAGATGATGAAAATGCTTTTGTTGATCTTTTCTGCGCCGTACGGCTCTAGTACAGCCGACAAGTCCAATGAAGATGCTTCGATATAACGATCACCATTGCTAAGTACTTCACCCAACACGACACTGTGTTCAGATGACTTCATGGAGTAACAGTGTGTATGGCCGCCTTGATAGTTGTGACGCTGCTGATTATGGTAAACATCGATCTGGTACAGTGAATGTGTTTCGAGATCTTGGGCAGAGAGCTGAGATGCAGGCGTGTGCCATGCTTGCCAGGCTAATTCCATCAAAGGAAAGCCATACCAGGATAGATTTTCATCTTCGAATTTGAAATGATTCTTTCCGTGACCTACTACCGCCGCAAAAGCTGTTGGTCGATGAAGAGAGGATTGCAATTTGACAGTGAGGTGCTGTGTGATTGGAAGACCAAGTGAGATGAGAGACGTAGAAATGAGAACAGGCCCGTCTAGTTCAAGTATAAGTTGGAGATGAGATCACAAAGATCTGAAGCCGGTGCCTGCGCATTACATGGCGCATATACTGCTGTTTAGATAGGAAGTAGAAACACAGATGTAGCATTCATTGGAACGCCTCTCAAGTACGTACTTGCAGTGTAAAGGAACATCCGTTGGTATCCTACAAACAAGGCTCTCGTGTAGGCAGGATATACTTTACGCGTTGGAACACTCAGACCATGTGTTCCGAGGTTAGCAGAGCCTGAAGACATTTGGAGGACTGAGACAGAAGGAGTTTGCTGCAGAGCGAATTGGCACTGCATAGCTCCAGCACTCGACAACAAGCTTCGACCCGGTATGAGGCTAGTCAAATTTATCATTGTACGGTGTAGACCGGCTGAGCGGCCACAATTCAAAGCGGTCGTGGTGTGGGACCGTGAGGGCCTAAATGGTCGTCGTGATCGCCCCACCCACTGAAGTGGTAGCACGCGGGCACGATGGCGCTGTTGTTGAGGGAACAGAGAGAGCAGATTTATTATCAATAGCCTGAAGCTATACGGAAGTCCAGGCCGCGCAGGTACGGAGATAGCGAACCGGCTATTGAAAGGCTTGGCGCGGGTGAGAGTGATCCGGGATTTGAAAAGGTCACGATGGTGCCGGTGGGAGAAGGCGAGAAAGGTCGAGCAGTTGCGGCGAACATGGCACGAGGTGTACCAGCAGATGCGAAGACGTGCTCCGGCTTTTGGCCGACCCTGGCGCACATTCGCTAAGCATTGCATCACCGCCGCTTAGGTAATGCGCTCGAGGGTCGAGACAGGTGCGGCGGCCGTGAATGTGCGACTGGCCGGGTCGCAGGTGATGGGTCAGGGTCTGCTTACTGTAACAAATTGCGCTGCTGATTGATGGGAAGCCTGAAGAGGCCCTATCGGCTGGGACGTAGTAGGGCTGGTAGTTTTCTTTTCCCGGCCGTTTGTGGACGGGCTTGCCACCTGTGACGCGCTTTTTTTGGGCTGGCGGGGCAGAGGGGCCCATATTGAAGAGCTATGCCGCCGACGCAGAATCTCCCAACAACAATTCCTCCGAACACCTACCTATACCTGTGAACAACTCCCCCAGAAACAAACACTACACATACCCATACCCACCACTTCATCGACCATGTCCAGCTCTCTTGATCAATTGAAGGCCACTGGCACCGTAAGTGCCCCGCCATCTTTCACTGCATCGGAGCTCCCGGAGATGTCACCGGCGGCCCTGCATCAGTGAACACCATGGAACACTTGTTAACAGTCATGCGCAGGTCGTCGTCTGCGACTCTGGTGACTTTGCGACCATCGCCAAGTACCAGCCCCAGGATGCCACCACCAACCCCTCCCTCATCCTCGCTGCCTCCAAGAAGGAGGAGTACGCGAAGCTGATCGACTCCGCCGTCGAGTACGGCAAGAAGCACGGCGGCAGCAACATCGAGGACCAGGTCGACGCCACATTGGACAACTTGCTCGTACAATTCGGCAAGGAGATCCTCAAGATCATCCCCGGCAAGGTCTCAACTGAGGTCGACGCCCGCTTCTCGTTCGACACTGAGGCCTCGGTAACCAAGGCTCTCCGAATCATCGACGTGAGTTACCTGGAAAAGTAGAATGGTCGCAAACTAACAATTTCCAGCTGTACAAGGAGCAGGGTATCGGCAAGGAGCGCATTCTCATCAAGATCGCTTCAACATGGGAAGGCATCAAGGCCGCCGAGATCCTCCAGTCCAAGCACGGAATCAACACCAACCTCACCCTCATGTTCTCCCAGACCCAGGCTATCGCCGCTGCTGAGGCCGGCGCCTTCTTGATCTCGCCCTTCGTTGGCCGCATCCTTGACTGGTACAAGGCTTCGACCAAGAATGGAGTACACCAAGGAGGAGGACTCCCGGTGTCAAGAGCGTCCAGAAACATTCTTCAACTACTAACAAGAAGTTCGGGCTACAAGACCATCGTCATGGGTGCCTCTTTCAGGAGCATCGGCGAGGTCACTGAGCTCGCTGGATGCGACTACCTCACCATTGCCGTAAGTCGTCAGCACTATGATGAGATGGAATCCATACTAATATTACTAGCCCAACCTACTTGAGCAGCTCTACAACTCGCAAGACCCCGTCCCCAAGAAGCTCGATGCCAGCGGCGCCAACTCGCTCGACCTCGAGAAGAAGACTTACATTAACAACGAGGCCGAGTTCCGCTTTTACTTCAACGAGGACCAGATGGCCGTCGAGAAGCTCCGCGAGGGTATCTCGAAATTCGCTGCTGACGCCGTTACCCTCAAGGACATTCTCCGCCAGAAGATTCAGGCTTAGAGTGGGTAGTCCGGTATCGGCGGTTTGACGAAGTCACGATTGTTATTGTCCGCGTGGTTGCCTTTTCTCTCTTGATTTGAGATCGGAGTAGGTTTAGCAACTGAGATATCAAAATAAATATTAGAAGAAACGTGAAAGTCACCAGTCTTATCATTCGAACGTGATGGAACCATAGAGCTGAACAGGGGTATGCACTATGATAGGCGTCCTGCGTAAAGTAAATGCGTAGGATCTATCATTCGTCAGGTCTGGCTCGGCGGTAAGACCGAATGCGCGAGCTGTTGCGGGTCCCGGCTCGTTGCGTCACTCCGAGCGCCCCGCATCCACGTCGAAGAAAGCTGTCGAACACGTCCGTCTCTTCTCCGCTCACTCCTTCACTGTATACTCATACACATCACCAAACAAACCAATTCCATCAAATACCTTACATTACCGTCAAAATGGTCAAAGCCGGTATGTTACCACTCTTTCTATCGCCCAAGTTGCCTGATTGGGGCAAGGTGGGGTCGTGAGAGTGAGCGGGAATGAGCACATTTCACCAGCTACACCACTTGGAGCGTTACAAAACGCTGTGTATCGCTGTGAATGGCTCAATCGGGCAGACTGAGGACTGTGATGGAGATCAGACGCTTCCTGTTCCTGTCGAGATGCTCCAATCAGCGCCTCTCACTGCGACACCCTGATGGCTCGCACACCCACTTGTGTACCCTTCACAGCCCAACAGTCGGGTGACGGGTAGGGCTGAGGCTCTCACCCAAGCTACAAGGCGCCAGATCAGCAGCTGACATACTCCCGCAGTCGCCGTCCTCCGTGGAGACTCCAACGTCAAGGGCACCGTCACCTTCGAGCAGGAGAACGAGTCCTCGCCCACCAAGATCTCATGGGACATCACCGGCAACGACGCCAACGCTGAGCGTGGCATGCACGTCCACGCTTTCGGTGACAACACCAACGGCTGCACCAGCGCTGGACCTCACTGTATGTCCCGCCACCACGACGTTTGTGTTGTGCTGATAGATTGCTAGTCAACCCCCACAACAAGACCCACGGCGCACCCGAAGACGAGGAGCGCCACGTCGGTGACTTGGGTAACTTCAAGACCGACGGCCAGGGCAATGCCCAGGGAAGCGTTTCGGACAAGCTGATCAAGTTGATTGGCTCTGAGAGCGTTATTGGCGTACGTTCATCCTCCACTACCATCCATACAGAAATAGAACTAACGTGATTGCAGCGCACCATCGTTGTGCACGGTGGCACTGACGACCTCGGCAGGGGCGGACACGAGGAGTCCAAGAAGACTGGTAACGCTGGCCCTCGTCCTGCTTGCGGTGTCATTGGTATCTCCAACTAGATGCGGCAGCAGAGTTATCGTCGAGAATGGTAATGTGCGCCAGCAGCCTGGGCACTAGAAATTAGGGAGGGGATGCGTATCTTTCATGTAGCGTATAGCTCGTACAAAAGAAACACTTCGCCTCATTACATGCTTCCACGTCTCATTGCGTGCTTTTTATTGAATGGAAATGTACAAACACGGGCCAACCGTCAGACTGTTATCACAAGTTTGAACGGAATCACGGCAGCACAGGCCGAACAGAGCATCAATTCACTGCGTCGTTGCATGCAATGCTATATTATTACTTTCGTATACTATATCTACGCATCTCAACAATCGCACGCCCTAATGACGGCTCCAAGATCCCCATCAAGATAGAGGCCGCAGTCTTTACTACCCTAGCCAATCTTTGCGTGCACCAACGTCCATGATGCGTATCCACCCTCGAAAACTGCACATCTTGCTGAATATATACAAGCAGCTCAGGAGACTCCGTTTAGAAGCAGAAGACCTGGTCCTCGAGCTTGCTGACTGGCTTAGCCTTTGCGTAGCCCAAGCTCTCAGTCGCCTTCTTCATCGCAGCAACCATAGGAGGAGGACCGCAAACCAGAATCTTGACGTCGCTGGCAGGCGCAGGCAACTTCTCCTTGATCATATCCGCAGTGACGAATCCAACGCCGCCGGTCCAGCCCTCTGGAGGGTTGTTGAGCACGTAGTGTACCCTGAACTTGGGGTCCTTTGCTGCAAGCGCATCGAGATCCTCCTTGAGCAGAATGTCCTCGGGGTTTACGTTTGCGAAGATGAGATCGACCTCGGTAGTGTCGCCCTGGCCGCGGCCCCGGATAATAGCCTTGACGACCTGCAGCATGGGAGTGATGCCGGTGCCGCCTGAAATCATGCCGAAGTGCCTGACCATGTTGGGTGTGTAGACCATTGCGCCCTTGGGGCCCTTGACGCGCATTTTCTCGCCGACTTTGAGGTTCGCGACATACTTGGAGATGTTTCCGGTGGGGTACGACTTGATGAGGAGGTCGAAGTGGCCTTTGTCTTCATCGGAGGAGATGGGCGTGTACGAGCGAACGACTTCTTTGGGCTGACCTTCGATGGTGGCGCCGAGGGAGATGTGCTGACCGATGGGGAGGCCGAGGATATCGGTCTTACGTGGAAGCTTGAAGCGGTAGCTGCGCAGGTTAGTCCTGCTCGCCATTGTAGTGCGTAGTGCGTGAGCTTACATGGCGGTGTTGTGCGAAAGGACAGTCTTCTCCTCGAGCTCAAACTCCTGGAACTCATTGGGCTTCAGCACCTTCTTGGATCCTGCTGAACGTAAGCTACGTCGCGAATAGCATCGATGAGAGTGAATCTTACCACTGCTGTAGACCTTCCATCCTCCAACAGCTGCGACGAAAAGCACGACATACGGCAACAATGCTCTGTTCCGATCAGTCAAGGTACCGAGGAATATCTATGCCGAGAACGTACTGCGGTGAGAACGCCATGGTGGAGGCCTCGTTCAAACAAGTGACACTTTTCAAGGGCCTAATATGAGAACAAACGTCAATTGAAGCCCCGGATGCGGTTTGAGGAGACGGGACTGGAGCGTGTGGGGTAGAATAGGGAAGCTCACGATTCTCTCGGCGAAGGATCGGACCTCACCAAAAGTTGCGGTCGAACCACTTCCGGGGTGCAGCGAGCCGCGATTGGTCAGAGATGCGAGGCTTGGCAGGGTCTGGCTTGATCTGGGTCGGGATGAATCGCGATCAGCAACCTTCACGACTGAGTTGGTGATAATGGCTGTGTCGCTGATGAACGTCGGAATGACAGCAAAGCAAGTTACCAGCGCCGGCTGTTGGCGGAGTGAGGTTTTGTAGACCGATAGTACGAGCCCGTGGACGGACCGACTGCGCGCTTTCGGAAAGCGAATCCTGGTTCCAAGGTCGTCTCCGACGCCTAATCATCACGTGTCTATGCCCTGCAGTGGATGCGTCTTCGGTATGAGCATATATATCAAAGGGAATAACTTGATGTCTGATATCCTTGAGGCCTCAACATTGTTTTATTTTCGGGGAAACATGCATACACGGTGCCGCCGCGCCCTTCCGAAGAGCAAAAGCTGCAGTCGAAAGCTTCCTCGTCGCAAGTGTGGTCGCCTTTGGGACAAAAACACTCACTATCCACTTGGCACCTCAGCTGCGGGATAAGTCTCCCATCAACAAAATTTGACCAGGAAAAGCATATCTCCATGGATACGAACTTGACTTAAAAAGTCAACTATTCTTTGTGTGCGTAATGCTCTACATCACATTTCAGACTTCAGTCAAATGAAGCATTAAAAAAGCATCAATTACTACATAAGCAGACTACATAATAGCATGCCTAGCATCAACAAATCCTACTAGTCATCAACATACAAAAGGCTCTGGAGCTTATTATCAAAATCATGCGTCGATCCCGCAGGCCCGTTCACAGGCTTCTTCGACAGGTCCGCCACACCCGGATATCCAACGTGGAAGAACTCGAGATCCTCGTCACTGTTGCGATGCTCACTCCTGCACACTTATCAGCTTTCTGTTCACCACTTTCGTTGTAACACTTACACGTAGAAGTAACAGAAGCTACCTTCATTGGGCCGCACAGAGCTGACCCGATCAAACGAATACCCGGCAAGGTGGATGCATTGGCTTACTGGGGCATAGATTTAGTCGCAGTAGCCTTCGAACTTGGGGTCATTGCAGATGAGAGTACCTTTGTCGGTTACTTCGCTGGGTGTGGGTGCGGCGAGGACGGAGCTGCAGAGGAGGGTGGCGAGGGAAATAGTGAACTTCATTTTGAAGAACTTTAAGTGAAATTTGAGAGGCTGTAGGTACTGAGGAGTAGGAATGAACTTGGTGTGAAGAAGCGTTGGAGATTGATGAGTGGTTGGATGATTACTTCCCCAACTTGCATCGACGTCTTTATAATTCATCAAAGCTTTAGGTCAATGCCCTACCTACAGCCATATCGGAGCACAAAGTATTGGTGTGCCCGAGATACGAGTTCATCGCTGATTCCACTGTGTTGTCAACGAGTTTCGATGGATGTAGCTGTATTTTTGTCGTTGTAGATCGTCCGGATGCTGCCACGATGCCGTACCTAGCGCTGACGTCTGAGTAATACTGCACGTATACAGCATCACATCGCTTCTCCAGTCCATCTTATTCAACGTCTATCTGTCTAGTAGCATCGCTTTCCGCGCCCGGCGATCCTTCAGTGAAGCCTTCGGAAGACAGTTTACTTTGCAGTTGCATCGTGACATATATGATATGTGGAGCTCAAGCATGCATGGAATGTGGCAGCTGCCAATTTCACTTTGGAAACAGTGCAAAGCCTGAGCAGCTCAGTGCAGATTTTCAACTGTGCTGGAAAGCAACTAAAGGCATTTGCCAGCCTGAAGCTATACACGGTATCGCTGGGATTTGCCTGCGACGATACTCACTTCTGTGTAGCTTCAGGCTAGATGATGAGCTGCGGCCTGTTGCACCCTGGTAGCTTCCCATCGTAGTTGACGAGATGTTGTAGACAAAAGCTGTATGTACTCTTTGTGAAGCGCATGTTACGGTCTAGGTATGATGCCGGACTGTTCGTGCTGACATGTGACGTCACAAATCTCCTGCGCAAAAATAGAATTGAGTATGCCCCATTCGGTAATCCTGGACTTAAAGTACGTTCGAGCCGGGGCTATTCAAGGTGCAAGGAACATTCGAATGACCCGATGGTCGCATTGTGATGAAGTCGAACTCAGTAGCGACTGCTCTTTAGAGGACTGACTCGAAGTGTGCTTCGGGGATCCGAGGCTCTGGTGGGACGAACTCCGTCATGTACGAAAATAGAATAAGACGAGAAAGAAAAAAAGAGCATACCTTGGCGATTCGAGAGCTCCAAGATATTGAGGGTAAGTATTGCTGGTAAACGTCACTTTATGCCCGAGTGGAGAAGCGTCGATGACAAAGCGTCAATTACCAAGTACCCTCGGCAGAAGCCAGCGAACATATCTGTATTGGTACTTTCGCATGAACATCTTCAACTGAATTTTCGACCAGTTACATCCATTGACTGTCGAAATCTTCACCAGCCACCACCAAAAAATCGCAATCCATGCCACATTTCCTTCTCTCCATTGCCTGACGTCACACCACCTTCATTACCATGACTGAGCTGGTACGAACCGGAGCCTGTCTCTGCAAGCGCATAACCTTTCGTATGACTGGAGAGGAAATCAATGTTGCGATCTGCCACTGCGATAATTGCCAACGAAACTGCGGTGCACCGTATACAGCTAATGCATGGTTCCGCGACAAGGTAAGCCACATTCCGTTAACTCACAAGGTGCGTCGCGATCATGGGAAAATCCGTGCTAAATGCCATAGCAATTCGAATGGACATCCGGCGATAGCCTGCTAAAGCAGTACGATGACCACGACACTGCCACTGGTGAAGTCGTGCATCGCTGGTTCTGTACTAACTGCGGCTCGCCCATGTTGACCAAGTCCCCGCGCATGGTTGGTGTCACAATCTTGCCAATTGGTTTATTCGACACTAGGCAAGAATGGAAGCCGAGCTACGAACAGTGGCTATGCAGTCGAGCAGGTTTTGTCGAAGACATCAAAGCAGTGAAAGATGAGAGCAGATATGATCGTGCCCCAGACAAGAAAGAGTTTGAGCGGATTTGGGCCGAGCTATGATAAATTCAATTCATATACAGACATCAAGATCAGGCTATATGGCCACTGTCTCTTAGTTGTTGGAAGTTGCCTTTTGCTCCCACACACTACAAAATTCTCGCCAAGTCCTCTTACGTGTTTAGTCGATACTTCTCACAAAGCGCTTCATAGACACTTTCCGATAGTCTAAATATGATCCATGAGCTGTCTTGAACTGTGTATCGAAGTCTGGGCCTCGATCGAAGATCGTTGTGTTGAACGCCGAATGAGTCCGGCTACTTCCATTGTATATAGCCAGGCACCAGGAAAAGTTCCGCGTTGACTGCGTCCATATGACAGTTGCGGTAGAAAAATAGCGGAAGGCTTCCAGTTCAACACGTGCCATTCGGCATCGGCAAGATATCATGCAGCTGAACCTCAACGCTGATGTTCTGGGCTCAAGCCATGTGCCGGTAGCGCCCCGCAGACACGTACTAACGACACCGCGAGCCACCAACATGACCCAGAAATCTCCCCGCTAAACTCAAATGATTCCTAGTTGCAAGCCAAGACGACGATGGCTTCCCCAGATTCTTAGAATCCCACGACATCGTGCTTCGCCCACAGTGCGGGGAATCCCCAGCATTTCGGTAAGCCAATGGCATGCACTGCGGCGACATGCGGAGTTGAGGCCGCTAAGACTCTCGGGTCCAGATGCTCAAGCTATTGCTTTCTAAAGAGCTTGGTATTCTTTGGAGCCTTGGTCTTCGATGGCTCTTACCACTTTCGTCCTGCGACTCCGAGAAACTGGACACGAGGTCGCTTGCCATGCTCCCAATGAGATGATCTCCCGAAGCTATGGCTTGGTAAGTCCCAAACATGGACTACAACTCTAAGTAGCCGCCAGGATAGTGCTTCCTCCATAGAGTCTGGGGCACAGTGGAGCCGACAGCTCTCAAATCTGGGGAAGTCGAGACTGCTCCACGATGACTTTTCCATAGATATATAGCCATGTCAGCACCTGTGTTTCAATCTTCAGCTCCATCCTCTCTCATACATCATCATGTCTTCCACACCTACCTACGCCGATGAGAAGGGCGGTGTCCAGGAGATCGAGCGCGTCGTGTCCGATGGCGGCAACCAAGCCATTATCGACTCCTTCACACCTGAGGAGCAGAAAAAAATTGTTCGCAAGGTCGACTTGCGACTTATTCCAGTACTCGGCTTCATGTACTGTGTCTCGTAAGCTTTCCACTCACATTGTCCTGTCAACGTCGACTAACTTCAAATAGTCTCATGGACCGAACCAACCTGGGTGTTGCCATGGTTGCTGGTATGGGTGTTGACCTGAAGCTCACTGGCGAGCGATACAGTCTCGTGGTGCTCCTTTTCTTCATTACATACGTTGCTCTGCAGCCTCCTGCCACCGTCGTCCTCCGCAAGCTTGGTCCCCGTGTTTTCCTGCCCTCGATCGTTGTTATCTGGGGATCAGTGATGATTGGCTTTGGGTTCGTCAAGGAGTGGCACACACTGCTCCCTCTTCGTCTTATCCTGGGTATCTTCGAGGCTGGTTTCTTTCCAGGTAAGCTCGACATACTTCATCTTGTCTATATACACGACACTAACAGTGCGCAGGATCTGCATACCTCCTCAGCTGCTGGTACCAGCGATTCGAGCTCCAGAAGCGCAACACTGTCTTTTATCTCATCGGCATGTTGTCATCTGCGTTCTCCGGTATTCTCGGTTACCTTTTCTCCCTCCTTGCTGGCCACGGTATCCAGGCCGCTCCCTGGCTCGGCCAGCACTTCGGTCCTACCAAGAAGAACCCTAAGATTGTGCCTCATTTCGGTGCCGGTCTTGCTGGATGGAGGTGGATCTTCATCCTACAGGGTGTCATCACTGTCGCCATTGGTCTGATTGGCTGGTACTTCATTGTTGACTTCCCAGAGCTGTCTGCGAAGTCTTCCAAGATGCAGAAGAGCTTCCTTACCGAGCGCGAAGCTGAGCTCATGGTTGCCCGTGTCGAGCAAGATCGCCACGACGCCATCCCCGAGGACTTCAGCATCGCAAAGTACGCCAAGGGAGCCCTCGACCTCAAGGTCTGGGGATTTGCCTTTATCTTCATGTTCACAACAACCATGACGTACGCTATCGCATACTTCCTTCCAATCATTCTCAAAGATGGTATGGGTTTCAGCCCACGCAGCAGCCAACTGCCTCATCGCACCTCCCTACATCTTTGCTGCATTCGTCATGCTGGCCTTTGCTTATGCTGGTGATCGCATGCGCGTCAGAAGTCCTTGGATCATTGCAAATGGAGTCTTGGCTCTGGTTGGCCTCCCCCTTATGGGCTTCTCGAACAATGTCGGTGTCCGCTACTTCGGTGTATTCTTGGCTACCGCTGCTGCCAACGCCAACGTTCCATGTGTCCTCACATGGCAAGCAAACAACATCCGTGGTCAATGGAAGCGTGCCCTCTGCTCTGCTACTCTTGTTGGTGCTGGAGGATTCGGTGGTATCATTGGTGGGACCGTTTTCCGCACCCAGGACGCCCCTCACTACGTTCCCGGTATCGTGGCCTGCATGATTGCAGCAGGTCTGATCATCGTCATTACACTTCTCCTGAACTTGAAGTTCTGGTTGGCGAACAAGCGCGCGGACCGTGGTGGCAAGATTATCGAGGGACTTGAGGGATTCAGGTATACCTTGTAGACCACAGGACTAGTTGCAAATGATTGAGTCAGGATATTTAATGATACCAATATCACCTTCTATGGCAATGACTACTTTATGATAACATCTACCACGTTTACTGCTCTTTGTGATACTTGTTCGCCAATAGTCGCAGCACTGACGGCTCCGGGCTACTGTAGCGACCAAGACCAGAATAGCTTGGGTATTGCAAAACAACATATAGACTTGTCCTTCATTTCAATTCTTCGTATTAAAGACACCAACTAGCAATATGAGTGGACATTTATCGTTGTGAAAGGTATTGTATGCATTCCAGCAAACATTATGCGAACGCTTTGACGGCAAATACATTGTGAGACGCACAACTCACAGACGTCCATAAATTTCGCACTACGATGCTGTTACAGGCCATTGATACAGAATTTCCTGCCAAAATGTGCGAGAGCATCAAAATATCGAGTGGTGGTAGGTTTGACGTACCTACAGGAGCATGTCGAGGGGGGGCTGACGAGTTTGCTGGTATCCGAAAGGACCTTCTCGCATCGGTAGGTGAGATCTCAGAGCTCCCATCCTTACTGGAAGACTTTCCTCATTCAAAGCTTCCAGAGCAGTCTGAACCGTCTTTCTTGCTGCGTGGTCTTCAACAAGCTCTCCATCTGAAGCAGGTCCGTCTGATTCATTCGCTCCTAGATCGTTACTCATCAGCGGCCCGTTTCTTTCAAAGCATCGGCCTCGTTCGTAAGACAGTATCTTCCCGACCCTTGGACTCTCAGCTCGATCTCGACTCCTTCGATTCTGACGACTCTGAGTTCGACACTATCTCTGAGACCGACATTCAAGCTAATTGGTCCAGGCGAGCTTCAAAAGACTCGCCCACATGCCAAGCTTACCGATCTGCGAGGTCGATCGCGTATGCTCGGGCAAACAATCTCCAAATTGTTTCACCTCGACCTATCAAAGATTCGCTGACACCGTCTGATAGTCCTGTAGCCTTGCCTAAGCGCAATGACTCTACCATTGATGTCTCGCAAAATATCGAGTTAGACAGCCCCCACCAGCCGTGCGTCTTAAGCGACATTTGCGCAGCAGTAGCGTGCTGAGATGTCTGCGCAGGGCGGTGCGCACTGTGGCTGAGGACTGCGTTCGCCAGTCAATTATCTGGCTTCAGACAGCTTTTATTCCCGGTCTTGCAGACCTGTGTCATGGTGGTCGCTGTTGCAGAGAACTGCGTTTTGCACCTGTTGCGCGCGTAGTTCACCGCGCCCACTTTGCGTAATTTTTCTATGCTTCGCTTAATTAATTAGACCATTAAGGAATAGCTAGTTATCATTGTTTATAAAACATATTTCTCAATACGACTATGATAACACGCCGATTCAACGCATATAGCGAGGCGGTACGGTATATGATGCCAGATTGTTTAAACGGTCAACGCCTATCCCGGTTGCGTGCATTGCTTCGCTTTGCTTGTTGAAGTTCTCCAACTCATGTTTGGTGTAAAGCATTTTTCACTTCCACAAGATCAAGGTCAATGAGAAAGCTGGTATTTTCAGCTTCAAGCAATGCAATAGCTCTCTGTACATTTGTTGCCTCTTCTTCAGGGGCTTCGCGTTATTCTTTGCAATGGTCGATCCCTATGATAGCTGTCGAAACCAACTTCGAATGAAAGAAACTGATTCGAACCCTTTCCCGAGATCTCATCGAAAATCCAATAACTCATCTCGCTCGTCAGTCTCCATCGCTCTTGTTTTTGTAACTCCAATTCCTCGGCCCCCTCCGCTTTTAATGCATGGATGGTGGTTGCCTTGGCGCATTGCCGAGCGCCATCCATCGACTCACACTGCTCCATTTGAACATGGCATCGCGTGGCGGCCCTAGCATGCGATTCCCCAGAGGCGGTATGGCGGCCGGAGGACGTATTGAACGCGCCAAAATATATGTTATCCCATTCACAGATCACTCTGGGCAAGAAGCGCTTATGGTGTTCCGTGGCGTGGTGTCCTGCCCGCTCCCACCGCTTTACAGTTTCGCCATCTACTTCACACATCCAGAAGTGACCCCGGAGACTGTCAAGCCGGCCGAGGTTCTCGAAGCTATCATGCGCAAAACGCCGTGGGACCCGTGTCCGATCCGTCTGGAACTCTACTTTCTTTCTGCGCCCGACGTGGATAGCAGTGATGACGACTGTATCGCTCATTATCGCAAAGAGAAGGCCGCACGGGAGGATTATATACGTCACATTCAAGATCTCGAGAACTCAGCCACGGATGATGATGAAGAGCAGCGGCAAGGCGGAGCGAGCGTTCATGGCAACGACCAAGCCAGACAACTACCTGGTCTAGTGCCTAGCTACATCGATAGTACATTTTCTGACCATTATCACGGAATCATCTTCCGTTATCCAGGCGCGGATTGGTCTACGGACAAGCGTCCAGCACGCCGCATTTGTTTTGATCGAATTTCTGAGGAGGAATATGCTCGCGTAACAGAGGGAAACGATGAATTTCATCGTCTTCCTCCGGTACACGTTTCTCCTATGCCGTTCCAGGAGAGCGACACTACTTATCTAGGAGAGACATTTGTGGGCATGGCTATGTTTGACGTTGCACATGCAAGAGTGAAAAACGAGACCGGTCACTGGTGGCACGAAGCGCGGGAGCGAGGCTGGAAGTCATGGTGATGACTACTATGTTTGCACTTGTTCGCTCTGTGAACCGAAGGGATCTACTCAGCAGTAGTTATATATCGCATCAAAGTCTTCTAGCAAGTGCTCCGTTTGTGTACACGACTGTTGATGTATTCGCCGATCGTGCTCCACCGAATTATATACGCTACAATCATTGTCTGCAAAACTCTCACCTTAAGAATGTACAAGAATAACAAATCGTCGATAAAAATTATCCTCAGAATGAGCCTTGCCTCAGGCCGAAACCCCTACGCAGTACGCATACGTCGGCCAGAAATTGGTACTAATATAGTAAGACATCTATGTGAGTCAGCCTTAGGCGCAATATTAAACAGAAATACAGTGTCATCCACTAAAGGTCAGACCATATGTAACAATAAACGCCAAATACTTTAAGACGCTACATGTGAAAGAAAAGGAAGCAGTGAAACTTTTATGACACAAGTGGTCTAAAAAGTAGTGGCCTGCAAACTCGCTTACCGTCCCCGCCCTTCATCCCACACAACTAACCCCTCCAAACATCAACCACAACAGCAAAAAAAGAAATCTGATGAGTTGCATCGGCCGGGAATCGAACCCGGGGCTAGCCGAATTGATCTGAAACAGATGGCAACGGCTAATTTTACCACTAAACCACCGATGCGATTGATGTGATTGGTTGATGGAGAGAGGGAAGTTTTACTGCAATATATCCCCCGATTAAATGGGGGCACGATACAGTCTGACAGCAATGGTTCAGGAACTAGGAGGAGTCTGAAGTGCCATGAGTGCTGCGGTTGAGGCAAGGAGGGCTTGTCTAGTGTGCAGTGAAAATTTTGCTTCATGCATCCAAGACCCACTTTCTCTTGACATCTTCCTTCGAGACTGGGCAACACACCCGACAGGAAGACAGCCAAGATTAAACTCGAGGAACAAAGGCAATATGTCGGGAATTTTTTGTGCAGTACATAAATTCGTCCAAGAGTTAGAGATGACAGTGGTGGAATTCCGAGGGAGGATGAGAAACTACCACAACGTAAAGCACAAACTTGGATCAATGGTGTGTATGAATATATACATAAGAAGAGACAATGAGTCTATATACATTGCTAGACATCGCTATGCCAGGTAAAGACGCTGCAAGTCAGCGCCTAAGTGTTCTTCCATGAGCCGACAACACACGACTTGACAAGAGCGGTATCGGTCCACTTTCCATTGCTCTGTGTCGGGGTCTCGACGAGCTCGTATGTGGAATCAAAGCCACCTGCAGCCCAGGTAGTGTATCCAAGGTAGACATCCGCGTTGGCACTGGAATCGTTAGCCACGAGTCATGAAACTCTGGGAAATATACATACTTCAGGAACTGCAGCTCCTCGCACAGATACTTCTGACAGCTCTGAGTGTTACCGCCACCAGTCTCAGTCAGCATGGCCTTCCTGTTGTTCTGCTTGAGCCATGCTGCGAGTGGCTTGAACGCAGTATCGATGTTGTTCTTGACGCACTCGGTGTGGGTGCCGGAGTTGTCGCTGTCAAGGTACTTGTGTACATCCATGATGAGGTTGGCGGTGGTGCCATCAGGGTTCTTGACAGTGTTCAAAGCTGCCGCTGAGCCGGACGACACGAATGTCTCGGCACTGGTGTAGCCCTGGCCGGGCAGCAAGATGATGTTGCTCTTGGCTCCAGCCCCGCGGATGGCAGTTACGACATCCTGGACGGTCTGTGCCCATTTCGTGATGTCGGGAATGTCCTTCGGTTGTGTTAGTTGTGCAAGATGTCAAATGCAGAGCTTGGACTTACATGGGGTTCATTCATGACACCAAAGGCAATCTTGGATTGACTGCCATACTTCTGAGCCAACTGCTTCCAAACGTCCGCCAACTGCGCGTTGGGTGGTCCACCTTGCCCAACAATCCCACCGTTCCATCGTGCGTAGTTGTGGAGGTCTAGAATACATAAGGAAGCACCGGAGTTCAAACATCCCTGTACAAGACTGTCGTATTGCTGGAAGTTGGGAGCGTATAATGTGCCACCAAGCTGGTTGTTCAACAGGAATTGCCATCCCACGGGTAGACGGAAAGCATTGAGAGAGTCGTCCTTGACAAAATGTTGCATCTGTCCGATCGCGGAACCCTGGCCGACAATGTTATAAGGCTTGTTCGTTCCAGTCAGGGCGCAAGAGCCGTCTGTGAGACAGCCAAAGTCGAATCCGGCGAGGTTGACACCGGCATATTGAACCTTGGAGGCACGAGGGGAGACGGGAGCTGGGGCAGCAGCCACAAGGACCGAGCCAGCAACGGCAGTGAAAATGGCAGTCTTCATTGTGGCGGAAGTGATTGAAACTGGACTGCAACCTGCTATGAAATGGTACTCAGGATCCAGGGCTCTTCAGTTCGTTGGAGATATAGGGATCCTTTTGTACTGTTCTACCCACGGCAAGATCCACACTGTTCGATATTATAGCCGTCCACATGATACATGCTCATCTGTCGTTGGAGAGAGCACAGTTCATCTCAAGTGCCATTGCACCTATTTCGACATGGGCCGCATTCACGCTAAGCCACCGGTAGATTGAATGACTGCCGACTTCGTCGGTAAGTCGAGTTGGAAACGCTGGCCATCACTGAAAACCAACAAGGGCATGGTGTGGAGCGTCCAATGAAGAGACAGAGGAGTGGCAGGCTTGCTGGCAATTTGTTCTGCATGAAACGGCCCAAAAGGTCCACAGAGTGGGTTGCGAAAGCTTGACCAGTCTTGTTCAGGCTTGACCAGGCTTCCAGAAGCTTAGAGCCGCCGCCATGGCTGCGACTAGTATGAGCGTTTCAATCTATAATTCGGCCTCGCAGACGTATGCGATTAGTGGTCATCCTTACGGAGGTGTCATGCTGAAACTAGCAATCTCGCGTACGCCACGCCCTGACCGAAATCCGGGGTCAGATAGATTGAAAGTGGAGAAGGGCCGTCGGAAGAACACAGCAACTCCGTCATAACGTCGTACTCACCCCGTAACCTCGCCTTCGAAGTGTGATGTTGGACTGTGTAGAAATCAGACGACATTTTGTTATTTGCCATCGCGGTGGGAGCTGATGTCCATGTCTATGTTGTTGTTCGAGAGTCCTTCAGGGCTGTTGACACCTTTCTCATCTGTCGGGCCGCAGATCCAAGAACGCCAGGACCGAGGCGAATCATGTAACGCTAGCAAAAAGCCGATCCACTTTCCCACAAGGTGCTTTCCAAATCATGTTTAACGAAGCAACTTATAGCGCTCACGACGGTCGCTGCATTTCCACCACTCAGGGAGACGAGTGATACCATATGTCCACCTACGTACTTCTACAACGTTTGCGGTATCTCGAGAGAAGCACACTTGGGCATGTCTAATGGAACAACAAGTCGATGACAGCTCACGAATGTACCAATACATTTATTGTATCTTTTGATCAAAAGACTTCTCGCGTTAAGACGTTGCGGAAAGGTAAGAAACATGATAGAAAAGCATCACAGCTTCGGAAGAACCACGGTCTCCGAGATTCGCGTACTCTTAGGCCTTATTAAATTGAATGAGAGGGTTCACGAATTATAAACGTGCGCACTCAAGAGGCAGATGCCGTGAAGAGCAGGGCTAGGACCCGTGTGAGCTGTGCCTCCAAATTCAATATGTGGGGAAATAGATCGATCGTGCATTTGGGGTAACTTGCTCCAACCCTTTGTAACGAACCGCAAACTATGACACGACCCTCGGTCTGAGCAGATAGCTCTATTCACCACTCAGTACTCCTCCAAAACAACGATTGCTCCGACAACGCCATCTGCACTCTTGCTTTACTTGCAGCAAGCCCAGCAAGACTACAACCTGTTAGCTTCCTCATCATTCACCATACACCATCTTCTATACTTACACCTTCCCCACCCGTTCTCTCTGCACGCTATACTACGCATTAGCAAAGCCATTCCAAACAGCAACCAGAAGACATACCCAACCACTAGCGCACACCAGCGTCTCATCGCCGCAAATCCTATTGCACGTCTTCGGCTTCGGCGTAGCCACAGGAGCGACTGAAGAAGAAGTAGACGTAGTGCACAGCGGGCCCGCAGCGACGAACGCCGCAAGAGCGAGTACGAAAAAGGCCTTCATAATGAGAGTGATAGTAGTGGTAGGGACAGTGAGATGGGTAGATAGCTACGACACAGTTGCTCATTCGGCCAAGGACTATATACCCAGTCAAGTTGAAGGACGGTGACACGCAAGGGCGGAAAACACAACAGGCCACGTACCACCACTAGGCCGCCATAAGGAGTAATAAATAGAGGTCCCAAGCATTCTGGAAAGAAACACGGAGCCTTGGCGACTATGCGTCCATCGCTGCCTAGAAGCAGCGCCGCGGTGCGGGTAATATTCTCAACGGGCCGTATACGGCACAGTCTTACATCCAGCGGGCCAAGGCAGTCTCAGAATATAGCTACGGCGTTGGGCGGACTGGCTACGCCACCTGGGACCTGGGTTGTTATGTCAGCACTACGACTACGCGTCTTGGCCAGTGAGGCGGAGTCAGAAAAACGTACTTTGAGCGGAACACTGCTCATAAAAACACGTCCGCCGATTCAACGCATGTGCACTCTCGCACAGCGCTTCCAAGTCCCACATTTCGCCAATCATGACGCCCCAGCCGCCAAGCAGCCACTGGTGTAAGAGGCCGCCGCCTTTGCATTTCCTGCTCCCATGCTTCGCCTTTCCAGATGCCGCCGGGAGCGTTGTGGGCGCCGACGAGGGGTGACATTTCGAAGCTTGGAGCGTCGCCTGCGACGGCGACGAAGCCGGACTCCCAGATCCATTGCGCAACGTCCTTGTGGCTCTGGACGCCGAGGAATGTCGGGGGTGCGGTGGCCATTGCTTTGCGACTTTCGGTGCTTAGGGCTGAGTAGTCGCGCGTGAAGCCTGTGCGGAGGAGAAGGACGTCACCTTCGCGGGTTTGCACGCCGGTTTCTTTGAGCATGTCCTTCAGCACTTCTGCGGTGATGTGGTTGTCACTAAGGGCATGGACAGGCTCTTTCCCTTTCTTCTCGAGGTAGCGCGGGTAATCTAGGATGACTCCGCGAGCTGTGATACCACCCGAGTGAGCAATGCGATCGATGCCGATAACTTCGGTGTTCTCGACGTCTTGTTGCGTTCGCCCGCCATAGTAGCGTTTGGCTTGCTGGTACCCGTAATGACGGAAGCCATCCCATTGGCTGCTGCTCTGTGTGTTAATGTCCAGATGGTCGTCATTAACTATTCGTTTAGTGCCGTCTGGATGGCTTCGATTCTCCATCTTCCACCCGAAAGGTGGACGACCGAAGGATGGGAACGACGGAAGATTCAGGTACCAGTCTAGTGACACGCGCTCACCAGTCTGAATCTCTTGAGCTGCCGCTTTGATGGTTTCTGGCGTAATGAGGTTGAGTGCGCCAAGCTCATCGTCCTTGCCATATAGACCCCATGCATTTCCTGGTGGACCGTTTTTGTCGAGCGGTAGCTCTGCAAATGGTGGTCGAGATGGAGGTAGAACCATTAGGTTTTATTGTAGTGATTAAGTTATTCCAATGCTCTTCGGCTACCCAGTTCGATGTGAGTAGCACAGGGACTTCGAGCTGGTCTTCCAGTACATGTACGTAGAAGCTGTGCCAGGTTCCGTGACGTATGGTGGGGTAGAAAGCGGGGTCCCATTACTCTTGCCGATTGATTCGGCAATCTTGGAGAAATTCGTTTCTTCATACACTTTGCTGATCGGTATCCTTGGCAGGAGTCAGTCCGAAAACAATCAAAGCAGGCTCTGGCCCTGCCAGTATTGGGTACCGTTCTCGGACACACATGCGAGTGGGAAAGAATCTGAAAACGGTTGGTCGTAAGAACGTTCTTTCATTCTGTCACACGAGCCCTCAGTAATCGGGACCCATGCCTACACCACCATTGCCTCTTGAGTTCGTGTTCTTCAAATGTGCTCCACTACCTTTGAATAAGCTCTGCCAGATGAAAGCTTCGCTCAACAATAGCTCAATGTCTTTCTCAGTCCACTGACGCGTAGGCAGTGATTGCAGAAACATCATGATCTCTTGGAAGTCCATCTTCCGCAGCTGTTCGGTCCACTTGACGAGGAAGGCGGCGCATACGTAAAGATGGAAAGACGAGAAACCGTCTTCTTCGGCCTGTGATGTTTTAGCAGAGTTTCTAATGATGGCCAGGCTCAATCATACCAGATATGTATCCCACATGCGTATTGTATTCTGCACGGATATCTCGCGCATCAAGAGACAGTTCATCCATCGGAAGCTGAACTGTATGAATTCTACCCCCTCGTTCTGCAAATGTTTTGCCAGATCACCGTCGATACGCGTTGTGAGGTCCCTGAGGTCCGCCACTTGCCGCTGAATGCCTGGCTGATGTGCGATGTAATTGTCCTGTATCCCATCGAGTAGTTTTGTAAGACACCAGAACGAGTCTGCCTCAACTGCGTCCAGCACTGGTTTTGGCAGTTGGCCCGGGTCCATGCCAAATTCGATATTTGGATCAGAAATGTATGCTCCGAGAAACACTTGCCAGAACGGCGTGACTAGATCATTGATACCTTGCACGTATCCTGATGCGGGGATGTCGTATGGCCCAAACGTATAGTATCCTTTCCAATGATCGTTGGGTTGCCTCATACTGATACAGTGGGAGGTGTGGGTTCGTCCGGGGTACATCGATGCTGATCTGGTGCCAGATGGCTTCGTCCAGGCCGCGTCCTCGCCCACGGATTGTCGACGGAAACGAAGAAGCACCTGCAATGCCAGCAGCGACTGCGCCGGTCGCGCCTGCTGTTCCTCTGTCGAATGCTTGTCGCACGCCTTCCAAGTATTCTTTACGTTTTCTTTCCAGCGCAGCCACCCGCCGTTCACTGCTCGTTGGCAGATATCCAAGCAAGACCTGCCAGGTCATGGCGCGCACTTCAGATGGAACCCCCGACCACGCCAAATCTCTCAGGTCGGATAGTGACACTGTGCTTGCTTGTAATATCTTCTTGAACTTGTTGATCCTTGCCGTGCGTGATGACTGTTCTTCTATTTGCTTGGCCGTAGCGTTGGCGGGGATAGAAGCATGCGTGATAAGGTGGAGAGAGTTCGCGGGGTCTCGAAGTATCTCCTGGTATTGCGGCCTCAGTATTTTCCCCTCGACTTTCTTCGCGGTAGGATATGTAGGAATTCCCCTCTCCTCGGCAATGTCCCCACTGTCTATACCACGCCATGCCGAAGACCCAGACACAGTTCTCGCACTGGACCCTCCTGCCTCATTTGCGTTTGATGGCTGTTTCCGCCTGCCTTTCCGCCGCATGTTTGCTATACTAGGTAGGCCGAATTCATCTTCATCGTCCTCAAACATGTCCCCATCCTGCAGCTCATCCTCATCCCAATCATGCTTCGTGCTTTGCAGGAAACTGCTATAAGACTGTCGCGCAGGACGAGGGGAAGTTGTGCTTCGGCTGGGTGCTGCGCTCGACTCGCGACTGTGGGTGGCTGACGGAGGGGTCCGAGGTCGCGAAGTCGATCCCGACACGCTTCTGTTCGGCATTAGAGTACTGGACGTTTCCAAAGGCATGACTTTGTCCTACAACGAACTGAAGTTGAGTATGTCGGCGTGAGAGTATGCCGCGCCAATGACCTTCTTGCTCTGGCTCTGGCTCTGGCTCGAAGTTGACGTATTAGACGTCGTGCGCCAGAACGGGGACCCTGATCTATTTGTCGCGTGTTAGAATCGTTTTGCATGATTGCGTGATTGCTTGTGGAAACATACGAGGAGCGGTCTATGTGTAGGGAAGCAACATGTTAGCTACCCCAGATGCTATGACGCTGGTGCGATTTGGAAGGGCACGAACCGACCTGGACCATTTCCTGGCGCGTCTTTTAGCATATGAATTCCCAGGTAGTATCACTGCAAGTACGTACCTGCTGCTGCTTCTTCATGGCGACGGTGACGGTGAAGGGGCGCAAAGGGACCCCGCCTCAGTCGCCGCATTCGAGGTTCAAACTACCCTGCAGCTCTCGCCAAAGCACGTCCCTGTCCCCGCCCGCGGCTCGCCTGTTGCCAAGCCCCAGGCACGGTCGCTCCTTCCGTTCGTTCTCCTCACCTTTGCGTCAAGCTCTTCCCACCACGCGTTTTCTCTCGCCGACACACTCAACCAACGCGCCCCTTATTGCGACCGTGATTGGGGTTTGTTTCTCCTTTCTCTCCATCTCCTTGTTTCGAGCCCCAGCACAAGGCGCTCGGACAAAGTCGACTTCTTAGTACTAGCGTCACTTTCGCATTCCTAGCACGAAAGCAGCTCTCACCTTACACTTCTTTCTTCTAACACAGCAAATTCAACATGGCCGACGAAAACTTTGAGGACGACATCTTCGACGATCTGTGAGTTTCTGCGCCGCATCACATACTGGCGCCTTATCGTGCAACCCTGGCTTGACTAACACCTCTCTAGCTACGATGAAGAACCTTCGTCCAAACCCGCACCCGCGGCACCTGCTCCCGTCCCTCAAGCAGAACCTGAGCCCATGAAGGCGGAGCCAGCCAGCGCACCAGCACAAGACACGACACAGACTGCCGCCGACAACGCGGCTCCATCATGGCAGGCGCCTTCAGCAGGTGGCCAGGATGCCCACATGGACAACTCGGGCTACAACGCGGGCGGCGACCAGTCTTTCGACAACGCGCCTATGGCGGATAACAACTACGGTCCCATAAACGTGAAGGAGGATGGGTGAGTGAATACTCTGCTTTTTGTGCTTTTTACGTGACAGGCGCATCGTAAGGTACAGTATCGACGCAAGGTATGCACAGCGCATGGCACACGGCGCATGGTCTGAAAGAGGCTTGATGTGCGACAGTGGAGCCAGCGCTGGTTACAGAAGTCCAGGGCCAAGGAGGTCACACAATTTGGACATCATCATAGCTCGAAGCATCATGTATCTATGGGGTACTTTGGGCGCAAGCCGAAACATGCGCCCCAATAGTACGGACCGCGTGGTGCGAGACCATGTACGATGTCCAGAAGCTAGAGATGCTCGTATGAGCAAAATATGGCGCGATGTCACCGGGCTTGTGAAGCGGTCAGACGTTGGCAGACGTCGCTGCAATCATCGAAAGTGGGAAGAAGCTTGGATGAGGATGGCCAACGACTGCTTTCTCCAGAAACCCAACAGTACGCCTTACGCGAGTCCCATCGCGGCTTGCTGATGCACTTAGCAACGCCTTTTGTCGATATATACCTAGGTACTTGATAGTGCGTATACACAACGCAAGCTCAGGGTAGCCATCGAGTCGCGTGACGGGCTGTTCCGCAGCCGTCCGCGCTCGTGTCCATAGCAGAACACAGACGCTTCATCCGAACACACTGTGCCTTTGCGGCTATCTCTGCTTGAGCCTCCCATGGCGGTTATGAATATCGAATTTACCGAGCTCGTTCCGATTTGGGCAAACGCTACGAGGTCAACATGTTCGCATCTGGCTCGCGACGCAAACCACACTTTCGCTTAAATGTCGCCATGCATCTGGCAAACACACTTGGCCAGCTACGAATGGCCATACTCGTTACGAATCACGACTTTAGTGCGGCCTGGATTCTTTACTTCCGTCCTCTGCTCCAATTCTCGCATCACTTTAAAACTGGCACTCGCTGAGAGCTATGGTGCAGTTCAGGCTGCAGCTGCAATCGCCTGTTTGGAGAATGGTGACGCGAGGAGGGCCTATCATGGATATGGATAATACAACGATGCAGCCATTATCCCGGAGGCTCAGCGTTGATTTCCAAAAGAAAACACACTCCGATCTCACCTGCTATTGGACATCCCAATGTGCACACCAGCATGCTTATGGAAACCAACAACATGCAAGCTATCGACCACTAGATCCCGGAACCGCAATAACCTCACTTGAGCTTGGAACATGTCTCTCGACATGACAGCTCCAGACTATGAACCTACGATGCGCCTCTCTAACAACGCTGCCTGCGCTCTTACTGTTTCGGTACTTCACATATGACCTGTGTTACTAACTTCAATCAGTAAAATGTTCATTGGTGGCCTTAACTGGGAAACTACAGAAGGTTCGTACTGATCAACCCAAAACTGGCGGAAATTTGCCCACAGCCTTATTTTGGACTCATCGCTGATCTGTACGCTCTAGAATCCTTGAAAGACTACTTCTCACAGTTTGGTGAAGTCAGCGAATGTACAGTCATGCGCGACTCCGCTACTGGTCGTTCGCGAGGCTTCGGGTTCCTGACGTTCAGAGACCCCAAGTGTGTTAACACGGTGATGGTGAAGGAGCATTACCTTGACGGCAAGATTGTAGGTCATCCATAGTATAATTCGATTACATGCTAATGCAATCCAGATCGACCCCAAGCGAGCAATTCCCCGCGAGGAACAGGAGCGCACGAGCAAGATCTTTGTTGGTGGAGTCAGCCAGGAAGCCACTGAAGAGGACTTCACCAATTTCTTCAAGTCTTTCGGTCGAGTCGTCGATGCAACCCTAATGATGGACAAGGAGACTGGTCGCCCCCGTGGCTTCGGTTTTGTTACTTTCGATGGTGATGCTGCTGTTGATGCGACCTTGCGTCAACCTCTCCAGATTCTGGGCAAGCCCATCGAAGTCAAGCGTGCCCAACCCAGAGGCAACATGCGTGACGAAGACGGTGGTGACAAGAAATTTGGTCGCAACAACAAGTTCAACAACCGTGATCAGGGCGGCAACGGCAATAACGGCGGCGGCTACGACAACCAACAGAGTGCACCAGCTCAAGCCGGCACCGCCGGTATGACACCCGCTATGATGGCTCAGTACTGGCAGCGCATGCAACAGTACTTCCAGCAAATGCAACAGAACCTCGCCCAACAACAAGCAGGCGGCGGCATGGCCAACCCCATGGGCGGCATGAACCCGATGCAAATGCAGCAAATGCAAGCACAGATGATGAACGGCGGCATGAACCGCAACACTGGCTCCCCGAACCCCCAAAACATGATGGGTGGCATGAACCCGATGATGCAACAGCAGATGATGGCTGGCGGCCCCAACGGCGGCATGAACAACCAAGGTATGATGGGCCCCAGCGGCCCTGACGCACAACGACCCGCTTACACGCCCCAAGACCAACTTGCCTTTGAACAGCAAAAATACGAACAGCAGCAGCAGCGCCGCATGCAGCAGCAAGGCCCCTACGGCGGCACCCCTGCCTGGGAAGGCATGTATGAAGACATGCCCCAGCCCCCGAGCGGCCCCGGTCGCGGCGGCTTTAAGGGCAACCAGCGCGGTCGACAGGGCAGTAGCCAGCCTCCGGGCGGTCCGGCGAATGCGCCCATCAACGCCCCCACGGGCCCCAAGAATGCAGGCAAGCCTGGCGCGAACTATCGTGGTGGCGGAAGGCACACCGGTGGCTTCAGGCACCAGCCATATGGTGGACGGGGTGGTTAGATGCCCTCTGAGCAGCGGGTTCGTCATGGAGAGAGGAGTGATGCAACGAGATGGAACAAGTGGTATGAGGATCGGAGACGGAGACGTCTGTCTGGGCCGTAATCGGCTTCTTTCGCTGGGTATGACACTCTACCTTTCGCTCGTCTGATACCTCGCACTCGACGGCATCACTTCTGTGCTGTCTCGATTCGGTCGGATATTCGTCATGCCATGGGTTGGATGGTTAATGCTTCCTTCTTTACATAACTGGCTGGGTGGCTTTTTTTTTCTTCTCTCGAATGTATAATAGATATTATCAGGGTCACCAATCCAGTTGGAAAAATGTCTTGATCTTCAATCTTCGTTGCCTTTGCTAGGAGTGGCTTTGTGTTTGTAGATGAAAAGGGTATTTATTAGTTGTCTTTGGATCGTGCTGACAATCCACTTCATCGTTATCTCACTAATACAAGACAAGTGTTCAAAGTCTGAGTTGTGTAATTCGTATCATTATGCCTGCGCATCAACGTCGCCGTCCATTAATCTAAAGCTGAAAAGCAAAAAAACGCCTCGCTAATCTTCATATCTCATGCCCATATCCACGCAATGCAAAGTCCAACCAATATATACAAATCCCATCGAAACTCATATGTGCAAAGCCAACCTATTTACTCCCTCTTCTCCTTCTTACTCGCGGGCTTCTCCGTTTTCCACGAAAACGCAACTTTGTACGCCGGATACTGCGTCCACCAAAACTTGACCGCCACCTTGCATCCCAACTGTCCATGGTATACGACCATGGTGCAGAAGACGACGACAAAAGCGAATGCGGGGTATTCCATGAAGAAGTTGAACGTGTCGAGGACATGTACCTACCATGCCTGGTGCCAGACAAAGCCCATGACGATACCGAAGAGCTGGAGATGAATGCCGTCGAAAACCCGGGCACCAGAGTTCACAGCGGGAGCGGCGGGGACGCTCGTGGCCGCTGCGTTTTGGAGCTGGTTGACAGTTGTTGCAGGGGGCGTGGTGCCGGGGTACAAAGTGCGGAGAGTGGTGAAGCCCCTGTCATCATAGCCAGTAACGACCGTGGGCTTAGAATCGCCAGGCGAAGCCGAAGGCACAGGCGCAGGCAAGGGCGTATAGGAAGCGGCTTGGGACATCTGGGAGTTTGTTAGCTAGAGTTTTTGAGGGGGATGCGCACTGGAGCGGGGGAAAAAGAATCTTACTAACAGGAGCGGAGCTGGGAGGCACAACTTTTCCACTATCCGACACGGTCCATCCTTCTGGCAGTCCGGGGTAGTTGGCAAAGGTGGGCTGCGGCGCAGCAGAGGTTGTGCCAGGGACCCAGGGGTAGACGCTGGGCCGCGTGGGGTTGTCGGTCTGGCCAGGGGTGAAGGGGAGTGGCTGGCCAGATGCGACGGCCGTGACTGAAGGCGAGTTCGCGACAGGCTTGCTGCCTCCTGAGAAGACAGAACCGCCAACTGCCCTGATAGATCCTGAGGAACCAGACTGGTCGCCGTAGACGTACTGGGTTCCAGTTGAGTAGTCCTGGACCATTACGGAGCGGACCACCATGGAGAAAGGACCCTTGGAGTAATCGGTAGGTCCCCTAGACCATTCGATGGTACCGGGAGAGTTCGCAGAATCACCTCCACTCCACACGCCCATTTTGACCTGCATGGGGCTTTGCGGATACTGGTTGTTGGCATTGGCGGGCTCGAGAGTGCGGACGGGTTGGCCTTCAATTGACCAAACGATCTGGCTGGGTGTCCATTCGATGGTGTACTTCTTGAAGCCCGACTGGCTTCCAACATCAGCGTGGAAGGCTCCTCTGTTATAGGTCGTGGTTTGTCCTTTGCCAAAGTAGTTGGTTTGCACCTCATCGGCGTCCGCACCGAGCCACTCCCAGTCGATCTCGTCCAGAGTGTCCGACTGCAAGACTACACTGCTGACAATTCCAGCACCTGGCGCTGCCTTGGCGACAACCTCGACCTTTCCATACATGATGTACCATTTCGACGTAAGCTGGGGCGAGTCACCAGACTTGGCTACCGTGAAAGAAACGCCGTCTTTGCCGTATGTCGGGTTGCCTTGGGCTGTGAAGCTGTCGGACGAGGAGCGGAAGTCGATGTTGACAGTTCTGCCGAGCGCGGAGTCTGGCGGGCAGTCGGATCGCAGGGTAGGGTTGCAGTTTGACCATGTCTGAGCGACCGAGGGTGTGATGAGGGAGGCTGCCGAAGCGAGGGCGGCGAGTGCCCGTATGGTGGAGCGCATCGTGAGTGTGGTGAGGGTTGGGTGATAGTGAAAGTGTCGGGTGTGATGCCGGAGACAGTAGCACAGTAATGCTGGTGAGCTATGTGACGATGTGATATATCGATTGGAACGATGTACTAGCAAACAGTCGTGTGTGAGTATCGTGGAAGACTTGCAGTGGTTGGATACCTGCTCAGCACTTGAGAGGAATCGAGTTGATTGTGTAATGCAAGCCCAACGGACTGGCATGCGGAAGGATTATAAAGCTGCTGCCAGCCATCTTTCTTAGCGGGACATACGTGTTGACTGGGATAATCGAGGCGTGGCGCGTTGCCGTGCGCTGCACAGAGACGAGGTTGGTGGGGAGATTTACCAGCCCAGCCTCGCCAAACCAGCCTCCTCATTCTTGCGGCCCTACCGGTCGCGACCGAGCGCAATGCCCCTATTGGGTCCGCGCGGCGTAATTATCCACGAAATGACGCAGCCACGACCTGTCAGTACCGTGCCGGAGTCCAAGTTGGAATGATTGCGCGTCCCAAGGGAACGAAGTTGGATGTCTTCGAAGAGTCCCTGCATGTGTGCACGTGCCACAGCCGCAAGTCGAGACCCCGCAACACCAATGAGCCATCCCACCATGCGGCTATCAATAGCAATCCGTACGTCTGACACGAGCTCCTCCAATAGTGCCCGCAGCCCACGCCAGACCCTGCATAGCCGTTCGAGAAAAGTTTCTTCCTCATTGAGTGATTTTGAGTCACCCGACCGCCCAAACCATTGGCACTCTTACGACGTCTTGCCACAAACGACTCTGTGAGGTGACCTCTGCACACCATGTCCTTGACAAATGCAACCCCTCTAGAAGTAGCCCGCGCGGCACGAATCGGCTCAAGACAACTTGCCGTATTATCGACCCAGGAGCGTAATGCCGCTCTGGTAGCTATCCATGATGCGCTAGCACAGGGCAAGGATGAAGTGCTAGCTGCTAATGCAAAAGACCTGGAATCTGCAAATAAGGCTGCAGAAGGTGGAACCCTGAGTGCGAGCTTGGTCAAGAGGTTAGATCTGGGGAAGCCGGGGAAATATGAGGATATGCTGCAGGGTATCTTGGACGTAAAAGAGCTAGAGGATCCAATCAACAAGACCACTGCGAGGACATTACTGGATGACGACCTTACGCTTTCAAGGATCACGTGCCCAATCGGTGTACTTCTGATCATTTTCGAGGCTCGACCAGAAGTCATTGCGAATATTTCAGCTCTGGCCATCAAGTCCGGAAATGCAGCAATTCTCAAGGGAGGCAGAGAGTCGAGCAACAGCTTTGCCGCGATCGCCTCCATCATTTCAAAAGCTCTCACATCGACAGCAGTGCCTTCAGACTGCCTGCAACTTGTCCAAACACACGATGTCATTGCGGATCTGCTGAAGCAAGACACCTACATTGACCTCTGCATCCCACGCGGCGGCAACAAGCTTGTGCGATATGTCAAAGACACAACCACCATTCCCGTCCTCGGCCACGCAGACGGCATATGCTGCACCTACCTCTGCTCCGACTACCCAGCCGACAAAGCCACCAAGATCATCATCGACGCCAAAACATCCTACCCAGCCGGCTGCAACTCCACCGAGCAACTCCTCGTCGACACTGCCGCCCTAACCACTACCCTCCCCACTGTCGCCCAAGCGCTCCTCCAAAAAGGCGTCTCACTCCGCTGCGACCCGGCCTCCTTCTCCTCCTTGAAATCCGTCCTAGACCCGCATTCTGCAAACTTGGTGCAAGAAGCCGGCCCCGAGGACTTCGACACAGAGTTCCTCGACTACACCCTCGCCATCAAAACCGTCCCATCCCTCAACGACGCCATCTCACACATCAACACACACTCCTCGCACCACACCGACGCCATCCTGACGACCAACCCCGCCACCGCAAACGCCTTCCTCTCCGCCATCGACAGCTCGTCCGTGTACTGGAACACATCCACGCGCATGGCTGACGGCCAGCGCTACGGCTTCGGCACGGAGGTGGGCATCAGCACGAACAAGATCCACAGCAGAGGGCCCGTGGGCTTGGAGGGGCTGACGATTTATAAATGGGTGCTGGTGGGCGACGCGCAGGTTAGTGCCGAGTATGGCGCGGGCGGGAGGAAGTGGAAGCATGAGGTTTTGGCTGACGAGGGGGTTGCGAGGAGTGAGGAGGAGAGGGAAGTGCTGAGGAAATTCAGGGCGGGGAAGCAGTGAGGTGAGGATGAGGGATGGATGCTTTGTATGGAAAATAAGATGGAAACATGTAGTCGGTATTTAACCCCCAGCTTTCCTCCACAATGCTACATTTTGCTCCACGCTCCCGACTACCAGTCTCCCTGGGTTACATGCCAAGTTCACCCGTCTGTATTGCTGTTACATAGCCCCACCTACCGTGCCTAGGGGCGGTCCGTTGAACGACGTCCCACATGGCCCAGTGCGGGCGCAACGTACTACCTCTCTACCAGACACTTATTCCCGACACAAGGCTTCCCGGGCCCCAACTATGAGAGGTTATTATTTTGGTAGGACTCACTTGGGAGAATGGGGGAAGAGGTGGGTTAAGTCGTCTTGGCTGTAATGCGTCTATCTATTGGTATGCTAAACACCCATGTGCAAGAAGCTGCACCTATGTATGCCCGACCAGTCTTCATTCTATCTTCCTTCATATCATGGTTGTGGTATCTCATCATCCTGTCCCTCTCTTTTCACCGTTCCGTGCATTTAGTCAACGCCCTTGTTGCGCAGAGCCAGGGAAGGCTTGGCGAAGATCTGCGCACCGTCCTTGAGACGGCGCTCAGTGTTCTGGCGGCCGTTGACAAAATCGGGGTGGTTGAGAGTAAGCTCAACGGCGCCGTTGACAATGTGGTCCACAGCCTCGACACCCAACATGAACGAGTGGTCCTGGTTGCCGACTTCGTAGCGCCATGAGCCAAAGCGACCGCGGGACAGGATGTCCTTTGCCTGGAGGGCGGGGAGAAGCTTGGTGAGGACGCCCTCACGCTCGAGTGAGGGAGTGGGGTATCCGTGGTCAAAGCGGCGGTGGTAGGTCGAAACGATCTCGTCCTCAGGCTTGATCATCTCGGTGTTGATCAGACCCTGGATCGAGTCCTTGAGCATGTTCTTCTCATCGACGGGCTTCAAGCTCGATTCCGAGACCTCAAGCATGATCGACCAGTATGGCCCGGGCTGGGGCTCAGTGGACTTGGGCTTTGAGCCGTCCGCAAGCTGCTGGGTGGCGAGCTTGACGTCGGCCTGAGGCTGGTTGTATGGCGAGTAGTTGGAGAAGATGGTAGCGCGGTAGAATGGGCAGTCGTCCTCGGGGAAGTAAAGCCAGCACTTGTCGCCGATGCGCTCTGGTCGCTCACCTCGGATACCAACACCGATGACATGTGTGGTGGAGTAGAAAAGTCCCTTGCTGAGGTCGATGAGTTCCTTGTCGCCCATCTTCTCTACGAGGGAGTCGACAGCCATTGTGTTGACCAGCTTCTTGTAGTTGATGACGGTGCCGTCCTTCATGATCACCTTGTGGCCCTCCGCGTCGACCTTGGTGACTGAGCCCTTGTCACCATATCGCTTCTTCTCGGCAGGCAATGTGTTGTCAACAGCTATCCAGATACCACCGGTTCCGTCCTTTGCGGGGAAGCGGAAGGTAGCGTTAGGACCCCAGTTGCCCGCGGTCTTGTTGTGGATGATGTTGTTGATGACGCCCTTGACGTTGGGAGCGGCGACACGCTCACCTAGCCATTGGCACTGCATCTTGGTGGTCGGCACAGCCCACACCTTGTAGTTGTATGGCCTCATGAAGAGGTCGGCAATGCCGACACCCATCTGCCGCATGATCCACTCGTCAAAGTCCTTGGGCTTTGTGTTCGCCACGCGGGCCTCGAGAGCGGCGTCGATCAAGCCATCGACACATTTTGCTTGGTCGTCCTTGCCCAGCATGGACAGGTTGTTCTGGAATGGGTAGGGGACCCATTGGCTCTTGCAGCGGACGTACGAGATACGCTGGTGGGTGTACCAGTCTTCGTCGCGAGGCAGCGCCTCGTCGATGCAGTCATCAAAGTACTTGTAGTGGGAGAAGATGACATGGCCACCGACATCGTAGAGCTATCAGTGTCAGACTTGGCAAAGTCACTTGACAGGGTGAATACTCACGAAGCCCTCTGGTGTGACATCAGTCGAAGCCAGACCTCCAGGAGTCTCGTTCGAGTCCACGATCAGCCATGAGGGGCCATCCTGTGCTACTTAGCAATTGCCACTCCAAGAATTGTATATCTGAAGTCGTACAATCTGGTGCAGACGCTTTGCGGCTCCCAGACCAGTCGGTCCAGCGCCAATGACGAGCACATCGACAGAACTGTGCCATGGTCAGCTCGAGCTCCAAGTGCATGTGGGGGGCGGTGAGTGCACATTTCTTCCTTGGCAGCCATCTTTCCCTGCAAGAGCTCTTGAAAACTCGGAACTCTCTTCAATGTTTGGCGGGCGAGGTTCAACATGTACTCTGCGCACGAGTGAGCAGTGTGGTACTTCAAGTGGCGGTGGAGCAGTCCGGCGAGGGCCTGGGGCGTGGTGGAGAATTATAGCTCTGCGATAGAATTGAGGGTCAAGCTGCATAGACACTTGGGCCACCACCAACTCGGCTGGGGAGCTTGATGCGGCTACGGAAGAAAAGGGGCATATACACCATGGGGGCCTCTAAGAGCAGCGTCATGGCCACCCGTGGACGCGACCATTGGCTGCGTCGGCCTCCGTGATTCGGACTGATCAACCTGTGTAGCACTTCTACCGTGTTGTGTCATTTCGGCACGGGATGCGCCCACGGAATTGTTTGTGTGAAGCATGCAGATGGAGCAGATAAAGCTTGACTGTCATCTATCTCTGGGAGCCGCAACACCAAGATCCACGACGCATCATCTGTGTGCGCATCTAGTGCGACTGTGTTGTCCGCCCTGCGTACTCTTCCTCGAGTGCGACGACATGCATTACCCCTATTGTACGCCTCACCATGTCGGACGCTCCACTTTGACGCGCCATAGTTGCCAGACATTCAGCATGCTGGAACGCCTTGCTCGCGTCGCATACCTGTTATCTTTATTGCGATGGGCGCTGCTGTTTGAGCGCGAAATTTCACCGCACAGCGGGTACGTGTGCGGCGAGCGATGTGCTGCAAACAGAGCAATCTTGCAAGTAGGAATGATTGCGCGTCCTCCGACTGGCTCCACAGCAGATCTGTTTCACGTTGTCTGTGTCTGCAAAATCCCGCGCTGCTCCCGTGCGTCAACTTACAAGTCCGTCAAAGCATTACCCAGTAGCAGCCGCCTAACGCAACACCCCCTGTGAGACGGCCTAGAAGGGCTTCGTCGCTGAATTTCCGCTCCGCCCCTCCCATTAGCGCAAATTGCCTGTCACTCTTACCAGTGCTCAACAACTTTCACGCCGCTCTTTAACTCCTCATTCCCCTCTTGTGCACGCTGTCACAGCTCTTCAGTGTTGCTCGTGCCACGCATCGTGCCTCCAGGTGTTGCATAGTTGTCCAGGTCAAGACTACCAGTCAGCGGCCCGCCAATCAGCCGACAACGGACCCCAGTCCAGCGACTTCCTTTCTTTAACCCTCGCCGCAACATCGCTCCTCGACGCAACATCGCTCCTCGACGACATTCCCACTGTCTCTGCTTAGATCACGCCACGCACCACCAACGCCATGTCTAACGAAGAGAAGATGCGGTCCTCTGTGGACGCTGCCCGCGACCCAGCCGCGCCAGTGCTCCCCACCGTGAACCCAGAGGCCCAGAAGTCTGCGCCTGAGCCCGCCTCCTTTCATCCCGCTGTATACATTGCGTACGTTTGCCCAATTGACGGAGGCACCGCAGCCGCTGACTGTTGCGCAGGACATGGATTACCCTCAGTTCGAGCACCATCGTCTTCAACAAGTACATCCTCGATACTGCCAAGTTCCGTATGTATGCCACTCAAGCCTCTGCAGCGTCAACTAACGTCCTCCACAGACTTTCCCATCGCCCTCACAACATGGCATTTGGTCTTTGCCACCGTTATGACCCAAGGTCTCGCCCGCTTTACCACCATCCTCGACTCTAGAAAGAAGGTGCCCATGACGGGCCGCGTATACCTCCGAGCCATCGTCCCAATCGGTCTGTTCTTCAGCTTGAGCTTGATTTGCGGTAACCAGGCATATCTGCATTTGAGTGTGGCTTTCATCCAGATGCTCAAGGTATGTGTCAATGCTGCAAGCGGACGAGTGGCGATGCTAACATGCGCCAGGCCACCATGCCGGTCTGGGTTCTCCTCACCACTGCGGTCATGGGTGTCGCTCCCCTGAACATGACGGTTCTCGGAAATGTCTCGTTCATCGTCATTGGTGTTGTGATCGCGTCGTTTGGTGAGATCCAGTTTGTCATGACTGGTTTCATCTGGCAAGTTGGTGGACTGGCTTTCGAGGCTATCCGCCTAGTCATGGTTCAGCGCTTGCTCAGCTCCGCCGAGTTCAAGATGGACCCCCTCGTCTCGCTTTACTACTACGCACCTGCCTGCGCCTGCATGAATGGCTTCGTTTTGCTGTTCACCGAGCTGCCTTCCCTGACCATGGAGGACATCTACCGCGTCGGAGGGCTCACTCTGTTCTCTAACGCACTCGTCGCTTTCCTGCTGAACGTGTCCGTTGTGTTCCTGATCGGCAAGACTTCATCGCTCGTGCTCACCCTCTCTGGTGTGCTCAAGGACATTCTCCTTGTCTTTGCGTCCATGTTCCTGTTCAAGGACCCCGTCTCGCTCCTCCAGGCTTTCGGCTACACCATTGCGCTCGGCGGCCTGATCTACTACAAGCTCGGCGCCGAGAAGTTGAAGGAGTACCTCGGACAGGGCGGCATGAAGTGGCAAGAACTCGGCCATACGCGCCCCGTGCTCCGCAAGTTGATGATCTTCGCGGCTGTCATCATGTCCATGTTCATGATCCTTGGATCTCTTGGGCCCCGCTACGCACCCGACCAGACTGCCAAGGCCTACAATGGTATTGGCAAGCTCATCGGTGAGAAAGGTGTATGAACGTATCTGGAATGAGCGGGAGCACTGCCCGCAGATACGAGACGTTTTTGGTCAGCTCTGCGGTTGAGAACACAGACTTCACAATTCACAATTCACATTTCGCCTTCTGTCTTCCTATACTTTATTTAGTGCACCTTGTGGTGGTTACTGGTGTTCTGAAGCATAGACAGCAGGTCTTTCCATGCCATGGGGCCCTTTCATCTTTTCGACTTTCATGGTGCGAACGCATTTGCAAATGATCCACTAGCATGTCAGGGAGCAACGACAGGAATACGAAAGTACACGTTGTGTCATATAGATCTTACAGCGCTAGCTCGTGCTGGATGTAACGAGTATGTACTCTAGCTAAATAATGGTAATGCGTTGAAGCAACGTTCATTTGGCGTAAACACGTGTGAAACAACCTATCCTCAGGCATCGAAGGCTTCGTATGAAGAGTCAGGTCAAGGACGCATGCAAAAAACGCATTCGGTCCTTTCAGACACGCAAATACCAGGCCTGCCAGAATGCAGGAATTGAGCGTTACAACATCTTTGCTCAACGAAACAGCATGCATTCCGATGGCAATGGACTTCTGTACTGCGACATGTGACAACCAGGCCATCGTGATTGAAGGCTCCGACTTCGTGCATAGCAAATTAAAGCTAGACCTGAGACACTAAATCGAAGTCATCGAATGGCTCCCGAAAGTATGCGACCGCACGTTCAGCGTGCGCCGTGGCTGCATGGTGTTTTTCTGCCAAAGCGGTCAGACTGGCGCCAAGCCCTCGTTAGCGCCCGGGCGCTCCCACACAGCTCGAAATTCGTAGAACTTCAACACCTTCCGTTCTTTACTAACCCCCAGCAACACCACCACTTGCTCAACAACAGTCAAGATGGGTATCGATCTCGACAAGCACCATGTTCGAGACGGGCACCGCAGTATGTGAACCCCCGTCGAGTCGGCGCAGCAATGCGCTGGCGACTGCTGTCTTTTAGACGCAACATGAGATTTCGAGCAGGAGGATTGACGAGTATACAGAGGTCCCGAAGTCCACCAACCCCTACGTTAAGTTGTTGGTGCGCCTTTACAAGTTCCTGGCTCGTAAGTACTTACATTGAATTTGCAAGAGGTGTGTGTGCTGACAGCAATAGGCCGTACCGATGCCCCCTTCAACAAGGTTGTTCTCCGACGCCTTATGATGTCCAAGATCAACCGTCCTCGTAAGACTGCCGAACGAACAATGCCTCTCGAGAGCAATTACTAATGCTGCGATAGCCGTCAGCCTGTCCAAGATCGTCGCGACTGCTGCCAACAAGCACTCCTCCAAGGCACACGACGGCAAGACTATCGTCATTGTACGACTTCCATCGACACACTCCCTACGACAATGCTAATGCAGAAGCAGGTCGGCACCGTCACTGACGACAACCGTCTCCTTGAGCTCCCCAAGCTCTCCATCGCCGCGATGCGCTTCACTGCGTCTGCCCGCGCGCGCATCCTGAAGGCCGGCGGTGAGACCCTCACCATCGACGAGGTCGCTACCCGCTACCCCACTGGAGCCAACACCCTCCTCCTCCGTGGACCCAAGAACTCCCGTGAGAGCGTCAAGCACTTCGGCTTCGGTCCCCACTCCCACAAGAAGCCCTACGTCGAGTCCAAGGGCCGCAAGTTCGAGCGTGCTCGTGGTCGCAGACGGTCGCGTGGTTTCAAGGTCTAAGCGTGTGCTGGAAGCAGTGCTTTTTCTCTGGGTTGTTGGCGTGGTCAAGGTCATGGGAATTCACTTACGAGGCGCGCATCATGACTGGCAAGAGCTTTTCAAATGCTCGCAAAAAGATACTCAATGTCTCAGTAGACAATGGAACTATACCCACGAGCTCTCCCGAGCTCTTGAGGTCAACTCATGAATTTACGGTTCAAATCGATGCGCAACTATTGATATCCACCCACTTTAAACTGACATGTGTCTGACCATCATCTTGCACGATTTGCCCGCTTTCGGAGCGATTGTCCACGAACTTTTCGCGACCTAAATTTTCATCGTGCCCCGCATCCAGCCAACCACAGTTCAGCTCGCCAGCCCACATGATTTCCCAAAGTAGTCACTACTATCACGATCACACTTGACATCACCATCAACGAATCTCACAGCAACTGAACAACACAATATGGTCGACAACCGCAAGGTAGGTGTGTTGGGTGGCGGCCAGCTAGGTCGCATGCTCATTGAGGCTGCAAATCGCCTCAATGTTCAGGTCAACGTCCTGGACGCAGCAGCATCGCCCGCGAAGCAAATATCCGCACACGACGGTCACATTGAAGGATCTTTCAAGGATGCGGCGGCTGTCAAGCAACTCGCGCAATCTTGCGATGTTGTTACCGTCGAAATCGAGCACGTGGACACGCACATGCTAGAGGAGGTGGCCAGCGAAGTTGTTGTAGAGCCAAGCTGGAAGACATTACGGACCATCAAGGACAAATACGCGCAGAAACTGTACCTTAAAAAGCATGGAGTTGAAGTTGCAGAGAGCACCGACCTAGAAGGCAAAGGTGCCGAGGGCTTGAAAGAAGTTGGCGCTTCATACGGTTATCCATTCATGTTGAAAAGCAAGACGGAGGCCTACGATGGCCGAGGCAATTTTGTGGTAAAGAGCGAGGCGGACATCGGCGCGGCCATCCAGGCATTGGGCAACCGACCACTGTATGCAGAGCGATGGGCTGACTTCAGGCTCGAGCTTGCGGTGATGGTCGTCAAGACGAAGGACGGCGTACTCACATTCCCTACCGTGGAAACTGTACATGAGGACAGCATCTGCAAGCTTACTTACGCACCACCAAGGAATGTGTCTGAGTCTACAGCACAGAGAGCGCAAGACCTGGCTAAGAAGGCGATTGGTGCTTTCGAGGGCAAGGGTGTCTTTGGTGTCGAGATGTTCCTTCTTAAGGACGATAGCTTGCTCGTCAATGAGATTGCACCACGACCGCATAACTCAGGACACTACACCATCGAAGCCTGTCCACTATCGCAATATGATGCGCATCTTCGCGCGATCCTTGATCTACCCATCCCACAATCGGCTCTCCGTCTGCGCGAGCCATCAATCATGCTCAACATCCTCGGCGGAAAGACACCGGACTCACATGTCAAGGTAGCCAAGAAGGCTCTGGAGTCACCAAACGCTTCAATACATCTCTACGGCAAGGGTGATGCGCGCCCGGGTCGCAAGATGGGCCATATTACTATCACGGCACCTACGCTTGCGGAAGCAGAACGTGAGATTCAGCCTCTTATCGACTTTGTTGATGAGCAGAAGGGAAAGGCTCTAGGACCCCTCGCAGACCCTTCGAGCTCGAAAGGAGAGCCTCTAGTCGCCGTCATTATGGGTTCAGACTCCGACCTACCAGTACTTCGGGCTGGTCTCGAGATCCTGGAAAAGCTCGAAATCCCATTCACAACGCGCATCACGTCCGCTCATCGCACACCCGACTGGCTTCGCGAATTCTCCAAGAATGCCTCAAGCACCTCGCTCAAGGTCATTATTGGCGCAGCAGGTGGTGCGGCTCATTTGCCTGGTATGTGCGCATCATGGACTACACTTCCCGTGATCGGTCTTCCAGTCAAGGCGACGCACATGGATGGCTGGGACAGTCTAGTTAGCATGACACAAATGCCCCGTGGTGAACCAGTTGCTACTGTTGGCATCAACAATAGCACCAATGCGGCGCTGTTGGCTGTGAGGATACTTGGTGCGGATGACAAGTCGGTCAGAGAGCGCTTGAGGGTCTGGATGGAAGGCAACGAGAAGGAAGTCATGAGGAAGGACAAGGCGCTACTGGAAGATGGCTGGGAGGCCTATTTGAAGAGCATGGGCAAATAGATGGTCGATGCCGACCTCGAGGGGCAACGAGTGGGCTTTGTGAGCTTCATGAACTTGGCATCAAAGAGCAATGAATATCACCTCACAGAAGACTTCATGCTTATTTTCTTGTCTATGTCTGTTCGAAAGCTGTGTTCAAACTCTATTTCAAAGCTAGTCCTGTCGTACCCATCGATCCAATAGTAGCGAATCAAACACCACAACTACACAAAAGAAACAGAGATCTCGCTAATCATTCGCAGATCGCAGATGAACGCATGCAGTGCTCCACGACGTGCAGTAGTATGCAGAGCCAGCTCATCAGTGGCACCTTCCAATACCTTTACATTCCTCCGGTTGGCTATCATGTACTTCACGATCGTCGCTTCTTCCCTATCATTATCTAGCACCTACCATTCGGAGCTCACGTCATGGCCCACTCAAGCAATAGACCACTCAACAACGCTTCTTCATAAACATACCTCTCTCAATCGCTCCTTCTCTTTCACCTCACCTAACGTAAAATCTAATTCTTACCTACCAAAATGCCGACCCTAGCACAAAAACTCTCCAAGCCCTTCGTCGACATATCCGTCCTGGTATGGGACTTCAACCTCTTCCTCCTCAACCTGCTTCTCCCCTCCCAACCATCCACAGACGTCGTCCCTTCCTCTGCCCCCGGCGCCCACGGCCACTGGGGCACCTACACGCCGCCCGGCCCCGACGACTCGCGCTCCGCCTGCCCGATGCTCAATGCGCTCGCCAACCACTCCATCCTCCCGCACTCCGGTAAGAACATCTCCTTCCGGCAGCTCAACACCACCGTGCGCCAATCCTTCAACTTCGCCCCGAGCTTCTGCTTCTTCGTGCCCAACTTCGCCGCAAACTTTCTGTCACGCAGCTATTGGACGGGCACGTTTGACCTCGCCGAGCTGAGCAAGCATAATGCGATTGAGCATGATGCGAGCTTGACGAGGAGGGATGCGGCGGAGGTCAGCGATCAGGGGAAGCCGGATTTGGAGCTTGTAAAGGAGTTGTTGGACGCGGCGACGGGGGAGGGCGGGAAGAGGCTCACCAAGGGTGATTTGTCGCGCATTTTGGCGAAGAGGAGATTGGAGTGTAGGGCGAATAATGAGGCGTACAGTGAGAGTTTGTTTCACAATGGATTCGGGAGCGCGAAGTAAGTTTTTCCCTATTATGATCATATAATCTGTAATTTGCAAGAATGTGCTAATCTTTACGCAGCTCTTCTACTATGCTGACGATATTCGGCGGGGACGTGGATGATCTCAGACCTATGCTTACCGAAGAGCGATTCGTGGAGGGCTGGCAGCCGCGGATTTTGAGCCGCTTTGGCCTTACGATGGCGGCATTCAACGGGACGGTTTTGCCGGTTGAGCTGGGTGTCAAAAGGGCGAAGATCGAGTAGGAAGAGGTCAAGCACGTGTAATATGCTATCTGGATCAAAAGGTCGTCTCAGAAATCCCGGCATTCCTAGAAACGCATAAAGAGATCAAGTTTCGAGCATTTGCCAGAGATGTACACAGACTAGCTTATATGCTCGCACGCATCATGTAGTATATCGAACCCCGTTTCTCCATCATGGTTTCCTTCACAGCCTTGAAAGAAAAGTACCTGACTCATACTCATGCATTGTTCCCATTCTGACTTTTGAAGATGAGAGCGAACAGTGCAATAGCCTCCCTAGTGTTACTGGTGGGGGCTTAATAGCTGTTGCGTGCTCGGGCATTTCATAGAAGGTCTAGCTTTTGACTTTGGATTCTGAGGATCTCTTTTCCTGTGTTCGCGCATGTGGACATCTTGCGGTCCCCATCTGTACGCTGGGACTTTTACTTTTGGCAAACATGACACCGCATATAGATCATTTTTGGGAGCGGCGAATCAGGAGAACAGACATAGACCAGTTCGGCTGCTCTTTGGTCGATTGAATAGAGGGGCTTTTTTTGGTTTGACAAGAAAGAGGAGGATGGGGAGAATCATATGCGTTTGTACATGCACTGATGTACAAATGTTGACGGCATTGGTAAATCACGCCTACTTCCTCGAACATCAACGCTGGCCGAATGTGTTTTGATGCGGGTGGTAAGAATAACATGACATTGAGACCAGTGAATTTTCTTGTTGCTAGACACCGGCACTCAGCACTGCGCAAAAACATGTACGGAAGACTCCCCATTTTGAGGACTGATGTTTTTTTTCAAGAAACACAAGGATGCAGACATGTTTTGCTTGCATTCTGTTTTTGAAGAAAGTAGCGTGTACTTTTGGCGAGGAGAAACTTGCACGAGGAAGTAGAAAGGCTCTTATGTAGCTTCGATGCTGGAGTCTCTGACGACTGTCGCACACTCATCCTGATTTGAGACCCGGAGATTATGCAACACCGGCTTTGCGATAGCATGGAGGTTATTCACATCTGGCATCTCAGGCAAGAAATCAGTGCTCAGTTTGTGTTTTGAGAAGGAGTGAAAAGGAAATCCATAGCCTCAGAAGCGGATTTCAGTGGTTGATATTTTTTGTAGTAAAGAATAGCAGAACTGTGAGTTAAAGATAGAGCTATTAATACATGATTACTTCAGTCTCTTAGCACATGTAAGGCGGTCACTTCCTTTTACATCAGCGCAGAAGGTCGACATCGGTCTGGTCTCCCATGACTTTCGTACTCTCTCATATGACTGATTGCATTGGCTTTCGACTTTCTCGTTCGTGGATCATAGCCCTTCAGTATACTTTGTTTTGAAGGAGAGAGGATACGGAGCCATGATCATGAGCATTCTACTCTTTGGAGACCAGGCGGTGGAGTCGCTGTGGGGTGTAGTGAAAGGGAGCGCCTGCTGTTGATATATAGTCGCAGCTCGTGACAACATCGGGTGGAAAATCTTACTCGAAGGAACAAAGAAGAGACACATGATCATACGCTTCTGGTTGGAATATTTTAATGCGCTATCTCAATGCCTAGTCAGCAGAACTCTACGGCGACAAACGCATCCCTTGCATGCCTTTTTCCACGACCAGTGAGATGGGTGAAGGAGCTCGTGACCCGAAAGGATGAGGTGGAAAGGGCAGTTGTATGTTCAAGTTTGTATTGCTTTAATAGCTATATATCGTATCTCATAAATGGTATCTTCGACGACTGACTTAACCGTAAACCTTCTGCTTGTTGTAACCAGGCAGCTTTGCAAGCTGCGACTGGTCAATAGCCTTCAACTGTGGGCAGCCCAGCTGGCCGATGATGCTACCAATAGCTCCTGTAAGTGCGTCGAGTGGGCCGAGAAGAATGTCTGGCTTAGCCTGAGCGGCGACCTGGTAGAGGAAGCAGCCGAAGTTGTTGCCCTGAGTCAGGGTCTCCGCGTTAAAGACACCACCAGTCAGATCGCCGATGTCAACACCGGTGAAGGAGTCGGGTGTACCAGTGTTACTGTAATTGGTTAGTGCGTGAAAGAAATTGAGATGGGAGTTTGCTTACCCTCCGATGTCGAGGAACTTGGGGTGGAGCGCGATAGCGTTCAATGCATCTCCAACGAAGTAGGTAGTCTCGTATGGGTATTCGATGGCACGACGGTACCAGTTGTCTGGGATGCGCTCAGTTCCCTGAACAGCCTTGTAGTTACCGTTCGTTCCCTCTACACCGAACCAAGACTGGATGGTCTCATAGGAAAGCTCTCCGATGGGGTTCTCGGCGCTGTGGTTGGGCCATGAATCGGTAGATGAAGGTGTACGCGGCGGGCTGCACGAGTACACCACTGAAGGGTCCGTTGAAGAAGTAAGGGTTGCTCTTCTTCTGCGCGTCGAACCTGTCGCTGCGGAAGCTTGTGAGTGAATCAAGCGTGACCACACCACCGGGCGAGTGGTTGATCAGATCCTGGAATTGCTCGGTGACACATTTGTAGTTGTTGCCAGCCTGGTACAGATCTGGTCTGGTTGGGGATGCGTCGCCCTCGTACTTGTTGTGTGAGCCAGTAAGGCCGTTACCGAGAATACCGGTAACTCCGCCCTGTGCAAGGGACGGTGTGCCACCCATACTCCAATTTAACACATCGCCATCCAGGGCTCCTCCCAGGACGGACAGGAAGAGGGCCAAGTTGGCGCCCATGCCAACCACCTTTGTAGTTGCTTCGATGTACTGTGCGACGGAAGCGTATCCGTTATGTGGTAGAAAGTCTGGAGTCTGTCAGTGGGCAAACTTGCACTATTGGGAGTGTACACACTGTGATTGGCGAAAGCGTTCAGACCTGGGCAAGGTCCACGCAAGTCATTGGGTCCTGGAGCCACGTACTCGTGGCCACTGCCCTTAGTGACATTGATGAATTGTGCCTTTTCGTTGAAGATGGGAATGGGCTCGAATAGTGCTGATGCTGCATCTGCTCCAGCCTGTCGTCCCTTCAACTGCGCTGCCATCTCAGAAGCCCGAGCCAGAAGCTCTGGGTCAGCTGCTGCCGCCTCCATTATCGCAGCAGGAAATGCATTGGCCAGTGGGGCCAATGCAGCCAGCGAAAGTGGGATAGATGAGAAATGCATTTTGTTTGTGAATAGCAAGGTACTGCGGAGGAGGAATGCGTATTGAGTGCCTGTAGAGGCGGTTCATGGAGACTTAAATAGATCACACCAGACATACAACCCCACGTTGCATACCGCCCCTCAACTTGCCCGTGAAGACGTTGACCTGTAGGTGCCGCGGTGAACCATGGTAGCACCGGGCGCTTGCATGCTCATCTGGTCGATCGGATGTGACCAAGCCTACGGTTTCCAAGAACAACTGGGTCAACACCAACATCGGCGAGATGCACATACCCAAAAGAGTATGACATCTCTCTTGAGTCCAGTCAAACTACCGCGGTTGACCGTGGCGATGGAGCCTTTCCCCGCTGCCGATCTTCAAAAGTGAGTCGGGTCGACCTATACAAGTTAGTTCCGGATACTACATTCATCACACTTCAACCATCTTAGTGCTCGCAGCCTCTTCTAGAGATAGAAAAGACTTGGATTCTGCAGGGGGGCTGCCGGAACGGTAGGTCCCGAAGCCTCATTAGCTCATCGACTAACGCAAATTAGCTGCTGTCTAATCTGTTCATACCAATGATCTGCAACGCCAACTTCCATTGTTTGCAATCCGCAAGCCATGATTCGCGTGTACTTAGCTTCCGGCGACACGTCCTTTTTCTCGGCCCTTCAGCAGCACGAGGCATCGCCACCACACTCGTTGCGTAGTGTGCGGAGAACGGTGCAGACACCGTCCAGGGCGGTGTGGTGACAAAAGGTTTCGCAATCTTACAGAGTTATGAGACCATCAAGTGACGAGAAGTCATGGTGTAGTCAAATCCTTGGAGGTATGCGCAGCAGCAAAGGGAAATGCCGCCCACAAGTCTAGACTGCTCGTTAACTAACTACTGAATCCCCATACCAAGGCTATGGTGCAGTTTCCCAAAAAGCAAGAGCGCGGCGATATGGCCAATTCCGGAAAAAAACACAAATCCATGAGTGAACGTCATACCCAAGCCAAGAGTGTGTTTAACCAGCTCGCATCGTTGGAGTGTGAACTAGGCCTGGAATTCGGACCGTCCATGGTTGTGTGAATGCTGCCACGAGATCATGGACTGGCATTCACTTACCGTATCGCCTCGGCACCTGAATGGAGATTCATTGGTCGGTATATGTTCGTGGATTTTAAGTTTCGATCCGCCAGGCACCCTCGCGGAATTACGTTGGGTTATGGTTCTGTCACGACTAACGACCGCGGAACGAAGCCAATTTCTAAGTACTGTGTAGGCTCTGTACACCTACGTGCAAGTTATCTCCGAAGTCACTTTTCGCCGTCATGTTCGCCGGTCGGTGTATTTGTTGAGTACCCATTTTCTTTGTGAGGAATTCACGGCAAATAGTGTATCCAATCTGGAAGCACGGTTAAAAAGCAAACTTGTGAAGCGGCGTGCTATCCGGTCAAGCCGCCTCCACAGCCGCATCCACAGCGTTACACTGGCCTGCTTCTGACGTAAGGGTCTTCTGGTTCTACGAATGTGGCTGTGATACAACGAGCCAATTTCACCTGAATCTTCTCTAGATTGTATGGTATTGGAGGGTCATCGCGTCTTTTCTGCATGCTCCATCCCTGCGGCCAAAAGTCTGCAAGGGCCCAGTTATGACACCCAGGCAAGGCCTTGCAACATGAAAAGTCTTGCTACGATCACCCAGACAAATTTCCCGTGTCAAAATCTGAAATCGCCGTTCGAGTGTGCATCGGTCGTTGTGTTGCCTCTAGGTAATGTAAAATGACTTCATCTCATCGGACCCACCCATCGATCTGAGGCGCAGCCGGTTCGCGGGGTACTCTAACCCCGTCTCCTTTAGTTCGGTTTGCTGGCATGGTTGCCTCCTGTTCGACTTATCACGTGGCTGTTCGAGCAAAACGGATCCAGGGTTGCGGCTGACGAACACCAGACCCATCAGTGGCGTGGCGATCCCCTTCGTCGAATACAGGAGCACGTGGCTTAAACTTTGGCAGGTCTGATGAGGGTGTAGAATCTCTCTTCACATGAGTTTCTATGTTTCCTTACACCCCTGGAATTGTTAGACACGATTTCGTTTCTACGCGGAGTCAACACAATGTGACGCGCGCAAATCATTGCTGGTAGCAGAACAAAGACAGAGTTTTGAACTTCCACAGGTAGCATTAGCTGGCCGGGAGTGACATCGATTGAAAAGATCTGACCATAGCTCTGATTTTACAACGTAGATGAAGGCTCAGCTCCTGACACATGCTGGCTTAACTGTGTGTCTCTAGCCGAGTGCACACTGCGAAGAAAACTCTTCGGGACGCTATTTTTCTAGGAGACGTGCATAAAATCAGAGTGATTCGTTGGTTTTGATTGTACTAAAAGATAGTCACTTGTCCCTGAGTTGATTCACGCTAAAAGATTCATCGATTCTGTGGGGTATGTCGATCATCAGTCACTACTCACTCTCCACTCGGTTGCTACATCCATGTCGGTCAATATTGTCACAGAATACAGGTTTTCACAATCTATCGTTGTTGACGGTTTACATCTACGGCTGCATCGTACATACGTTCTTAAATTTTGAGAGCTCCGGGGGTAAAGACCATGTCTAATTTCGACAGCGTGTCTTTCACGAGCACACGACATAGCCACGTCTGGAGATTAAATATTAGCGTGTCTCATAGCAAGAACAATAACTCCTATCCTCGGTGGAAGCATGTCAAGCATGTGAAGACCAGGAAGGATACGAAGGAGAGTGGCGTCTCGAAAAGTCCGGGGCACATACCAAGGAATTAGCGTAAACTGTGTAGAAGAGGGCGCAAATAATCTCCGATAGGTGTCGGTTGGCTTGCCTGAAAATTTGGATGTGCAGATCCGCGCGGAGCGAGCGTTTCTTCGAGGTGAAATAGTATTGAGAGCCGGACAGAGGATCGTGACATGCTGTCGTAGTCATTTCGCTTTTGTGAACTCAAAGTCGTCAGGAGAATCACGCCTGATATACTTCATGTGCGTCTAAGAAGCGAGAGTAGATATATGGCAGAGCTGCATCAGTCATGGCAATCGCCGTGAGTGTCTTTCAGTACAAGAGCGGTATTTGCAAATGATCAGTGAAGGCTTCTTATCCACGTGGGCACTTCTGCTGACGACGACGACTCAAGAAGATGCAGGAGCCTGGCGACACACCAATTTGAGCGATACATGCGCCCACAGCATAGGTAAGAAAGAGTCAGGTTCTGGCGACGAACGAACATGGGCCGCCTTGGGTTTACTTTTCGAGTATAGCAGTAACATAGATCGACTTTCCCTTTCATTTTATACGTGTGTTTTGAGCCGTCCAAGAGCAGCCGAAAAGTCATCAGTCTTCTCTGTGTTGATTTTGGTATGGCGTGGCAAATTCCCAGACACTTCTCAGTCGCAGAAGTCATCGTTGCGGACATCAACGGTTTTATAGAGAAATGGCTTTGAGTGACGCGTTGAAGGGATGGTCGCACACACTCAAGCATTTATATCTACAAAATTCACGTGCTTTGACGGCACTTTTTAGGGCAATAGGAGCACCTGATACAGCTTTATCAACTCAAATTCGACCTTGAAATCAAATGTAAGAAAGCGGCGAAGAATTCCTCAATTCATGGAGCTCTAGTACTTCATTTTTGAAGGCACATATAGGAAATGCGAGTGTCGTATTTTAGAAGGACGCTGAGATCACAGAAAGACATGGCAGTCATCCCTGCCTTTTTCCAGGAATAAGACAGCGGAGTGAATGTGTGCGGAAGAGCGCAACACAACCCCAGACTTTTATGCTAATCCTCACAACACTCTACTAGTGCGCATATGATTCGGCAGCCTGCTTCGGAATTATACATGAGCTCCTATGCTGCGTCACATGCATGTTCTTTCGCTCATTTTCTGAATCTACTTTTGGAAAAAATTGTGCATGAAGAGACGCTAACCCTCGCCGAAAGAAAATTTATTGGAACAAGCAGACAAACATATGGTCGATGCAAAGGCGACTTTTGGTGGCGAAAAAAAAGCAGAAAAGTCATAAGTAGCTCCTGATGTTTTTTGTTTTGATGTCCGCTTTAAGCGATGTTGTAAAGATAAGGAAGGACGGAGAAGTTCGGGCCTTTCATACCCAAGCCTCTCACTCATCTCTACCGATACGGGCATTTACGCGGACACTACTTCTTCTGAACTAGCCCAAGAGCGCATAACGTCATTGATGAAATGGTGCGTTGCTTGGAGAAAAGACATGGCTGCGCTGTCGTTGATGTTCTGACGCAACGGGAAGGCGTCCATCATCTGTCTTGCGCTCATTTCTCACTCAAAAGTCTGGAAGCAGAACATGTGGTATAGGAGTACTCATTTTTTTTGTTGGCAAGGCGTACATGCAGAGACATGCCCCCGTGTTTTTTCTCTTTTGGAACACAAAAGATGTCGTGATATTGCTGGAGAAGACCGAAGGATCGAGAGGTTTATTTACCCTCACTCTGAAACCGAGACAAACATATGATATCCCATGTCGCGTTTTCGATGTCCTGCCACGCAGCTTTCCCCAAGTCTTTGCGGAAGCAGGACATTCGCGGGTTCCTTGCGTTTTGTCAAAAGGCGGCGCAAAGTCATGTATGCCTCGTTTGTCAATTTTGGAAGCGAATACGCGTTTTGCTAAAATGAAGGAGACGTGAACAGCGCCTGCGTGGTCGTTTTATATACCTTCCGAGCCCAGAGAAGTGCCAGACATGAAATGGTGGCGCTGGGTGTTTGGTTGCAGTGTGGCGACCAAGGGAAGACATGCTTACAGTTTCCACTTCAATGTTGGATGGGGGAACATATCGGATTTTGAGCGGGGAGAAGGAAGACATGAGCCCGCAGAGATCTTCGAGTTTTGGAAAGAGGAGTGGGACATAAGTCGATATTGGTGGATGTTTGACAGAAGGACGGAGTACGAAACGAGGTCCTCGAATCCTTTACAGTAGGGAGGAACATAAGCTGGGTATCACAATCTTTAGCAGAAGGATGGGGTATGAACTGAGACCCTTCATGTTTTCGCAGAAGTGCGGCATGCTTCATGTGATTCAATATTTCGTTAGCAGGAAGACATCAACCAGCTTAGCAGGTCTTTTGGCAGGAGAAAATGCCATGGATGCATCGGTGACTGCATTTTGGAAAGCGGCGGAGAAATCGCGAGACATGTTCTCAGCGACACAGAGTTTCTATCCCAGTGGAAGCACGGAGCGGGAGAAAAGCAGAGAACATGCTTGTCCAACAAGTATTTTTTGGAAGCACGGAGAGATAGACATCCAAGAATGACTCTCTGAGTCTTGGACTACCAGGGCTGGCGCATATCCAGATAGCCTCGATGTTTTGATAATCCGCGTAGGCAAGAAAAAGATTGATGGTTGAGAAGAGAAGACTGCGAGGAGGTTCATTTATGCGCATATCTGGGGGTGATGCCGAGTGAACACACATGGCATGCCGTCGTCGAGCTTTTTGACAAGTGTGTGTAGAAGCAAAACCATTGATCCTCCAAAAACATGTGTAGTGTGAATGGTTGATTTTAGAACATGCAGAAGCACAGAGACCATGGGTGGTGGTTTTGCTGCTTTTGAATTAGAAGAGCAGACAGCAACGACGAACGGTAACAAAGCAGCCTATGAGCAAGTCATGCACCCACTCAGCGCCCAGTCGCTTAGTAATACTTCCAATTATATTCTATATGGTCTGATATACATCATCACTACATAATATAGCAAAACCACGCGTGGAATAATACTACAGGACTTAATTCGCCTTCACGCCACCGCCGCACCAACATCGTCCTTCCCCTTCCTTCTCAACATGCACAACGACCTCCATGCCGCGGTCTCTGAGGAACTGGACTGCGCGCACCCGCACGTCTTCGAGGTCTGCAGCGTGCGAGGCGATGATGTGGATGACGCCGAGGACGCGCTGCGGGTGCGCTGCGTGGCTGTGATCGTGGTCGTGGTCGTGATCATGCGCATGCGCATGCGAATGGTCGTGGGAATGGTTGTGAGAATGCCCGTGGTCGTGGTCGTGGTCATGTTTGTGATCGTCGTGGCTATGACTATGACTGTGTTCGTGCTTGTGTCCGCAGTCATGATCGGCTTCTTTGGCATGCGCTTCAGCATGCGCGGCACCTTCATCTTCGAGCCAAAACTTCGGCACTGCGTATCCAACGACTCCGCGTAGGGTTCCAAGCTCTCCCAACGTGTTTCTAACACGATACTCGAGGTCGTTGGGTAAGCTCAGCATCAGGCGAGCTCCACTGCTCTTCACAAGCGGGATGGCGGACAAAAAGATGAGGATTGCGATGATGCAAGAAGCGATTGGGTCCCAACCAGACCAGCCGTAGTACTTTGTCAAAAGAGTGGAGATGATGACAGCTACGGAGCCTAGAGCATCAGCAAGGATGTGCAGGAAGATGCCTTGCATGTTCTCGTTGTCGTGTGAATGGCCATGGCCGTGATCGTGTCCTTCATGTCCATGATCATGTCCATGGCCGTGGTGAGCGTGTCCAAATGCCGTAAGACCCACAATGTTGACGAGGAAGCCCAGGATGCTGACGATTAAGAGCTCATTAAGACGCCGAAGCTCGTGACCTTCCCAGAGGCGCTCGAATGCATCGAATATGATCTCAACACTGACAAGGAGTAGAAACACGCCGTTGGCAAATCCAGACAGCGTGTCGATCTTTCCATAGCCATATGGGAAGCGCGCATTCGGGCGCCACTTGCTCATCACTGCTGCCGCCAGACCAACAGCGAGACCTGCGCAGTCGAACAGCATGTGGATGCTGTCAGTGAGAAGACCTAGTGAGCCGCTAACAAAGCCATAGAAGAACTGGACAATCATGAAGGAGAGATTGAGTCTGTGGCTTATTAGCAATTTTTTTTGCGCCACCATCATCAGGGAAGGCAACTTACACTCCAAAGTAAGCGATCCGCCGTGAGTCTTTCTCGATCAAAACGCTGTGGATAATTGAGCCCGGCGTAGCCCGCGCAATGAGAAAAGCGGATAGTCTAGAATGATTGCCGTGAAGATGGTGATCTTGGTGTTCGTGCTTGTGGCCGTGACCTGAATGCGAGTGGCTGTGGCCAGAATGGGAGTGTCCATGTCCGTGGTTATGTGCTGTGGAAACTGAAGGCAATGCGGTATCATACATGACGGCTCCAAGAAGCCCGACACATGCGAGCGGGAATGCAACCCAAAGGACAGTTGACGTAGAATATTGTTCCCAGGAATGAACTGCAGCGACAAGAAGAGTACCCAGCGCCAAGCCCACATGCTTTTGGCTGCGTAATGCGGTTGGAAGTGAAAGGAAAACGAGCGCCGTCGCTGATGCAATGGAAAGTGTAGTGTAAGCTATGGTGTGGTGAGAAAAGGACGGAGATGAAGAAGAAACCAGCGAGTACAAGAGCGCAACTACGGTTAGACTGAGACCAGATGCAATGGTGAGGACTGTGTCCTCGAAAGAGCTTATGAGAGGCGAATAGGGCTTGGGAAGAGAGGCCCTGCCAGATCCCTGGCTAACATAGGAGGTCTGGCCCTGACTGCCCATGATGAGCGACCATCCGGCCGTGGGCAGTGGTGGAGGAACCAGGAATATGGACATCAGAAGAGAGCTGTAGCCAAACAACGGATGCGAGGCGCTGCCTACAGCGAGACTATCGGCCACCATTGCAAGCGCAACGGCTCCACAGGTTATCTTGCGTGTCCTCAGCGTCCGGCGGAAGTCATCCCATGGCGTGTGTTTCCCAGGCTTGCGATCTAGTGCACCGAGACCTGCGGCCACAGCAGTCAGCAAAGCCAGAGCCACTCGTGCGCCTCCGAGCTGCATCGATGCATAGAATGGTAACAGCACGCTGAGCACATTGTATGCCATGCGCTTGGGGGCCGTGCTAAGGTTGAACGTGCCGGGCGTGGCATCGGATTTCCGTCTGTCCAGAGGCTGCAAGCTGGAGCTGATCTTTGCTATTACGCCGACCAATATCAATGTGGCCGAAGAGAGCGTGAGCGCGTGTAGCAGCTGCGAATGGCTCGTGACTGCTAGACTCTCCACGGCGGGCGCGCTGTCAGCAACCGCCTCAGAGAGTGTCGAGGGCAGCTTTTGATTTCGTCCGATGACGGTCGGGTATGCGAGCGACGCGAAGAGGAACGGGAGGGGTATGAGCAGCGCAGTGAGAGCTTCTGGCAGCTCCAGCCATGATCTGTCCGCGTTAGCAACCACTTCCCCACGTGTCCACGTGATTCCTTACGACGACAGCACGGGCAGGATGGGCTGCTCCGACTCCTGGATGGGCGAGACGGGCGAGAAGCCGTACTTGGCGGCGGCATTCTTTCGTGGTGGGGACCGCCCTATCTCAGCCTCCCCTCGTGGCCGGCCCTTGGACCTCCCGTTGACAAACGGCTGCAGCGTCCACGACGAATCGTTCGAGTTGGAGCGGTCGTGGCTGTGAGTGTGGTTGTGTTCGTGCGCGTGGCCATTGTACTCGGCATACGGCGAGCGCACCGCGCCGTGCAATTGCCCGTTCCCGCTCATGTCGGACTGGTGGTGTCGGTGGCCGTTCGCTCTCAGAGGCGAGGAATGGGGGCCATTCGTGTAGGGCGAGTACTGCGACTGCGAGCGCTCATGGCTGTGGGCGTGTGACGTGGGAGCAATGGGCAGCGCATACGTCGACGCCATCAGATAGCGGTTCAGGTGTGGTCCCTCCTGGGCGAGTCTTGACTCGGTCTGCGCAGAGGGCAAGTGGGCTGTCTCGCGTCGCGAATGCGATGGATTATGGATTGGTAGTGGGAGGGCTGGATGGATGCACGTGGTAGAGACAGTCGCTGCTAACATGTGAACAGCATCGGCGGGGTGTCAGTGCATTCACTTCACTGTGGCTCCAGAGTCGACGGCGTCCTGAGATCTGCGGCCTTCCTCTTTGATAGCGCTGTTGCGCCGTCTTCTTGACTTTCAGGGGTCCCAGATTGGGAGCCACAACGCCTTCCCCTTCTGGTCTTACCCCGGCTTCGCCCTCCGCAATGGCACTAGGCCCTGCCCGTGACGCACGCGGCTGCACCAGCCAACCTGATTGCTCGCTTCACACCAACCTCGACTCCAGCTCGCCGCCATGGGCTTGGGGGACTTCTTCAACGAAAAGCTCAACAACGGCTTCTCGGCTGTCTTGACTGGCATAGTCGCTCTTTCTACGCTCTTTACCATTTTGTTGCTTACGTTGCCAAAACAATATGACCCGTACGAGGACAAGGCCATCAAGTACGTCGACGAAAATGGGAAGGAAATCCAAGTAAAGACAAAAGATGGCAAAACGGCTCTGAGATGGAAGCAGGGCCGGACGGTGCAGATTCTTGTCTTGGGCGACATTGGACGATCTCCCCGCATGCAGTATCATGCTCTAAGCATCGCAAAACACGGTGGCAGAGTGTTTTTGATCGGTTATCAAGGTCGGTGGTCAAATAGATGAGATGAATTCTAGATGCTGAGTCATGTGCAGAGTCAGAGATACATCCAGACATCGTCTCGAACCCCTTGATTGAAGTCGTGCCCTTGGTCCCAGCACCGGAAAGTCTTCGCCCCAGCAGTAAACTGCTTTTCCCTATCATAGCGCCACTCAAAGTGCTTTGGCAAGTCTATTCACTCTGGAGAGCACTGGGCTATAGAAGCGGTCCTGCGCGATGGATGTTTGTGCAGAACCCACCATCAATCCCAACTCTCGCTGTAGCAGGTCTGCTGTGCTTCTTACGGAACACTGACCTTGTTATCGACTGGCATAACTTCGGCTACTCCATTCTCGCGCTTAAGCTAGGTGCCTCGCATCCACTTGTCAAAATCTCGGCCTTGTATGAGAAGCTGTTTGCGAAAGCCGCAGCACATCACATCACAGTAACAAATGCAATGGCACGGGTGCTGAGAGATGACTACGGCGTCACTGCACAAGCCCTGCATGACCGTCCAGCGTCACTCTACAGACCTATCAGCTCCCAAGAGAAAGCTAAATTCCTTGCTCGATTACCCGAAACAGCACAGTATGCACAAGATCTACTACCTTCGTCCAAAACACCCTGGAGGCTCATCGTTAGCTCCACCTCCTGGACCGCGGACGAGGACTTTTCCCTACTACTTGAGGCGCTGAGCCAGTATTCTGCCGAAGCCACGTCGAAAGTCCATCTGCCAAAAATCGTGGCTATCATCACTGGTAAAGGTCCTCAGAAGGAGCACTACCTCGAAAAGATACGAAAGCTCAACCAAGAGAACAAGTTAATCAACGTCGTCATCCTAACAGCCTGGCTCACACCCGAAGACTACGCCCTGCTTCTCGCCTCCGCGGACCTTGGTGTATCACTCCACACTTCCTCATCCGGCGTGGACCTACCCATGAAAGTCGTCGACATGTTTGGCGCTGGACTGCCTGTCGTCGGATGGGGCAAGTTCGAGGCGTGGCCAGAACTAGTCAAAGAGAACGTCAACGGCAAGGGCTTCGAAAGCTCACAGCAACTAGCCGAGCAGCTCATCGATCTCTTTGGTGAAAGCGATGCGTTACTCAAGCAACTGAAAGAAGGCGCGCTGAAAGAGAGCGAGAATAGATGGGATGATGAATGGGATAAGGTAGGAGGGCAGTTGTTTAAGCTCATATAACACAGAGTATATATATATCTTGATTGGTATACCTATGCACGACCCGTCCAGCCACAAAATATCTGCACCAGCAACAAACACCAACAACCCTTCCTCGCGAGACAATCCCCCTTCAAGCCCACCCCTCCACGACCCTGGGTTGTAGGATTGTTGTGATGGGTGTGGGATAAAGTGTAGCCACTCAAGATGTGCGGTGAGATGTTGGGATGGTGTGTAATACTTAAGATGTGCGGCGAGATGTGGGATGACGTGCGAAGTGAAGAAAGAATAAGAGTGTGTACGCGAGCTTTTATATCTTGCCTGCGTAAGGGACGTTGGGGATTTTTCCATGTATACTGTGGTTCGCTAGTGCTGTGGATGAGGTCGTGGCTCACCATGTAGAGAGAACCAATGGACTTGATCCCAATCAAACTTGGTCATGCAACAAATTCACTTCACTATCATACATCTCCACATCTCACATCCACACCCACAAATAACTCACGTTATCCAAAAAAAATGCTCTAGATTGTGTGAGATTATACGAAATGGTATCTTCCGCGCCGACATGCGCTTTCTTCCCACCTAAAAACGCCAATGCTATCGATGCCGCGGAGGGTATATATATGACTGAGATGCTCCATACGCTATGCCGAAAATGAGATGATATGTTTGCTGAACGCCGATGCTGAGGAGTGTTGTGTACATGTGCCATAGAATTGAAAACCAGAGGGTAAACAATTTCGAAATTGAAACGTCTGTCAAGCCGAGCCTGCGGATCGTGGTGTGGGATTTTGCACGCGGGCGCGCGGTAGCGATGTGTGAGGCGAGGACTGAAGCCATGGTTGGCGAATTGTTGAAAATCTTCGTGAAACAGGGTCCATGCTTTTGTGCGCAGGAAAGTCAGACAGGAAGTAGGTGTGGCGCTTCAGGTCCGTGGAGGCGTCGCAGGCCGTGATCGCGACTTGGCATCCTTGTTTCGTGATGCTTTCTTCTCCTTGCGCTCAGGGTGGGCAACCATGGCATCCTCCGGCTTGAGCTCGCCAGTGAGCCACTGGCCCATGTGTGTCTGCCAGCGCATCAAGTTGTCTGCCTTGGTTGCCTCGCGCAGCCGGCGGTGTCGGACCAGGCGCTCAGCCACCTGCTGCAGGACGATCTTAGGTGGCTGGTATTCTTTGAAGCCGCCAGGACTCTCCACGTGACTCCTGGAGAGGTATGCATCTGTAGCTGCTTCCATACGCGAGAGTGTTCGGCCTCCGTTGACGACTTCTGTCTTGCCAGTTTGGGGGTTTGTCCATGAGCCCTTCTCCCAATTGTCGAGCTTGAGATCTTGCAGGCCTTTGTCGACGTTTAGTCGCTTGTACCACCGATGCTCACCCCTGGCTATTATCCGCATGTTGGTGTGCTGCTTCTCGCCTTCAGTGTACTTGTATAGAGCACATTCTTGAAGACTGCAAACTTTTCGCTCCACTTCTGAAGAAGCTTGACTTTCCCCAGAGGGCCCGGCCATATCGCAGCAAAACCGTCGTTCTCGGTATTTGGCCGGCCTGTACCTATTGATAAAAGAAGTCCTGGTTCAGAGTCGTCCCCGTGCATAGAACCATGTTCGCTGTATGCCGCAAATGAAGGATTGTTTTCGCGAATTCCGCCATCCTTGAAGCCAACCTTTTCATATTTGTAGCCCGTTCGTTCATTCTTAATGTCTGCCACGAGCATGTCGAAGTAGAATGGCGCTGCTGAGGTGGCTCGAGTGACCTGCCATATCTTCAGCTTGTCTGCGCCCTGGTTGTATGTCAAGGCCCATGGTGGGAAAGTGTTCTGGTCGTAGGTGTGGTTGTAGGATCGAAGCAGGTAGGCTTCGCCAATCTGGCCAGAGTGGGTTGCCGTGAGGCAGATACTATGTGTGTCAGCGGTTATTCGGGTTGAGTGATAGAGTTGACTGTATAGCTTCACCGCCGCAAGATACCAAGAACAGTGAATTGCGAGGCCGCAGAGCTATGCAGGCTCTATCACGAGGCGAGAAGTACTTACGACTGACACATCCGCTCCGTTGGCTTCTTGGGCTTGGTTACAGTCGCGGACCACATCGATGAGTTCGCCAACGAGCTCTCTGGTGTTTTGGCTGGCGCTGCGACTGGCTCATCATCTTCAGGGCTCCATGGATGCCAGTCATCCCCATCGCAGTCTTCATGGTTCTTACAGAATTCTGCAACAATCTCCCGAACAGCATTCTCCAGCGGCTTATGGTGGTATTTGGTGGCCAGCGGTAAAATGTTCCTCCTGTGGCCGAACAGGTCGTGACCAACGCGTCGGTAGATATCCAAACACTGCGGTACAGTCATGCGAAGTCGCGCCAACATGACCGATATCAAACCGCCCGTGCTTGTGCCGTACATGTAGTCGAAATAGTGGCATGGTAGGAGCTCGTTCTCGTCGAACTTCTGCCGTGTGCTGCCTGCGACGGGCCCTTCGTCCCTTTGTAATCGGCGCTCGCATTCGGCGACTTCGTGCATGAGTTGCTTGAGGATGAGTAGGCTGGAGTAGCCTCGAATGCCGCCGCCATCTGTGATGTTTGAGTCAGCAGGGGTCCTATGTCTTGCAAATGCGCATCGTGCAGTTTCAAGACTCTTTTGGTCTCGCAGGACATATCCAGGCACCGCGCTTCTATGCCGCGGCAAGTGTCCTCGAATAGCTTTAGTGCTGATGTCGTAGCTGTGGGTACGACATGGGCGACGTGGCGGGCTTCGATCGGTCGCGAACGGTGAGATAAGCTTCCAACGATACCAAGCTTCACGATCCTCCAGTGCTTTCTCAAGCGTCCCCTGACTAGTCGACTATGCACGGCAGACTAGGAAAGCTATACATACCTAGGGTCAAGATCAGGTCTTCCCAGCAGTTGTCTTCGTTGACGCTCATCTTCCACGTCTCCCCCGTCTTGTCCGCCTGTGTCGCCGAAGTCCCCGTCGTCATGATACTCAGCGGGCGTGAGTTGGGCGCAGTCGGAGGTTGTAGCATCTTGACGGTATGCGCGTTAGCTTGAGATGTATCGCGAGTTTGCATGGGCTTGAGCCGGCAGCTTGACAATCGGGGCGATCAGATGTGAGCGCGAGTATGTGCAGGGTTGATGGGAGGATCGCTGGTAGTTAATAAGGCCGCAGAGAGCCTCATGACATGTAGGCGCAAAGGGCAAAGGTGTGTAAAGGCTAGTGTATGCGGAAGCGGATGCGGGAGTGGGAGTGGCTGAACTGCTGGTGCCTTCTGGAGACACTTACCCCTGTATATGCTTAGAACTGCGCCCACGCCTCTTCGATTCGACGACAGATTTGGATCTGGAGGCTCATGGCTGTATATTATGTTTGAGATGTGCAGTCTGTTTAGATCGACGAGGCTACCAGCGGCACTAGATCTGTGTAACTATGGACAGGGTGACGATATCAGACTCCGCATGGTTGATCAGTCTCTGGGACTATTTCGCATCACTTGCGCTTGAGGGAATTTCGGACAGCCCCAGGGCCACACTGCACATTCTCGCCAGCCTCAGGAGGAGCGGATAGCTTCGCGCTACAAGTTTCCGATGGGTTCCTGCGTCCAGGAGTCCTACAGCTTGAGCAAACCGGAAGCGAGCTTTGAGCAACGATCCAGATGACGCCTGCGTGTGATGAGTGCGACAGCAATCAAGCGTGTCGATCCGAGGTGCGGTTCCCAGGGCAAGGGAACAGGGTTTGTCACCTGAATGGCGTCGCTGCCATGCCGGCGCAGGTGACATGCAGAGCTCGAGCGCGGCCTTGGGTGCTCGCAATATCGTTTCGGAGGTGATGCATCTTCTTTTGGAGAGAATATCCCGCAGCCACGCGACCTGTGCAGCAACGGTCAGAGCGGGCGTAGGACGCGGTGGCTCTTGAAGCCCTGCAAAAGATGCTTGCGCCGCCAGCAATGTTCCGCCCAGCAGTCAAACTTCCATTTGCGCACGCGCCTGCAGATGCTACAACAAACAAGTGCCTGAAACGCGCAGAAGCGAGCTTTCATCGTGCAACTCGCTGCTTACGTCACCTCGCAGTAGCACGGCCAATCACCCGCACCTCCGGCAGTGCCCCAATAAGAGAGCGAATCGGCCGAATCCGTGCTCCGCCACGTCTCGCTCGCATCAGGCCGGATTCGCAGAGGCGCAGTACTTGTGTGACGCTGCTCCCATTGCTTTGATGACCGAGACCGTCACTCCACCCGCGCTTTCTTTCTGCCTTCGAGAAGTCACCAGATTAACGCGCTGCTACTATACAAACTCCTGCGGCCCTGACCACCAGTTTGTGAACCACAAACGACGCCTTCGCAAACCGAGACCTCTACCGCCGCTGCCTATCCTTCACCGAAGCCCTATTTTCACCACCGCCAGTCTCAGCCTCACCTTCCCTGGCCGCCGTCCGAATGCAAGACGACAGTATGACCTTCAAATCAATGTCGACCTCCGGCACCTCATCCAGTAAGGCTAGCAGCCTCTTTGACCTTGACGAACACGGCAATAAATCTATTCTTGTCTACAAGTATCGCTCGGGCGCAAAGGGTCTCGAAGTCAGGACCGAACAGGACCTCTGTGAAGAGCTGGATCGAGGTATGTTGTTGCCGACTCGTCGCATGGCCCTCTCTAACAAGCCTGTCCACAGAACCCAACCTCAACTTCATGCGCGTTACCAAGAAGCCCATTCCCCGCGGTAACAGCCGGCTCGAGATACTAGGCGAAGACCTCATGCTCCCCGACGAGCGTGAGAAGTATGCCGACAAGCCCACGCTCAAGGTCTCTGTCGCCAACGTCGGGCTGCCCAGGACCGCCAAGTGGAAGCACATGATCTTGGGCACCTACGAAGATCTCTACATCGTGTCGCGATCGCCCACACAGACGCCAGAGTCGAGTAAGAATAGCAGTCCAGAGTCGTCACAGCACGTCAGTCCGGCGACAACATTTCCTACCGACACTCCGCATCCCTTGCGGGATCTTGATGCGTAGCTGGCGGCGTGCGGCTGAGAGGCGTGCTGATCTCGGATCGAATGTCTGGATGTGATGCGTGTCTCACATCCCTTGCTGCCACCAACAACATGGCGTCACCGTGGGTTTCGCTGAGAGGTCATCCGCAGCCATAGGCCTTCGAGAGGTCGTGCCTTCCGCTGCTGCAAGTGTCAGAGTACGCTGTCTTTCCTTATATACGTTTTATAGCGCCACTATTCGATACCCAACGAGCATTGCTCACAAGCACGGCGCTGGATGGAGTTTGGATTTTGCTTTCGATGAATATTTGCCCGGCGCGGAATCCGCTGGGAACAACTCTGACGGAACCTTTGTACTGAGAAAGCAGCTCTGTTCCTTTGGATAGTCAACGACAATGTCAAATGCTTTCCTCAGATTTGATGCGCTCTGCCAACCAACAAATAAAAGTGATCACGAATGTCAGCCTCATTTAATGTTTGCTAGCAATTGTCCGTGAGTTGATGTTGATTCAACAACCTTTGAGATGACATGGGTAACGCTGTGACCGCCGGTGCGATGCGGTCGTTCTATTATTGTTTAGTACATTTAGAAGACTCATAACACTGGTTACCCAAGTCGACAAATGTCGAGTACATGCATGGCTCGACATTTGCATGTGCTGAGATGTACAGCCTGGTGCTCGTTCTGGCTCCCGTGAAGATGGTCGAGCGTGGTTACACAGCGCTTGGGCAAGCGACGTCATGGCCAATGTGATTCGCCAATGCGCGGCTGACGAAGGATGGGACGGCAGCGACATGGAGAGTTCGCATGCAAAGTGCAAGGAAGACAGATGCACGTCTTTGTTTTTGACGGTCCAGCGTGGGTCTCCCAGGCGGAGCTGCTAAGGATAACCGCACGTGGGCCCGGGCGGCCCTTCTCAATGGTTGCACTTGGCGACCGAAGAGCGTCTGAGAGATCAGCGTCCAGTCCAAGCTCCACCCAGACTCTGCATTGCAGCCCGCGGGGAGCTCCATTGCAAGCTCGTTTGTCCTTCGCTGAGCTGGTGCGAAGCTTCAAACATCCTCTCTCATTCTTTTTGCTCCTCCCGCCCAGCTTTTTCGCGAGCAGTCGCGCACATCTCGCCCGGCATGAGGTCCGTAAACCCCGGCCGTATACACGCCAATCATGGCGCGATGCTGTAATGTCAACGGGAACTAACGCGAGCGCGCAGGTTCGGCCAGCAATTGAAGACGTCGCAGAACAGAGAGTGGATCTTCTACTACATCGACTATGATGGCCTTAAGGACGCCCTCCGCGTGCACCACATCTGGGACGAGAAGTCGGAGCAGAGCTTCATCGAGCAGCTCGAGAAGGAGCTCGACAAGGTCTACACCTTCCAGCGCGTCAAGGCCGAGGAGATCATCCGCCGCATAGCATCGTCGGAGCGCGAGGTCGCCGAGGCCGTCAACAGGTCGCAGCAGACTCCCGGTGGTGACTTCGAGGAGGACTTTGACATTCTCGAGGAGGATCTGAGCGAGATCATTGCCGATGTGCACGACCTGGCCAAGTTCACGCAGCTGAACTACACGGGCTTCCAGAAGATCATCAAGAAGCATGATGTATGTGTACAGCGGGTGTGGTGATGATCAGCGGGTGCTAATATACGGCAGAAAAACACGCGCTGGTTCCTGAAGCCCGTCTTCGCCGCCCGTCTCAAGCGCAAGCCCTTCTTCCAAGACAACTACGACTCCTATGTCCTCAAGCTATCGCGGCTCTACGACATCGTCCGCACGCGCGGCAACCCCATCAAGGGCGATTCGGGCGCCGGCGGCAAGCAGCAAAACTTTGTCCGCCAGACCACCAAGTACTGGGTGCATCCAGACAACATCGTAGAGCTGAAGCTTATTATCCTAAAGCACCTCCCCGTGCTGGTCTTCAACCCCAACAAGGAGTTCAACGAGGAGGATACTGCCATCACGTCCATCTACTTCGATAACACCGATACATGGGAGCTATACGAAGGTCGTCTTAAGAAGACAGAGGGCGCCGAAGCGATAAGAATGCGATGGTATGGCGGAATGAAGAGCGAAACCATCTTCGTCGAGCGAAAGACGCATCGTGAGGACTGGACAGGCGAAGAGTCGGTCAAAGCGCGCTTCAAGATCAAGGAGAAGAACCTCAACGCCTACCTCCGTGGCGAGCTCAAGCCTGAGCAGATCTTTGAGAAAGAGCGCAGGGAGCAGAAGAGACCAGAGAAGGACATCGCTTCGGATGAGCAGCTCGCCCGCGAGATCCAGTACCGTTGCCTGACCCGCAAACTCGGACCTGTGACTCGTTCCTTCTACCACCGAACCGCTTTCCAGCTGCCTGGTGACGCTCGCGTCCGTATATCACTCGATACCGAGCTTACCATGACCCGCGAAGACAATCTCGACGGAAAGAAGCGTGCGGGTGACAACTGGCGTCGTATGGACATTGGTGTCGACTGGCCATTCAAGCAGCTTCCCGCCGAGGACAAGGAGCTGTTCCCATATGCGGTTCTCGAAGTCAAGCTGCAGACCCAGGCTGGACAGGACCCCCCTCAGTGGATCCGCGAACTTACCTCCTCTCACCTCGTCGAGGCAGTGCCCAAGTTCTCCAAGTACATCCACGGCACAGCGACACTGAACCCAACGAGGATCCACTTGATTCCCTACTGGTATCCTCAGATGGATGTTGACATTCGAAAGCCTGTCAGCCACAAGTTTGGTATCGAACGACCCTGGCGCGAGCAACGACATCAGCACCAGCGGCAACCTGGATGACGACAGTGACGAAGAAGACGCAGTCGTGGGCCTCCCAGCTGCCAACGGTACTGAGGATGACGCTCGTCTAGCGAGACTGCGATCGGCTCGTGACACCATGGAGCAAAATGAGATGGACCGTCAACGCGACTACGGCACATTGACCAATGCAAACGACCCCAACACACTAGACATTGAGGAGCGTGTTGCTGCTGGTCGCAACCGGGACGACGACTACACCCATCTATGACTCGGATAGTGAAGATGAGGACGAGGACTATGAGCAGGCGAAAAAGCAAGGCGGTCTTCGCTACGCACGAAAGTGGGTTGAGCGGACCGCTACCAACGTTGGCAGTACAGTCATGAACGGCTTGATCGCCATCGTTCCCAAGCCTACACCCACCGATGTTGGCGACGGCGGTTTCCAACTGGGCGTCCCGACCTGGAAACAAGCCGGCGAAGTGAAGCGCTTCAAGGCGCCCAAGGGCAAGCGTAAGTCGCACATTTCTGACTTTACAAATGAAGAAACACATCTAACAACCCACAGGCATCCATGTCCCCGTCCGCGTCGAACCCAAAGTTCAACTCGCCACCGAACGCACCTTCCTCTCGTGGCTCGAATTCTCCATTCTCATCGGCTCCATCGCCGCCACGCTGCTCAACTTTGGCGACACGCTTTCTTTCGCGGCCGCATGGGCGTTCACCATCATAGCATGCGTCGCCCTAATTTACAGCGCTTCCCTTTACCTCTGGCGCGTGCGCAAAATCCGAGAAAGGAGGGCCGTCGTGTATCACGACAAGTGGGGCCCGACGCTCTTGTGCATTGGCTTGTTTGCGGCGGTCGCTGTAAGCTTTGGGTATCGGTTTGGCAAGGGTGGATTTGACGGGGGGTTGAAGGGCGATCTGAAGGGGAAGTTGACGGGTTGAATGAAATGGAGAGTATGAGAGGGATAGAGGAGTAATGAGGTGCGCGTCGGTTGTTGGTGACGTGTTGTATGATATTATTCTGGGGAGTATTGCATGGGTTGGTTGAATCGGTGTATATAGGCTCGGTTTGGGCACTGAAAATGGGATGACGTTTCTTTTGTTGGCAATCTGGAAGTCGTGTTATGGCGATGGTGATGATTTGGAACTGTCTGATGTTTAGAATTGAATTTGTATATGGAGACGGGATATGTGCATGACTGTGCTGTTTCTTGTCGGACATGGCACCTCATGCACGAACTTTTGCAAAATGATCTTCTGCATCTTTGATCATCCTTCTTTTTCGTTCAGGTGTATTTACATCGACGTTCAATCTCTTCCACGCAAGTTATAGTCTGATCTAGTCTTTTTTTTCTGGTCCGACACGGGGTGTTAGTCGACCAATTTGTTTGGTACCAGAAGACATGAAAGTCTATAAAGTATTCTATGGTAGACACCAAAATAAGTGTAGAGCATGGCAAGACATCTGCCGGAGAGAAGTGGAAGTTGGTATCTATACACCGCGGTTCTAGAACGAGAAACATTCAGCCCTGCTGTATGTGTGTGTGTGTTTGGAAGAGCAGAGACACACATATACGGAGATTGTAGCTGTTTTTTTTCCTTTGGTTTCCTGGGAGAAAGGTGATTGAAATGACGAGGACCTGAGTTCATCGCCACTCGGCAGGCTACGTTTTATGTTGCAAGAAAAGCGAGGGAGCTCACATGTGAAGACTCTCGAATCCATTTGTTCGCGGAGGTGGGCAGACGCCCATGTGTCTTTGTAACGTGTTATTTGAGGCCCGACATCTTCTTCAGCATAGTGTGAGACTGTGTAGTTTTTGGGACCAGCGACGCGCCGCTAGACATACATTGTGGGTTGCCAGGATTTGAGAAGGATGGAGAGAGAAGACATGATTCATCTTCTTTTGTTTTTGAATAAATTTGGCATATGATAAGACTCTGGGAGAGACGAGGACGAGCGACAGGAAGGATTCATATACACAGCAGTCCAGACCTATAGCGAAGGAACATGAGACTCTTCGTCGCGACTTTGTCACTCGCTTCCCATGTCCATGCCAGGGGTTTTCTTTGGAGAAAGTCGAGGAAACATCAAACTTTGTGCTGTATGATCTTGGGGCTGGTACTTCAGAGAAACATAGAGTGGTTCGATGCTTGTTTTCGAGAACGCGAGAACCATAATATCGATGTCGATTACCTCCTTTTTTTGGAGCCCAGGGAAGAAATATGCTGTAGAAAGGAGGGAAGGTTTAGGTACATTACGTATTCGGCCAAGGCCTCTCGCACCGGCGAAGACATGCCCGGTCTTTTTGGAATTCTGGAGTAGCAAAATTAGCATGCTGTTTTTTGAGAAGAGGAAAAGGGCACATGACGACGCGGAAAAGGATGTCCTTTGACACTAGAACACAAAGCATGGATCATGATTGCAAACCCCGGTGACTTTCGGAAGTGGCACAAAGAAGAGAATATTTGACAAGGATCGAGATAGAAGAGCATGTTATGTGAAGTGCTGCAAGACAGAATCTCGACACGTCGGACATGTGTACTAGACGCGCTTCACCAGTGGGTTGCATAATTCTCATATTTATCCTCTAAATGAGCTCTTCTTGTTCCTCAATGACTGCTTCTGAGTCGAATTGTAAATCCCCAAATTGGACGTCACGTCGTCGAGTTGCCTTGAGTGATCCACAATGAGCAGGCAGCCCCCGTGTCGTTACAAAATCAGAAATTTTCAATGTAGGTAACGTGGCTTTTATTACGAGGTCCGTATATAGAGTTTGACACCAACGCTATTGAAAGAATGCGCATGCACTCACTTCCCAGGCGTTTCCCGGTCGCTTCTGTGTGACATGAGAGACCGAAACTATAACGCACAATCTCGTTGAACATCTTCAAGGTGTTCTTCCGAAGCTAGATACCCGTTTTCCAAAATCTTGTTACGAAGTGTACTGCGCCAGGCATCAATGTTAAGCGGGTCAGGCACGGTGAGAAAATAGTGTGTATCACGGAGAATGCCCACGTTTCCTAGCGTCACTGTGCTGACATTAGCGAAAACTCAATGTCTTGGTGCTGGGATCGGCCTGTTGACCGATAACTGAATTCCAACATCATCTTGCTAAAATGCTGTCTTTTTTGTATGCGCTTGGTCTGCCTAAGGCGACTTTTTGCCACTCCGTAGGTGCCTCATTCCGAGACTTGGGAAGCTTCCTGCGAACCGTCACACAGCATCTGGTGCAGATGCATATCCGGCATAAAGTTTCGAACACGGCTGTGACAAGCAAGCTAGAAGGATTGCACACTAACCCAGCAAATACTATATGGATGCAACTGGACGATGAGCCAAGTTTGTACCTGGCCTTGAATCCTCAGGCCAAGGAGATTTGGACCCTTCAAGTAGCTCCCGTAGCTGGCTAACATCTTATCGCGAGTTTGCCCAGACACGCATCTCTGCTGAAAGACGCAGTCCCGGTGCATGCGAGCAGATCAGGTTGCTAGACACTACCCAGAGCCTTCCAGTCTCTTCAATAGTGTGGACTTGCGGTGCTTAGGGATGACGGAACTGAGAATTAAACGCACTTTTTTTTTTAGGAAGTCAGGACATATTGCTGCTGAGGCTTAATCCGTCGGAATTCCATAAGTCTACTCAGGGACGTCGTGTTGTAGTTTGGTTCACAAGGGTGCAAATCAAAAGGATGAAATCTGCACTCCACTCGTTGGAGAAGAATTCAACCGCTACACGCTGTTGTGCACCTTTCGCCAAAATTGACGGCTAATTGTTCCGGAAACCTTGCTCAGCGCAAGGCCTGTACCATGTTCTTTCCTCCTGAAAAAGCCACGAATCGATCCGAATAGTCTCACCGAGTTGTTCTGGACAAGCCTTGGCGCCATGGCTGTCTTCAAGCTTGCTAGGGGCATTTTTCAATCTACCCCAGCTTTGGGGGGCAAGCTCTCCGTTGTTGACGCTGTGTTGGATACTCATGTATAAGCCCTAGTGTACCATACCAACGAGCAATTCTACATCACATGGCGGTTGACTACAGCCGAAAGTATGGTGGTCGAATGCTCTAGACAGAAGTCTCGGCCTGACCCGAAGCACGGTTCTGTCAACGTGGCTTTCAAACTTACAGATGGCGTGCTCTGGAATGGAAGAAAGGCTAAAGCAGGGTTCCTGTACTGCAGAGCATGCTCCTGTCAAGACTCCCTACGACAAGCTGCAAAAGCGGCAAAATTACTTGTACATACCCAGCCGAATGTTCCGGATGCTGGCAGAGTACATCGCTTCTGGCCGAAAGCTTGTGCCACTGCTACAGATAGATTGGGCTTGTGACCACCTTCAATGAAAGTCAATGACCATGTAGCAATCCTCAGGGGGACGGTTTTGTCTCATTTTGAAATGCTCGTGAGCAATTAGTCCTTCACAGGGTCCAGCGTATTTGCAAGGTATCACGTTTGGCGAGGCGATCAAGATGTGGAAGACTCATGATGAGCCTAGAATCCTGTTCCACGTGCATATGGATTCATTGGGATGGGAAGACATCATGATGCTAAAACAAAAGGGTTCTTCATGGCAAATCTTGCGCTTCACATCAAAATAGGTCAAGTCGTGAGGGTGATGGAGAAAGCAAGATTTTGATTGATTTCTCAGTAAAGGGGCTATGATATAATACAAAGAACAGTGTGTGTCAAAGAATTGGACCAAAACGGTTCTAGAGACATGAAGAAAAGAGAGCGATGTTAGGCTACATCCAGTGCTTGTCCTTGACTGACTCTCGGAGCCAGTCATTTATGCGCCGCAGGCTATCGAGCCGCTTTAAGAGCCCGGAGACGGTGTACTTGGAGTTACCGCCGGGCGTTGCCCCAGCCCTCAGTGGAAAGGGTCTGGTAGTTGTGGGTACCGAGCTTCATGCCGAGCTTGGCCCAGGCGTCGAAGTGGCACTTGGTGGTGACGGTGCCGCTGCCGGGGCGCTTTGTCCGACGGTTGCTGATGTACTGGGGGAAGGTGGAGGTACCCTGGATGGAAGGCTGGTTGGTCTGGGTGTGCTTCCAGATGTCGTAGACGGAGCCGTCGCAGGTGACCGTGCCCATCTTCTGACCCTGAGCAGAGCCAGCGCCGTTGCTGGTGTACTCCTGAATGTAGTACTCAACGAGAGGGTAGGTGGTCCATCCGTAGATGGAGACGAGGACCGTGCCGGCAGTGGCGGAAGTAGAACCGCTGAAGTTGATCTTGCGGTCCCTTCCGGTCTTCCATCCCTTTCCGACAACGAAGTCACCAGCGTTGGAGAACTGGACAGAGTAGCCGTTGTTGGTGGGCTGGAAGTTGACGTTGCCGCTGGTCTTGTAGTTCTGGGTTGTAGTCCTGGCGACGAACAATGTTGCTGGGCGGTCAGCTCGAAATCAGGAGCATCAGCGACAGCAGTCGGGGCTGCAAAGCTGCCGACAGCGGCGGAAAGGGCAAGTACGATGGAGGTGAAGGCAACCATTTTGAAAGTTGTTGAAAGTGAAGATCTCGGATCTAGAGAAGTGAAGGTGTGATTGGTAGAGGTGTAGAGAACGGAATGCTTGAGAAGCTTGGTGTCCTGTTAAGAGTGACAAGACGATGGTTTATATACGCCAAGTGCTTGTCCTACTGCTTTGAGGGCCGTGGCGTGCAAATCGGCCCTTGGCCTGATGCTTGTGTTTCGAAACCCAGGCATATGGGTGGGTCATTGGTGGGAACCCATCAATCTGCCGATGAATAGATGAGATCTGGGCCTATACCAGGGATGGGATATACTGACGGCAACACAGGCAGAACTAATCTATGGAATTGTGGATTTACATACGCCTAGCGATATGAATTGCGGAGCGTAGTCTAAAATACCGAGCTGGTTGCCGTTAGTGCAGTTTCAAAAGCTTCCGCGGTTGTACTCAGCCGCTCAGGTCGTCGCTATCGACAACAATAATGTCGCTGTTTTGAGCATGGAAGACGTTCGAACATAGATTGCGATTCGTAGACATACGAGTAATGTTGAAACACGGGTCACCAAAATTGATAGTCCCGAGATCGCCTTGCAAATCTGGCGGAATCATCCTGTCTCCATCTCGCGGTTGCAGGCTGCCGATCCCCAGACAATAACCGGATTCCTTGATGAATTGATGATCGATGTGGCCAGGAAAAACAAGTGTCTCTGTACCACCAATGACCAGACTTGGCGTTGCTTGTCAATGCGCGGCAAAGCTTGGACTTCACGATCCACGAGTCGACACGTTCGAGACCGATTCTGGCTAGTGAAACGGCGATCGCCTAAATATCGGCTTGGAATTCTGGACTGCGCCCCTAGTTGTCGAAACATCCTCAGCCAGCCTTGGACTCTTTCAGGCAGCATGATCCGATCCCCCGCCCCGCATACGTGCCTACCGTTGACCTGAGTCTCACATGACGTCCGACCATTATGCACCGGCAAATGTACCTGTCATGCAGCTACGGGCACTGCCTGCGACCATTTTGAGTTCTTACTGCCTGTACCCCAAGATTTACGCTGCACCCCGGACCTCCTTTCACACATGCGTGACATCAATTCGAAGTCGTAAGCATCGGAAGATTATGGCAACCGCAAAAGGACCGCCCCTTGTTGCCCGTCCATCCGAACCCGCCGGCTGCTGTCATTTAGCATGTTCGGTGCGATGATTAGATTGATGAGGGTGTGCTTGCTGCTGCATGTTTCAACGATTCGAGACTGAGTGGAGCTGCCATGCGTGACGTAAACAATCAATTCGAGAACATTGTTTCGGTCAGCTACAGTCGCTGAAGTAATCAATTGGAGATATTAGCGCGCCTGTCTATCGTCGAATGCCATGTCACACTCGTGAAACCCGGCGAAGAAGAACCAAGTGAAAATTTTGCTACTCAAATCAAGTGCAATAACAACAAGACATGGGCACCTGCGGTATCACCACCTAGAAAGTCGACAGATTGACAACCTCAAAGTCATGCAATAATCATCATCAAGGGGCATATCCACAGCTGGCGCACTTACCTACGTCTTCCAGCAATCTATATAGCTCTTGAGCGGACGCTGCATGCGAAATGCGAGGAAGGGGGGGCGTGCATGTGTCGCGTTCCTCCCAGTTGCGAACGATCTCCTTCCCCGACAGTAATCACGGCGACCACACGAAGTACTACGACAATGCGGACAAGTCCAGTCGTGTGACAATACAGTCATCGGACTCCTTCGCAAGATCAACAGATCCAGCTTCGTTGCGACACGCCGAATCGTGGAGCGCGAGATCTACGATAAGACCAACATAGCACACCAGCCCGTCGAGACTTCCATTGCCGCCATCGACGAGCAATACAAAATGTCCTCTACATGTGTCCAGCAGCAACCTTCACAACAGCCTTCCTCGTTTTGACAGTACAACGGGGCCTTTGGCAGCTATGTTTCAGCTCCTGGCAAGGACTGCAGCCATACACGCAAAGATGCCCTGCAAAACGTCGTGGGACCCGTCCATGCGAGGTGTGAAGAGTAGACCTTCGCCCGTTAGATGTCTTGATGAAGTGTTGGGTGAAGCTGGGAAGCAAAGTGTACATACAGTACGGGTAGACCTGGTATGGGTCGGGATCCTGCCGGGGAACGGTGCTCGCGGAATCATACAAACTTGTGAGTCCGGATACGAGACATGGTGGAAGAGTTTTGCATACATGGCATCGCTCGACGCCTTATCTCACAGATTCTTTGACTTCAGTGCGCGGAGCGAAGTAGACCAGCCTTCAACGCGTACCAAAGAAACATGTTCACTATATGCAATGTAAAGATCTTGACATCGCGTAATTCCCCTTTACGCAGCTAGTACTGCGTATGTCCCCGATAAAAACCCCAAACGCCATCTATGCTCATGATATGCTATATGCTATGCTCCGATGCAACCCTCAGATAATCATCTCATCATATTTCCCTGCGATCTACTTCCTCGGCTCAAGCAACAACTTGCCAGCCGGGCCCGTCTTCTCCACAAACCCATCTTCCCTTGAGAAAATCCGCTCACCACGCAGCCATGTCTCCCTAACCACGCCCTTGAGCGTCTTATTCTGATACGGCGAGACCTTGTTGCGGAACAGCATAGTCGAAGGTTCAACCTGTCAATAATTAGCACCTCATATTCATACACATAGTACGAATGTCAGCATACCAAAAACTCCGCCGCGTCGTCAAAAACCACAATGTCCGCATCAAACCCAACACCCAAGTCGCCCTTGCTCTTCTCCAAGCCGACCTGCTTCGCAGTGTTTTTGCAGCACCAGCGCACGATTTCTTCAACGCTGAAGTCAGGATTGCGCTTCGTGCCTTCAGTCCAGAGAATGGGTAGACCCAGGCCAACACTCGAGATACCGCCCCAAGCACTAAAGAAGTCACCTTTTTCTTCTGGACCCTCCATCTCGCCATCCGAGCTCTCGCACGAGTCGCAATCCGTCCCATGTCCCTCTGTGCGCGTTGATTCCTTCTTCGGCGCAAGATGCGGCGGCAGGAGTTTGATTTCAGGCGTGCAGGGGGAGTGATCGGATACAACGGTTTGGATTACGCCGTCGGCTTGGTCTTGCAGGAGTTCGTCCCAGAGGCCGTCTTGGTTCGATTGAGAGCGGATGGGGGGGCAGCACTTGTGGCGGGTGTCACCTTCTTGGATGCCCTCGGCGGCGAGGGCGAGGTAGTGGAAGCATGTTTCGGCGGTGATTTTGATTCCTTTGGCGCGAGCGGCGCGGAGCATGGGGATGGCTTCGATGGCTGAGAGATGCACAATGTGGAGTTGCAGGTCGGGGGCAAGATGGGCTAGGGAAAGAATTTCGGCTACAGCGCAGGTCTCAAAGGAGGGCGGACGTGAGAGCAGGAATGTGTCGTAAGAAGTCAGAGGGCCTTTGGGAGCCATGGGAGGGTTAGAGCGCTGAATGTCGTCGCCGACGGAATCGCTGATGGGTGGAATCATCTCGGCGTGGAACATGAGCGTGGTGGTTGAGTCCTTGAGCTCGGTAAGGGCCTTTTCAATGTCTATTGACGAAATGCAGGGGAACTCTTCAACCTATTTGTATATTAGTCACGTGCCCGGATGAGGTTGTGAAAGGTTATACTGACTCCACTGTCGCACAAGAAGCCCTTAAAGCCCCGGATGCCTTCTTTGACGAGTGCCTTGAGCTCGCCAGCATTGCCTGGAATTACACCGCCATAGAAGCCAACGTCGACCCAGCATTTGCCTTGTGCAGCATCGATCTTGATGTGAAGGTTCTCGACGGTGGTAGTGGGAGGAATAGCGTTCAGTGGCATATCAATGACAGTAGTCACACCACCAAAGGCAGCCGCCCTGGTACCAGTCCAGAAGCCTTCCCATTCTGTTCGGCCTGGCTCATTGAGATGGACATGGGCATCGACCAGTCCGGGAAGCAGGATATGAGGCGAGTAGTCGGTGTAAGATGTGCCGTCGGGGAAGTCTGCCGCAGGTAGGACCGAGTGGAAGATCGAGGTGATCTTGCCAGTAGTGTTTGATACAACGATTGTGGCCTCAGTAAGCTTGCCAGCCACTACTGCTCTTGATGAGGCAAGAACTGTGAGAGGATGTAATGGCTGGCTATGAGGCATTGGTGGAGGGGTAGTTGCGTGTGGAGCCATGTTGACAGACTGTACTGAATTCGAGATAAGAGTCGGCTCGAGAGAAGAAATAACGTGGAGGATGTTGCTAGTTCCGGTTCAACGGTCGTGAGCTATATACAGACGCCCGGTCTCGGCAACGCGGGGAAGGTGGTGCGGGCGTGTGGGCGTACTCGGGTGAGACAGAGATAAGACTAGATAAGATGGGTATGGTGTTGCGTCTTGCGAGATGTCAAAGAAAGCAGGCGAGTGAGTACAACTGAAGACACCGCTATGCTTCTGAGAAGAATGTGCTTCTGTGCAACAAAGAAATGCTGTCCCCGGCTTAGAGTGACGCCTAAATCTGGGGTACAGCAGATTCTTATCTACACAGTGATAGCTCACTGACACCACCCCGGGCTGGCCAAAAGTAGCATCAGGGGCCGGTAGTACATCGGGTAGCAGAGCGCTATATCCATTACTCGATAGGATCTGGTAGTGCGAGCCATTATGTGAGGTTATCGAGACCGCCTTAGCCTTGTGTCTCGACCCTGGCTGCCGTTGGTTAGCTTGAAGATCAATGGAACGGCCCTTAAATTGCAGCTTTCGCAACACTCCATCACGGAAAGTTTCCTAATATGGGTGATGAGTCAACTCGAGATGATTGCATGAGAGACGCTCTATCCGAACTTAACGCGGGCAATACTTGGGAGGGACACTTCGTATCCAGTGCGCGCCGACGGTAGGCGTTGAGTGTATGGGACCGTGCTTCATGCACTGATAAGCGTGGTGGCTTTGTTCATATCGCCAGACCCTGATCGATCCACGCGGACTAGCGCAGGTTCAACGGCTGGAGCGTCATGCCCCAGTTTAAAGTCTATCGACCGCCCCGGAATCTTGAAATTCCCAAGAATATAACTCTTTGTTCGACATAACAGTCTTGCGATGTACTTGTGCTGAATATGGAGGCATCTTCCTCGCTTCGTTACGGGTGATATCGGCCAATGTCGCACGACCGGAGAGCCGCCGACGACGCCGCCGGGGAGGCTAAGGAACTGTCATCCAGCGTACCTCTCAACACGCCTACTCGAGAGCTTGAGTTGCTATCGAGTAAGAAAAACTGAAGGTCTGCTAGCTTCCTTTACCAGTCCTTATCACTTTCGGAGATGGCCGGAAAAGCCAGATCGTTCCTCAGGCACCGAGCCGTTACTGTGATCACTCTACCGCCGTTACCGCAACCTGTAGGAAGGTAGCGTGTGTCCGCCCTGTTGTGACTTCATGTTGGTTTACATCATCAACACTGCCGCATGGTAACGGATTTGAAGAGCTATCCTCAGAACACGATTCGGACCTCGCCGCCAGCCACTGGTTGACAGAAGACTTGTGGGCGTCAGTGGCGGACTAAGAGTGTACCGTCGAGCAGGGCCTGCTTTTGATCAAGTAATGGAAACGCAGAGTAGCGTGCCAGGAGTGCGACAACCGGAGCACGATACCTACATCCAGCGGATCGTCGCACGCACTGCCAGCTCGTTCTGGAGCTCAAAATCTTGCCGATGGACGTGCACACAGGCCGGATGCGTTGAAACACTTGCGTAGCGCCTAAGATGCTCCGGGACAAGGTGTCGCTCCGTCAAGAGGTTTCTGTTACGTTGTACTGAAGACTTACGCAACTTTTTCTAGCATGGTGCTCGCCCTACGCTTAGCGATGGCTTTGGGCTCTCTCAGAGGCATGTGTCAGGAATGCACGCATTTGCGGGACGCTCAGTATTAAATCTTGCACTACAAATTCAGCCTCAAAGCAATTCGAACATTTATGTTGAGGGATCTGCATCTCCGTGAACGGTATTGAGGAGAAGTAAAGGCGGTTAACGAGGACATCATTGCCCACCGCGTGGACACACCCCTCGCCTTGCCAGAGACTCAAAGTATGATACTGAGCCATATATTAACAACCGCGGTAAGTACTTTAGACTCGTTGCCAGTAGGAGCAATGTAGACGTAGAATGGTTTCTCGTCACGCATATCGCCACATTAGAAGTACTTGTTCAACGTCGATTGCTTTTTGCCAGACAAGGTCTTTCCTGATACCGTCTTTCCGGGTAAGGATTCTGCCTTTGCGGCTTTCGCTGCGGCCATCATCTTGAAGCTGGTGTATAGGCTCGCTTGCAGACCATATTCTGAAGCTGTCTGTTTGTAGAGGTCTAAGTAAGTGAATGCATCAGACTTGTAATATATCGATCGTCCAGAGTTCACTAGGCCCATTGTCTCGAGCTCTAAAAGGACTCGAAGGACATCGTCCTGATCTCTGAAGTCCTTTGGTTCTATCAGCATCTATATCATTGGGTTCGCAGACAGTTTCCGTACCCTGGTATATATGCAAATAAGTCGGTCGCCAGGTTTGCCTTCGTCCGGAGCAACTTTCGCCGTCGGACCAAGGCGATTGTTGATGACACCTTCGACGACCTTCTTCCATACCTGATTGACTTCCTCCAGTTTGGGAAAGAGCATCCACTATCCCAATCGTCAGTATTGCGCAATCAGGCTCCATAATGTTCGGTGTTGCTTACCTTTCCAGACAGGACACCACACTCCACGGCCAGATCAGTGATACGCTGCTGCAGGTCTTTGCTTTCTTGGTTAAGTGATCTGGTGATTGCAGCCTTCGGTCCATGCAAGTTGTGGGATTGTATTTGCTGGCGAGCCTGAAGCGATTCCCCGAGTAGCTGAGTCCCAAGGCTCCTGAAGTCATCGGCACGATGGGAAATGACTTTGTTCTTGTCGCGGACATCGAAGTGAGGGTTATGAGCCCATATCCAAGCGCAGGTGTTGATGGAAGTTGTCAGAGGAGGAAGACGCCGGACGAAGTCTTCTGCAGACTCCCCCAGTTGCCATGCATCAGGAGAGCCTTGACCAGGATTGAATAGAACTGCCTCTGGTGGGGGTTCACGCTTCCGCTTCCCAAGTCTGGCTAGTCTGGCCTCTTCCATCGCTCTGCGGTCGATGGGAAAGGCGGAAGAAGACAATGTAGCGTTGGCAGTCGAAAACTCAGAAAACTCAGTCATTTTCACGCTGTATTGGGATTGAGCTTTGTATGGCGCCAGTGCCACGTTCAGATCCGACTTCTGTGCTGACCAGAAATATTTGGGATTGAAGCGTTCACAATGTGAGTGCAGGCGATCTTGCTCGTCATCATCGCCTGAGCATGTCAGTGATTTAGAACATGGCATGAATCCAGGCTTGGAGAGTTTTCGGAGGCAGCGAGTATGAGTAGGTCTCAGCAACTGCCTAGCTTGGAAGCTTGGAAATGCTCAGTACACACCGTAGAAGCTTGATTCATCCGATATCCAGCCTTCACCAGATAGCAGCTCCGCCTCTACCATCGTCCAGGTTGTAATGCTTCTGCGAGGTCAAACCCTGTTGGGTATACGGTGGTGAAGGAAAGGTACTCGTGGATAACGTCAAGACAGCAAACTACACGGGGAAGGAGCATCCGATTGCTGACTGCTGATTGGCTGATCTGCCAATTTACGCGGCCGCGAGATCACGCTAACTAGCACGCGACGCGTTTCCCAGCATCGATGTCTCCAACACCGTCAGACCAATGCAGGACCCCACAGAAACAGAGAATAAACCAGACATGCCACACTCCGTAACGCCAGAAGCTACGTCTGCAGATGAGTCCTCGAGGACTGCATCCCAGGTCGACAATGTCAAATCTGAGCCAGAAATCCAGGATGTCTCCATGGACGATGCACCCAGTCCGGCCGCAACAGAGAAGCCCAAGGTCAATCTAGAAGAGTTGTTTGACGACGAGGATTCGGATGAAGAGTTTCCTTCTAGTGCACCTGCAGTAAAGTTAGAAGAAGAATTGTCACAGCCCGCACCACTGTATGTACAAGCAACACCACCAAGACCAGCAGCTAACAATACACAGCAAGATCTCGTCGAAATCCTCCTTCTCCGACCCAGAAGTGATGCGTGCCTTCTACCAGCGGCTCTTCCCCTTTCGTCCACTCTTCCAATGGCTTAACGGCTCCCCCATACCCACGCCCTCCTTCGCCCACCGCGAATTCGCCTTTACCCTCCCCAACGACTCCTATATCCGTTACCAATCCTTTCCCACCGCCGACCTGCTACGGAAACAATGCATACAACTGCTCCCTTCGCGTTTCGAAATCGGCCCGCAGTACAGCACAAACCCCCGCGATCGCAAAACAGTACGGAAAGCCAGTGCCTTCCGCCCCATTATGAAAGAGCTGGTATTCGATATCGATATGACAGATTACGACGACATCCGAACATGCTGCGGGGGGACGAGCATTTGCCACAAATGCTGGGGCTTCATCACCATGGCCGTCAAAGTCATCGACGTCGCACTACGCGAGGACTTTGGCTACAAGCACATTCTCTGGGTATACTCGGGTCGCCGCGGAGCCCACGCCTGGGTCTGCGACAAGCGCGCCCGCGAACTCGACGACCAGAGCAGAAAGAGCATCGCGGGTTACTTGGAACTGCTCAAAGGCGGCGACAACTCCGGCAAAAAAGTAAACTTGCGTCGCCCGCTGCATCCCCATATCGAGCGCAGTCTCGCCATCCTAAAAGAACACTTCCAGGCCGCCATCCTCGCAGACCAAGATCCCTGGGCTACTGATGAGAAAGCTGCACACTTGCTCAATCTCCTGCCTGATACCCAGCTCCGCGCCGCGCTGCAGAAGAAATGGGACTCGTCGCCTCAGCGTCCGAGTGCGAGCAAATGGGCAGACATCGACGCGCTAGCAAAGTCGGGCGCGTTGTCAAAATCGCCCAGGGAGTTGCAGGAAGCGAAACAAGATATCGTGCTTGAATACACGTATCCCCGCCTCGACGCCAATGTCTCGAAGAAACTCAACCATTTGCTCAAGTCGCCGTTTGTCGTTCATCCGGGCACGGGGCGGGTGTGCGTGCCCATCGACACGAGGAGAGTCGAGGAGTTTGATCCGCTGAGTGTACCGACCGTCACGCAGCTGTTGACGGAGATTGATGAGTGGGAGGGCGAAGAGGGGGAGAAGAAGATGCAGGATTGGGAGAAGACGAGTTTGAAGCCGTATGTAGACTACTTCAGGCGGTTTGTGAGCGGGCTCATGGAGGAGGAGAAGCCGGGGGTGAAGAGGGAGAGAGAAGAAGGAGCGGATGCTATGGAATTTTAACCGCGATGTGACCATGAAAGAAAGGGCATTTGGCGTTACACGGGTCATTGCATCTGATCTACGACTGCATGAATTCATAAGCCTTGTTATTCGAACATGAGTGGAAAGCCACCAATCCGCTTCATCGCTTTTACGAATGCTAATTGTACATTTCTGCCGCCCTGCCCCACTACGCCTTCGCCCTCTTCTCCTTGTCGCTCTGAGTCTGCGTGACGTTGAGTCCCAAACCATTCGAGTCCAGGTACACCTTGTTGGCCGAGTTCTGTAGAATCTGCGCAATATTCCTGGCATTCTCAAACTCCCTGAGGTCGACGTACGAGCGGCTCTTCTTGATGGCGTCACCAATGAGTTCGGCGGAACGAGCCTCACCCTGGGCGCGGACAACGGTGGCTTGCTTCTCCTGGCGTGCTTTGTCAACAACGAAGGCGGCACGTTGTGCCTCTTGCTGGGCGACTTGCTTGGCTTCGACTGCGGCGGTAAATTCGGGGGAGAAGGCGAGGTGCTGGGTGGTGTTAGTGGAGGCAATTAAGGGACAAAGGGAAGGTACTCACAGTAAGAGAAACGTCATCAAGCATGATGTTGAACCTCGCCGCTCTCCTCACAAGGTTGTCCCTCACCAGTCTCGAGACATTCTCACGCTGAGTAATTAACTGACTAGCATTGAACTGCGCGACAACGCTCTTGAGGACCTCGTTGACAATAGACGGCAGCACCCTCTCGTCGTAGTCTGTTCCCAGCGTCCTGTAGATTTGTGGGAGGGCATCAACCCGCGGCCTTGACAGCACACGGCATGTGATGTTGACCATTTGCAAGTCCTTGGTACCAGTGAGGGAAGCGACGTTTCGTGGTTTGGCGCGGACATCGTATGTAATCGGAGTCTCGAACCATGGAATTCGGAAATGGGTTCCTTCGCTGTAGATTTCCTTTTGCACGCCGCCAATTCTGGTGTACTTGATTGCGCGGTGACCACCATCAACTGTCATATGTCAGCATTGCCCGATTGCCACAGCACCCCTCCAGCTCGTAGCTGCGCAGATAGAGATGTACGCACCGTTGAAAAGCGCATTGTTGGCTGCCCAAATTCCTCCACCGACGAGCACCAGTCCTCCAAGTCCACCAAAGAGACCTTTTGGCGGGCCTCCGCCTCCACCCATCCGCGCAGTCCGTCGAGTGAGTTCGCCCTGGAGCCGTGCCCACGCTTCCTTGGGATCCGGAGCAGCCATTATGGTGGTATGTTGTGGGGAGTTGACGCGGTGTTTGTAAGACGTGAAGGCGGCGACAGTCGACGATGGCGGAGGGCTAGAGTCGGTGATGCGCTGAAAATGATGCTAACGAATCACGACTCCCGGTATGCCAGTAGCGCGAGTGCCAAGCCATTACGAGCATTCCCTTGTTGCTTCCTGTTCGGTCAAACCACGGGTAGATATTCTCGAGGAGGTCGCCGTGGCTTCTGTGGATTGTTCCGACATGCTCCAAAGTATGTCCTGATGAGTTTCAGATGTGCTTGGTGACTGTTATCAGACAGTGGCTGCAGATAGCTGCATCATCTCGGTGCACGGTCCGGCCAATCAACCTCCTGCACAAGTGAGCTCTTAGCAACAGCTGTCCACAAGCTCGACAATTCCCGATACATCTCATAAGTGCCCATATGGTGGCATCTTCTTTTCTTACATAGCCGCCGTTCAGAGATACCCCGTTCTTTCACTTTCTTCCATTTGCACCTGATTGCGACTGTCTTGTGCCTTGTGCGACGCTGATACACTTGTCGCAAGGAGCTTGAGGTACGTCAATTGCATTGTGCCGACATTTGCTGGAATGAAAGGCTGATATCCATAGAAAGACATCGCAAGCTATACCGCCAAACGTTCCCGTGGTAGATTAATTCGAACCCGCCCCATCTCCGCAATTGCGCCCCGCCCGCACCATGTACATGTCCACGCGATCGCTGCGCACCGTCGCATGGTCGTCGCTTGCCTTTTCTGCTACCTCCTATGTCATAGACAACCTGAGTTTTGGCCAGACAGAAGGCCAATACATCTCTCCCGACCTACGGACCATCCCTCACTGGGTGATCCAAGGCAACGAGGACTACATTCCCCAGATTTTGTCTGACAGGATTATCCTCACACCACCATATCCCGGAAACAAGCGCGGTTCGTTATGGAGTCAAGATCCGCTACATCACCATGGCGATTGGACCGCCGAGTTGGACTTCAGGGCCACGGGCATGGAGCGGGGAGCTGGCAATCTGCAGTTCTGGTATGTCAGGGATTCGCAGGCACGCGAGACACCGAACAGCCTGTATACTGCGCCAAAATTTGACGGACTGGTCCTGGTGATCGACCAGTATGAAGGACACGGTGGCTCCGTGCGAGGTTTCTTGAACGATGGCTCGATTGACATCAAGTCGCACCCAGACCCGGACACGCTCGCCTTTGGGAAGTGCGATCATGCTTACAGGAACCGTGGTTCTCTGAGTTCAATTAAGCTGCACCATGCAGAAACCTTCCTCGAGGTGTCGATTGACGGAGAGTCGTGCTTCAAGACGGACAAGGTAAGCTACACGTGCCCCACGCTACACATTATATACTAACAAACCACAGATTAACCTCCCAGACGGCTACTACTTCGGTGTCAGCGCCTCCTCCGCCGAAAACCCCGACTCCTTCGAAATCCACAAGTTCATCGTCTCGACGATCGACGCCAAAAAGCCCGAGGACCCCAACAAGAACTACGCAAAGCCCGCCTGGCACCAGGAACAAGCCAACATGGCCTCGCAGCAGGGCCACTCGCAACAAACCCACAAGCAAGGCGGTGCCGACCACTCTAACGTGCCCCAAATGCTCGAGGACGTCCTGGCCAGCAGCATCCGCAGTCAGGCCGACCAGTTCGCAGACCTGCACAACAGGATCCAAATCATCAACAACCGCGTCGCCGAGATCCACGAAATGGTCGAGCACATGACTCGCACTAACAACGAGCAATACAACAACCTGATGAACCGCGTTGTGCCCATCGATGACCGCAGCGCTGCGACAATCCGCAATGTCGAGAAGGTCGAGCGCACGACCATGGAGATTCTGCGCGATCTCGAGAGCAAGGACTTCAAGGACATGATGCTGCAGATTCACCGCGCGCTGGAAAACACGCATGATGGGCTTAGCAGGAGTCTGCCAGAGGCCATGGGCGTTGTGGTGGGCAAGCATGGACCCAGCCTAACGAGCTTCTTGTTCGTGGCGGTTGCGGTGCAGATCATGGTTACGGGCGCGTATCTCGTATACAAGAAGAGGAGGAATGGGCAGCCGAAGAAGTACTTGTAAACGTGGAGTTGTTGATACAGCATATGTTGGATTGTTTTTGGAGCATTTCATGGCGTTGTAACGTTATATCTTGAGTTCGTTGTTGGAGTCTCATACGAGCAATATCAGTAGTCACGTTTCTATTCGACGGGTTTGAGCACCGCGAGACGTGATCAATGTATTCATCGCCCCAGAGCTGGACAATTTATCCCGAGGCCAGCGCAGGGGAAGTCAAACAGTAACGCAGTCGCAGAGTAAAAGTATGAGATGCCAAGTCACGTTTGTCACATATCACGTCGGAGTACTCGCACATGATTGACGTTGTTGACATGTTTCATTCATAGCCTAGATGTCCGACACATGGCCCAACCTATTCAGTCCAGCCGATCCGCCGCGTCTCCATAACTCGTAATCATTCATGTCGTGTTCCGATCTCCCTCCTAGTTTCCGGCACGCAGTCGATGCGCTTATTTGGCCTCGTCGAAAACGTAGGTAAGGTGGCAGCGTCCGCAGTACTGGCGGTTGTGCATAGCAGCCATGAAGACACCAGCACCGCACTCGGGCTGGGGGCACTCACGCCTGAGACGCTCGATCTTGCCGTCGCCGTCAACCTTGTAGTACTTGAGGACCGCGAGCTTGGTCTTCTTGCGCTTGTGCTTGATCTTCTTGGGGGTGGTGTACACCTTCTTCTTGCGCTTCTTGGCACCACCACGCAGGCGGAGCACTAGATGGAGGGTGGACTCCTTCTGGATGTTGTAGTCCGAAAGAGTGCGGCCATCCTCGAGCTGCTTGCCGGCGAAAATGAGACGCTGCTGGTCCGGGGGAATGCCCTCCTTGTCTGGGCCTGTTAGACAGCTGTCGAACCCGCGACTTCAGCGCCACATACCCTGGATCTTGCTCTTGACGTTGTCGATTGTGTCAGAAGCCTCAACTTCCAACGTAATCGTCTTCCCCGTGAGCTGTTCCCTGTCAGTATGTCTGTATCGCGAAGTGGTGAAGTGGGAGGCGACTGACGGTCTTGACTGTGGCAACGGGTTAGCTGAGTCCAGAAAATGATTGAAGGGAGAGTAGTGGGAGTAACGTACCGAAGATCTGCATGTTTGCTGCCTAGTCAACGAGTTCTCGTTGATATCCTCAGCGCTTGATGCAGGTTTGGTTGTGAGAAAGAAGAGAAAGCGCGGGTCAAAATTGGTGGTGCGCAGGCGGGGCGCACGAGCCCCCGAACACTTGGCAGATTAGTCAGCATGAGAAGAAATTTGAGTCACGTGCAAAGACACTACGCTTCGGGTTGTGGATCCTCAGCATACACAGGCTCAACTGTAAGTTTCCTTCGATGCAGTTGTTACTCCAAAACAGTTCCGATTCTTGATTCGAGAGCGCGATGCAATTCATTCGAGGCCTGGCATCGCTATCGCTACCGCTATCGCCATCGCCGTCGCACTCGGTGCGGCACTACAGAAACCAGCAAAAATAATAACTCAATCGAACATGTTTGTGACGCCAGAGTAGATGGAGGAACTCCTTGATAATTCACGCAAGAGTTATCGCCAAAGGGATCTGGCAGCCTGAAGCTATGCGCAGCATCGATGGGATTTGACTGCGACGGCAACGCCCTGTTTATGGCTTTCAGCTATGGGATAGGCTGCTACACGTTGCACTCAAGTCGCTGTCCATCGTGGTTGAAAAGATGTAGTACTTCTTTCTTACTTCGTCGACTCTACACTTTCTTGTGACTTGAAAGACACGGTCAGTTGACGAGAGAGATAGAGCTCCACTGTCAAAGCTGGAGGCTGCATCAGCTGAACGTGGATTGGCGGAATCTGCGATACTGCCTGGCATGGCGCAGTCTGTATTCCGACCTGTGGCAGAGTACGACATCAAATATATTGCAACATCGAACGTGTCCGAGGAAATCTGCCGCTCTCCACCCTGCTACTACAAGAGAACATATACACAAGGAAGTGTCTGTTTGCAGACGTTGATCGCTGAGGTCATGCTCGTGCTCAGTCTCCGAGTTACTCTCTGCTTTCCGCGCCAACAATAATGCTTCGCGAAAACCACCACAGCATCGATTCAATCGCGCAGCTACGTCAGATGTAGTTGACGCATGGTGGGCCTCTGGAAATATTTAATAATGAACAAAAATGCATCGGACATCTGTACGAATTGAGAGCGATGGTGAGCATGTGGCGTGCTGACGGCTCGTGCTAGGCGCTAAGCGAAACACCATCGGCCCCGGAAACCTGTTGCTATAGAGACCGGAGCGTCAACAACTTGCTACCGCAAATGGAATAATATCATCATACTCCACTTGAGTCTGCGTCTACCCATCTCGTGTTCGTGCAGCACATCCTCCCCACAACTCCCATCGTTACCTCTCCATCTTCCCGAGAAACACACACCACACTTTCGCTACTACATCTTCACTGCATCGGCTTCGGCTGTATATACTTACTTGAGATAGGCTACAAGGAGACTGCATCTGTACTGAGGAGATCATAAGGATACCAACCGCCCGGCGGATCGCCGCTTGCACTGCGTGAGGTATGTCAATCTCAAATGAAGATGGCACAGCTCCATCACCTCAATCTACCAGCTACTAACATGTACCTAGTTTCGGACCACCAAGGACCCCAGATTCCACAAGAGACCGATTTCCGGACTCGTCCTGCATACGTTATGCTGTCCACAAATATGCCATCCGGCATCGAACGCCGACGAACCCAGCACCGACGACAAAATTCCACACCTGCTGCTTTCGACGCACCACCAGTACGACCACTCCCTGCCAACACACCACTACGACGACACCGGCCCGGCATGAGTCTTGACCTTCGCGGGGCAACCCACGAGGCCATGCATGCCCATCACCAAGGATATTTTCCCGGAACAACCACAATCAGGACCCAACGACACACCCACCTTCAGGACAGGGTGAAAGATACGGTAAGTATTACTAACCTAGGACAAACACCCCTTACTTTCTATGCAAGTAGCGCATTCGCACAGCCAGCACCAGCCGGGCCCCCAGGACACCTTATTACGATCCCCAGTACAGATCTCTTCTCCTCCGCCACGGACTCCTAGACGGACAACCCGTGCGCAGTCTCCTCAGCAGCCTCCTATCTCCCCTTCAAAAGCTCCCACCGAGCAGCAATTGAAAGATCTCCAGGAGCACATACAGTCGGTGTATGGCTCCTGTGGGCAAGTCTTCATTAACATTCTCCCCACTCCCACAGCAACGCCTCAGAAGCAAGCACAGTCATCAAGTCACGAGTCTCTGAATGCAATCACACAGCAGAACTACAGCGACATGACTGACATCAACTTTGGGCCGACTTCAAGCGCCATGACTTTCGACTTTGAAAACCCCGATCTAGACATGGGCTACGAATCGTCCTCCTACTACACTTCGGATGCGTTGTCTCCATCCCCAAACTCGTCGCCACAACAAAAGGCGATGCACTCCTTCCTTGAGCAGATCGACGAGCTCCCGAACCAGGAGATGCTGTTCTCGCAAGCACCAACACTTCTCCCTCAAACCTCAATGTCAATGAACGGTATACCTATGCATACCGAGTCTTACCAGCAGCCGGCACTTTTCAACGACCTGGAAGTCGACGCAAGCCTCGAATACACCGGTATTGCACCAGAGGAGGTCCAGCGATACATCAGCGAACAAGACCCTATTTCAAACAAGTGGACTTGCCTCTACCAAGACTGTGGCAAGATGTTCGGCAGGAGAGAAAACATTCGTTCTCATGTACAAACACATCTTGGAGACCGGCAGTTCAAGTGCAACGGCTGCGGAAAGTGCTTCGTTCGTCAGCACGATCTGAAGCGACATGCAAAGATCCACTCCGGCAACAAGCCTTACAAGTGCCCTTGTGGTGCCGGATTTGCACGTCAAGACGCGCTCACACGCCATCGACAGCGCGGAATGTGCTGTGGTGGTTTTCCCGATGCTGTTCGCCGGCAAGCCAAGCGTGGTCGCCCAAAGAAGAACCGACCAGACATGGAAGACCGAGTAGATAAGGCGAGCAGAACCAGACAAGCACTTGCGTCAGCCTCTTCTTCCGTATCGGGTGGTTCGCCATACTCCGATATGCGTTCACCCTCTCCCCTTGACGGCTACGAGCCTGCTCACTCGCAGTCGCAGGAAGCGACTCAGCTCATGTCTGAGAACGGTAGCTTCAACGGCCCAATGAGCTCAACAGTTGACCATTTCAGGTGCGTTGTCCATTCCTGGTACACATTTGCCTTACTAACAGAACCCAGCTTCAACTCCTCAAGCCCGTTCGCAGAGGACACCCAGATCGCGTCATCGACATTCACGACTGCGACTTCTTACACCAGCGATATTGCGTCAATGAACATCCTTCAGCAACTCACACAGACCTCAAACACACCGCCAATGTCTCCCGCAGATCAACGGCCACACTCATCTGGGTCTGCGAACGGTACGAGCGTACCAATCCACTCAAGCCCTTTAAAGGGCTCGTCAACCCCCTCGCACTCGTCGATACAGTCGAACCCCTTCTCGACCCCGCCCACTTCACCACTGGGCCCCAAGGACGATCTTGACGAGCTTTTCAACACATTGCCTGACAACTCGTACTCGCAATTTGAACTGGAGATGAAGGCCTTAGGTGAGCCGAGTGGATTTGCGTCACTTGAGTCTTCGTACGAGTTCATGAACTTCGACGTGTAATTTGCTGTAGAGCTTTAATATAGGAAGACGACTGGTGTAGGATATAGAAGCGACTCACGAACATAATGAACGGCGCAATGCTTGCTTTTGGATCGGCATAAAATCTGGAACGATCTGGATATCACGACAGAATGACTTCGATTCTTGGACTGTTACTGTAGGGGCCGCGACGTGCAAGGATACACGCTCCTTTGGCAAACATCGCATTATTCTTGATATTACTGGGTCGGCGCAAGTGAAGGATTATCTGACGTGTAATGTTGGATTCGCGAGTCTAGCTGCGGCAATGCCTCGCGTAGGCGACTTTTCGCTCAAGCACGGCTATGCTCTATAGAATACATGGCACTTTTATCTCTCCACATTTCCCCTTCCGAGATTCAACTCAAACGATCTGTGATGTGCAACTAAGCAGCAGGCGCGAAGATGACGCGGGTCAGCGCGCTCAGGGATGGACGCGTCAAGTTGAATCATTAGGCTGGCGTTCAACGTCATAGACTAGATCCATAGCTCGGCTGTCATCGCTCCTTTTTCACCTGCGATCTCAAGTCACCCCAGCCTCTCTGTGCGCGATCGATATGCTTAAAGTTAGCACTTCCATATACAGAGATGCACTAGCTATGATACCCAATGGCTTCACATGCCGTCGTTGCCGCAGCGATGGTACCTGGCGATCAGATCAACATCCATATCTATGATGTCGATGTGATACTTCAGATCTGTGGGCGCAAGCCACCCGCGATTCAGACATGATGAAATTGTTTCAAGGCCTTAGTGTGTTTACTCGAGAGTGGATAAGATGGTGAATGTACCCGGCAGATTTAGATCAGTTCGGATAATTTCGCCTGAAATTTGTCATCTTCCTTGTCCAAACCGACTGTTCACCATGGCGCAAGCTAATGAAGATGATCAGACCCATGTTTTACAGTTCAATTACGATGATGAAGACGGCTGCGCGCTTACTGCTCTCGTCAACGATGTTCGCTTTCATGTCCTTGTTGCTGTAAAGGACCTCCAAAAGTCGCGCGACAAGCCTCTATACTACGAGTACTTGGACAAGCTGTACGCATGGCGCGATGCTGAGCGACGGGAAGAAGAAGAGGCTGAGAGACAGCAAATTGCTGGCAAGGAGGAGAAAAAGGGGCAGTCCAATGACAAGGACAGCGCCATCGATGTCACGACCGATGAAGACTCAGATGAGGACCAAGATTCCGTCAGTGCCGCAGTCGAACTTCGCAATTGGATACTTGCAGCTTTCTCGGATGTCATATTGGAATGGGCACCACCCAATCGCGAACCCATCGACTCGACACTGTACGAATGGTACCATGGACCAACATATTTCTACAGCCTACAGATCAAAGGAGGTAAACTAGAGCCAGAGCTCCTCGAAACAACGGACGAGCTGAATGCGCGGATCGAGGAACTAGTTCCTAGACTGAAGATGCCGAAGTATATCCAAGCGATCGACCTTCCCTGGTTCAATGCCAACGACCTCACTGTCCGATCCGAAGTCTCCCTTCCGGAGCCCGCACATCCCGGTATTGTCGTCAACCAAGAGGGCAAAGAATACTTCTTCAAGCCCGTTGTGCCCGAGCAACCCGGTCCCATAAAGCGCGAAATCAGCATCTTGCAGAAACTAGGCCAACAAGACCTCGACATCAAAATTCCTAAATTGCTCGGCTTCGTGTCCTTTGAAAACAGTAAGACTGACATTATGGGGTTCTTACTTACTCCTATCGCATCTCCACGCCCATTGACCACGTTACTCAAATCATCAGTCCCTCGCTCCCAGCGCGCAGACTGGGCGACCAAGTCCGAGAAATATGTCAATACTTTGCACGAACACAACATTATCTGGGGCGATGCGAAGGCGGACAACTTCATAGTCGATGAGCACGACGAGCTCTGGATTATCGATTTTGGAGGCAGTTTTACGGAAGGCTGGGTGGATCCGGAAAACAGCGAGACCGTGGAGGGAGACGAACAGGGTTTAGAGAAGGTGATAAGGGCTTTGGAAGATCCGGATGGTCAGACGTGTGATCCGGGAGAGACCGCTAGTAGTTTGTTTGTAACGGAACGGCCGTCGACAAAGTTTGAAGGAGAAGGGAGTAGCAAGCGGAGGAGAGAGTCTGAGGAGGACGTGGAGAAGGGCACCAAGAGAAGGAAAGCGGGTGATGATGTTACAGATGGAAGTGAGGACGAGTTCACACCCGAGTAAAGGTTGCAGGCTGATTGAGATACCCAAGAATCATTACATTTTATTATCCGTTGCAGCGCTGTTATTGTATTGCACTGGACCTACTAGTATTGTATATGAAGCGCTGTTTTTTAATGAATTAGTATATTTAGTGATACATTCAACTAGCTTCTATTACAAAATATCGTTGCCTTGGAAACTCAATTGCCTCCTGTTGTCAGATTTTTAATAGCTAGTGTCAATGTCCGCCAACTGTTCATGGTGGCTGTGGTACTTGCATAAACGAGGCAGCACGTGCGCCATTGGAAACCAAAGAATTCGACACATTTCTTAGATTTTGCATCACGATAGCAGATTGACACGCATTTGCCGTGAATCATTGTAACGGATATGGTATCAGGGATTGATCAAGATTAAGTTATGGCGCTGTGCGTCCTGACAGCAATGTGAAATTGTCACAATCTGGGGCGGTTTGACCTGAACGCGGTCCGGACCGCAATAGTACTACATGCAGTGCAGCTCGTATGCTTCGCCACTATTCGCTACACATTATTGAAAATAAGCTTAGGGCAATGATGGACTTGACTGCGCCGGACAACTCATCGCGCGTCTCCCAACCTCCTCGAAAGAGTGGATATAGTGAGCGTTGAGTGGCTCTCCAGTGGCGGGGTAGGTCCTCCTCGTAAAGACTGCAGGTAGCCTTGGACATTACTCGTTGGCCGAGCTCAGCCAGTATCATACAAGTACCTAGGTAGTCACCTCAAACTTGACTTCTACTAATTCCTTCGCCTCGCAGTTATCGTGGTTTCTCATATTTACCATCCATGTCGGCGATAAATGGGGATGTGGGCAAGCAGCAGACGCTGCTTGCAATACAGCAAGGCGTTGTAATGCAACGGCCTACAATCTCGTTCGCATCCCTCACATATTCTAGTCTTGCTAGAGCTGACTAGTTCCTTAGGCCCTACATAGTTGAGTCTGTCACTCTTCGCATCGGCCCTGCACGTAAAAGGTACTTTGTCTCCTCTAGCCTATTGCAGAATCAAGCATGGATCGAATCCTCCCGGAGTCGCATAGAATTGCCGGACATTGACGAGAACACCGGCCATATCCTGGTCCATTACCTCTACACCGGTACCTACCAAACGCTCGACAACATTGACGAGTCTGCCATGGAAGACACGCATGCCGAGTTCAAAAGAGCGTTCTCCGCATACGTCATGGCACATAAATACCAACTTGCTGGGTTGCAGCAGTTGGCGTTATATAAGATTAAATACTTCGGCGGAAATATGACCGTGTGTGACATCGTCGCTGCGATTGACGCAGACTTCTCGAGACTAACAGAGAGTGCGATCGGTTTCGAAGAGTACTTGATAGAGAAAGCCAGAAATGCGTTCGAGAAGGACCACACTGTGTTCTTAGGAGATGGATTGTTTGACCGTATCAACAGCGTCGCGCTCAGCAAGATCTTGGCGAAATGCATTATACGGTTCTATAAAGACAAAGTTACACATATGCTCCAGGTCGAAGGGTCATATAATCAGTCTTCTGAGAAGCACAAGCCCTCATCCGTTGTTGTGGTGAACGGAGAGGAGGTACTTAGGGGTGATATGATAGAAAGTCCAGGCCATGCAGAGGCGCAAGAAGACAAAGCGAATGAGCCAGTGACTATGAAGGAAACGCCTTTGCATGCTGAGCAAGCGCTGGAGATAGACGGCTGGGGCTCCTTCTTTCGTACTGGCAAGGAGAAAAAAGGGAAGAAGGGCTTGAGGCAGGACTCCAAGGATGAAGTGCCACCACCGGCTGAGGAGGATGGCTGGGGAGGCATCACTACGACGAAATCGAAAAAGAAGGGCAAGAAGGGAGCACTGATTGAGGAATCTGTCCCTGAGCCAGTGGCAGAACCAGAGCCTTCACCACCTGAACCTGAGAAGAAGGACGAGGATGACCCGTGGGCTTTCTCGTTTAGTGCTTTGTCAAAGGATAAGAAGAAAAAGAAGGGCAAGAAGGGAGCACCGATTGAGGAATATATCCCTGAGCTAGTGGCAGAACCAGAGCCTTCACCACCTAAACCTGAGAAGAAGGACGAGGATGACCCGTGGGCTTTCTCGTTTGGTGCTTCGTCAAAGGACAAGAAGAAAAAGAAGAAAGGCTCTATCGAAGAAGCAGCGCCACCACCATCTTTCGAGCCCCAGCCAGTGCCCGGCATTGAGCCGTTACAGGATGAAAGTCCACGCATACTATTCGAGCCAGAACCGGTGCTTGAACCTGAGCCAGTGCTTGCAGACGACCCATGGGGTTTTTCTTCCACTTCCAAATCCAAGAAGAAAAAGAAGAAAGGTGTATCTGAGCCGCCTGCAGAACCTGCACCTGTCGAGGAGCAGCAGGTATCGCCTGAACCTGTGCCGGCGAACGTAGAAGACCCATGGGGCTCTTGGGCTGCACCCACAATAATGTCGAAGAAAGCTGCACCCGAGCCGCCTGCGGAGCCTCAACCAGCCGCGGAGCCTGCACCTGTCGAGGAGCAACAGATATCGCCTGTACCTGAGCCAGCAAATTTAGAAGACACGTGGGGCAAGAAGAAAAAGAAGAAGAAGGGCAAGATGATGGAAGAACCACCACCGCCCCCCGAGCCAGAGGTTTTTCCAGGATTCGAGCTAGTGCAGGCAGATGTACCTTCGCCACTTCCTCCCATGCAAGAGCCATCACCTGTACCCGAGCAAACAAGCGGAGAAGACCCTTGGGGTGCAACCACATCTAATTTGCAGAAGAAAAAGAAGAAGAGTAAGGGGATGGTAGAGGAACCACACGCTGAAGGGCCTCTGTCGCCACCGCCTGAGCCAGCTTTGATCGAGGAGCGGGAGGACGTTGTAGATCCACTACCTGAGCACGTGGTTGAAAAGCATCAAGATGAGGGCTGGGGAGCTTTGAGCCACTCTCTCCCGAAGAAGGGAAAGAAAAAGAAGGGCAAGAAGGGTGAGATATCCCCTGGACCTATACCAGAGCCTGTTGTTGTTGAACCTAGCATCGTCCAAGCGCCGAACGGCAGTGAAGAACCAAGGTTAGAGGGCCAGGAGGAAGGAAAGGAGCCTCCGTCTAAGAGCGACACCGAGGTCTGTCCCAATCGTGTTGCACATCTTATCGACAGCGCTGAGTGGAAAAGTTGTATCATGTGTCGGGCTTGGCTTGGTCAAGCTAATGCCGAGTTGGTTCTAACGAGATAATAAATTCCTTCGTTCCTTCCAGTGCACAGTTCTGGTGCGTGTTGACGTTTTCATCAGCAGAATCATTGTCGTTCTGTGTCCTCGCGTACTATGACTTTGCAACTTCGAACTCTCTCTCGTTTGTGAACAAAGAGAAAGTCATGGAGTTGTGCAGAAGAGTGTTAGGTTGTAGATGTGAACACTTACACTTAATGGATATATCTGAAAGGGTTGCTTGAACTGAATTCGTTACATGGTGAGATACAGGGACTAATAATGAATGAGTCCAGGGCTGACAGTGGACCTACATGAAGAAAGGACTCGTCTCAAATTTCTGACGCACCTCGTCCTCCGCCTGCAGTGGATATGCGACGCTAAGGAGAAATGTAGACTTATGTGATCAATAAATAAGCCACCCGTTGAGAATGAGACAGACATATCTTGCGTTGACTTCGATCGGGTACTTCCATCTGCTCAAAGCGTCGAGAGGGGCCGTATATGAAGCTGGAGGTGCCTTCTTACATATCTCGAACGATAGATCGGACAGGTATCCGTTTATACAGTGATCTAACTGATGCTGCACGAGCAGCATAATGACTAGCAGTTCTGTCAGTATCTCAAGACTGTACTTTGACTATGAGGGCATTGAATGAGCGACAGTATTGGACTGATGGTATATCACAAATGCAAACACATTAACAAGTCCTCTTTATAGTGGAATGAGAATACTGTCCTTGTGGGTGACAGGATGTGCAAAGTGAGACGAAGCAATCAAATCCTGAAAGGGTGATCGCTAACCGTGTTTGGACTAGACCTCATCCCACGCCTCAGGCAACGGCGGACAGAACACCCGTCCTACATGTCTCAAACAACACATGTCTCAAAACCTCATCTGCCGGGCCAACGCATGTTCCTTGCAGTCTCGAACGCCCCAGATCAGTTCGCTCGCCCGCGACCATGACCTTGGCTATAACAGACCGCATGACTCTCCACTCTCGCGGCGGTCACGATCTCATGCGATGCATTTCAAGATTTGACGCGGCTTAATAGCGGCCACGCGTAGCTATAATGAACTACTTTCCTGATTATGCACGCGGAAGTCAGCACTGGATGCCCGTTCCTGTTTCCCTTCTTTTCGCTCTTTCTATATTCTTATCGTGATGATCATCGTTGTTGAGCAATGACACTTTTACTTTCTCTACCACATTCTTTCCTAGTATCTCTTTTCTCTTTATGTTTAATATGGAACAATGTTAGCGCGCAAATGATCGGGTCGTGGGTCGGTGACCAGCGACTCCAGGGACGACAGAATGGTCAGAATGGTCAGCCGGATACGAGCGCATTCAACATTGTCAATGGTCGTCTCTTCACACCTGGACTTGGGATAATACTTGCAGTACGCCTCTGTCAATATGTGCATCGCGCGCAAACTAACCACTATGCAGCCCCAACCCTTCACCCCCATGGGCGGCGACTTTCTTCATATCGCGCTCGACGTCGCCGGCGATGGCAAATTGCCAGTTCCACCACGTTCAACGTCCGACCCGTTGACACAGGTCTACAACTTCACACTCTTCCTCACATCCATCCCGCTGCAGAAGAACTTCACAATCTCCAACATCACGACCGCCACGCCGCCTTTTGCAGATATCATGCAGCAAGAACTCGGACAAACCGTCAAACACATCAACTTCGAATGGCCCGAGTGTTTAGTTGGCGATGGTCAAGACACCCAAGGCACCCAGCGCGGCGAATACAACATCTCCATACACCAAAACTTCAGACTCAATGGCGCGGACCGCTACAGTATTTTTAATCTACCGATCAGCGTTACGAATAGTATCAATCGCTTCCCTGGCGCTGGACAACTGAGTACGAAACCCATCCCCGGGCCGTTGAGTGCGAATGGTGGAAGGATGAACTGCGATTTGATATCCAATCCGATGATGGACTTCAACACATTAGTCAGCAGTGTGAACAATCCTCCGGGCCAACCCTTCCAGGACATCCAGATTGAGACGAGCGCCAGGAGTGATGGTGGTCAGGTTGGTGGCCCAGGACAGGGTGGAGGGAACGGAAACAATGGTGGAAGTGGCAACGGCAATGGAAATGGAGGTAACAACTTCGGGAATGGTAATGGCAATGGAGGCAACAACTTTGGGAATGGAAATGGCAATGGAAACAACTTTGGAAATGGTGGAAACAATGGTGGTAATGGGAACGGCCAAGGCCAAGGCCAAATCGCACCGAACAACGGTTCGCCGGGACAGGCAATCGGAGGCGCGGCGGAAGTGATTGGTGTCTCAATCTGGGCTATGATCATGCTATCGACCACGATAGTCTTGTTCACAGCAATAGTTTGGTCGACTGCGGCGATGCGCCAATGGAAGAAACAATTGCAAAGGAAATCGTTTCTCATGTTCGCCTCGTCTAGCTACGTCTCCAGATCCTCCACCTTCTCTCCCTCTGCTGCCCACCTTCCACATCTGTCACACCCTGTCTCGTCGCAGCTAATGCGTTTTCGCGTCCTATTACACTCTGGCCAGCCCAGAAGTATCGCCAACTCGTCACCGAGGGTGCGGTTGCGGCTGGTGCAGCCGGAGGTTCTTCAACGGTCATCGGCTCAACTACCGCCGTCTCGGCAGCCTCTTCCTCCTCGTACGCCTGCATATCTTCTTTCGAGATATACGCTGTTCGACATATCGGACATGTTGTCTTTCGCAAGACGAACCACGATACGAGACACTCGGCGTGGAAGGTGTGGGAGCACGTGCGGAGTTTCAGGATGGCGTCAGCCTCGCTGGGAGGAGGTGTGGTAGGATTCGTAGCAGCTTCATCAACGATGGATGTATCTGATGGGGCAAGGAGTGCAGCTTCCGGTGGTGCCGGTGCGTGAAGGGCCGAGAGACATATTGCGCTGTGGTGGTTGTCAGCGAGATCAATGAGAACATGACGATGCAGCGTACCATTCATGTTCAGATGTCGAAGCACTATCCGGAACGACCGGTATTTGTTCTCCCTGCTCAGTTTCGCCGTTTACTGCCTCTCTGACCTCACCCGCCACATCCGATGCATCGGCGAACTGCTTCAAGCGTTCCCTCGCCTCTGCTCTTCGGAGTGCTGGTTTTTTAACCTTCACGGCTCTCACAGGCAATGGCTGTTGTCCGCGTCGTTTCCTTTTAATGCAGAATACACAAATACTACACAAATGTTGGTGTTAGACCCGTTCCGACGATTGCGCGGGTTTGACGGGACTTACAATGGCGCAAAAACCACAACAACGAATACCGGAATCAGGAATGCAAATGCCGTCGGCGTCATGCCACTTTGCCCGACTGTATTGCTCCATTCCCTCTTCTCCAAGCTCGCGAGTGCATCGTGACTCGATATCGCCGGCATCACGTCGCGACTTGACTTTACAGTGGGGCGCTGGGTCGCGATAAGATGCGAACAAGCGGCGCAGCGGATCGGTAAAGACGGCAGTAGTATATGCGCGTTTCGCTGGGCGTTGACAGGAATTGATTTCTCAAGCTGTCGTGAGATGTCAGAAGTGGATGATGTCCGCGGCCGCGCTTCCTTCCTTACGTTCGGCTGCTGCGGTCATCCCATCATCTTTATTTCACCCCACGGCGAGTTTTCCCCGCAAATCCAGCCAGTCCATGACCGCTCCAAGCTCCTGCGCCTCCACAGCCTCGAACTCGGCGACGCGCCAGCCAATCACTGTTCGACAGCTCTCGGCACCCTTGGCTTCCGCAAACATGTCAGCGCGTTTTGACACAGCCCGGCCCAACGACTCCCTGCACGCGTAGTGTCTAGGTCTGTGAGCGCTTGTCATCACGCCATGTTAGCACACGCACTGTGGAACAGACAAAGTCAGCCGGGTGCGTTCAAAGGGCCTGGGCTGACGTAGCAGTGTGCCTCTTAGCGTGCGTTTGATTTCATTGGCGCCTAGTGATCTCGGCTCTCGGCTTGGAGAGCCAAGCGTTGGCGATGGCGGAGTGGAGCGGGGTGGGATGGGTTCGCATCGAGGAATGCATGCTTGGGCCGATACGCGTGGGGTGTTGAAGATTTTCGTGCTACTCTGATAGCGGGGTAGACAGCGAAGCTGAGCGAAGCTGGAGATGTAGATGTAGATCTATCCGGTTGGTTTGTAGATATGTGGTTTGGATCGTCATTGTGCTTGGAATGGACCAGGATTTGCTCGAGTGCGATAAGAGATGCGGAGAAAGCATACGGAGAGAATTATGTTTGATGGTATCTTGATTACTATGAAGATGAGCTACTAGAGAAGCCTTTAGATGCAGTCGTGAAGACATTAGGTATCGCAGGCAATGCACTAAAACAAACGCCTTTTGCAGCGTCGTAACAACCCCAATCGGGGCACGCTCAGAAACGCGTACTGATGATCATGAGCAGCAGTATATGCTCACACTCGCGACTTCTTCTCGTCGCTCTCGCCATCCGTACTGATGGCAGTGCTAAGGTAGCGCTCAAATACGCGCTGCTCCAGGTCAACTGAGCCGCGTCTGCCACCACCCATCTTCGCTTCGCGCCTACGGAAGAAGACACGCTTGCCAAACTTCCAGCTCTCAATACCAATGAAGAAAAGGAAAGTTGCAACGAAAACAATGCCCCACTCCCAACTGATTCCCTTGTGTCTGAAGACTGTGTCGTTGATGACAGGGATGTACAGAACCGGGAAGATGGTGACGAAACCGAACATGATGGAGAAGAACAAGAACTTGTTCCTCCATACGTCGCGTGCCCACTGTGTGAAGTACTTGGTGGAACCTGGCTGCATCATGAAGAACGAGCGGCGCATATCCAACATCTGCCACGCAAGGAACAGCGAGAACCAAGTAAGACAGGCGAATGTAGTCGCACGAGCGCGGAAAACCGTGTCACAAGTTGGGTTGTAGGACTCGTTACAGTTCTGGCCGAGGTTGCCATCACCGAAACCGAACATGACGAGGGAGAACGATGCGAGGCAGAGGGCGGCGATCCAGAGACCGTAGAAGAGCATGTCGACCATGACTTCGATTGTGAAAACACCACGCTTGAGCTATGAGGAATTAGTATTTTTTGTAGATAAAGAGATAGACATGAAACTTACACTCTGGGGAGGGCGGTCCAAAATATCTGGAGCAGCAATCTCGAAACCAAGACCCATGTCGGGCAAACTCGAGGTAATCATGATAATCCACATAACCTCGACGGGAGACACAGGGAAGACGGAGAAGCCGCTACCATCCTTGAAAGCGAGACCGATGAGCAAAACGCAGGCTTGCGCGATGTTTTGGGCGAGCAAATGAAGAATAAATTTCTGGATGTTGTCGAACATGCGGCGGCCCTCTTCGATAGCGTTGAGAATAGAGGCGAAGTTGTCGTCAGTGAGAACAATGTCGGAGGCGTCCTTGGCGACATCTGATCCAGTACCCATTCCAATACCGACGTCCGAGCGCTTGAGAGATGGGGAGTCGTTGACACCGTCACCAGTCATGGCAGCGAAAGCCTTCCGTCGGTGAAGAGCATCAATCATGCGCACCTTAGTGTTGGGCGCGCAACGAGCGATAACAAGAGGCAGCAGTGGGAGGTTGTCGATCTGGTCGTCGGAGAGTTTGTCGAATTGAGATGCAGTCATAACCATGGCGTCAGTGACTTCCTTTGCGAGAGTCTCCATGTTCGAGGGTAGAATGCCGACTTGGGCAGCGATAGCACGAGCAGTTCCAGGGTGGTCGCCGGTCAACATGTGTACTTCGATTCCGGCCTTTTGGCACTGGCGGACTGATCCAGCAGTTTCGGGGCGGGGAGGATCATACAGACCAACGAGACCACGGAAGGTCAAGCCTTGCTCCAAAGAGTTCCTGTCGAATTCCTCTCCCTTCGCGGGTGGCTCACCCTCGAAGTCCTTGCTAGCGAGTGCCAAAACACGCAGACCACCGGCGGCGAGGGCTTCCATGTTACCGAGAATCTCCTCACGGTAGTCGTCGTCCAGCTCGGTAGCACCTTCGGTCTCTCCGTTAAAAACAGAGGTGCACGAGTAAATGACACGTTCAACTGCACCCTTAGTGAAGACGTACTTTTTGGAAGTAGCAATCTCTTCAAAGATGACGGACATTTTCTTAACGTCAGAATCGAAAGGGAACTCAGCAATCTGCTTCCATTTGGGCGAGTCGCCGGTTGTGAAGTTGAGACGGTTCCAGTTGAAGCGAGAAGCAAAGACCTGGATAGCGATTTCAGTCGGGTCACCACGAGCATTCCATTGACCTTCGCTGGTTTGATGGACGTTCGCCAAGTTGGCCAAAGAAGCAACCTTGAGGTAATCTACCAGGTGTGGGTTCTCTTCAATCAATTCCTCAGATGTCTGGGTCTTCTCGTCGATGTCAGGATCAATGTGTCGTGGCTGCTTAGCGGTGAAAGAAAGGGAGCCAATCGTGGGGTTGTGAGGCTCGTCGCTTGTGCCGACCGAGTAGGTACCCTTTGCAGGAATCCAAGCCTTCTTCGCTACCATCTTGCCTTGTGTAAGCGTACCAGTCTTGTCGGAGCAAATGTCCGTGACACCACCAAGCGCCTCGAGCGACTTTAGGTTGCGAACGATGACGTGCCTCTGCACCATGCGCTTAGTTCCGGCAGCCATTGTGATGGTCAAAACGACGGTAAGCGATGCGGGAATCATGGATAGACCGGTGGCAACAGCGTAAATGATGACCTCGCGGTTGTTGGAGAAGCTGTTCGAGGCGAGGACAATAATGGCGCAGACGACGGCGACACCAAAGAGGAGGATAGCGAGACGCGCGAGCTTCTTCTGTAGTGGAGTACCGACGTTGACACCAAGGAAGTGACCTACGGCATCAGTCGCAGTCAAAGTCCAAGCCTGCGCGTAACGATGCGGCTTGGCCTTGCCGCTCTCGTTGCGCTTCACTGGGCGAACACGAGAGTCCTTCTTTCGGAGAGACATGGCGATGGAACCGATTTCAGTGTACATGCCAGTAGCGAAAACTACACCTCGGGCGCGTCCCTTAGTGACAGTCGAAGAGCTGTATGCGACGTTGAGACGATCACCAGGGCCGGTGTCTTCATCAAACACGGCCTCGCCGTCTTTGCCCACGGGGAGCGACTCGCCGGTAAGGAGGGCTTCGTCGGTTTCAAAGTTCACGGCTTCAATAATACTGCAGAATATTGTCAGAGAGAGTTTGAAAGTTCAGTTGTGGTGTTGCGTACCGGACATCAGCTGGGACGGTGTCACCCGTCTTCATTTCGACAAGGTCACCAGGAACAACCTCAATGGTTGGAATGGTGGTCGTTTTTCCATCACGGACAGCTGAAGCAGTTGGCGAGGAGAGCGATCGAAGCGAGTCCATAGTCTTTTCGGCGTTGAATTCTTGGACGAAACCAATGACAATATTGAGCAGAATGATGGCAGTTACTACACCACCTTCAATCCACGACTGGATGGCGAAACTAACCGCCATAGCAGCAATCAGAATCTTTTGAAGTTAGACGTGCATATTCGCAATTGTTCGAATGACTTACCAATGTCATTGCGTTGGCAACCTGGCGCAATAGAATCTTGGCTGGTGAGACGCCTCCATCCTCACCAAGGTCGTTGTTTCCATGCTTCTCAAGTCTTGACTTTGCTTCCGCAGTAGTAAGACCATCGTCAGGGGTTACATTTTGGTTTGCTCTACAACTTCATTGAAGGTAAGGGCGTGGGCGGGCTTGGTCAGAGGCTCGTTGGCCTGACCGGACTTGTGGCCCTCGAGAGATGGCTGCTCCTTTCCCATGGCGAATGTTTGTTCGGTCAAAGGTTAGGAGGAGTTGGGGATAACAA